ACTTCGGCGGCCCGAAGAAGCGTCGTCGCGAAGGCTACAACATCGACGTGAAGCTCGTGGAGATCTATGAAGATCTGGCCAGCGAGAAAGACGAGATCCGGCTGAAGGCTGCCCAAAGCCTTGTATCGCAATTCACACCCGACCAGAACCCTACCGATGAACAGATTAAGAAGGTGCTGCAGAGACTCTTCCGCGGTCTTTGCAGTAGTCGCAAAGCAGCTCGAATTGGATTCTCCATTGCGTTGACCGAGGTCCTCACTCAGGTCTATTCTACTCCGCGCGACTCTGCGGAATTTAAACTGTCGGATGCCCTTCAACTTTGGCAAGTGCAAACCCACGCAAGTGGTGGCGAGACAGGACAGGTGAGTTAGCCTCAGAGCAATCCTCATATTATGATTAGCTTGGTGCTAATGGAGATCACCAATGCAGGAACAACGCGACCACCATTTTGGACGTCTATTCGGTGCCGAGGCGATTATTAAATCTACTGTTCTTTTTCAACCCGGCATTCCCTTCGAGTACTGGACCAAGGTCCTCATCCTGATCTTCGACCTTGCCCAGACCAAGCCATGGATTCGAGAGGAATGCGGTTGGATTCTCTACCGCTGTGTGTACGACCTGTCTGCTCGCTATATGGATGCCAAGTTCGTTGAGGCTATTTTGGAAGGCCTGTGCACTCACGAGGTGGCTCGATCGCCCGAGGGTGTTGCGGTCTGGCTGGCTGCCAAAGACATGTTCCCCAAGGTCAACTATCCCAGCAAGGTTTGGAAGCACGATGACCCGCTGGACACAAAGGAGCGCAATAGTCTGTCGAAGATCATGAAAGAGTCTTCTGCGGAGGAAGCTCAGGGCGAGAGCAAAGCCAAAAACTCTGGTGTCTGGAACTCCAAGCTTCACTTTGCCTGGGATGCCGTCATTTCCCGAACTGGCGAGAGCGACAAGTCAAAATCGAAATCCTCTCGCTTGTCATTCAGTGATTTCTGGACCGAAGTTGTGGACAATGGCTTGTTCGCCTCTGCTTCATCCGATGAACGCAAGTACTGGGGCTTCCTCCTGTTCACCAAGGTTCTCAACGAGGGTTCGCCTGAGCAGGCATCTCACATTTTCACCAAGAACTTGGTTCGCTGCTTGACAAATCAACTTGCCGTTGAGGATCGCTACTTGCACCGCATGGCCGTCAAGGCCGCTAAGGCAATTCAAACCCGCGTGTCAAAGGAGCCCGGGTTTGCATCTGCAGCTGTTTGTGGTCTCATGGGTAGCAGTGGCACAGTCAATTTTGACCAGGCCACCAAGACAAAGACCATCGAGAAGATCGTGGCAGATGCCAACCGCGAGGCCTTGGAGGATATCATTCCCCTGTTCGAAAAGCTCCTCAACCGCCCTGAAGCAAGCGACGAGAAGCTTGCGGCTTCAAACCGCCAATTCATCGCTGGTCTCCTCCTCTCAGTGGTGCGCGGCAAAGCTGCCACTGGCAACAGTGACGACTCTGAAGATGACTTCCAGTCCACTCTCGAGCAGATTCTGTCCATTCTTGTGCGCTTTGCATACTTCCCGAACACCAGCAACGCCTCCTCCGCTCCCCAACCTGCGCTCTCCCAGGCTACTCAGGAGATGCTGCGCAACCGTATCAATTCTTCATTGAACAGTCTCCTTACATCGCAGACATATGCCTCGACAATTCCTTACGCAGTCGTGAAGCAAATTCGTGATGCCGCCAAGTCCGAAGAATATGGCAAATTCATCATTAACATCGATGATAAGATTCAGGAGTCAGTGAAGACTGCTTTCAAGTCATTGAAGAAGCTCTCTACCAAGGAACAGAAGGGTGACACATCCGGAATTTCCGCCTTCAAGCTCCTCTACTCCATGACAGTCTTGCAAGTCTACAATGGTGACCCTGATGCCGTGTCGATGCTCGACGAGCTCGAGTTTTGCTATTCCAAGATCATGGATGACGAGGACTCGGAGGACGCCTCCGACGCGTCAGATGCCCTTGTTGAGATCCTCCTCAGCTTTGCTTCAAAGCAGTCACAGCTTTTCCGTCGCATGAGTGAGCAGGTCTTCGGTGCCTTTGCTGATCAGATTTCCGAGAACGGCCTGGAGTCGTTGATTTCCATCCTTGAGGCAAAGGAGAGTCTTGCCGGACAGCAGGAAATGTTTGAAGACCAAGACGAAGGTGAGGAGGAGTCAGAGGATGACGATGTCGAAGAAATTTCAGAGGGAGACGAAGACAAGATGGATGTCGACAGCGACGTCGAAGTTGTAGAGGCAGGCGATGACTCTGACTCCGAGTCAGACGATGAAGAACCCTCAGATGTCGACGAGGAAGATGCCGCTGAAGTCGCCGACTTTGAAGCCAAGCTTGCCGCCGCACTTGGTACCCATCTCGCAGACAAAGACGGAAACGCATCCGACTCTGACTCTGATGCCGACATGAATGATGACGAAATGGACGCCGTCGACGAGCAACTGGCCAATGTCTTCCGCGCTCGCCGCCAAGTCACATCCCAGCAAAAAGATAAGAAGGGCGCACGCGAGAACATGGTGAACTTCAAGAACCGTGTTCTCGATCTCATCGAGATCTTCGTCAAGAAGTGCCACTCTCGCGTCCTGGCTCTGGATCTCCTCCTCCCTCTCCTCCGTCTCTCGCGCCGCTCTTCCGTGAAGCAGATCGCCAGCAAGGCCAACAGCGTGCTCCGTGAGTACACCAAGCTATGCAAGGGATCTGCCGTCCCAAAGATCGATGGTGACACTGAGCCTGTTTGGGAACTGCTGCGGTCTATCCACAAGGAGGCAGCACACAGTGGACCTCAGACCCACGCCGCTGCCGCTAGCCAGGCTAGTTTGCTTGTTGTGAAGGTCCTCGTTGCGCATGACAAGGCTGATATTGCTGGCGTTGTCGATGTGTATGGCGAGACACGTAAGGCTCAGCTTTGCAGCACTAAGTGCCATGTTCAGCCTTCGTTCTTCACGGAATGGAACAACTGGTGTGTTTCGGCGAGCAAGCAGCTCAAGAACTGAGTCTCTCGTCTGATTAAAATTTATGTCTGCTTGGGAACTATATGGAGTTAATTGTAGATTTGGTGCCTAAAATATGGGCATAAAATGATATGACTATTGAATATTCCAACATGAAATGCCGCATCGGCTGGCAGAAATTCCCACGAGGGGAATTTAAGCTTTCCCTCGCACCTAAACAAACAGACAAGCACTTTTGCTCATCTTGATAATCGTACATGTCATCGAGCTTCTTGCTAAGCCTGCCGACAAGCCGTGGTCTCGAGAATATGTTCAGTCTCGACTGCAGTGCCCAACCCATCTTCCAGTGCCTTGACATATTTAGTTTAGAAAATAGAGCTTAGGAAAATGGGCTATCAATCTCGCCAGGTTGCCGAACGTGGAAACTTACGTTTGCAGCATTGTGCACCCGATGTCACACACTTTACAGCCTATGATCAACCCGTCCAGCTTGACATTGAATGTCCTCCAATGCCTTTGAGGCATAAATGTAGATACCACTAGGGAAGATCACCCATTTCAATAATTGCGCAGCATCGAAAGACGAAAGTTGCTTTGATCTAACTGTCCATTCACTTGGACTCGAAGGAAATCTTTTAGCACCTTTGATTCATATTGACAGTGTTTGGCAGGTACATAACCTGAAGGGTAAAATTGAGTCGACCTCCTCTATGTAAAACAACATGGAAGTAAGCCCTATCCGTAAGGTGCGCTCTGCATACATCTCCGGGTCCTGGCCATACGTAAATGTTGAAATACAATGCATACAATACCTACGTGACCGAATATATATCTCAGCTGAATCGCTTTTTTGAGGCTTTAATTTGGTTTGTGACCACACGACTAGCTGATGGATTCGATATTTTGTCGAGTAGAAGATATGGAAGTAGACTTCAGGTCGAGTAGGTAGTGTACGTTTGACTAGAGGAAACTGTACTTCCGTTTAACCCATACAACGCTAATAGGTAGAGCAGATAATGCCAGCAGGCATTGATACAAAACATGTGAAATTTTGTCCTTGAAGGGAGCGTAAATTTTAGAACACTTGTGGTAATACATGATAGCCTGAAATGCATGAATATTGCCTTTCTGTATTTAGGAGGGCCACTGTCACAACCTTGTCATGTATGGAATCTGGAGCCTCCATTTTCCAGGGGGACCTCCGGTCCAGAATGAGTAGTCGTTACCATTTGAACCTAAAATAGGAACTTGCGGGCTGCGTTGGCACCTCTGAATCTACCTCGCAGTGGAGCCTGCAACGCGAAGAGCAACTGCAAGTTAGAAACAATGGGAGATATTCACCGATATGTTACCGATAAAAGCCTTGTAAACTGAAGAGTGATGGATAAGGACAAAGTCAATTAATTATTCAAACAAAACACAACATCTAGCCACAGAAGGTAAAAAGGCATTAGCTACCTCGCCTAAAGACAGTAACTGACTTGTCAATTGTTGTTTACTGCTCAAGCACGGCCGGAATTCTGGTGTGCGTAGTGATATTCTAGATTTAACAAACGAAAGATCGCCATTGTTGCTAAATATGTGTACGCGAACCCACCTTTCTTGGGGATAAAAGGTGCTAGCCAGTGCATGGTCGTCGGGATGGGGATGCTGTATATGAGGGGCAGTGGGTCCACTAGTTTGACTAGAGCTACAGTAGGGCAAGGCAAATACGACGAATACGGATACGTTCTGGGCATGATCGACATTGGAAACTTTATACTACGACACTCGAGACCTGGCCATTATCCATTAAATCAATTTTGCATGTATTCCAGGAGAAGGAGTCATGATCATCAAGGCTTGTTGAAATTGATACCCTAGAATAGAATGATCTACTAAGACCATTGTTTCAGTTCAGACGACCGAATGAGATACCAGAGTCTCGAGGCTATACAATTGCTGCTTCGCAAAGATCAAACTAGCAAGAAATGCAAAAAAGCCTTGGAAGCAAGTCTCGAAATATAAAGAGTACCGAAATGCTATGCAGATACCTCTCCAAGGGCAGAAAGATCAAGGCCGGGGTCCCTAGATCGGACAAGCAACTCGACAGTCGGATCAGTAACAATCTCGCTGCCCATCTCAAAGCTCTTCGGCCGCCCGCTTTCATCTTTCAATTTCCAGTCATACTTAAGCAATAAATGAATTAGCAAGATCTTGGACTCGTTAGCCGCAAAAAAGCGGCCCGGACAAGCGTGGATACCGTGACCGAAGCCATAGCTTTCACGGGTAGTTGTCACGAATTGGTGCTTGTGCTCGTGACCTGGTTCTTGGCGCTTCTTGAGAAAGCGGTAGCCGTCATATTTCTCGGGGCTCGGATAGATGGTTTCGTCTTGGTTGATGTGGGCGGAGACAGCAATCATGGCACCTTTAGGGATGATTGTACCGTCTGATAGAGGGACTGCTTTCAGGGCCAGGCGATTTAGGGACGCTGCAAGGTATTACGTTAACTGAATTCTGAGTAATTGAAATATACACGACTTACTCATACTAATTGGGTGTGTGCGCTGCGACTCCTTCATCACACTGTCCATCAACTTCAGTTTCAACAAACTAGTCTTCTTGAGCTCACCATCCTCAGCGATGACGGCAATAATCTCGTCGCGGAGAGGCAGGAGGTATTCCGGGTACGCTGCGAGGTCGTACATGATGTTTGTGAGAAGATTCGAGGTCGTATGGATAGCAGCCAAGGACAGCGCAACTTGCCCACGTGTCATATCAAAAGGCATGTTGTATGCCTTAGATAGTTCCTCAAACCAGTCGAGGGCATCGACCTGGGCCTGAGGTGGATCATCCGGTGGCAATCCGCTATCGCGGATCATGTTGCGCTCCTCAATCTCTTGTTTCACAATGGCCCGGGCTACACCAAGATGGTAGCGAACCTTTTGGATGGATGGTAGGAAGTAGTGCACTACCGGTCGTAAGATGGACGGCCACAGCCGTAGCTCGCGGGCCCCGTTGAAGGAGTCGATCGTGTAATGAACGGCGACGTTGATCCAGTCCTCATTGCGGCAGGCTTTCTGACCGAGGAAAGCCAATGTGGAGATACGGGCTACCATATAAGGCACTTTGCGGGAAAAGTTGTACGGCTTCCATCCTGGATTGGAAAACGTAGTCAGCACTGAACGTCTAGTAGTACTTTCGCATCATGCCATACCATCCGATGGGGGAAAAGCGTCTTTCACAGTCACAGCAGTCTCTTTGGAGAGCGGTATTGTCAGGCCACCTGTAAGCCGATTAGAGCAGTCCTCGCTAGGGGTTGGACTCACATACCAAGGGCTTGAGTTAGCTTGATTCGCACCGAATCCAAGAGGACCCTAGATGCTCCATTCGCATGGAAGGGTTCGAAGCCGGCGATACGACCCGAGAAGAAGTGCTGAATTTTTATTAGTCTTCAAGACTCCAGAGTTGTGAAGGCTACTCTTACTTTTTGAGTAGCACCATCAAAGTCTAGGTGGGGATGACTCTTGATTTCATCGATATACTTTGGATGCAAGACAATCAATGGCCTGGTTGGAGCCATGACCTGGAATATATCGCGGCCCTTCTCTTGATCAGCATTCTGGATTCGGAGCACGAGAATCTTCCTACCTTGGTAAAGCCCTCCGCAATCAAAGCCCGCGCTGATTGACTGAATCTAGACTTGGCCTTCTTGTTGGAAAGATCCCACCAGCTTTTCCCAACCAGAGGAAATCGAGCATAGGGAATCTCATCAGAGACATCATCCCATACACTGGAAATAAACACCACCAGGAGCGCAATACAGATACTCTGAACAATATAAGGAGTGCTCAATAACTCGGTCACAAGCGCCATAGCTTCGATGAGGGTAGGGGGGGGGATGAAAAAAGCAATGATGCCGGTCAAAAACCTGCAACTTCTGGGCCTGAAGAGTTTATAAAACAAACCAAGGCAAACCTTCTTCGAGGCTCCGCCAGTTAGACGGAGTCATTTGTAGAATGCTCAGGTTCCACCCAAACATTCCGAAGTGGAGTCCTACCCCAGTCACTCGGATATGGCTTGGGCCGAGAGTCAGGGGAAAGCTTAGAGTTTTGCAGAGCTCAGGGGCTTGACCACTCCGAGAGGCAGCATCATGATTGCTTTTTAGTCGAGGGTAAGGAAATACGAAAACGAGAACCGATCCTTGCCCGAAAGGGTAGTTGGAGGATACGTCGCGTCAAGTTTGGATCCGTGCTTGGATGACTCGAGGCCAATCAACATGGATGAATTAGAATCGAAAAGTTTTCACGCCTGTGGAACATGAGGACAAGCTGTAACCATATAGTGTATTATCGGTATAGTAATGAATTATGAAGTTAAGGAGCAATAGAAGAGGCCAATCAGCGGTGAGAGATGGCAAGAATGTATACATAATCAACCCCCGCATTTCACTTTCCTCTGATCTCTCCAACTTCATTTGCCTCTTTTATATAACTCTGACCCTGAAACTTCTGACTTCTCATCATGGGTGACTATGGCCCCGCATCTAACCACTCCACTGAACCTTCGCTTGCAACCGCACCCGACATCTCCGTACTGATAACGGGCTTTGGCGTAAGTGATCTGCGCCCGGATCCAAAGCGTTTCCGAGTCCGATCTAAGACCTCACTGTGTAACTAGCCCTTCAAAACCAACCTTGTCAATGCTTCCTCCCTGATCGCCAAATCGCTTCCTGGCTCTTTTACCTTCCCAGGCCCAGGCCCCACGGACCGCCGTATCATTCTGCATGTCCACCCGGACCCGATCCCTGTTGCCTATTCGTCTGTTCGTGAATCTTTACCCGTAATCTTAAACGATTTCGCAACAGCCAATCAGGGCCGTCGACCAGACCTAGTGATTCATATAGGTATCGCCTCGCCAAGATTGTATTACTCGGTGGAGCATTTGGCCCACCGGGATGACTACAATATCACTGATATCGATGGCCGCTCAGGCTATGAGGACGGAGAGAAGAGGTGGAAGGAGCTAGGACTTCCACCGATACTCTGTCCAGGGAAGGCGTTCGTTGCCACTAAAGAACAGAAAGACCAACGGTCCCACAAGGGACCCAAGAGTGGCCCCTACCCACCAGAAGGTCACTTCTTAGAGACGTGGAAGGCCAATGCGTCGGCGGGTCTGGATCTCCGGATTTCCCATGATGCTGGTCATTATCTCTGTGACTTTATTTTCTATACTAGCATGGCCCTGGCTACGCAGCAGGGCCAAGACCGCAATGTCTTGTTTTTGCATGTCCCCGGTGCAGCGGAGGATGCTGACGTCGAGCGTGGGCGAGAAATTACCTTGGCTTTGATTAAGGCTATGGTGACTTGTTGGATCGATGAGAAGCATTGTGCATGAGAAGGACTGCATACCTGCTGTTACTTACCTAGGTATTCGCATTTTCACGCATGGTGTTTATATCTGGCTTTTCTTGTTATTGATATATCCTCGAGTTTAATGTAATGATATTCAACATCATATATGCTCATGCACCTGGATCAAATGAATTTCCATTTCTTAGAGAGAAGACATATATTGACGTAGTCATAGCTCAGAACAAAAACACTTCTCATCACAAATTAGAAGCATGAGAAATCACCGAAACCAGAGCTACTGGTAAAGCTTGGAAGACAATGGACACTCGGACCCCCGAGATGTGGCTATTGCATGCACGAGCAAGGGTTCGATGACTTGGCATTACTACTCCCCCTTGCCCCATCACACCGAGTCTTCAACCCTTTTTTCTTTTTGTCTTCTTATACCGATATGAAAAGACAATACTTAATCGGTGACTCCAATATCCAAGGCCGCACGCTCTTACTTTCACATGCCATCAAGCATGTCCCTAGAAGGAAATGCTGACCAAAGTCTATTAGACAATATGGGGAACCATGAACATCTAACACCCACACTCAGAGATGGTAAGATAGATTTATGGAACTTGAGCTGAAATATATAAGACCACGAAGATTTTCGGGATTGGCCCATGTGTGGCTTCCTTGAGCTGGTCACTCAATCAACCTCACGCTCTTGGGATATGAACATGTCGTCATATTGAGCTGAAATCGCAGGCGGCACAACGCGGCAGAAAAGGGCTTATCAATTCCGACAGAACTAGAACCCTATCTTTAACTATGAGTCTTCACAGCATTTAAGACTCGACCTTGTGTTTAGGTCAAGAATTTAACCATGAATATTATGATGGAGACAATACCTGCAACATCTGTCCTTATCCTAGGACTCGTACTTTTACTTCCAGTTCTACTCTTTCCCCAGCTGAAGAGATGGACCCATAAGTCATCACCGTCAGCAAGTTTGCTGCCGCACCTACGCCTCTGGAGTAGGCGTCCCAAGCAATCCAGTGAGATTATATCGCTGCGTATGTATCCAATCAAGTCCTGTCGGGGCTTTGAGGTGCATCAAACTACCCTCAAAGAGCACGGCCTTGATCTCGACCGGCGCTGGATGCTCGTCGACGCCTCAACAAACGAATTCCTGACCATCCGCCAAATCCCAAACATGACCCGCATCGGCACAGGGCTCAGCGCAGATGGCGAGAATTTAGTCGTGACAATTCCAAGTTCAGCTTCATCAACTCCAGCATCGACGCATCAACCTGATACAGCTTCTGATACTACCAAAACAATCCGCATTCCAGCCCACCCCACCCAAGAATGGCTACAGAAACACACTACCATTGCCCCCGTCAAAATCTGGGACAATGACACAGATGGCTATATCTACAATGACGAGATCAATGCTCCCTTCTCAGCATTCATGGGCCGCCCAGTTGCACTAGTTTATAAAGGCCCAACACCCCGCGTTCTGAAAGGCAACGGCGCGCCCAAACTACTGGGCCGTGTACAGACAACCGGCTTCCCCGATGTCTTCCCCATCCTCATCGCATCAGAGGCCTCTCTCGCTGAATTGAACACGCGTCTCACTCTCAAGGGCGTGGATCCCATTACCGTCGAACGGTTCCGACCGAATATCGTTGTCCGGGGAGAAACAGCGTGGAGCGAAGATTCCTGGAAACTGGTTCGGATCAGAGCTGGAAATGGCCCTAATTCCGACAAGAAGGTAACGCAGGCCCCCCTGGTTCTTGATATCGTGGCGCGTTGCGCGAGATGTCAGGTCCCGAATGTGGATCCTGAATCAGCGAATAAGCATAAAAAGCAACCGTGGGATACTCTTGTCTCGTACCGCCGGGTCGATGAAGGAATTAAGTACAAGCCTTGTTTCGGAATGCTGAGTGCACCGAGGAATGAGGGTGCTATTGAGGTTGGGATGATGTTGGAGGTCTTGGAGGAGACGACTGAGCATCGTTATATCACTGGGTTCTAAATCAGGCGAAAGGTTACAACCTTGAAACTTAATGTATCGATATTTGTTGGACTCTGCCGGCACAGAATAACGCTCGTAATTTCATATGCATTCTATTATGTATTCTCAATTCGTATGACACATGATCGTAACCCATATTAACATCAATGTCTTCCAATCCTCCAAAGTCAATCACGATGCAAATTAAGGGGGAAATGCCTCAGCTTTGTATGATCCCTCAAAGAGAACTGCAAAAAACCTCGTAGCTGTGGAACTCTTCGTCTCCACTTAGACAGGTGTTCAGCGCAACAGCCTGTCCACCAGCATCGCAAGAATCACCAGTGTAAACAGACACTGTTTTGAATCAGCATTATGATAAAAGCCAGTAACAGGGTGAAGAAACATACCAGTGCAGTTATTGATAGCATACTCAAAGCTCACAGACTCAACCTCATTATCACCAAAGCTTTGACAGCTATTCACATAGTCGCCGTAAACACCGAGTTCCCCAAGATTCTGTGCTGAGCATCCAGGTTCACCATAAAGGCGAAGTTGAACATAGCGAGTATTTGCCGGAGTAGCCGGAGAGGGAACAGCAGAGACGCTCATCGCGAGAGCAGTAACAGAGGCAACAAGAGTGGTGAAATGCATTTTGTTGGAAGAGAGACGACTTCGAGTGTGTAGTGGAGGGTGTGGTGTATTGATAAAGCTAGACTTGTGTAGATGTGTGTAGATGGATAACAAAGTCAGAATACCAGGAAAAACAACGCTTTAAGTACTTCACTGGAAGGCGCGGTGAAACATAGATATTCGCCTCCTAAGGGTCCAGCTTGGCGGTGATGTTATGATTGGGTAGAATGCGGGGCTCTACGTAGCCAACATGCCATGATCTGACTACAGGACTGTAAGTACTTTGAATCTTAGGCATGTCTCACACACTGCGCCCGTTTCTGGTGCTACAATGCCTTCTTTGATATTCTGGCACATGATGTGTTCACGGGACAAAAGAATACATTGTAAGCACAACAGTGACTAGGAGCGGGGGTTCGGGGCCCCCGGTAAATGGAACGTCATGTGTACACTGGCATCTTCCCTTACTGATAGTTTCCCTGCCGAAATCGCTGAATAAGCTTTACCTTACTGTGACAATGTGGGCGGTTCTATTTCTATCCTGGCTTCCTATTCGTTGGTCGCCTGCAGGATTACATCAGTTCTTGATGAGACTCAGCTAATCAATAGGTTCTACAAGCTACGTTCGGGACCGATCTGGACTCAATTTCGAGACAGAGATCTATGTAAGCCCTCAGCGTCAGATTGTGATTGCCTATTTACGAGACAATTTACTACAATGTCGGTGTGAGTAAGACCAAGCCCCAATGGCTAGTGCCGATCACCCCGCACGTATCCCGTATAGACAGCTGGCAAGACCCGATGCAGGCCTTAAAACCCCATTTTCAAGTCTGGTGATCTATAATTCAATGCTATAGCTCAGCATATGAATGCGCATGCGAATAATGGTCGGCATTGGGTTTATGTCAAGGTCTGTCCCGGGGACCCGAAGATTGACGATCTGGAACCGGATTTTTTCCAACGATAGATTGCACAGATCCACTTGAATGACTACGTACCCGCTATTCCGAGATCCAGTAGGAGTTGAGCCAACGCTGTCCAGAAAGATCGAAGTGGATTCGTATTGCCAGGTTCAGAATGACTGTTAGGCGAGACGTCCAGCCTCATCTGGAAGGTGTTTCGGGGCCATTCCCCACCTTATCGGGAAGTCGTTTCATGACGTGGGTATTGCCATACGAGATGGTGTTTTCATTTACCAGATATACCGAGTCTCGGATAGATGCAGATCAATCCAGATGGAAATAGAGGTGGATAGAAAGTCTCAGGCACTGGCGAGAGAAACACATGGTCAGTAAACAAATCACTGAGGCATGGCCGAATAGATGGATGAGATCGTTGATGGTACAACAAGGCAAGAGCTAGCCAATAAAGCAGTTGGCCAGCTCGTATTGGTAAATGGTATCTAGCAATAGTAATCCGACATAGCAAGCAGGCTAAGCAAGAAATTTCTGTTAGCCAGAAAATAACGAAGTCCGCTGTTCTACCGAGCATAGTGAATAAATGTGAGTCCAGGACCATACCTCCATGAATAGTAATACCGTTGATAATTCGGTCAAGGCTTTTTGAGACAGGAGAATCTAGGATGTGGCGATGGCGAGGTTCAGTCATGGGTGGATGGTGCCAATAGAGAACCAAGGAGATCCCTGCAACGAACAAGGCGCACCAAAGACATTGATGGCGGAGGAAAGCGAATGACATAGTAACACTGCTTGTCTCGGGACTCATTGTATGCCTCCCTGAATGGTGCACCAGAGAAGGCCTGGATCAAAAAAACATTCCATCTACAAAGGCGGCGAAGGAATTAAGGCTATCAAGTGAGAAGACCTCATACCAGACAGCTGAAAACATTCATACTTATGAGAGTTATGGTCTCTATGGAAGTATTGGGGTCAACCTTATAACTACGAGGACAAGTCTCGGCGATGAAGTTTTAAGCACAGTTATAAAGCACTGTAACCAAGGATGGCCAACGTGAAAGAAAGACCGTAATACAATCATACGCTAATTGTGACATTTGAAGGTGACAACAGAGCCAAGTAATGCCCCCAACCTAGATAGGTCGCCTTAGAATAGTAGGCAAATCACAAGTCATGAATAAGAAACTGAACAGAGCAATACGGAAAGAAGTTTGAAGAATAATAAGTTGATTTTTCGATCGATCCTAATACAGATCGATCATCAAAAGAAAGGAAGCTAAATAACACTCGCCGATGACGCCCAGAGCGCAATTGCAAAAGCAAAATGCGCAAGAAACAAAAGACACCGGCACTGGAGTGTTCAAATCTGTAGTAAAGTTCTGGTCTCGAAATCGAAAAGGAAGGCAGCCATAAGCAAACTCGCAAAGATTCCCCATTCCATCTCGGACACATCATTAACAAGCCTGGGAATCACGAGCGGTATCACAGTCGATGAAAGCGGATCGAATCGATCGGAATATGCAAAGCAAAGAACAGTACAAATCAGAACAGATCGTATTATCGAGAGGAATGGAATGAAATCAAATCAAATGGAGAAGAATGATAATGTGATAAAGCAGAAAAATTGGAAAAAAGGTACGCTGGCAAAGACAGAAGAAGAGAACCAAACGCCTCGCTTGCGTCTCGCAATGTCGTTGGCCAACTGCATTTCATGTGCGTCGTTTCATTTCGGTTCGTCTATGTGGGTTGCATATGTATCGTCGTGCACATTCTTCTTTTGGGAGGCGTAACATTGGTTTGGAAAATCATTTTTGAGCCCATCGGTGATGGGCGAGGGTAAGCCGAAGAGAAAATGGAGAGGAGGAGTTCAAGTCTTGTCAGTGGCCTTGGTTCAGGTATGTGGGACATGAGACATCCATAAGACAAGGTGACGACTGGACAAGACAGGTAAAAAGAAAAGAAATATGTAGAGAATGAATCGCGCCGTAGCGAGTAGTGTTTGAATGTAAAGTGTTCGGGTTTTCGGGTCCAATTTTCAAATGTTTTTGGTTTTGTTGTTTTTCATTGCCGAAACCACGTCTAGTGGATCGAGCAATCTGACAGGAAAAGGAAATAAATTTGTCGCATAGCGATAGGGAGTGAACTTGCTATCATGGAAGGTAAGGCGGTTCTAGCGGTGAGCCTTCTTCACTTCCAAGATGCAATGAGTGTAAGGGTGATAATGAATGTATGTCCTGGTAGGAGTCGAGAGTCTCCGCTGCACTAGTGGAAACAAAGAGTGTCGAAGAAAACAGACACAGGTGTCCAGATATTTCACCGAGTATTCATCTCGGCGGAAATACCAAAACGTTGTTGAGAATGGCATCAACGCGGTGGAGACGAATCAACTACCGTACCAGGAGGAAAGGGCCCATCACAATTTTCTCTTCGGAGTCGGGATCATGTGTTGCAAATTTCAGGGATTGGCGAAGTCAAACAGAAAAGTTCCGAGACTCCAGCTCAAATATCGTTACAATCATCAAAGGCCGTGGCTGTCATAATAGTAAAAAGGCTGCAAAGAGGGGGCGGCACGTAACCCCCTTTCATCTCGTTCAGGTCATCATGCAAAGTGAAAAGATCTCGCAAAGGAATCGACGCCACAATGGGAACGGAAATTGCAAAATTGGACAGCGGAAATGCGCATTTAATTGCGCATGAAAGGCATGCTCAGGATTTGCCGGCGAATTCGCTCAGCATCCGAAAGGCCTTCCTCAAAGGGATTTTGTAGAGGGGGAGGAGGTCCTTGAGGCTTGTCCAGTCCCTGCATGGGAGAAGGATTCATAGAGCTGGGATAAGTCGAAATACCACCGCTCGAGAATGGATCGGACAGCGAAGGCGCGTGCCTAATGAATCGTCCAGGGGTCGTACGTCGCTTGAACTGACCTTCCACCTTGAAAGGTGAGCCCAGGCGTTTGATATGCTCACCACCAAGATTCAACAATGGGTTGACAGGAGGCTTGGTGATGGGAGTATTTTCTTCGGGCTCAATCTGGGAAGAATTGAGGGATGAAGGGGGTGAGAAGAGCTGGCTGACATCCCGAGAACGGTCGGCAGCACCAGTTGTAGCACCGCGGCTGCGGATGCGGACCCGACCATGACCAATGTCTTGGACTTTGTTATCTCGGAGGTAAGTGTTCAGACGTTGATGGACTTCTTCGTCGGAGGGGTCTCGGTCAATACGCGCCTTGGGGGAGAACACATCATCTTGCTCCCGAGGAGTCATGTCAAAGTGAGTGTTACGCCGAGCCCGAGTCGGAGCGGGCATGGTCTCGCGTCGAGCAGAGATAGGCACACTTTCAACTGCAGAGCCCGAGTTTCCAGGGCCCCATGTACTGTACACAAACGGCGATCCTAGGCGCGGGATATTGCAGTGTTCGACATTGAGATGATTGTTAGAGGGCTGGACGACATGAGTTTCAACATTGTTTTGCACAGGGTTGTTGAACCACTCGGTCTTCGATTCAGGAACAGGTGCTTCGGCAAGTTGAGTCAACGGAGTCGGGTCGTACGAGGTGACAAGAGAGACACCGAGGTCGCGGGTGCCGTAGGCAGTAGAATTATCAGGTTGGTAGGCGCCATTACCCATATCTGGTGCAGGCTCTGGGCTGCAAGACTGCATCATGCGCTGATAATGAGGCATGATTGAGAACTTGCGGCGACACAGCATCTTCAGGCGGTGACGTGTCTTCGAATCAGACTTGGGCCATGGTGTTTTGCTGTCATCAATAGCCTTCGGGGTCGAGCTGCCGCTGCGGTCTGAGGCCTTGAGGAACAGGGACTGACCCATGCGGAGCTTCTTGTTCTCCCAGGTCTTTCTCGCTCTCCGTGCCACGCGTGAGGTAACTCCCAAGGGTGGAATGCTGCCTGGGGTCATCTTGAATGGAGTCATGGTAGGGTCTTGCAGATACATCTGATAAGTGTTCCACAGATGATTGTCCATCTCACGAGAGAAGATTTTTTCTTTGACCTGCGTTCGCTGGACTTTTTTCTTGGGCAAACTGGGAGACGACATCTGAGTCTCCTTGGTAAATTCGAGAGGGAAGTAAGAGTCAAAGATATCACTTTCAACACTGGAACAGCTTCCTCCTACAGATGCACGCGATGCAAAAGTTTCGATGGACTCGACAGATGAATCGGACATATCTGAACATGCTGAGCCCGGGCGTTCAAAGTTGTGTGGCATAGGAGTCTGGTCCCATGAGGGCCACGCCTGTGCCTCGTCGCCTGACTCAAATGAAGTCCCCCGAATCTGAGCGGGAGGGGTCTTGAAGACCATTCTCTGGCGCGGTGGAGCTAGGTAGCGTTCATCATTTCCGGGTTGCGCCGCAGGGGACAACTCGAGCGGCGCGTTTGACTGACCCACTTCGATCGAGGGCAGGGGAAGATCGTGGAGACCCTGGAACCGAAAAAGATCCAGGTCCATACGCGCGCAGACATCAGTACCGGAGCGGACTCGAACGCGAGGGAGACGGCAACTGGAGAAAGAATGACGCGGTGGAGGCGGAACGTCGATGTGGGTCGATGGGCGTTCGGGGGTCTTGGGTTCATCCGCGCTCAGAGATGGGAAAGTGAAGTTCTTCGGCAACGTCCGCGAGAGCTGACGTTGAGACATGATGATCGATGACTCGTGGTGCAGCTCGCGAATATTGTGGGGTTCAATTCAGGAATGTAGGAGGAGGGGAGTCTTCGACGCGTTCTAGAAGGGAGAGATCAAGTTGCAGCTTGGAAGTTCGCGGGCTTCGGGTTGAAGAAGCGCGCGTAAGTCGTGGTAAATGTTATCGTGAATCGTGAGGAAAATGAGAAAAAGGAAAAAGGTTGAGCGAAGGCGAAGACTGAAAGGCGGTTCAAAGGAAATCGAGAGTGTCGGGGTGTGTGATGTTGCGGAATGCGCCAACTGGAAATCGGGATCACCAGATCACTGCGGCTCCATCCCCACGAGTTTAGGAAATGAAGTATTTCGTCATCCCCTGAAACGCCGGGAGAACAAAAGCAAGCGCAGCTGCGATTCAAATCGCAGGCAAATTTGGGGAAAGGAAACAGTAGGGAAGGGGTGGGTGGTCAAGAGGTGAAGAGGAGAAGAGAGAGCGAGTGAGGGAGAGGAGTTGTGGTTGGGCGCTGGAGTGAGGCGCCGGGGGGGGGATCGAGTACCCTGTACTTTGGCGTATAGGCGTGAATCAATACCTAACTCAGGTACTCTGTACTTAGACCTTGACCTGCAGGCCCACCGCGAAATTCTACAATCTTGCGCTACTCGCGACTAAAAAAACCTGTAATCTCAGAGAGAAAAAAAAAGAACAGACTTCATGACTCTACGGAATGTCGTTGGGGGGCATATTTGTTTAGATTTTCTCGAGTCTTTCCCATCCGGAGGCTGCAGGTTGGACCTTACTTGATGCACGCTGCGTACTCGAGTCAGGGTAATTTTTTGAATCGTACATACACTGATCAGTATTGTGTATAGAAGGAAATGGGGGGCTGGGAGTGTAGTGGTCCTCCAATTGGACTAAAATCTCCAAGCTAACCCATTTAATGATAAATGTACAGTCGATCGTGCTTATCCGAGAGTCCACTTTCTCCCACAACGGAGTACATACGGAGTACTCCTTCAGTTCGTGAGCCCAAGTCCCGTGAACCATCTGCAAGGGCTACAGGATCTGCCGGAGAACGGGCACGCTGCGTGGTAATCTGGTGATGTCCATTGCAGAATCTTCCTATGCTTTTGCTGTGCCTCCTGACTTCCCAGCCCTCGAAAACGGCGTTGTTTTCCAGGGAGTATCAGATGTTTTCATCCATAAATAGTTTCGAAACCAGGAACAAGCCCACAAGCCCACAAGGCAAATGGGGGAATTTTCCCAAAAAAAAATCTTCATCTCATTGTGCGGTGTAGAGTGCCCGTGGACACTGAGCGTGGGGCCGGAACATCTTTCAATATAACCTCATTGGGGAAGAAAAAGGCACGAGGCACGCGTTTCTCCACTGACGCGTCGCGTCGCGATGTTTTATTACCAAGATTACAGCCACGGAACACAATACCATACACGCTAGTCCTATATCGAGAGCTTCCAAGGTTCCTTCGGGACACAATTCAGGTCCAACAACGCTAATCGTCATGACCCACTGGGAACGGGTCAGTCGCACGATCCACCTGCCATGGCCCGTGGCCCAGATGCCTCGACCTAGCCGAGTCGTGGAACCTTGTACGAGACTGAGACAAAGAACGCGGCTCTAGGGTACCTACATCAGGAGCCATGGAGCACGACAGTGTACAGGGATCAGGATCCGCAAATAGAAGAATATCAAAGTCAATTAATCTCAATTCTGTGACAATTGATACGAAACAAATTAAGATACCCTGACAAAATATGAACAGGTAATAAATCTCACACACACCACGGACCAGGCGCATTCAAAAAACATACTAGTAGGGGTATAATTGTAAACAGGTGGTTGGGAGACAAACAAAAACAAAAGGAATAAAAAGGTAACAAGGGGGTGATCAAGATCGTTCAAGCTTCTTCTTCCGCTCAGCTAATAACGCCTCGATCTTGCGGAGCTGCAGGGCAAGTCCCTTCTTTTCCGCATTTGCAACGAGCCAGTCTTCCATGTTGCGACGCACATGGCGCATAGACTGGAGTGCAGGCAGAATAGGCGATGAAGTGGCATCATTGCCGCCTTCACGTTCCATACGCGCCCACCGCTCAGCACCAGGGTTAAGAAGTAGATCAAACACCTCAGCCCACAATTCACGGTCCCAGTATCGCTTTAATGACTCGCGAATACGGTAGGTGTGAGTGGCAGAGGCGTCACCAGTACTGGTGCGGGCAGGCATGGACTCGATATGCTTGCCAAAGAGCAAGACGTGAATCGTACCAGCGATGCCATAAAGGTCGATTTGATGGGTCCAAGGGCGCGCCTCACGAATCTCATTACACTCGTGCGTCCCAACCTTCCAGTCCGCAATAAACTGCACGGAAGGTTGGAATGCGTGCATGTCAATACTGCGGCCAAAGTCAATGAGATCCAAGCCCTTGCTTCGCCAACCATAGTGCCCACTTGGTGAGTAGTATACGCTATCACGCTCCTCGGAGGGCTTCTCGTTCAAGTCAAGAAGGGACATCGCGATGGCCGAAGAACTTTCAGTGTTGGAGTCGTCGAGACGAACGAGGCAGTTGTCAGCTTTGATGTCACCGTGGAGAATTCCGTGCGCGTGGAGTCCTTCAACGGTGCGCAAGAGCTCAACAGTAAAAAACATGGCGAGAGATTCCTCCAGTCCACCCTCACTGTGGTGGTTGGAGGTAATGGGATCATTGCGAAGTATATTGACCAAATCAAGCAGTGTGCCTTGGCCTCGATAGTCCTCCACAAGGAAACTTTCGCGCTGGTGCACGTGCAGTTCATGCGCCCGCACGATGCTTTCTGCAGCCCGAGAGTGATCAGCAGAGTGCTGCAACCGGTCATGCGCAGTCCGAATCATATAAAATTCCCAGGCACTGGACGGTCCATTCTCAACCTTGATAGCCTCGAATGAATACCGAGGAGTTTGATAAGGGCTGGCTGTCTTCGAACGACTGCCAGAAGTTAGGTTCTCGTTATCTGAGTCAGAATCGTAGGAGTCAAGGCTGTCTACGCTCTCTGCTAGGTAAACGGGAGCATAAGCACCGGCACCAAGCTCACGTCGGACAATGTAGCTTCGCTCTGCCCCGGGAAACTCCAGTATAGGGGTATCGAAGTCCTCATTAACACCCTTAGAGCGTCTGATATGTGTCTTGACAAACTTTTGGATCATAGAGGCGTAGTTACTATCCTTGACGTGGCCATGATATCCGGCGTAGGCCGCAAGAGGCGGCTCCAAAGAGTTTAGAATGGTGTTTCGTATACCCTTGTCAGTTGGATTGCACTGAGCTTCCTTGATCACAGCCTCGCCTCGCCGACGGGACTTCGGGGCAAGTGCTTTGAAAACAGTCGGGCTGAATGGGACATCAGCTGCAGATGTAAAGGTGTGGTCTCCATGGTATGGTGTTGGCGCTCCTACTGGGCTAGAGAGAAGTAGATCACCCATCTGCGGCATGCCGGCTGGGGATCGTGGCTTCGAAGGCGTTTTGGCGCTGTACAATGCCTCTCGAGCAACTGTCTGCGAGGGTATCGAACATTCGGTCCGTTCCACGATGGGCGTCATGAAAGGCAGACGATTCTGCGCCATAATGGCAGGGTCCCTATACGTACCAAATGGCGGAGCATAGTCGTCGGGCATTCGGGGAACGAAATGATCTCTTTCCGGGGTTCCTAGGTTGGACTCATCCGCTACTCCTTCACTGTAGACTGATTGTGATGTGATATCACCAGTGTCATGTGCAGGAATATCCTTGCTGACACTAAACTCGGTCCAATCACCATCGCCGATGCTCTCGGCTCTTGTGGTGTCTGCGTATTCAGTATCATCGTACGACTTGTGGAAGGTTTGCGTTTCCTCGTTGCCAAAGTCGCTCGAGGCAGCTGACATGTGTCCAGTAACTGTGCTATCCGCGTTGCTAATGAGGTCATCGTCTTCATAGTCGCTGCCGAATACGCTGTCCTCTACATCCTCCTCTGCTTCCGCTTTCAAGGGTTGGTTGAACAGGTCGTAAATCTCATCGGTTGCGGCGCGGGTATGCATAGTCATCGTCGGCTCCCTGGTACTCTTCCGTCGAACCTTGGAGTTGGTGGGCGAGTCGAATTTCATTTTTATGGTCTGGGTCTGGGTTTCTCCTTTGACCTTGAAACGTCGTGCCTTCCCAGGTTTTCCCTCGGAAGATGCATTCTGCTCCTGGTCTTGGTCATCAAATCCCGCTCTGAGATCAGGCTCTGATAGATCCTCATTAGGATTGGTTGCCTTGAGCTTTGAGACTGGAGATTCAAAGCCTCCGGCGTTTCCGGATATCTGTTGAAGGGGCTCTTTCTGAGCCCGCCAATTTTTGCTCATCCATCCCCGTTGCATAGCTCGAAGCTCCTCGAAGCTAATCTCATGGGCAGGGTTCTGGCGGTCAGGATACACTGCCTCCAAGTCGACAAAAACACGCTCTCGACGACCTGTTCGTGGATTTACCGCTTCCCTTACATGGTGTTCCGGAACGTGCTTGGGAGCACTCTTTTCTTGAGTTTCTTGATGTTGATTTGGATTTGACTACATATAATCGAAGCACATGGGTTCAAGCCAGTAATTAGTCCTGCGATCGTAAATATATGGAGGTCTGAAAAGGGATAAGCAACTTGACAATTGCAACTCACCTCGTCCCGGAAAATAGCCATCTTTTGTGTAGGCGCTGCCTTCTTCCCTGCCTTCAAAGTCTCCCCGGCCCACGGCTTTGCCTCCACTCTGTTTTCCTTCTTGCGCTCCTCCATTGATCCAATATTCTCCCATCCCTTTGTCCTTCCACTCGTGGCTGGTGGACTATCACTTGCTACACCGGCGTCCGAGAAAATAGCCATCTTTGGCTTTCCAGACTTCGTTTTTGGCGCACTGGCGGCTGAAGGGGAGGGGCGTGCCGCCTGAGGGTCCGTAGGACCATCCGCTGGTGCAAAGGGGTCCATTTTCGCAGCCAGCGCAGGTCGGACTTTCGGCAGAGCTGGTGATGACGGCCCAGCATCCTGTGGCTGCATCTCATATCGTTGCTGGAATTCGCTGTATTTTCGCAACAATCGCTCAACTGGCCGAGCCTCCCGGTCCACACCTAGCCTGTAAACTTCGTCGGCCTGGTTCCAACGCCCCGCACCTTCCAACCAAGCAGCAAATTCTTCATAGAAAAGCGCCAATCCTTCACCGATATGATGACGGGAGAGGAATGCGAATGTCTCTCTTGGTGCATCAGAGAACAATCTAATGTAGTGTAGCCACAATCGCAGATATCGTGGGTCATTCTTGTAGTCCGCTGATGAGAGGAAAGATTTTGTGGCGCGTTCGAGTAGTGGAAGCAGACCGGACTCGGGGGTTGCTTGGGCGGAGGGGTACGCGTTCAGGGTCCATTTAACATAGCGGTCGTAAACATCGAGGGGATCGTCTGATTCCGCAATCACTTGCAATTCGCTTTCGTATTCTTGACGAATGGCATCATTCAGTGTCCTTGTGTCGTTTGGTGTTGGCGATGCGTATTTGTCGCTGGTATTGCTCCCGCCTGAGAAAATCCGGGCGAGCTCTCGTGCTGATCTCCCACCTGGTAATGATTGGACGTTTTCCTTCTGGGCCTCGATAATGTCGAAATCGATCAAGTCGGAGGAGGTCGTCATCCTGCCGAGATCTTCGCCGGAAACCTCTTGGAGGTATCGACAAGGATTTGGTGTGTGTGCTGTCGAGTTGAGGTCAAAGAGGGGACTTGTGCTTTTGTTGCGAATTTGGTTATCGATAAACATCACATGACTGTTGCTGTGGTGACACACACGTGATACGATTCTACGTCCATCTCCTTACTGTCTGACAGATCCGATTCAATTAAAATCATTATTATCTTGTTAGACGAGTTTTTGTTGCAAAGAAGTGTGCTTTGACTGAATAACACATTGTTAAGGACTGGTTTCAGCAATTTGCATCAAATCAATTAGTGTCCAGCAAGGCTTGGCATTATTTGGACATCCTCTGGGTCGGCACATCCAATCAGAATCAGGACGCATTAGGTTTCTGGAACCAATACTTCAACCCGAGGACAACCATCCTCATCCTTTCAAGCAACCAGTGCATTATGTGTGAGTTTCATGAAGACGATGAGCCTCAAGCAGCCTCCGAAATCAAGGGCCACAAGAGAAACCTCAGCAACAGAACTGCGGATGCTTCTCCAGTGAGAAGATCGAAGCGGCAAAGATCAACCATCAACCTCAAGGAACAGTCTTCTTCAGACGAATCCGAGGAGGAGAACGACTTAAAGGTGACACTTGCAAAGTCTAAACAACCGAAAAAGTCTCGGGCCCCTTCATCCTCAAAGAAGGTCGAAAGTCCCGAAGCAAAAGCTGTTTCTGATGTCACGATTGTTTGTAAAGAGCCAACTGAGGTCAAAGCCGAAGGCGACGCTACAGCCAGCACCCAGAAGGCTAAGCCTACTCCCGCTAAGAGAGGAAAGAAGACCAAAGAGCAAAAAGAGCTCGAAGCTATGCCTCTTGCGCCACGTACACAGGGGTTGAAGATGTTTGTTGGTGCACATGTCAGTGCTGCAAAGGGCGTCTTCAACTCGATTCACAATAGCGAACACATTGGGCAAGTATCCAGTGAAACCGATAGCTTCGAGCATGGACTAATTGATGCTGCAGAGGTAATGCATTCGCGCTGTTTCTGAAATCTCAGCGGAAATGGGACAACCCGGCCCTTTTGGACGAGCATCGTGATCAGTTCCGCAAGCTATGCGAAGAGAAGGGATATGACGCAGCCAAGTAAGTAATCCAAGAATTCCAAATTGACTATATGTTTTAACATTATCAGGCACGTTCTCCCGCATGGGTCGTATCTAGTGAACCTTGCCCAGGGCGACAAGGCTAAAGCCAAGCAGGCCTATGACTCCTTCCTGGACGACCTTCGCCGGTGCGAAGCGCTTGGTATCAAGCTTTACAACTTCCAGTAGGCCCATTACGTTGACCACCGAATCACAAACGTAATTATACTTACACCTGACCAGTCCGGGAAGCACCAACCAAACTCCCCTCCCAGACGCCCTCTCTCGCTTAGCAAGCACTTTAACCAAAGCCATCAGCGAAACTTCAACTGTAATCCCAGTTCTGGAAACAATGTGCGGCCATGGGAACACAATCGGCGGCGCACTTTCCGAATTCAAGGACCTCCTCGCCCTGATCCCGAAAGAACACCACTCCCGCATCGGCATCTGCATTGACACTTGCCACAGCTTTGCAGCCGGGTACGATCTCGCCTCGCCAAAAGGCTTCAAGGCATTCCTCGACGAGTTCGAAAAGCTTATCGGTATCCAATTTCTGAAAGCGCTGCATCTGAACGACTCCAAGGCACCATTCGGCAGCAAGCGTGATTTGCATGCTAATATCGGAACCGGATTCCTGGGTCTCCGGGCTTTCCACAATGTGATGAATGAGCCACGGTTTGAAGGGCTACCCATGGTTTTGGAAACGCCCATTGACCGCACTGAAGGGGAAGTTGCGGATGAGGGAAGTGAGAGTGAGTCTGGCACAAAGAAAAAGGGCAAGAAGGCCAAGCGACTTACTGGTGCGTCGGCACCAACTGTTCAAGATCCTGGCGTTTGGGCTCGGGAGATCAAATTACTGGAGTCATTGATTGGAATGGATCCAGAAGGGGAAGAATTCAAAGCTCTTGAAGCGAAACTTTCTGAGCAGGGGCGAGAGACGCGTGAGAAACAACAGGAGCAGCATGATAGGAAAGTTGAGACGGAGAAGAAAAAAGAAGCCAAGGAAAAAGCGAAGGGTCAAAAGAGTTTGGTGGATATGATGAAGGGCGGGAAATAGTCAACAATGCTACCAAGGAAGTCGAGGATATCAGAAGACAGGTCTCGCTACCGGATATGTCCATCTTGACCAGCTGTCCAAGATGATCTGATCGGCAAGACAAAGTTTACAAATATTATCTAGTGACTCGGAGTTCTCATCCTGACCTGATTCTTGATTGTCTGTTGTGTTCTTGAAATACCGCATGTACAAACTGTATGTACGTAGTATATAGTAGGCCTTTTTTCAAATGAATAGGAGGACCATAGGTCCTCAAGAGAAAAGAAATTGAATTGTGGTATAGTCAATGGGCCGCTCTGTCATGAACCTAAAAATCGCCATGCAAGGATAAAAAATCCATCTTCAGACCAACCTAAGTGCTCATTGCTCCATAAAACCAAAGGCATCGCTTACATCAAATATTGGTAAACAAAAGACCCGAGTGTTGGATGACCAATTCGTAAGCCCCGAAGGTAAAACCCCACGAGGAACTGAAACAAGACAGGACCGGGCAAGTCACAATACAAAAAGCACCCATTCCAAGATGGCGTATAAATAGATCAGGTTTAGAAAAATAAGTATCAAGAATGAAGGTTGAAAAAGGCTAGTGATTCATAGGAGTGTGCTGCCGCACCGGCGAGATGGACGAAGTAGAGTGAACGCCTGGGGATGCCTCCCGATCAGACTCCTGGAGATGTGCGGGGAATGCCTCGGACATGGAGGTTATGGTTGGAGGGGCGGATTTGATGGGCGACCCCGGGCCGTCATTCTCAGGGATCGTGGACGTGGAAATCGTGAGCCCTTGCATAGCACCGCTAGCACGGACACGGAAAGAACGCCGCTGATCGCCTGCCAGTGAAGCATGCATGTCGTCGTTGAAATGATCTGCGGGGACAGCACTGATAAGACCCGGCTCGGGGTCCGCGACGCGGTGGTAATCACTGTTCTCTGCTCCACTGAGTTCCGTATCCTCGGTGTCAGAGTCTGGGCTACCCTCACGACTCCAGCTTTCCTGTGCTTCGCTGCGCATCCGGGAGATCTTCATATAGTTGTAGCATGCGATGCTGCCAATTGTAACAACAAGGCCAGTAACGTTGACGGGAGTTAATTTGTCATGGAAAATGATCCCCGCAGCACTGATGGTCACTACTTCCTTGAAGATACCGCAGATGCTCAGAGTAACCACCGAAGAGCGTTTGAGTAGAGCGAATTCAGATGAAATCATACAGAATGCCAGAATCCCCGGGAATACTAGCAGACCGGCTCCAACTGCCGTTCCATGTTGTTCAGCAAGTTTGAGGAATCCTTGGTGGATCTCGTTGGGACCCTCCACAGTGAGGGCAATGAAGATAAGAGAAAGAAACATCACGGGCGTGAGAAGGAAAAGAGTAGAGAAAGGGTTTGAGGTTGCCGGATGACGAAGTAGGAGAATCTGTGTAAGACCCCATCGGAAACCGGAAAAGAACGCGGAAGCAATAACGAGTGTGAAACCGAGCGCATTGAATGCTGTCTCGCCGGCAACCATCATAACAACACCGATTGTCATTGCGGCAATGACTACGATCAGTTTCACCGAGGGAGACTCAAGGCGGAAAAGGAAAGCAAAAAGAAGAACGAAGGCGAGTGCAGATGACTTGCACATTGTGAGGAAGGTGAGGGAGATGAACTTCAGCGACATGTTGCCTAGACCGACGTCAAGGGAGGTCGCTGCCCCGCAAGGAACGAGGCGCGTGAAGTAAAACAATTTGGTGAGTACCGGCTCCCTTTTGAGGTCCTCGACGGGTGAATTTGTGGCAGACTCCGGGGGATGACTCGGGCGCAAGGAGGGGAACAAGTATAGTAAAAGACTGGCGAGTGTGAATTGGACAGCCATGTGCAAGCTGGTGGTGAAAAGGGGATACGGAAAGACGACGTCGCTCTCAGAGAACATCCATTTGTTATACTATGATAGAGAAAGAGTAAGCTTCATTGAGTTTGGGAGATAAGGACTTTGGGATCAACTCACGATGGAAATGGATAACGAGAAGAAATACCACATAAGAATTAGACCTGCGTTAGCCATGAGTTTCTTGACAACATTGCGATCAGCCAGACCAAGCTGGAAGATGCCATTGGTGGATTTGGTGTCGGCGATGCGAGCATCCAGCTTGCGGCGTTGCCTGCGCCGTCGACGTCGCTGACGTTTCTGATGTGCTGTAAGACCAGTCTCCTCATCGTAGTGATCATCATCTGAACTAATGTCTATCTCGCGTGTATCCATCGCCGCTGCCGAGACATCCGACGTATCGGTATCCTCAGCCGTCAACGGCTCTTGTTCATCCCATTTGTATCTGTCGTCTCCTGGCCGGAGACTGTCATCCCTCCGGTCCGAAGAGCCCGGCTGGCCCGGTCGAGTCGCCCCTGTGAGCATCGAGCTTCGCCGTCGGTGGTGATTCGAGGCTGGTAACCCCATATTGAATTTTGGGTTTAAAAGCGGGAGGGGATGGGGAAGAGGAAAGCTGTGAGCCCCATGAGGGTGCGACCGGGAGAGTTCACACGACCCTTTATTGACGTGGGGGGAGCCTCGAATCAGGATTGAGGACAGGGGTGGATATCTCCCAGTGGATTTAGCGAATGTCGGAGAGTTATGTTGGAAGGTTGGGGAAAAAAAAGTAAAGGAATGAGGTGTTGGTAAAAGCGGTCACGGTGTCGAAAAAAAGAAAGTTGCTGAAGAAACAATCGAGATTGGCGGTGATGGATCGCACCCTTTTCGCCGGGTGTTTTTCTTTCTCCTCTTCCCACTTCATTTCAACCTCGCGCTATTACTGGTCGCCACAACTCCACCTTGGCCCAGCTCCACAGTCCGGTCGATCCGGGGTCCAAGGGGAAATGCACACCAAGGAAATGCAGGTCAGGCCTGCTCGCGTGCCATTGGCGGGTTACGACCTCCGACTTCCATCTCCTAGGGCGATCTCACTAGGATCAGATCGATATTCAACTTTATGTTGACAGGGCCCAATGAGAAAGCTGCTGCCCGAGCTCCCAAGCGTGAAGATGCTTTGAAAGAGCGAATGGGGGTTTTTGATCATCAACTCCGGGAGTTGGGGGCCGATCACCTCCCAAGGAGATCACGGCATTGATCGTCCAAACCCCCGCTTGAGAGAGCTTTTAGTTCTTCCATAATGATGATGTGTATCCCTCCGAGCTCAGGAACCCATTGATCGACCCTTATTGGCAGAGCCATTCTACATAAATAGGCATGACCTCAATTGGGAGCCATTATCATCATCATGTCGTTGCTTCCTAGAACATCCGGCCAGTATGTGCGATCATATATTATCTCCATGGTCGGGTAGAAGCCTTCTGGGCCAATTTCTCCCACTTCTGCATCCAGTCTTGCATGACATTGGTATCAGTACTTTTGAATATTACTTTTTCTTGAGACATCATTCCAGTGCTGTATCACCACCATCATAATGGCAGAGTACACGTATAATGCCATTGAGGACTATGGTCTGATTGGCGATATGCACACCTGTGCTTTGGTGAGCAAGGGTGGCAGCTTGGATTACATGTGTTGGCCGGTGTTTGATTCCCCTTCGGTCTTTTGTCGTCTCCTGGATGAAAAGAAAGGGGGATTCTGGTCCATTGAGCCACACAAGACGGTGATCGATGCCCATAGCAAGCAACGGTATCTGCCGTATTCGAACCTATTGGAAACCCGATGGACCAATGAGGATGGCGTTGTGACTATGCTGGACTTTTTCCCAGTCACGCCCAAGAGAAACGCTCAGTCAGGCCGACTCTTGGGAGGATACTGTCCATGCAACGACCCCGGAACCAACCGCTTCAAGTCGGGATTGCAGCATTCGGGCGTGATCAGAAGACTGGAATGCGGTCGTGGATCAATGGAGCTGCAAATAGAGCTCTTTCCTGCTTTCAACTATGCCCGAGATTCGCACAACACCCGCGCAAAACTAGAGAACGACATGTACAAGCATCGATTGCAGACGCTTCATTTTGAGAGTCTGACGGAGCGGTTGCAACTCGAAATCTTTGCGGACTGTCGGGAGCCAGAAAAACTCGGATACCCAAAGGCTAAAATGACTTTGGAAGAGCGACCAGGCTTGCAGGGCCGTGGGCTGGTGGCCTGGGTCCATTTGTCTGAGGGGCAGACTTTGCACTTTGTTCTGCATAGCCCCGAGAAAGCGGTGCCCAGTTCCGCCATGATGGCTGCGTACCTGGGCAGGATGGAAGAAGAAACGTCAGACTACTGGACAGAATGGACTCGCAAGTGTGCCTTTCGTGGCCACTACCGAGAGACCGTGGAGCGCAGTTTGTTGATTTTGAAGCTCCTCACCTACAAGCCCACGGGCGCGATTGTCGCTGCGCCCACCTTTTCGCTCCCAGAAAATGTGGGCGGCTCTCGTAATTGGGATTATCGCTATTCCTGGGTGCGAGACACAGCTTTTACCCTGTACGTCTTTTTGAAGATGGGATACAGCCGCGAGGCGGAATCCTACGTAAACTTTATCTTCGAACGAATCTTCCCACATGCGGCTCAGGATATTGAGCCGGGGAGCAAACGACCTTTCCTTCCGCTCATGTTCACTATCAGAGGCGAGTACGACATTCCCGAAGTGGAGCTAGAACATCTCGATGGGTACAGGGGAAGCAAGCCGGTTCGCATTGGCAACGCGGCTGTTTTCCACACTCAATTGGACATTTACGGCGAGCTCCTGGATAGCATCTATCTATACAACAAGCACGGGAATCCCATTACTTACGATCAGTGGTCTTCTATTCGACGCATGGTAAACTATGTGGTTAGTGTGCGAGGTCAGAAGGATATGTCAATTTGGGAATCTCGTGGTCAGATTCAGAACTTCATCTACTCTAAGGTTATGATGTGGGTGGCACTGGACCGTGGCATACGTCTTGCAGAAAAACGATCTAGTCTGCCATGTCCGGATCGTTTCAATTGGATTCAGGTTCGCGACGAGCTTTACGATGAGATTATGACCCGAGGATTCAATAATGAACGTCAACACTTCTGTCAGAGCTACGAAAGCCCGGACGTTCTTGATGCGTCCATTTTGATTGCTCCCTTGGTCTTCTTCGTGGCGCCGAACGATCCACGTTTCATCAACACCTTGAAAAGGATTCTGCTGAACCCAGAGAAGGAGGGTCTCTCCAGTGCCAAGATGGTGTTCCGATACGACCATGAGAAGGCTAATGACGGTATGTACTTTCCACCGCAGACGTTTGACTATTACTGATGCTCGTGTTTCACAGGTGTGGGTGGAGGCGAGGGTGCTTTTATTATGGTTACCTTCTGGCTTGTTGAGGCCATGGCCCGAGTTAGTGTCATCCTTCGTGTTACTACATCAAATAACCCCTCATTGACCCTTTGATGTATAGGCTGCCAAATACGATGTTCCGATTCCCAACATCTGGAAGCTGGCGCTCTCCCACTTTGACAATATCCTGTCATATGCGAACCACTTGGGAATGTTCTCAGAAGAAGTGGCTATTTCAGGCGAGCAGATGGGCAACACGCCTCAAGCATTCAGTCACCTGGCATGCGTTAGTGCGGCTATCAATCTGGAGAGATTGGGTGGTGATGATTACTGAGGGACATGGAGCGTAGTCCGATGAGAGCATTGCTGCTCACCCTTTTCAAAAAAAAAATTGCTACCCGCGATCTGTTGCTGCAATTATAGAGTCCACTTCAATTTATAAAATCATGAATGCCATGAATATTCCCTTTGATTTGCAAGATGCCCCGTATACGTGTTTGTATAGTTCGTGTTGAAACTTGTGGCGCTTACCTAAACCCCTTCTGATGATCCGCAGCGGAGCGATCCGTCAACTAACTCACTAGCTTATCGCTTCCCCAGACCCCTTCCTTCTCTCTCGCGCCGACACGACAGTTGACCGATGCGCTAGCTGTCGCTCAAGTCCGGAGCTCTTCCTCCATTAGTATCAGGATATGACTTTCCACCCCGCCATACCACTCGAACCTGTTATCACTGGAACATTCTCCTGATGGCGGATACCAGCTCCGATGGGGCTGATCGGCCACGCTCCGACGGGGCCTTATCATCCGACGAAGAAGACTTCGTTTCGAGCCAAAGCACTACCTCCGTGGATCCGGAAGCTTTAGTCAAGCGCCACCTCTCCTTGTTTCCGAAACTGACTTTGGAAGCGAATTCATGCGAAAGCTCGGACCAGAGCGCGACTCGGACGTCCACACCTGGCACTGCAGCCTCGGTCTACACCGCGTCAAGCTTCAAGCCAACAGCTAAGAGCCCGATGCAGCTTCTGGAATTGCCTCTGGATGTGCTGAAGGATATAATCAAAGAGGTATGACGCGTATTCTCTCGTTTTCTGACGGGCGCAAACTAACAGTTGTATTAACAGGTCACCCAGACAAATGATCTTACCTCCCTCGCCTTGACATGCTCAACACTTCATGGCTTGGCAGTGCCACACATGTATTCCCGGTTTGACATCGTCTGGCCTGAATCCTTGAATTCTTCAGGCGATGACTATTCGGGGGTGGATGCCTTGTCGTACGGGCTGTCGACTTTGGTAATGGGAGAAGACGTCTTTCACCATGCGCCGTTGGCAAGGTTCGATCGACCTTCAGATGACTGCTCCCATTGCGGATGCGATAAACCACATCATCGGACACACCAGGCAGGCACCAGTATCGGGCGATCTGTAGCTCGACGAGGGAATCATTATGCACAATACACCCGCACCTTTTCCATCGGAAATGGCCCCCTCAGCTGGGTCCAAGAGTACTCAGTGAATCGAGAGGTTGGGAAGATGCTGGGAACACTGGTCGCCTTGGCTGTGGCGCGGATGATCAATCTTGAGGCATTCATATGGGATATGCCGACAGGAGTGGTTCGAGAAATATGGCTTGCCCTTGCCTCCTTGGCCGACGGACACCATGATAAGTGTCGATTGGAACGCATTTGGGTGCGGTGGCATGATAACTCTGAGAATATTCAACGCGTGTCAGCAGCGCTGAGCGGTAACAGCCGTCTGCTCCAGAAGTACAAGCACGTCGAACACCCCTCGCTATCAGTGCTACCACCGCTCAAGAGTGTAGCCGTCCTCGATATAGATGAGACGGCTTATGTTGAGGAGCTTGCTGTTCTCATTGAACGCTCTCGTCATCGTCTGGTCGAGTTACGGATCGGCGTTGCATTGAAGGCCCACCTGTCTCCCTGGGTGGTTTGTGCCAAGGATACCGACCCAGTCACTGACTACAATCTAAGTTGGCCAAAGGCTGGTGGGGTTCTCAGCATTCTATCCAAGCGTGACTCTTTGCCTCAACCGGTAACATCTTTGCTGCCCTCGACTTGCGACCTGCTGCAGTTAGACGCGTCCACGGAAAACGACGTTAAGAGTGAGGATTATATTGCTCGGCAGGGGTCTAGTTCCCCATCGTCCATCGATCAGCAACCTTCTATCCATGCCAATGATAGCACAGCATCATCGCCACCAGGCTCGAAGAACCTTGCTCCTAAGGCAAGCGGTCCCATCTATGGTCCACCACACACCAGTGATGAAAAGCTGAACCTTGAGGTCCTGGAATTGGAACGAGTCCCTCTCTCCATACCGCATCTTCTACCTCAGCTTGACTGGACTCGCCTCACCACTCTCACTTTGATGCGTTGCGAGGAACATGAGAATCTATGGAGGGCTCTTCGCCGAAAGTATGCGCCACCTCAGCCGCCGCAGAAACGACCACAGAAAGGGGAAAGACGTCGATCAAGCCTGAGTCGGTACGACTACTCGCTCAATATTAAGCATCTGCGAACAGATACCGTCACCCCATACCTGATGCTTTTCATCAAAGATGCCCTCGCTCCGAATACTTTGGAAAGCGTTTACTTGCACGAAGCTCCAAACTTTGAATCAAACGTCAATATCGAAGCTATCTACCGCCACATACTTCGGAAGCATCGTTTGAGTCTCCGGAAGATTCTTGTTGATGCCTCCGAGCGAAATGGAAACGTCGACAGTCTGAGCACACGTTGGCACAAGTGGATGTTTAACCAGGAAATGGTGTCTTTTGTCACTAGTGGACGAATGCCCCAGCTGAGAGAGTTGGGGATGGCCATGCACTATCGCGATTGGGTAAGGAGGATATTTCTGTGATGAGTCGGAGAGCTCCAGGCTAATTTTGATTATTCCAGCACTATTTCCTGCAGAGGTTACCAAAAATGCCTCAGCTACGCGCATTGTACTTGCCTCGTATTAGCCACTCCGTTCACCGCGATCTGAAAGAGCTCGCCTTACAAGTTCTCGATATCGTTAGCATCCGCCCCGATCTGAAAATCACCTACATTGGTTTGCAATCAAAATGCTACCAGATTCTTGAAAAGAATGGCCCGAACAGCTCTACGGATTCGGATGGCACCCAATCTGTGAATTCCAACTTCCACTCTGGCAATGATGGCCTCGCCGCTTTTGACGACGAAACAATGGATACCAGTGACGACGATCAGGATATACCAGACAATCATGAGCTTCTTTCTGACTTTTCTGACGAATCTGATAGCGAGCTGGAGGAGAATGGCGCTAGTCGCGTTCATTTCAAGCTACAGGAAATTCTCTTCTACGATGATAAAATATCCATTTTCAAGGCACGTCATGGTGTGATTTGATGGCGTTCTCGATTCGACCTGACATGTCTGCTTCCTTTCTCGTTCTTGCTACATTTCTTCCATGTTTACCTGTTTCTATTTCCAGGCGTTTGGGGCAGGCTTTGATTTGGCGTTGAGCATGCGTTTTAAGGTTGCTACTTCTTTTAAGATACCACATGATCATAAGTTCGCATGAATGACATTATCAACCTATTGGCTTACTCTGTGCAATATTCAAGAGCCAACTCTTTGTTTATTTGCACCGGCTCGTAATACCATTGTGGGGCATTATCATCACAGTAAAAACCCACCATTTGTTTTCGCGACAATCTCATCATAGTAAGGCTGGAATGCCAACCATCCTTTCTCCGGTCCTCCAACTTGCTTCGACGTAAACTCCGCCTCCTCTTCATTGATGATCTTCCTCTTGTGACCACTACCTAGCTCAGCTGCATCAACAAGAAGCTGCGCATGACATGTTTTATCCAGACTGATAAACCAGAACGCCGCCTCATCAATACTTCCACCAACCTAGCAATGAACATCAGCACTTGTCCAGAAAGGCGAGAACTCAAGGTATAACTCACAGTAAGCAACCCATGGTTCTGCAAAATAACAGCCTTCCCATTCCCAAGCGCCGCTGTAATTCTTCTTCCCTCCTCCCGATCCAGAACCACGCCCCCAAACTCCGCGTAAACAGCATGGCTTTTATAAAAGCGCAATGAATCCTGCGTAATCATATCCAGCTCCCGACCAAAAGCACTGAATGCCTTCCCATGAACAGAGTGCGCGTGACACGCAGCATTGACCTCCGGTCGAGCCTTATGTATTTCTGAGTGGATAGCAAAGGCAGCTCCGTTGATAGGTTCGTCTCCCTCGACAACTTCCCCGTCTTCGTTCACCAGAATCAAGTCTGAGACTTTGATTAGAGCAAAATGCATGGATAATGGGTTCAGCCCTGGAGCGTATTGTTAGTATGAGCTATCGCTTGTTTTTAGCATTCCTTTCTGAGTGGGGTCAGGTCATACAAAAGTGATCTGTCAAGATGGGGTCTCGGACGGAGATATGTCCTGCGACACCCTCGTCAAACCCTCGATCGGCAAAGACGCGAAAAGCTGCAGCGAGGTGCTGTTTTCGGTAAAGTCTTTCTTCGAGAAGGGTGTCGAATTTAGGGTATGAGCGGATTTTGAGCTTTCGCCCATCTTTGGCTAGGCCGAGGGCACCTGATGCTGCGTTGGTGCGGTCTTCATTTAGAAGAACGGTAGCAGTAGGCGCCATATTGAAGTATGAGGCAGCTGATCTTCGGCTGATTGATATTAGCACAGACTTCCAAGGGTTATTAAATTTTCCAATTTTAGCTCGGCGAGTCTGTGGAGTTGAACTAGAAAGTGAGGGTACTAGTTCCTATATAGCTTGGCTTTATGTTCTTATTCTTTTGATGGATAATTATCCGAGTTGAATCGATTGTGCTTATTTTGATTCATTTCTATTGGCTTGTTCCGCTACTACTATGGCAGGTTGCGGGGTCCCGAGGTTATATTTCGGGTTCTCCGAATCTAGTTTCGAATTCATTTAATCTAAGGATATTATGACAGTTTGAACTTCGATCAATCAATGCATCGGTCATTCAATGACCATGATATCCCCTTAACTAGAGCTCAATGCATAGTTCGATTGTAATCAATTCTACGTGCGTCAGTACTAATGATTTGTCTGGGTGCGCCTGGTGGACTTCAACCATGAAACATTCAGAAAAAATCATTTGTAGATTTGCGAAGGCAAGAATAGTAAAACTGAGGCGGCATATGAATGGACAGGGGGACTTCACACGTCCGAAGCTCATTAGGCAGTGACGCAGCACAACGGCCATTCCCTTGTTCCCCAAGCTTCTCTCCTCTATCCACAACCCAATGATTTTGTGATCCAAGACTCCCCTTCACTTTGACTTCGAGCATCTTCATAAGCAATGGAGAACTATGCTGATTGCCTCCATCCTCCAGACCTTACCTCAGTTGGTACTCACTAACTCTTGCGAACAGGTACATGCTAACATCTTGATATCAGATAGTTAAGAAGGACGCCGCTCAGCCTACAAAAGATGAACTTGGTGAAGCGCTGGTGAGGAGTCGAAAGTACTGGTTTCATCTGGCATCACTGGCCTATGCCCAACGAGATCACGGGCTGGCTTCAGATGACATAGACCCGCGCCATGCACTGCACAGAGTCCCAAAATCCCTGGCACGGCCCAAGGAGGTCCTCGGCTGCGCGTCCAGGACTTGTTCTAAGTTCGATCGCTGGGTAGACGCCTCTTCTACCTGGAAAGTGTCAGGTGCGAACTGCGATGGACTCGTAAGAGAAGTGTCAAGGTGGGCCAGGTTACAACTCGGCGTTAGTCGCTCTCTGCAATTGAAACTCGACGGAGAGGTATTTAGCTCGTGGAATGGGACCACGGAGGAGAAAAGCACTGGTCCCAATTATTTGGGAATCCTCACTCTTGGATGGTGCTATGTCCTTTCTGCACGCCTCCTGGAACTGAGGGGAGAGGATGCTTACATGCGATACACAGAGACCAAGACGGAATGCAATAGCTATACTTTCTTGGAAAACTCAAGTTCGCATCTTGTTGACATTGGAGAAGTGGGCGAAGATGTCGCTCGCTGGTGGTCCGCGATACTTGCTCCAGGCGAAGGCTGGGAAGCCTTTGTGACTGGAAAGCCTGAAGAGTCTCTCGCTCGGTGGTGCGTTGAACGCATATGTGAAACGTCCTTTTCCATCACGTATTCGACACTTACGCCAAGTTCACCTACCTCGCCTCTATCTTCAAAACGAGCCTTTGAAGCGCTTGCTGAGTTTGCGCTTTTACATGAGCTAGGCAGCCAATTTCCTATTGCGCTAGCAACTGCTTTAACATTTCCGTTGTATCGATATTATGCCCTGACTCCTCGCCTACCACTCCCGAGAGCATCATATGGGAAGAAGTCAACCTCTCCTATTGGGAGTTTGCCGCAAATGTGGCTGAATCTTTTCGAAGACCTACCTTATTACATGACTTTGAGCTGTGACCCGGAATTGATGATGGCGACTTTCTGTGGGTCCTTTTGGGAACCCGGGGTTCCTTGCAATATGGTTAGCCCATGGCTTCATCCGGCTCTAAAGGAAGTCCTCGCTGGAGAGTCAGCAGAGGACCAGGAAATTCTTGCTTTAATGTGCGCAATCCGTCGTCCAAGTATAAGTGCTCTTTGGCTTGGAGCTGCGATCGGCGGCTTAGGTCCATGGATTCTCCGAAATGTCAAAGGGGGACACTCTCCCATGCATCCAAATGGCTTTGCCTGGACTGGCTCCCTGCAAAGCTTCATGGACATTACTGGCTCGGGTCCTTACACTTGTCAAACCCCTGAATACATACAGAGGCAAGATACCTGGCGCTTGCTCCACCTCCCGACAATCGAAAATGATGACTTGCACTTCGACATTAGACCACTCGGCGGGCCGTGGGCACCCTGTGGGATATCTCCAATCAAACATTGTGCGCTTCGGGTTAGGTCACACCTTGCATGCAGTCGACATGAATACCAATATGATCACTGGAGCTGGGAGCTTGAGGATGGCGTTTTTATCAAGGACTACGGTTTTTCAAGAGACCTTCCTCCATCCAATCCCAAGAGCCTATGTGCTACGTTTGACATAGAAGCGCCCATGTTTTTTGAAGAAAAAGAGTTTGATGTTGCTCAAGAGGCTTCAGAAACAGCTTCAAGGCAGATATTCCATTTTTTTTTGTCAACGGGGAGGGTCTACCGCCTGAAGAGATCTACCATGATGAATGGATCAAACCCACATGGGCCGACGAAGAGAGTGAATATGGGGGTGATGAAGTTGATGATCAAAAATCCGAAAGGTCTGACAGTGGACTTCAGGATCAAGTTCAGTGTTGGCTCGATTCAACTATTCATAGTACTCTCGTAGACGAGCTTTGAAATACAGATTGACTTACTCCTTCGAGGCCAGATGGCTAGCCTTCATGACGAAACTAAATAAGTAAGCCCATGATCCTTTGAGGTATGTTATATGCGTTGCTTGTTGAATTGCAATAGTCATCTAGAAATAGCTTGATAGAATCCATTGGCTCAACAGCAGATAGACAAAGATAGAGGCAGAACGTTTCTCGACAACCACATCTTCAAGGTACCTAAGTAGGTGAAGGTGACAACATTATTTCAGGATAGCCTTGAAAAGTTCGAGAGTGTTTTTGATAAATATAAGCATTCATAATTATATGATTGTTTCAGCTCATATTCCGGTATGGCCCGTTTATTATTTGCCAAGTCGCATTCAAGAGAAGGAATAATTGGGCTAAGTCGGAATCCGTCTATCCCCGTCGCCCAAATATCTTGGGATAAATGCACAGAAGAAGTAATACAAGTGGCACCCTCGCGTTGGAAATGCACGATTTCCTCAATTAAATACATGCTGCAACCAGCTCGCATAAGCATCCCTAAACGGCGATTTGCTATCCGCCAAGAAAATCCGGTGAGCAAGTCAATCAAGCTAAGCTAGCTAGTAGATCTGGAATAAATTGCTTGCGATAGAAGTCTTATTTTGACTTTCAGAATTTCCATCGCATGCAGCTTAAGATGCGATCGAAGCTAGGCCGATTCACCATGTCAGCATTGCATCACTAGAGGACCCTAGAGTTTTTAAAAAAAAAAACTTTCATACCAAGCCTTACTTATTTCTAGGGAGAGCTAGGAGCTCCTTATTAGAAGAAAACACAACTAGTGGAAATGCATGCCCCCAAAACTAGAGTGGTAGCGGGCGGAAGGTTCACTAGTGAAAAAGCGGAGACGAAAGCCACCCCAGATGAATTGTGACGGGTCCTCCTTGCATGATAGATCAACTTGCAGTGACGCAGCCAGTAATCATCACGGTGATCACCTCGCCTAGCCCCATAACTTGCCACGCCCGCTCTCCCCACCTCGCAAATTTGTAGGGATTCCATCTCTCAACCAGAATGGAGACCGACACCAATGAACCTCTATATACCCGAATTTGACCAAAACAAACAATTTTGAACCGAACGAACGAACCGGATCTGAGCGAAACTGAGTAGATTGACGGCAAAATGCCTCATTCTCGAACTACTACATCCTCGACAATCGAGGCAACACCGGCGCCCGATTTCCAAAGAAACCCGACCTCAGACTCGAGCACGCGATCACAGAAACGAGGCTCCAAAATGAGATCCTCCTTCCAAAGGACCCAAAGCCGGAACGATGAGTGGTCTCAAGGCCCAGATGGAGGATCGGGCTTCAGCTTTGTAGGCTGGTTCCGATCCCTACGCTCGAAAAGAAAGGAGGGCAAAATGGATGACTTGGACACGCAGAACAGCGGTGTCGGGTCACGGAGTGACTCTCCTCCTCGGCTTCCCGAGCTGGGTCTCGATGGCACGAGGTTGGAGCTGCTAGCTGAGGAGACGGGATTTTCCGAAGTGGGACCGGAGAGACACGAGCTTTGAACATTCGTTCAGGGGGGAATAGCGGTGAAGAAGCTCTGATTTTTTGGAGCTTGTTGGTTTTATTTTGTTTTCGACTAGGTCTCGGCGAGATCGGATACCAATTGTGGATCTCTGTTTTTTTGCTAGGAACGTCTGGAATGAGTGGCTGGGAACAGCACCTGGGAAGTTAAGATGGATCGCTGGTTTGTGTCTGATTTTACATGTTTGACCTGGTCAACAACATGAGATGGAACTTCAGACTACGTTTTTATAGGCTGGAGCCTTCATGAGATTTCAATTGCAGCTTCAATTTTGGTGTGGATTTTCCAATTTGTTATCTGCGGTCGCAAGTGGAGATCGATTATTATGTATAGCGCCATCTCTAATGTCTTGCAATATTTACCTATGCACCAAATATCTTCCGATTATTGCCTTGCCGAGTAGAGCGGATGTCAACATGAAGATAGACCTGCACTCGTAGCCTGCAAGAAAGATCTATAAATTGACCATTTATGCAAATCAGACATGGTATACTTTCCTGTCTCAAAGCAAGCTTCACCTTGAGAGACTCCGCAACCGGTTAAAAGTAGGTGACCATTTCTGCCCGACCTTTAACTCAGCCCAGCAGTTCGGATTAGCATCTCCAGAGCAACGAAGACATAGTCTCGGAAGCGTGGCCAATAGAACACTCCGACAATATGCTGTTAAGACAAGATTGGTATAGGCGGCGCCCCACAGTCTTGATATGGTAAAAGCCTCCACTCTGTCTTGCGCTGGCGTGGGAGCCTAGAAATGCCTCTTTTGGTTAAGGACGTGTTCTGAGCCCTGCTGAGTTCCTACCCAGGGAACCCGTTGTATCAGTAACTCTTGTGGTCAGATTGCCGGGGCGAGACTAGTGTTACAATTTGATGAAGCAAAAGGTTCTATTCAACGTTTGTGGAAGAAGAAGAATTACAGTAATGCAAGGTTCTCTCTGCGGCTAGTGCCGTCATTCATTTGCTTCCATTCCATAAGCCAATATGTTCATGTCTCAATTGAGATGACTTTGAAACAATCATAATTTACCTCCGCAACTCAACCACAATAGCCTCAGTCGAAGGTATATCCAGATTCATATACCCACTCCTCGGATAAACAGACCAAGATTGCTGCTCACCGAACTGCCCAAGCCGTCCATCAGTAGTATAGTTCCAACTATATCCACCCCAGGTAATACCAGTATCAGAACCAGCCCCTGGCCCAGACAACCTCATAATTTCACCCGAGTGCACACCCCGTGGCACACTGAGAGAAACCTTTCGAGTGGGACGCGTATAGCTTGTTGTAGTGTTCCACTCATTTAGATTAATAACGACATACCGAGACAACACACCCGACTCATACACAGCATATGCGGACAAATCCCACAGACCGAGATCCAATGATTTGACTTGCACGTTGTCGTGACGACCAATTACGTCTGCAGCCACGAGCTGACCGTAAAGTGGTGGTCTAACTCCGGGAGTTTGTCCGTTGTATTCCACTGGGACCCAGGCTGTGTATCCGAAAGTTGTTCCTTGGATAAGATTGAAGCGGCTGATACTCTGCAGATTGATTAGCTCTCCTTACTCTGTTGTATTTGATGAAGGGGGGTCTGGCTTACCAAGCTCATGCCATAGAGTAGGTAATCGAGCAGCCAGAGTGAGCTACCAAAAACTCCTTCCACTTGCGCCATGTCTAGGTTCACGTAGTCGCTGTTTGTCTCGCCTAGCAGGAATGTGATACTTGGATCGGCGTCATGTGTTGCTTTCATATCGGGGATATATTGACTTAGGTTCCCAGTGATAGCGGTGTGGTTCATGAAGGAGTCTGACTAAATGAGATACTACTTCTTTCTGGTTTGGATATGAACTTACTTTGTAGTCGGACCCATGCCTGGTTTCCAGCTGCGTATCTATAGCCATTCAGTAGGCGCACGTGTGAAAATTGATTCGTAGTTTGACAAGGCATACTGGTGTAGAGAAACAGTCTTGACATGGCCAGACTTATCAATCCCATCCTGGAACGCCTTGGCCCTGTATTGGATTAGTGATACGCACAAATCAGCCTTAGAATTTTGAAACTCACGTAGAAAACCCATCACCCTTATCCACAAAGGTCAAAGCCTGAAAAAGCTTCCAATAATCTAAGCCATAAGAGTTCCCACGCAAAACCTCCTCAGAGATTGCATCAGCAAACCCTGTCCATTCCCGGACATAGTCTGCCGTGGAGTAATTTAACGGCCGCACGGCACCAGGATACAAGTCAGGCTCATTCCCAACTTCAAACGCCACCAAGTTCTCCTTAATATGTCTCAAAGCAACTCGTGCCTCTGAGAGGGCATTTTCCAAGGCGTCGCTCTTGTTATTTGCGAGATTAACTTGGAAAGTCCAGGGAACACCGGGGAAACTCTCAAATCCTTCGAAAAACGTTGGACCAACGTAGACTTCCAGTGGAATTCCATTGGAGTATTCAGAGGATAGAATGATGGACTCCATCTGTGAGGCATTGTAGATGGCTCGGTCGCTATGGTGGCTGTTAGAGATTGGTACCCTGCTTTGTGACTGGAAACTGCTCACGCTGATGTACCGCCAACACGAATGTGGGGATATGCGCCTGTCTTCTGATGTAGAAGCTCGATTATATCACGGGAGAATATGTTAGGGCTGCTTTTGTTGCCTAGAATAAGTCAGGGTGAGTTCATTTGAGAATGTAAGCTGAACATACCGGCATATTCTGCAAAAAAATGGATAGGTATTGAAATGGAGGCAAAGTCGTGCGCCACTGGCTGAGAAGTATCTGCGGGTACACTTGAAGGGGCATGTATCTTGATGTTTTGGCTCGTGGCGATGGCAGCAACGGCTGGAATGTATACAGCCCAAATTGCCTGAGAGAAACGCATGTTGAAGAGTTACAGATTTGAAATACGACAGATCCGTTTTTTTTTCAATGCGATTATATCCATTTGGACGAATGCTTGACTTGTTACTTTTATACCTTTCTTCTCCGCATTGTTTACCCCAGACTATATTGTCAAATCGGGCACTAAGATGGTGCAATGGGCTTTAGGTTCTCGCATCGCGATCCGACTTTCGCACGGAACTCGGCTCGGGTGTCGCCTAATATTGTTCAAGGTAAGATAAAAAACAAGCAACCTTGGAATGAATGTCTACGTAAGACAACTGCTTCGAGGTAGATTATATATTCATGAGTCATATTCCCCTTTCCATGCTACCTAATGATCATATACAAATTGCTTCGCTATCCCGCAAATCCTAAAATGCTAAAATCTAAACACCAACAAAGTTAAACAGCTCCATGATGAGGGCTAAGCACCTCTCGCTCCAAGAGCTCTGCTTCAATAGCAGTTCGGCGGGCCTTCTCATACTCACTCGAGTTATCTTTGAAGACATGGTCCATCTGTTCAAGTGTACGGCCCTTTGTCTCGGGCACGAAGTAGTAAGTCCAAACACCCGAAAGCAAACAGAAGACGCCGAAGAAAACATAAGTGCCGTAGCCGGTGTCTTCAACCAGCGGGGGAGTGATAAGGCCGATAATGAAGTTGTTCAGCCAATTGGAGCAGGTGGCTAGGGCGACACCCTTTGCACGAAGAGAGGAGGGGAAAATTTCGGATGGGATTGCCCAGGGAATTGGACCCCAGGAGGCGCCGAATGCAACCATGTAGAATAGTAAGAAGGCCGCACTAACCCATCCTTGAGCTTGGTGTGATGGCCAGTCAGAACTGTAGAGACCGACCAGGACTGCGATGATGATCATCGCGATGGCCATGAGGACGGATCCCATCATCAACAGCTTACGGCGACCGATGGTGTCCATTGTGAAGATACTGGTCGTCACACCGACCAGCTGCAGGACGTTAAGAACACCAGACATGACAAGTTGCATACTTGTGTCCAGGCCCATGGTGCCGAATAGGGTGGGAGAGTAGTAGATGAGAGCATTGATGCCCACAAACTATATATATATTAGCATTGCAATTCAGATTCTGGAGGAGAACGGCAATTTACCTGTTGGAAAAAGCAAATCATGACACCGACGTGGGTTCGTCGCCAGCAACCTTTCTTAAAGCAATCGGCCCAAGAAGCAAGCTCCAGGAGAAAAGAATCCTTGGTACTTCCACTCTGCAAATTGGGATGCTTCTCAGCGTTCATTTCCTGGTGGAATTGCACTTCCGCTTGGATATCCATGAGTTCCTGGCGAATGCGACGGTCTGTGGCAGGAAGATTGCGCAGTTTGCATAGACTCTGTAAGGCTTCTTCGTTGCGACCCTTGGAGGCAAGCCATCGGGGCGAGAATGGGAGCAACATCACACCGCCGACAAGAATAAATCCGGGAACCATCTGCAACAGAAAAGGGAGACGCCACGCCCATTCTCCCGCCATATACCGGGTACCATATGTGATCCAGTACGCGATAACGATACCGAGAACAATACACCATTCTTCAAGAACGAGCAGTGTTCCACGACATTCCGGGGGACCTGGTAAAGGGAAAAAATGTTAGTTCTCTCACTATTCCTCAAGTCTAAGAAGACCAATCATCAGCGGGGAAATCACGTACTAATCTCGGAGATATACAATGGTGCAACCATGGACAGCATGCCAATGCCCACACCACCAATCAAGCGAGCCACAACCAGCATGGAATATTCCACGGCAGCGGTCTGCAAGATGGATCCAACGGTGAAAATCGCAACGGCAACCAAGATCGAGTAGCGTCGTGAGATCATATCAGCGATCCAACCCTGATTTAATGCGCCAAGCAGTGCACCCAATTCAATCATGGCAGTCAGTAGACCCTTCCAGAATCCCGCACCCGAGCCTGCGACTTGCGGAAATTCTTCTAGGAATTGATCCATCACCAAGATGACAGACACGACACCTTGATCATAACCGAAAATCAAACCACCTAGTGTTGAGCATGCTGCACACATCAACACGAATGGGTTACTCGCCAGTCCCCGCAGACCGGGGGGGCCATATGGTTCCCGCTCCGCTGTGATGTCCTCTGCATGGTGAGAGAAGCCCTCGATAGTACCACCATCAGGAGAGAAGGTCTTGGAGAGTTCCGGCTTGTCTGTCATTTCTTGAGATGGGAACTATAAGTAAGGGAAGAGGGATTGGCCTCTGGATGACCTTTTTGAGAAGAGTGAATGCCACTGGCTCTGGAATGCTACTGGAATGAGCCAAGAAGGACTCTCCCGCACATATTTATACAAAATTCTGGTTACGCTGGTCCTCCTATCAGGTACCACCCCCTCATTTTCCAGACCTCTAAAAGGCTGTTTCATGATTGGACGGGTAAGCCAAAGGCCGAAGCTGGTTTGCGGGGCCCCATGTCGGGGGTTTTGGTGCGCGATGACGGCAATGAGCGGGTCAATGGTTGGGCCAACGGTGCTAGAACCATATGGGGGAAATACGGGGTTGATCAGCGACTAGATTTAAGCGTGGGGTAGCTTGCGGTGCTAATCGCGTGAGACCGATTCGAGTTAAGGAGCGGCTATTGGATAAAGTCAAAAACTTGGCTTGTGGTTGGATGGGCATTGCGGGTCGGTTGAAGGAACCGGGAATTCCCTGTTCATTAGGTTACACTTCTTTTCATTGACTATATCCCGCGTGTGGTCCACGATACTTGGAAAGGTTCCATGATTCATAGACAACTATTTAGAAGATTCTAGAGTACTTTGTTACGGTCATGGAATATCAGGGAGTGAATGGGTGGATGTTTCCGGCAGCTTCGAATCCTTGTCTAATCTCGGCCTCACGCCGAAACTCTTTCTTGCCCAGACCAATCCAATCCTTGTAAGGTTCTTGCTTAAAATTCCCCTGCAGGTCAGAAGGGCTATACGAATATCCGGTCACGTAGCCTTGGCCCGCACAGAAGTATGATGGAATCCCACGACAAAGCGGCTGACGAATATTCGCATATGATCGAATATGACAAAGATGTATATAACTGAGCATCTGCGCTGAGTGGATTAGAGACCCCCATGGGGTAGTGATATGAACGACCCGATTTTAATATTGTTCCATCTTGCCCCTCTTCCTTTCCGCCTTTCGGGTGGATCATTCTGCTTATTCTCAACCTCGGAACACGCAGCCCGAACTTCTTCAGTTCCCGCCTCATTTACGGATTCCAGTTTCCGCAACGACGTCACTACATTACACCACGCGCCTCTAAACATTATACCACCATGGCTTCGTTCGTGGAAGAGCTGTGGTCGAGCGTCTTCACGCCGGGCCCCACACCGACACTGTTGATCGCAACCAACGTCACCTTTGCAGCACTCCAGTTCGTCTTCTTCGTCCTCCTCCTAGCCACCCATAGCATCCACTTCGTCGTCCTTTCCTTCCTGAGCGCCGGGCTGTGGTACTCCATCAACTGGTTCGCGCAGGAAGTCAGCGCCGTGCAGCGAGCACAGGAAGCCGAGAAGAAAGCACAGGCCGAGGCAGAGACAACTGGGTCCGATAGGAAGAAGGATTCCGTGGACAGCGCCGACAGTGAGACAGAGACCGAATCCCTGTCTGGCCAGAAGCCCACCGCCGTCGCAACCGGCAGGGCTGCGTCAGCGAGACTCCAGCCGACCGACGAGGATCCCAAGAAGCGTGTCAGTGCAGGCGGCGACAGCTCTGGATACGGCAGCACCGATAGCGAGTGGGAGAAGGTGGAGGAAAACTAGACGAATGATCGGATGATGTCGTATCTGTTGGGATCTTGGAATGATCTACAATCTGGTTTCGATGCGGTCCTCGGATGAGGCCCTTTTTATTTATGTTTTGTTTATCCTCTACGGACTTTGATGTCCGAGGTGACACGATACCCCCTGTCATAAGTTCAGCGTTGCACCCGATTTAAGTTGTCGCACAGTGTTTGTTGTGTTTTGGCGTTATTGTTCCTCCACATCAGGTCATGAGCCAACCTCACGCTCTTTAGCATCCACATCCAGCGATTTAGAGTAAATAAAGCTTGCAGATCAAGTTTGCTTTATAGCATCCGAAACAATACATGCCTTCCAAGCTTTATGATACTGAGTTGAAAGTTAAAGAACGTAGCTTGAAACATCTTGTCAAAGAATGAGGCTCACGTGATCACGCGACGGCCATTATGGCGTCCCAAACTCCCATTCAACAAAACAGCTTGCCATCTCGGCCTGGTCTGGTTTAACTCTAGATCTTACACCTCACAATGCTGAAGTTACCATGAACACCATGTCATCCACAAATCCCCTCAGTGCGGGATGCCGACGCGTATTTGGCTCCGTCTTCTCACCCGCGTCACTCGAAGCTCGGCCACCACTCGCATGCAGCTCCGACGAGCAGACCCCGATCGCCTCCTTTCATTCCACCTCAACGGTTCAAAACGAGTCCTTTGGATCGGTTTACCAGCCGTCGAATAACGCGTCAGACCGACAAACATCGGACCAAGCCTGGGCTGCCGCGAAGGCCTTTCTGTGTGTACCGGACCGAGGGTTTGCGCCCATTTACGATTTCAGAAACACCGATGGAAGCGAACTTTTAAAGGAATGGAATCGGCTCAGTCCTCCTTCAAAGGAGACTGGGGAGGCATTGGCGTACTTGACTGCTGCGGCGCAACATCGACAATCGACTCAAAAGAATCTGTTTGATTGGTACCGCGATGAGATACAGAGGCATTTCCTCAAAAACCTGCGGACCGGGCTCTTTAAAGTATGACCATGCTTGCTATCGTATGGTCTTTTGCAATGCTAACTGGGAAATAGCTTCTCGGCAGTTCTGAGAAGGAGGGCCTGTTAAGGACCATTGTGGACTGTTTGCAGTTGGCCCGCCGAATCTACTTTGCACCGATCGTGCACTATGTGATGCCGCTCATGGGAAAACCCCACCAAGGGCGCGTTTTAATTGGAATGCAAGCAATCCTCCATGCAGTCGTTACATACTCCTTGCCTTGGGAAGACATCTCAACCCTTCTGGCTAGCGACTTATCACGAGATGCGCTTGTTATCCTAGGCATTGATACGCTGGTCGAGGATTCAAGCCCAGAGAATGCCAGTCATGATGATATGGAGGTAGATCGACAGTACTCGGTCTCATATGAGGACTGGAAACAAAGCGACTCAGACACTCGTGCACATATAATGACCGAGGGAGAGCCCCAGTCCGTGACTCAGGCTCGCGATCAGCTTTTAGCCTTCTTGAATGGCCTTCAACAGGTGGGACTAGGTGGTGATAGGGCCCAGAAAGTGTTTGCAAGTGTAATGAATACAATGTTGACCGAGTTCGTGCGCGCAGCATACACTGGCGCGGCTTACAATGGTCGGTGGGAGAGGCCGACGTCAGTTGCCCAACATTTGAAACACTGGGTCGAAAACATCTTCGCTCGGCTTGCAGTACAAGCGTTGGCTCTTATTCGCATGCCTCCCGTTGGTAAACCGTCGGCGGGCGAGCTGGAAGTCAGCTTTAGGGACGTGGAAAAGTGGCAGGAGATCGCCATTGCCCGATTGGGTGCTCTTCGGACTAGTGAGCTTTTCGATGTGATTGTGGAATGGCCTGTCAGCTCTGGTGCCATTGAGGATCTACGTCACTTTACGACGCATCCCAACGCAAGAGCACATGTCACACAGTCATTCATTGCCACCCTTAATCAGCGCCTTTTACACCCTGGCGCCTCCACGGTTCAGATTCTTCAGCTGTACATCTCGATCATTCGAGCTTTCCACCTGTTGGACCCGAAAGGTGTGCTCCTTGATCGAATCGCTCGACCCATTCGACGGTATTTAAGGGAACGTGAAGATACTGTGAGAGTGATTGTCAGTGGCCTACTGGCAGAGCCATCCGCCACTGCAGCCACCGAGGCATCGTCACTGTCATCGGGCGATACCCTAGCAGAGCTGGCGACGGAGTTGACCAGAGCGCACCAGCTCTCCATGAACCAAACCGATAGCGAGCTTGATTGGAATGACATGAACTGGATGCCCGATCCAGTTGATGCCGCACCCGATTATCGAAAGGCCAAAAGCTCAGATGTCATTGACAGTCTTGTTAGCCTATTCGACTCGAAAGAAACCTTCGTCAAAGAATTGCAAACTCTTTTGGGCGATCGTCTTTTACAGAAACGCGAGGATTACGATCAAGAGATATCGGTTCTCGAACTTCTCAAAGTGCGCTTCGGCGACTCGGCTCTACAGGCGTGCGAGGTCATGCTTCGCGATATTTCTGACTCTCGTCGTGTCGATGTCGTCGTACGTAACGACCAAGGATTTAACAAACCTCCCTCGCGCATGACTTCAAAACGACTTCCAAGACGGGATATCCCAGAGCTTCATACCAAGATCTTGTCCCGCTTCTTCTGGCCTGAGATCCAAGATCAGGAATTCAAAGTCCCCCAAGAGATTCTCTCCCTACAAGAGAAATATTCCGAGGGCTTTGAGGCTCTCAAACAGTCTCGCAAGCTGACATGGCGTAACGGCCTCGGTCAAGTAACCGTTGAATTAGAGTTGGGCGATCGTTCATTCGCGGATGAAGTCACAACCTGGCAAGCCACAGTCATCTATGCCTTCCAAGACGAGTCCGACGAGCCCGTTACAAGAACCGCAGCTGAACTCGCCGAAACATTAGAGATGGCTGCTCCTCTTGTCCGCAGCGCTTGTCTATTCTGGGTTAGCAAGCGTATCCTCACAGAAGTCCATCGCGACAGCTTCCGAGTCCTCGAATACCTTCCCACGGACGAGGGACACGGTGCGGGAGGTGAGACTGGCTCGGTGGCCGGAGACGACGGTCAATCTGGTGACGCAGAAAATGCTGCTGCCGCTGCAGAAGCTGCGGCCGCCGCCGCCGCTAAAGAAACAGCTGAGGCGGCCGCTATGGAGAAGATGAACCTGTACTGGCAATTCATTGTTGGAATGCTTACCAACCAAGGCTCTATGCCTCTCCAGCGTATTGTGATGATGTTATCGATTGTGGTTCCTGGAGGATTCCCCTTTAGCCATGAGGAGCTACGTGAGTTCTTGGCTGGGATGGTGTCAAAGGGGAAACTGGAGATTGTGAGTGGTGGTAGTTACAAGCTTTTGCATTAGGACAGGAGCAGTCTAGCATTTGGTCTGGCGTTGCTGGTGGTTTTCTTATACCCATGAATAATGAACTATCGTTTCAAATATCACCCGTGTCAAACCGATACCACATTAGGCAAAAGGAAGTGGACAAAATAAGAGACATAAAGGTATCATTCCAAAATTCAGATATCTACAAATAATTATCATCACACATAAGATCACCCGTGCCTAAGCAAGAGACGCCAAGTTTCAAACAAACACTTGAGCATCCAATGTTTACTCCGCATCAAGAGGCGCAACAGGGGCCTGGTCATCAACCTGAATACCACCTCTCTTCTTCTCATTAGAGTCCCAGAACGGCAACTTCCACCCGCCCTCACTCTCAGGTGTCGCAAGCCACAACCGCATGAGGTGACGACGAGGCGCAGGAGGGGCAAAATCCGTGTAAGAAGTACGAGCATGCAAGATATGCGAGTTGGCCAGGAACTGGATGTCGCCGACATCCAAAATCATGTGCAAAGAAAGTCTGTTACAGGTATCCTCGAGGACCTGGATAGCGTCGAGCTGGGCATCGCTGAGTGGGGGAATGATGCCCGCATCGGAGAAGCGGGTCAACGAGCGGACGTAGTAAGGGTCCCATCTGAAAGAACAATGTTAGTATGTTTCATGTAGCAATGGTGATTTGGCTCTTACTTGGTGTATACACGGCCGTTCTCGCCGCGCTCAAGGTACACGACGCTAGTCCGGATGAACTCTTTCTCGCCTTTGCTTGTCTCGCCCTTTCGGTCGAAATACCAGATTGGCTCGGTAAGAGTCTTTAGGACGTCGGGGCGCTCAACGGCGAGTGTGTTGTAGACATTGTGCGAGGAGACGAGGTCTGATTCGCCGCCTTCCATTGCCTTGGTGATGCACAGTAGGCCGACGATATCGGAGTCATCGGCATGGAAGAATTGGCTGAAGTATACATTAGCGCCTGATTATGTCTGTGTAACGCAGCGCAGCTTACCGAGCATTTGTACGGTAGATGCGGACCTTGTCGATCTGAGTGGAGTCCTCGCCGAGATCCTTGACGTGGCCAAGTACATGGCCGCGACTGTTCTGGCTCACGAAATAGCCGAGGTAAGTACCCAGACCCATGTAGGCGACAGCCGACTTGTGGTTACCCCATAGCTGGACGGGGAAGCCCTTGAAAAGGATGAATCCCTTTCCGTCAATGAGGTCGAGACGGAGTTTCTCTAGGTATGGAGCTAGGACTGGCACGCGGAAGTTGTTCTGGGGTGGTGGTTAATTGTATGCATGTATACGATTCTAGGCGTAGCACGGACCTTGGTAATACCAGTGAGCGGGGTTTTGGATGCGAGGAAAGCATCGGCCGCATTGCTCAGCTCTTCAATTTGGTCTGCGGTAAACTGATGTGTCCATTTCTCTGGCTTCGAGCGATATTCCTCTGGATTCCACACGGTAGGACCGGTGATCTGCTTAGGGAACTTCTCGAATGGTAGGATATGCTCGTAAAGAGGATCGTGCTGACCGGTTGTTCTCAGTCCATCTGGAAAGATATGGAGGGGAGCTTCCTTGACGAGATTGTGCGGCGCGGTGGGCGCAGATGCGGTGGCAGCGGGAGCCATGATGGATGATGCTTTTCGGAAGTAGAGGAAACTCAAGGAAATCGCTTGATCACAATAGATATAATAAATGACACGACAGGGTTGCTGAGCTCTATTTATGATTTATGTCTACCGGCCGAGACCTGCATATGTTCACGAATGGCGTTATGCTCTCCAACCTTGTCCTGTGCTGATGAATCTAGTGGGCAATATGGCGTGCGAGGCTTGCGGTCCACCCATGAGATTGCGAATAGGTAATGAAACCAACGTCCCAAAGACTTAAGTGTCTGAGCCAATCTTGAAAGTTTGTTACTACATAAAACAATTTTTGGTGCACGGGGCTGATTGGGGAATTGGTGGGCGATGGCGCAATATGCGGAGGTGTATGTTGTGATGGCCGTAGATCGCGGCGGATTTCGGCAGGTCTTCAAGATTGACATCTCGATTCAATACGCTTGAAGATTTGAACGTTGATAGCTGCATTGTGACTGAATTGACTTATGGGAAAGACTGATTTAATCAGTGATTTGTTGAAGAGGTTCGACGTTGAATTAAAGATGGGGACCGCGGTCGGCACCTCCACCCCTAACATCTGAAAGTCGGGGAAATATCCATACACATGTCTGCGACATCACTCGGCCGATAGATGTACCTCTCCATATCTCCAGGATCATCCGCGCGATCATCACGATCAAGTCGTGATCGCCGACGAGCCGATGGTTTGGAGAATAGTCGTCACGATCTGGATTTCGCGGAAAGAGCTTAAAGAATGGCACCCATTCTCCCTCGTGCGAGAGGAGAAGTCACTCTAGAGGTAACCAAGGAGATCAGTCGGTGATTTCAGAGTCAGGTTCGGAAGTTTGATTGCCGGTGCCGTGGACCTCGGTGTATAATGTATACTTACAAAGCAATTAGGGAACTCCTTTTATTAGTGTTCTTTAAAATAAGCAGGTAATACGCACGAGATTGATCGATTTTCTGGATATAAACTTATTGCAGTACTTTCGCAAATCTAAACATCACCAGAGATCAGAGGCTAATCTTGAGTCGCTTCCATCAAATAAGGATAAACTGTAAGACTTCCAAGGTTAGTATTTGCGTCTGTGCAGATGCTTATATGCAGCTGAGCCTCAACAAACACTGTTCTGCGTCTACGTACGAAACACAGTACAGTATACTTTAACAAACGTGAATTGAACTGTAGACGATAATCTATACTTAAATGTCAGATGAATGCTCCCTTCCAAAATATCGAGTAAATATCCCTATAGTAACCTTGGAATCTGCAGTCAGCAAGACAGGTACCAGTCGCCATTGCCACCACTTCTACCCTGAAATTCTAAGGCAGTTTCCGCAATTTCCTCGGCCCGTACTCGAAATTCTCATTCCATTTGGAATTGGATTTGAAAAATCCACTTACCTTTTGATTTATGCGAATAAATGTGTTTACTGGAATACCGAGATGACTGGCACAACATTTGGCTCGTGCGCTGCCGGGTGGCTCACGAAAGTGGAGTCCTAGGTTCCGATCGCTTGCAATTCCTAAGTCGAGTACCATACGGTCTATGGCTAGATACGATAGCGCGAACAATCGCCATGAAGAAGTTTGGATGTGGATAATGTCAGCCAGTCGCAAATTGTGGGCCTCAAGCCAGCATCTGAGGACACGATGTGGCAGACGTAGATAGGCCACTAGGATATTCCACCACCCAAGGGTCTTCTTAAGGTAGCTACACTTTCCGAGTAAAAAGTAATCTAAATGGAGCCAATTTTGTATCGATAGTTCATTTGAGCGCTGGCGATCAGTGCTACGTATCACTTGACTTGTCACACAATTTCACTCAGGGAGTTATGTAGATGTTCCTACTTTGATCGACATACGATCTAATGATTAGAAGCCCCTGCATCTAAGATATGAAAGATTGATAGTCAACATTTTACTGTAAGGGGTCTAGAAGATGGCGATCAGTGCTGTGATTTTGACTTGTCGCACGATCTCGCTAAGAGAGACATGTAGATCTTCCGATCTTCAAAGTATGATCCAAGATAAGAACCCCCCTGCATTGCACAGTAGCCGGGGCTGAAAGATCGGTCTTCAATTATGCACTTTCTGATAGCTTTGCAGCCACAAATCAGGACTTTTTGGGGAGCACCACATATTCCATTGATGTAACATACGTAGAGACTAATATTGCTGCTGACATATTCAAATATATAAGACTGTCTTAGCTTCCTTGTAGTATGTTACTTTGCTAAATCCGCGTAAAACTTCGAACCCCTATTTCAAACTCCAACGAACATGCAATTCATTTACTTTCTCGCCGCATTCCTCGCTAGTGCGATGGCGCTCCCGGTCGATGAGCGGCCGTCCCAAGAACTAAATAGGCGCCAGGTAGGTTGACACCCACCATACCCCTCTCCCCGAAAGCTAGAAGCTAACGTATGGTGATTGATAGGATGTAAGTGATGATTCGACTCTTCGAAGGACGATGACTAACTAGGGCTAATACATGGTAACTGATAGGATGTAAGTGATGATTCTACTCTTCGAAGGACGATAACTTGCTAGGGCTAATATATGGTAATTGATAGCCTGTAAGTAATGGTACTCCCCCTCGAAGAAACATAACTGGCTAGGGCTAATGTATGGCAATGCACAGAGGGTAAGTGATGCTTTCCCCCCTGAAAAGCGATGACTGGCTAGGGCTAACGTATAGCGATTATAAGCTTGTAAGTGATGCTTTGCCCCTGGAAGTACGATGACTGGCTAGGGCTAATATATGGCAATTGATAGGAAGTAAGTGAAGTATCCCCCTCGAAGAACGATGACTGGCTAGGGCTAACGAATAGTGATTATAAGCTTGTAAGTGATGCTTCCCCCTAGAAGTACGATGACTGGCTAGGGCTAACGTATAGCGATTAAAAGCTTGTAAGTGATGCTTCCCCCCTGGAAGTACGATGACTGGCTAGGGCTAATATATGGCAATTGATAGAAAGTAAGTGAAGTATCCCCTCTCGAAGAGCGATAACTGGCTGGGGCTAATGAATGGCAATTCATAGAATGTAAGTGATGCTTTCCCCCCTGAAAAACGATGACTGGCTAGGACTAACGTATAGCGATTGAAAGGCTGTGAGTGATGCTCCCCCCCTCGAAGAACGGTGACTGGCTAGGGCTAACGTATAGCGATTATAAGCTTGTGAGTGATGCTTCCCCCTAGAAAACGATGACTGGCTAGGGCTAATACATGGCAATTGGTAGTATGTAAGTGATCCCTTTGAAGAACGATGACTGGCTAGGGCTAATGTATGGCAATTCATAGAGTGTAAGTGATGCTTCCCCCCCCCTTAAAAACCATGACTGGCTAGGGCTAACGTATAGCGATTGAAAGGTTGTGAGTGATGCTCCCCCCCCTCGAAGAACGATGACCGGCTAGGGCTAACGTATAGCGATTTTAAGATGGTAAGTGATGCTTCCCCCTGGAAGTACGATGACTGGCTAGGACTAACATATGGCAATTTATAGAAAGTAAGTGAAGTATCCCCCCTCGAAGAACGATGACTGGCTAGGGCTAACGAATAGTGATTATAAGCTTGTAAGTGATGCTTCCCCCCTAGAAGTACGATGACTGGCTAGGGCTAACGTATAGCGATTAAAAGCTTGTAAGTGATGCTTCCCCCTAGAAAAGCGATGACTGGCTAGGGCTAAAACATGGCAATTAAAAGATTGTAAGTCATTCGTTCGAAGAACGATGACAGACTAGGGCTAATGTGTGGCTGTTGATAGGGGAGACCGATCTAATATGTCCGTTGGACCAAGGACCTCAGGGTGACTTTTCCGTGCGGCCTTGATGTAGGTTTTGTCCTATGTCCTAGGTTTCCCTACATCTTTATGTGAATGCAAAGGCTTTGACTTTAGTCGTTGAGATCCTTTCATGTGCAACATAGCAAACCGTAGAGCTCGGAGCTTAGACATCGTGGATCTGTTATGCAGCGGAGGTCAGTGAATTTCCAGGAAACAATAAATCATCGATCCTTTCGGTATTTAGTACAACAATTTTACTTCCTCGTAGTAGCAGCACAGTGAAAAGTAGCGTTGAAGATGAAACCAGTGGAGGGAAATTAGCAATAGAGGACGCTCGATTTACTGAAAGCCACATCACCAGAATTCCCAGCCCGTCGAGAACATTTCGTGAAGATTGGAAATATTTCATAATGACTGATTTGCGCTAAACAATCATACTGCAAAAGACAAGATGCACGCAAGTAAGGCTAGGAACCGAGAAACAATGCTCGTGACTGGAGCGGAAACCATGAATTTTCGAAAGCACTGTAACGGTTTTTCTCATTAGCCATTCTCATTCGACACAGGGACTTGGCTTCCTCTTCGGGAGCCTCTTCTCTACCAGATTACTCACAAAAACCCTTATCAGGCATGCCGATCCGACCCCGCCCTATCACTAATGCATTTTCCATGAACTGTTAATTCAACAATTAATTGAGTCATCAATAAAATTGATACATCCTGTCCCCCCATAAACCTATCCTGTATTCAATCAAAAATATCACCGAACCCCAGACCAATAACACAGTCCAATCCGCATACTACTACTGCATTTAGCCCATGGCACACCGAATCCATATCGCCGTTCTAGATACGGATGTTCCCTGCCAGACTGTATACGCCCAGCGCGGTCTTTACAGCTCGCAATTTCGAACCCTGCTCCAGTCCGCCGCAAAGCGCGTCAACGCAAATACAGAACTGCAACTCCAAAATGGGCCGCTAGCTGTGCATATAACGGCCTTTGACGCCGTGGGAGGCTCACTCCCACCTCTGGAATGCCTGCGATCTACCCCCCGGTCTCCAGCAGACTCTAAAGCCGGTGGCCCATTCAGCCCTATCGACGCAATCCTGATTACTGGATCTGCAAGCTCCGCATATGATCTTGACCCATGGATCCGGGAACTCGAATCATTCATCCAGATCGTGCACAGCGATTTCCCACTGATCAGGATGTTCGGTTCCTGTTTCGGTCATCAAATCATCGCCCAGGCTCTGCTATCAGGCTCGCACGAGAAGAATGGAGCCGAAGCTGGCGTTCACCCAACGTTCCACGTCGAGCACTCCGCCCTCGGGTTTGAGCTTGGTATCCAGCCTATCACTCTAGAACAATCATTCACAGCACACTTCCCATTCCTGGCACAACACACCTCACCCCTGTTCCCATTTCGCATCCAGTTAATTCACGGGGACATTGTCGTTCCCACGCCTGCCGCAAAAGCCGCAGCCTTGGTCTCCGGACAAGGCGATGTTCCGCTTCCCCCAGGTTGGATGAATATAGGCCACAGCGCTGCATGTGATGTCCAAGGCCTGTACTATCCGGGTCGCATCCTGACATATCAGGGCCACTTTGAATTCGACGTTTGGTCAAACCGCGCACTATGCATTGAGTTCGGGCGACGCGGGAATTGGCCTACCGAGTTAGTTCAACGATACATTGAGCAGATTGAACGCTCGCTTGTTCCTGGTGCAGAGGATAACGACGATGCAAAGCGTGCTGCAGAGGTTGTTTTGCTTTTCTTTGCAGGTGAAGATAACTCAGATGTTGTGCGGAAATCTTCTGGACTGGGCTTGGGTTTGGGGAGTCTTGTTGCGCCAAATGGGATGCTTACGCCTCCACTTGAATGAGTGGTCGGCATTGTCGGGATCTGGGTCTGTTAGATCCCGTGTTATTCACCGGTACGTTGTGGAACGTGAAACATGGTGTTTCAGTGACGACGGGATTGAGTTTGATGGCATGCATGACGAATGCGATGAAGCTTTTTGAGTAGGTTCCTAGGTCATTTTATCTACAGGCAACAGGAACGACAGCAAGGGCTGAGCTCGAGCATTGAACGGCGGAGCAGGCATCAATAAGCGGGACTGGGATTGATGGCTGCGCCCCTGAGCAGTGGCGACAACAGGAAAAGGGCTGGTTGCCTTGATGGATGACCGCTGACACGCAGCTGGTATGTTGAACCTGCAAGGAATTGGGTTGGTTTTTACTGTACATAGGATGGTTACTTGTGTGTACCGCTGCAGTACATACAGTACATACTGCCATTGGGGATAGATGTATAAGAATAGATTGAAATAGCATTATTGTACATACAGCTATGCCGCTCCAAGGTAGCTCCATGAACTGCAGGAGATCATCGGCTGTAAAGCTAGAAACGGTTGGAGCTCGAGCTCCGTAACGGTAAACGTAACGTGTTTCTTGTTTCTAGCTCGACACACGACACACGACACAGCTCCACCGGTCTCCGCTCCGCCGCTTCGGGACAAAGTCCACTTCGACACCTAAGCTGGGGGGCCCAGGTCGGGGACAGCTCTGTACGAAGTATAGCTGTGTGATACACAGGTCTACCGTACAAAAATACCTGAGAAAGGGGACCTGGGACCTATAGATATCCACAAATGTATCGCAGAAGCATCTCCATCGGAGCCGATTGGAAACGGCAGGCGAACAAAAAGCAGAGTTTTTCAGTTGGGAGCTGATCCCCCTCCTGCACAGCCATCCAGATCCGGGATGGCGCCCTTGCCGCCCGAGTCCGGTGACCAATGGCTGGACAGGTAATAGGCACAGCTGGACTCCACCGTGCGCGGATTCAAACCAATCAGGTTGCTTTGGCATGCTCTACATCGGCATGTGCCCCCGCTGGGGAGCGGTTATACAGCGTACCGGGCTGTTCGGTGTAATACGGGAGTCTTACGCCGTGACCCATTTAGAGTTGGAGCTGGAGTCGAAGGAGTGGTAACAAGTGAGCTTGTTGGAGATGAGGGTACAAGTCATCGTTCATTCAGTCCTTCTTTCCAATTTGGGAGATTGTTCTTTTTTCTGGAAGGGGAGGAACATAAGTTGGGAAATGGACGCGGAGGCAAGGTACACAGCTGCCTAGATGCTAAACAGCCTCGGTATGCAGGTCCAATCTAGAATGGCAATATCTTCTTTATTGTAGCTTCGGATCTATAGATCAGGAATTAATTTCTTTCTTGCTTTGTTTCATTTTATTCCATTTTTTTTCCTAGATGACTTGCGTTATCTGGGTTGTAATTTACGGTACCGTGGCGCTAAAGTGCAGGTATTTGCCACCCGGAGCTCCCCTCCTTTCCAACGCAGAGCTTCTGGAATCTCAAGCTCCAGCTGGGGAGAGCTTCGGAGGGGCCACTGATAGCGCCTATCGCAACTACCCCCAACATTCTACGCGAAGCTTTATGCCATGATTCCGGGATATTTACGGGACTTATGAAGCAAGGTGTTCTTAAATATGAGTAAGAGGAAGAAGGTCCAGAATTCCAAAATCGAAATTTTCGAAATTTTCCAACGCTACGGCGTGGCACCGAGCTTTCCGAATAGTTTGTCGGGCGCTGTAATTAAAGAACAAAGTGACCATACACTTATCTCTCGAATCTACAAGCTTGAACAACCCATGTCATGCATGCACCCCCTCTTTTCTTATAAACAGAGTACAAGACTCAAATATCAAGGGTCATCCTTCTTGAATATAGTTAGAAAGTTGGAAAGAATTCACAGTTACTGAGTAATCATAGAGATCATAATGAAAATCAAGCGGGGAATAGAATACGTTAATTACGGTAAATACCCACGGCTACAGGGAAGCACCGCACTACGAGGATGGCGGATCGAGTCCCTCAATGTACTTGTACACTTTCCTCTTTCCCTTTTCTTTCCTCTCCCATAAAGAAGAAAGAGAACAAGCCAATCCTGGCGATTCTTCAGCCCTTTTTCGAAGTGTAACTCATTCTCCCCTTGTACTTTTTGTTTCCCTTCTCTTCTTTCCCTTTTACTTTCCTCCCAAGTGTGAGAGGCAGAGGGTCCTTTCGCCCCATATATGCACCATGCCTCCCCGAAGCTCGTTGACCAGCTCTTTCTCGGTCACCGATGCCAACAATGAAGTCGTTTGTCCTTTGAAGAATAACGACGGTTCCAATTGTCGCAAGCGATGCTTGGGAGTGAGTCTTTTCCCCCTCCTTTCCAGCCCCACCTGTTATCGTCCGCTCGTCCACAATGCGGCAACCTTTCTAGGACGACAAAGATCCAAAATCTTGCTATGCATAAGCTGGAAATATCTATAAATCAGTCTGATAGACCTGTATCGGAGGTGTCTAATCATTTGGTTCCAACAGGAAAAGCGCTATCGCTCCATGCAGGAGCACATCCGACGTGCGCATCCGAATCACTACATCCCGAAGCTCCCGGCTACCGAAGAGAGCTTCCTTTTGATGGTCAACACCCCACCAGAGCAAAGGGCGCATCTTTCACCACCAGATCCTGCTCCACCACGACGTCGACATGGTTAGTTGGTATCCGTTTGTCTGTGGAGCTCCGGATGACTGACGGCTACCTACAGATGTGGCGGATAGGGACATCTACGTCGCTGACGCCAGCTCCCCGGCCACGCCGCGAGCTCTCGACGAACCCCACCCTGCTGCGGCCACCGCGGCTGTTGCGTTGGCACAATTGCACCACCATCGCCTAGCTTCCGACTGGGACACAGACATGGTACGAGCTTGCATGGTCTTTGCCTTTTTTTTTTTTTTTACTGCCCCGCGCGATCCCGGTCGCTGATCCGTCTCCCCGCAATTTCTAGGACACCCACTCCGACACCGATATCACTCAAGGTCCCATGCGCTCGTCTATTGAACTACCGTCGCTGCGCGACCATTTCAAACAAGAATCTCTGCCTCCATTCTCGGCGCGCCCGCGGGGTCTTCTTCCTTCTATTCTGAATCATTCGCCTCCCGGTCGCTCATCCACCTTACCCCCCATCCAGCGCAAAGACAAGCTCTCTCGCCCGCGCAAATCATCAATCTCGCAATCGGCCCGGAAACCTAAGCATGATCGCTCAAAATCAAAAGAGTTTGGTCGCCGACCGAGCCTGGGCGACCGTAAGGCGTTATCGGCGGAACCTCAAACGGCGGCATGGGCGCAAGGCAAGCGCTGGGAAGATCTGATTGAAGCGGCGACGTCGGCTACGGAAGCTGATGATGAACGGTACTCTGAGGTAAGTTGGAGTTTCCTCACTGCGACTTGATGTTCTTCCTGACACCCTCAGGCTGGTCGATCTCCGACTATTGCCCCGCTGCTCGCCAACGTCACATCGGCGCCATCTGGCCCTAAGAACCGGTCTTCACTACCCCCAGCTTTCCAAACTGGAGGACTTCCGCCTCTTGGGTCGCACAGAGCCTTCCCACCACCCTATGCTGCTTCGCCTCTACACAAGTCACTTACCCCGCCACCATTCGAGAGCCGCGGTCGCGACAGTGATTTGGAACCGTTCCCTTCGATTGAATCATCTCTTGACTCAATGTCGACAGCATCTGGAAAGAACTTCGCTTCGTCATCATCCGGAATGGCTCATTCTGTTAATTCGGATACCAGTCCGGTTCTTAATCTTATCCCGCCCATTTCTCAACGCCAGCATCATAGGTTCTCGAACCCCACCCCGGCCTCTTTCCGTAATAAGGACATTCAAATCTACTGTGCCCAGTGTAAACGACCGTGGGCTTTGAATGAATGCTTTGCCTGTACAGAGTGCATCTGTGGCGTTTGTCGTGAATGCGTTGGCATGTTTGTCGCCAGTCCGCCTACTTCCTTCCGCAGCCCAGGAAATGGTCACATGAACAACCTTCCACCAGCGCCGACAAGCTATCCGAGTGTCAGAGGTTGTCCTCGCTGCCGGACAGTCGGAGGGAGGTGGAGAGCTTTCCAGCTAGACTTCAAGTGATCCATCAACTTGATGAGCTCATGGCTTTATGCTTATTATGACTAACGCTTTATACATGGTCGTTCTTCCGTTCATTATTCAACTTATATTTCATGATCCTTCATTCGACGATATGACAAGACCAAGATCATCAGACTCGGCATTGTGTCGCTCCATTCATATCTTTTATTTTCGGCAGGTTCCTTGAACATCATGCAGAAGCTGGTTCTTTTACGCAGGTGGTCCTTCCTTTCATTTGGCTTGGTTTGGTTGAGTGGCATCTCAGGGGTTTGGTGTGTTCGTGTTTATGTGTGGTTTTCTCTTCTCATTTGAATGATTACGCAGGTTCTGGATTTCTGATTTAATGCCTATATGATGCAATCTTGTTCTGCAAATGATCATTATCGTGATAGAAAGAGATGAGGAGACATCATGCCTCCCTTAAAATAAGGGATGGAGATCGTCTCACTCAAGTCTCGAATTTACATTTCTGTCCAAAATTCAATTCAAAATACATCGACCTTCAATCGCAATGACAATTGCAATACTTGGGAGACCGTCTAATCCTCCCAAATAACGCTGCTCAATCCCTCTGCAGTTCCAACCTTCCCAGGCTCACCAACCTGCAGTACAGCAACCTTCTTCCCCAGATGTCCAGTTTTGTGGTCCCGCTGAACAATAGCAACTGTTGACGTGCTCTGATCCCCAATGGCAACCAGATCACCCTTCTTATTAATCACCACAGTCCGAGGCACCTTTCCATACGAATCGGTCTTCCCCTTCATGACCACAGTACCATTTCCAAGACGATCAAGCGTGACAATTGAATCATCCGGCTTGAAACCCTGATCACTGCGAATGGAAACATAAAATTTCTCCCCAACCATCCGGATCTCCGCGGGCGTCGCGCCCTTGGGCATCTTCCCGCCAGGGTAAGGGACAAGCGTCTGCGTCTTCTGCAAATCCAAACATCCAGATCGCGCATACGAAACATCATAACTCATCATTGTACCCCCAATCTCATTGACAAGGTACATCATCGTCTTTCCGACAGCTGCGACCTGACGCATGTGCGTCGGTGCCCCAGTCTTGGTATCTGCGTTCTTGGTCGTCGCGTCTGTCCAGAATACGCCGTGTCGCGGTCCTGAGCCAAAAGTCACGTTTACGGGCGGACAGAGACCCAGGTGCCCGGTTGTGGCGTCGATGCTGTAAATTCGGACAAGGTCTGCGCCTAGATCGGGGGATACGAGGAAGGAACCTGTTGGGTCCAGGAAGACTTCGTGTGGGTGAGGGGAGTCTTGTTGGGCCACTGCGCCTTTGTGCGTCATTTTGAAGGGGAGGGTTTGTTTGGCTTCCGAGTTGGATTTTAGGGGCAGAGCGAAGGTTGAGATGGCGGAGCCTTCACTTTTGGGACGTTAGTCTTGTTCTTCATATACATCTCAAATGTTGGTAGATTCCGGGTTGGTTATGTTGTTCGGCATCAGCGCGTGAAGGTACAGTCTATATCCAAGATAGATATGGATAGCCATTCCAACACAACCACGCGAAAAATCTCACCAACCAGAAACCACACCTTGGGTACAAAAAAGGAGGAACTTACTAATGCGCAATAGCAATATACTTGTCCTTCTTCCCCGCCTCAAAAATAACACTGTTAACCCCACCTCCAACGGTCTTTGTCTTCGCGATCTGCGCCAACTTTCCACCAGGCCCATCAACATGGTACGCAGTCAAGGATCCATGCGTGCTAGGATCAGAAGTTCCATTCTCATCCGAGCAGTAGAGGATTTTGCTCTCCGAATCAAACGTTAACCAACTCGGCATAGCACCACAAGTCTTCTGCGTATCGGCAATCGAAAGATTAGAGCCGGAGAGCGTGAGTGTATAAACATTGCCATTGTAGTGTGTAGCCCACAACCGCGACTCGTTCGCGTGCTTATGGGTGTGTTTTGGCTGTGGCACCTGAGGTTGGAATTGGGGAATTGATGAGGCGGATGTTGTTGTCAGGAGGGTCAGGATTGCCCCAGTTGCTGGTGCAAGGAACCGCATGATGAATCGCGTAGAAACGTGAATTCACCTATGACTTAAGAGTACCCTTTGAATTTGTAGAAAAGGCCAAGATGAAAAAAACTAGGGAAGATGGGAATGGGGTAGTATAAGTGGACTGGACTACCAAACAACGCGCCACGCGCTCCGAGATCAACCCATTCCCGTAGGATATTTTTCCATGCATCGGAATGACGAGTGCCGAGTCCCTGACTCTGCACAGCGGAATGGATCGACACGATTTTGGGCAGTTTTCTGCATTGTTGTGGAGATATTGTGGAGTCCGGGAGGGGGTTGGGGAGCCAAGGGGGATAAAGTGCACTTCTCCGGACTATTGTACTAGCAGGAACTGGCTACGGTGAAGAAATTGGTTTGTGCTGATTTTCGAGTGGCGTGTTTGATGTGCCTGGGCAGTGGGGTTAGGTTGTACTGCAATGTATACTACCTACCCCTCAAAGCTGGGAATATCGGAGTAACTGCGGTGAAGCCGTTGAGGAGGTAAGGAGGGGTTATGGTGATCGGCATTTGACTGCGGAATCGGAGACTGTCCCTGCATTTTTAGTACATTCAGTTCACGGCTAAATGAGCGATGGAATGTTTATTGGTCTTTGTAGGTAGGATTTCTACTGCTTCTTTGGTTGTTGTTCCAATGTTGTTTGATACAAGCCTCTCGAGTCACTGTGTCACTATCATGTTGGTGATATGTAGCTGAGCTTGGTACAACCTTTAAGCTTGGAAAGTCTTTGCACTGGGAAAACCTAACCTAGTCAAATGTCCTTCTTGACTAAATTCGATATTGGTAGCTGTTCAGTTACATGTTGTGTAAACTCGAGCAATTGGACCTTCCAGGGCTGGAACGAAGGTTGAGAACATTGCGTGTAGGCTAATTGGTGCCTTCTTCCAAACCGAGGTCAGCCCTGTAGACGCATATATATCTGAAATTGGGTCTTGAAGCCCCTAGAATTGGAATAAGATTATATAAATTCATCCATACAAACTGCTCCCAGCGCGGATACGAAGGCGGTAACACTAGGATACGCGTCCAATATAGGTTGACAACGCCATTTTGGACTACCACTGGCCAATACTGAATGGCTCAACTAGTTACTGAGATCCCAAGTTACGATGATCGAAGAGATAGCTTAAATGACACTGGCGCAATTGTTTTGACAAGTCAAGTTCCGTTCAACATTTCGCCATGGATGCGTTGCACGAACTCCGGAATTCGAAGCAAAGCTTCATGCGCGTCAACCGGCAGCGTGACAGCTCTGCTCAACGCAAGAGCAGGACAGTCCTCTCATGCATCCCATGCCGGCAACGCAAGGTGAAATGCGACCGTCTCGACCCCTGCAGCCAATGCACCCGCCGTAATGTGGCTGAAGAGTGTGATTATTCGCCCAAGACTGCCAAAGCTGAGAATGCGACTTCTCCTGTCGCGAATTTAGTGCAGAGAAATGCAGACATTCCTTTGTCATCATTTGTGGCTCCAGTGGATGAGACTCTGATCATCCCAACCGATGCTCGCCCCGCACCAACCCCCACATGCAATCATGATCTTCCTGCCTCAAGTCGGATGGGCACTGTTGATTCACTGACTCAATCTTGCTTCCATGGCTCCGGGACAAGGACCAGATACTTTGGACGAAGCCATTGGGCATTGACAATGGACATGGCAAGCTCAATGATTCCACAGCTGGCCACAAGCTGCTAACGACCTCGCAGTTTCCTGATCTGAAGGCCCATTTACAGAAGTACCACCATGTAAAGAAAGGGCCGGTTGAACATGGATCAGATCATCTGGGCATGAAACGCACGACACAAAGACGACTGGAAGCGACATATCAAACACAGCCACAACCAAATCTGCAACCACCCAGACTTGAAACTCTGGTCCCAGATCGCCGAGTGACAGACAAGCTTGTCAATTTGTACTTTTCTACCTTCGAAACGACATTTCGCATTCTGCATGTCCCTCAATTTCTAGCAGAGTATGAAGAATTTTGGAACTCAAGGGGCAATTCATCCCCAAATTTTTGGACCAGGGACGTATTCGCGGCCAAGTTACTCAGTTTGATGGCATGCGCCGCCGATGCTGGAATCACAGCCGAGGAACAGACTCCCCAGGCATCAAACCAGTCAGCGAAGAGTTGGATACAGGCCGTCGGGTCCTGGGTCAAAACAGTGACAACGTATGCGAAGCTAGATTTGGACTTTATTCAGGTTATGAGTCTACTACTAGTCGCACGACAAGCTACCGCCTGTGAGGGAGATCTTGCTTGGCTTGCTGCTGGGTCTCTTGTACGAGAAGCTATGATGATAGGGCTCCATCGGGACCCAATAAACTTCAAAGGCGTCTCACCGTTCTATGCTGAAATCCGCCGGCGGCTTTGGGCGACTATTGTTGAGCTGGACCTTCAAGCTGCTCTTGATACAGGTGTCACTGCGGGGATATCTCTAGATGACTATGATTGTGCGCCGCCATCGAATCTGGATGACGAAGATTTTTCTTTCAATTCAACTGCGATCCCTGCATCTAAGCTGAGCACAGTATTGACAAGAACGTCCTTCCAGGTATCCTTAGCGCAAACTTTAGATACTCGGCTGAGGATTGTCAAGATTGTCAACCAGATTCGCCTGTCATCAAATTATCAAGAAATTTTGGATCTCAGTCAAGTCATCACGACCCATCTGTCACAAACGCGACTTGCCATGGCCGGACAAAGTCTAGGCCAAGGTGCGCCTTCCAAATTCCAACAATCGCTATACCTCTTTCTTGTCTACCGATATCTTCTCGCTCTACACCGACCTTTCGTTCTCAGTCTCACCGAAAGCCGCAATGAGATGTACAGATACTCACGAGAGATATGCGTAAAAGCTTGTTTATCTCTCCTGTCACCTCTCAAACTCGCTCCTGAATCTGAAGCACGTCCAGTATATCCCCATATTCTCCGTCTGCGAGGAGGTATGTTCCGAAGCGAGATATTCCATGCAGCCGCGACACTTTGCTTCGAGCTGCGTCTACAAGTCAGAGACAGCACACTACCACTTCTTCCTGGTGCTCTGGACCAGACAGATCAGGTCAGCGAAAAGCGCGATCTCCTACTACGTACAGTTGAAAGCGCAATAAAGTACTTCGAACACAAAGTTCGGACAGAGAAACAGGCGTGCAAAGCATTCATGCTACTAAACATGGTCTATACCTCAGCTCAAAGCGAACTTCATTCGGGAACTCATACTTTGCATGTGAATTGTGGAGTGATGAACAATCTGACATTGGAGAATGCCTGCCCTCGTGCGGCTAGACGCTGTCAAGAATTGCTACTCGAAGGCGAAGGTCGGGCAGACTGTCAACATTCTGAAGAAAATTGGCTTGGTTACCCAGGAAATCCGTTCATGGTAAGTAAAATTTCCTGACTCTGATCAGTACATAGACTCACTATTGTTACTATGTGCAGAATAAAGAGGTTCCTGAAGTGGAAGTCGAGTCTCAAAGCACAGAAATCAATGCCTCATCGTTAGAACAGAGCACGAATATAGCTCCTACCATGCCTACAGGGACTTCCGATCCGGACTTATTTGTGAGTTCTCCCCCACCACAAAAGATAATTATGTGGCACTAATCCTGGACTTCAGGACCTTTCATTTGATTGGGGCATGTATCTGGATCCAACATATTTGAATGAGGCGGGCAACCTATGGCCGTTGATGGACCCATTGATATAGGTTACATCTTATATGCGCACTGCAATCTTCCATCTCATTTGATTGTGTGAGTGTATTTAAAGGATATCAATGGCTTCTACATCTCGTATCGACAAGGGGATTTGATGACCGTGACCCATCACCGAGATTACGGGACTCCTTTGCTCAATTAGGAAATCACGATCTCCGAATGTGGGTCTGAAGTGTAAAATCAGGAAACACATCAACTGTAAAACAAGGCACAAGGAAGTCAAAAGAAAAGAAAGAATTTAAATCTTATATCCTGAAAGCAAGAAGCTTTCACCATCCAATGTTCTTTGGAAGCACTCAACGGCAACATGTAAGCTCAAGACAAAAGCTTCCGCAACCAGATGTACAGCGATTCAAGGTACTCTCAAGACTCGTCCTTTGCTTCCTCCCTTGGGCATTTTTCTTTACATCGATCCCAGTACAGCTTTCAGCAACGGCTGGACTAGGACCTTCCTGTCGGGTATATGCCTCCGGTTGCAGAGTAATAGAATGAATCCCATATTCATGGAAACATTCCCTGATAGTCCTAGCCAGGCTTTCGAAATCAGGCATGATATCGTCATCCAACACAACGTGTGCAGATGCAAGGGACTTTTTCTGGTTTAAGCGCCAGATATGGAGTTCGTGAATGGCGAGGATACCGGGGATCTATACTTGTTAGCTTGTTTGCACCAGATATAGAATAGAATATTGAAAGAGCAAACTCATACCTTTTCAAGATCATGTTTCACGTCATCATAATCGACGCCTTGTGGTGCACTTTGAAGAAGAATGAGACCGGATTGTTTTACTTGTCTAAAGTCAGACAGGTCCAGTAGCATGTGTAGCTGTTGGGAAAGGTATACATACTGAGTGGAATGGAAGAAATGAAGATCATTATCGCAATGCCCATGCTCACGGCGGGATCGGCATAAAACCTTCCACCGTAGCTAGCAAACCAGATCACCGCTGCTGCGATGACAACACCGATGTTGTTCGCACAGTCGCCGAGTACATGGATCAAGACGCCCATCATGGCTAGGTCTCGGTTTTTGTGAGATGAAGGTTTATTTGTGTGGTGCTTGTGGTGCACATGCTGAGAACGGTAAGCCCAACTGAACAGAATCGTGTAGGAGAAGAGGTTTGAAATATACCTTTTCATCCACGAGACCAATGGACATTGGGTTCTCTGGGCTATCACTACTTTCACCGTGGCTGTGGTCGTGTCCATTTCCATCTCCGTGGTCGTGGTCGTGATCTGCAGAAAAGACTTAATACTGGATTTCATGGTTCAATGTTCTTCAGAGGCTCACCATGTAAGAATAATATGCTAATGACATTCAGTCCAAATCCAACACAACCCATGATAAGGACGAGCTTAGGTTCCTCGACGCCTGCCAAATATGTCAGCTCTTAATCAAGCGCAGCCGAGAAATAGATTACTCACGCTGTACTGAGACGAATCGCTCAATAGATTGCAAAAACACACTGAGTCCCAATCCAAACAATAGCACACCATTGAAAAAGGCACCTAGAAGCTGGATCCGTTGCCAGCCAAATGTGAGCGCTTTCGGAGGAGTCTTCTTTTCAGCAACCTGATTTTATGTCAGAGTGTTTTCTACATCAATGTTCGAGAAATAGTACTCACTATTGCGGCAGCTAGAGCTATGACGAATCCCACGATATCGTTTAACTAAAATTATTAGTTTGGGTCGCGGTCTCAGCTAAGCTTAACGTACATAGTGGAAGGCATCGGCAACCAAGGCGAGTGAGTGAGTGTAAAAGCCAACTTTGAAATCGCATCAGATCAAATCCCCAGCTGTCTTTGAAGGATTTCGTTTTCTTTGAGGTAAACATACTAGAGATCTCGGCTATGAAGAAACACAGCGAAATTCCGATGACGGCGCTGAGCCGTTGCACGCGGGATATTTTGAATGCCATGGTGATTCTGGGCAAGTCGCTATATGTGATTTAGGTACTTATTAGGCATGGAAAGTCACTCTTTATATCCAATGGTACAGGCGAAGCATGTGACTTGGACACGGAGTTCGGATATCTTTATTACCCTTATGGGAAACAAAGAACGCCGAACAACCTCACCCGCAGAGACAATTGTTTTGTCGGTTTTCCAACATCGCTATAGATTTTTTTTTGGATTTAGCAGCTTGGCAGTGGCTTGTACGAAAGTTTTCTTAGATTGATTCACATTGATCATATATCCATGGATCCGACCACCTGGGCAGTGGCTCATAAGTCATATTATAACTGTTAATCATTGCAATAGGGGAATGTCCGCCACATTGTCTCTCATTCATTATGACTAGTAGCATAAGAGATAGTCAAATAAAAAGCGTATCGTAAATATCTCACTTCATATGCCTAGAGCTGCCTAGAGATTCCCACTATCAATTATCTGGTAAGGTAAATTCATCCAGAATATGTGGGTTATGGCGAAAAGACGGATCACACACGATATGAATAGCAGGCGAGACATCACGCTCCCGAATAGATCCCTCCTGACCAGGTACCGATCGCGAACCCCCGTATGTTCGAGCCATGAAGCACATTAAACACTGTAATGCGACGATCTGCTCCTCTGCAGATGCATCACGCATAGCACGGGTTGTCTCCGCGAATAAGGCCGGCAAATAATACAGAAGCACAGCCTCGCCATCATCAATTCCATTAACGTTCATTCCATCAACAAGACCATGACGAGTTTGCTCTGGTAAGCCTTCGAACGCTTGCTGGAACTGCTCAGCCACTGACCGGTCGGCTACACGGCCTATGGCGAAAAGCCGAAGTAAGGCCCGTTCCGAGCGATCGGCGGTAGATAATTCAGGAAAGCCCTGCTTAAAGACCAATTGCCCACGATTCAGTAACACTTGATCATACGCCTCGCATAGCGAGGTAGATTCGGTGATTACACTCTGTAGAATAGGCCAGGCCTGTAGAAAAGATTGACAGACTGGCTCGATCATCCGATTCGCCCCACGACTATCACGATGAGCGCCGGCGCCAGACACATCGAAGATAGTCTCGAAATACTTGAGATAGAATGCCTCGGGACGACCACGGAACTTGAGGATAGGCTGTAGGCTGCCAGGGATATTTTCGCCTTGCATTAGTTGGGGAATATTTAATGTCGCTCCAATCTGCACTCCAAGGACCACCTCCTCACGCCGGGTTTTAGATAGCTGACCGAGGGCTCTATCTAAGATCCCGCACGCGACAGCATCGGCGAGTAATTGATCGTGGTTTTCGTAGTCTGTGATTCCGACTTGTGTACCCATACGCGCCGCGATCTCGGCAACAAGATGTGGGTCTTTTCCCATGTCACCGATAACAAGCGCCACGATCATTGCGAGGAGCAAGTCGGCATCTTTCAGGAAGGAGTCCGATAGGCGCCTCAGTTCTTGGAAGGTCTTTTGGGATAACCTGATAGGGGGAGGTTGATAGTTCACAAAGGAGCCATAGTCGTTCGCAAGCACCCATTTCAAAGCGCGAACATTGGTGATTGAGCGATTCACTTCATCAAAGTCGGTTTCGAATAATAATCTCGATGGACTGAGCGCGGTTTCGATATCTTTGGTAAGGTTGCCAAGAGAAGGGGTTTCACCTTCATCTTTCTCCATGGCATGTGGGACACGGGTCAAGTGGACGATTTCTGGGCCAAATTGCGCGTGAAGTAGTCGGACAAGATCTTCATCTTGTAGCGAAGGCAGCTCGTGGCGATGCACGATTTCAACAAGAGTATCCTCCATGGATAAACAAAAGTTGGATGGTATCCTTAGGTTGCGAGGCTGTTTAAGTAATTCGGCGGATTGGAGGCTGAGGCTGAGGAATATGCCTCTCAATCAGACAAGTTAAGAGTTTACGTTATATTTCACGATGTTTTGGAGCTCAGCCTCACGTAGGTGGAGTGGCGGGGCAGCTGAAATTAGCCTTGCCCACCGCTCTACGAAGATACATTTTCTGTAAATTCGGTCGTATTCTATGTACTCAAAGCTAAGGCGTGACAGACCAGCATTTGCTGAAATCTTAATTCAATTGAACTAGAACCAAATTTAAGATATAAAAACAAATGAGTATGATAATTCAGGTATCAAGTATCATTTTTACCAGATCTCCCACCTGGGCAGGTGAAACATGCACAGTTCTGGGGCCAAAGATACAACTAATGCCTCGTCAATAGTTCAGGTATCTACGTAACATTCTGCCATTCTATTGGTATTGTTCAGCCACACAACAGACTGTGCGGAGTCATGCGAACCCCCACCATAGATCATTAACTGGTTAGGATTCAATATTGCAACACGGGCAAAACCAGCATGATTTTCATATTTCAGGGATTTGTCGCTCGTATTTTTATATGATTTTCTCGAACTAGATCCCTGACAAGTCTTACTTTAAGACGTTCTATTTCCATCACTCCAAGACCTCGGTAGGCAGAGATCGGCTAGTGCATTAGTACAGATTGTGCACGTGCATGCCTTTACTGCAACTGCGTCAGAACTTCCCCACTAGACCCACCGAGCCAAAAAGGAGGACATAATGAGAGTCACCTTCTGCCATTAGCTGAAAAAGGAATAAAACATAAAAATAAAAGCGATCTACAGGAAGCATTAGGAGGGAGTATTGTTGGGCATGAACTACCTCTGATACAAGGCAACGATCAGCAGTTGCTGCCTGACGAACCCGCTCGGCTACAGTACCGTAGATTAGCCAGCTTTGGCGGGATACTATCAGACATCACATTGACCCACTCCCAGCGCTTAGGATGTGCAAACCTGCAAGATTCACACTTTAGCGCCATTAAGTGTGAATGTTTCATCTTGCGCGTCTCGCTGTCATTGCGCATGCGTGGAGTAAACCCCATCAGAATAATCACCATTGTACTTGGTTCGGCGCCAATTTATTTTCGAGCAGGGCTGCGGGGGCATTGAGTCCATAGGGCACATAAATAGTAGGACAATGATCGCCGTCTGGATATTCAGTCTTCATGATCTAGTTCATAAACACTGATTGATTTCCTCAAGCCTTGATCCGTTCAAATGTTCACATACGATTCACGGTCACTGGCAACACCCCACACCATTGTATGTCGTCCAGTGTCAAGATGTATCTTATCTATGAATCTAACCCTGGAATACCTGCAGCATCCACATTCTCCAATGTCTTCTATCCCGCTCTTTCTTGCCATAAGTAAGGGTGACGGCGTCTTTAAACAATGGAGTCTCTTCATCGATGAAGAAACCCAGAACAACAAAACTGTTCTCCAAGTCAAAGGATCGGATGGCCATTTCCGATATGAACATGAAACCAAAGATATACGAAAATCGCCCGACTTACTTGAGTTGGTCTATATTTGCAACGTGGACGTTACAAAAGCAAACGATATTCAAAAGATCGCAAGTGAAGCTGCTGTTCTCAATGATATTCGGGGGTGGAATTGTCAGGATTATGTGCTTGATCTTATAGAATTGTTAGAAGAGAAGAAAGTTTTGAATGGGGGTGATGGGGTGTATAGGATGCGGATGGACTATGTGAGAGGCATACAGGAGGGTTTGGCTTAGATGTATTATATGTGTATGTTTACTCTGTATTTCGTCATTGGTTCGCTTTCTGATTTCAAGGTATAGACCCGCTTATTACTACTTGGACCTGGACATATAATCCATTACTATGGCATCTAAGCATCAAGTGACGGAGTAAGATAGAAATAGTGAAACGTAAGAAAGCCTTCTGGCAAATCATTGTTTCAACGAATCAAGTCAAAAAGAATCCCTAAGCATAAGCATACCTAAAGCTTATTGCAGCAACACTGACAATAACAGATTCAACGCAGGCTCAGCCCAGCATAACGCCATAGCTCATCATAATCACGTCCCAAGCAAGGGCTGAATGGAAACAAGGAAAACAAGACAGGCAAAAAAACAAGGGCAGACCAATAATGCCCTGCCTACCCGACAAACGCTCGCTAGAACACAGAACATAAAATGGCACAGAGAGATAGAAGAAGCTGAAAGAAAAGACGAAGGGAGTAAAGTACCGAGGAAAGAGATAGGCAAGAATGAAACCTTTGACGGAACCTCCTGCGCCGGGGGTAATTCAAATCAAAGAAATGGAGAGAAAGAACCTAGCAGTAGCAAGGTCTGGGGTTGGGTATCATGATTGAGAGTTCCGTCGGGCCTGAACCCATTATGTCCAGATAAAGCCAGCCCGGATCGGATCACGCGTTCATCAAACACCTCAAACAAAAAAACAAGCCCAAGATTCCTTCCCTTTTTTTTCAAGTCGCCTGCGATCAGGATGTAGATAGTCGTACAGTACGTAAGACGTAACGTAACGGACAAGAGAGAGTCGTAAATGAATAATAGTACAGAGAAGAGCGTCAACGCTTCGCTAGCACCTATCGGCTGAAGGTAGTCCACACGGCGCTGAGCCATCCGGTGGGAATGCCGACTTCTGAGGGTTGGATCATAGACAATTGTGCCCAGTCCCCTCCGTCCAGGAAGGCCATGACATCATCACCGCCAAGACTGGTTGACATGAGACTGGTGTCAGGCCCCTCGGTCGAGGTCAAGGGTGGTGACGGGGCCAGTTGAACACCTGATCCCGGCGGTGGGAGGACGGGTACGTGTGGAGCAGTAGCATTGATGGGTGGCAGCGACTGTGAGTATGGAGGGGGTGCGTTCTGGCGAGTAGGGAGCCAAGAGTTGATGGGCTGCAGCCGATTGGTTGTTGCAGTGAGATATTGCGAGGGAGATTGCGTAGTGGCTACCAAGGATGGAAGGCTGGGAGGGGAGGTGTACATAGGTCCATCTGGGTGGTGCTGTTGTAAAGATGGTAAAGAATAAGGGGATTGCGATGGCATGGGGCGGTTGTTAGGCAAAGGAAGACTGGGGCGGCGGTCTCCATCGTGGCTAGGTAAAGGCAAGCCAGGACTATTGACGGGCACCCAGGATTCGCGACGACCACCGGCACCATCCAGTTGCTGTTCAATGGGATCCCCAAGTTCACTCTTAACAGCATTGCTGCCGGCGTCACTGAGATTTGTCATGCGGTCGGGCATCAACTCTCCACCCATGGCCATTGCAACACCATCTTCATCCATTGAATCCTGCAGCTGATCCTCAATGGAACCAAAGTCCAGGAACAGCTTCTCCAGAAGCTTGAATTCCTCCAAGCCACCGCCAAGGCCACCATCCCGAATTGGTCGAGCGCCGTTCACACCCCCATGATCAGACACATCCGACATACTATCAAGGCGGTTGCGAGAGTACCGGCGGAAGTCTCGCTTAACCTTGGAGAAGTAGCTGTGAAGACGGTTCAGAGTACGGAACCATCCACTAGCCATCTTGAGACGTGGCCGCATCTCCCGTAGGATATCCAGGGCCTTGCGGGACTGCACTGCACCGGGCAATTGGCTATCATGACTGGCCGGCGGAGGTCTAGCAGCGAGGAGACCGTCGGGATCCATGTGGGGGAAATGAGAGCTGTACACACCAATGAAGGCGGCATTGTAGATCGCGAAGCCAACAAGGGGATTCTCAACGAGAGCCCCGCGGCCTTGACAGGTTGCAACCAGGTCGATCATCTCACGAGCCGCCTTGGACAACTCGCGGGCACTGTCCCGCCAGAAAGCCTCGGGTGGGCCACTGGCTTTATCGGAAGGCAGCAAGGGCTCGTCCAAGGGGCCAATGGGCTCATTGCAACGGAGGGGCAAGAATGGAATATAAGCACGGTGTAGAACGATGACCGACAAGAAGTAGACGACATGCATGACAGTATAAGAGGCCAGCGTGGTCTTGTACATAATGTGGGTATCGGTATTTCGGACCGAGTATTGGAGATTGCGGGAGAGGCTGTCCTGGAACTCGTTCAACTGCATCCGCAGCGTTGCGAAGCGCGACTCGGGATGCCATGGGGGGTACTGTTCCGTTCTTCGGCCACCCGCACAGGACCATTTCGCGATGCTTCCCCAAATGCGAATTATGCGAATCACCCTACTCAGGACCGACTCCTCAGCACCAACCTCCCATCGATCGACGTCATCCTCAGTCGAGTCCTTGCGCCGTGAGATTGGCGACCAAGCTTTGCCATCAGGGGTACCGTTCGTAGGGGGGATTTTATCATCACCCAACCCTAAACTCTGCCGAATACTCGGGATCTGCACACCCTGGGCCCCGAAACTTTGTGGGCGACGCACAGTCGGCTCATTTAACCGGGCTGTCCGAACCCGCTCTCCGAAAGCAAAGGCATTATCACTCGGAAGTTGAATTCCGAGATCCTGAATGTTGATCATGCGCGGACGATACTTGCCGCTGCTCAGGCATCGGTCGAGAATGAAACATGCCCAAAAGGTCCGACGCTTGGTTTCTTGTGCAATTACATCATCCGATGTCTGTTCCTTTGGCTCCACTCGACGAAGAAGCCCGAAATGATCAGCCTCGGGCTTGAAGCCCGGGGACGAGCGGGAAAAGTCCCGCGAGGGAAACTCATTCTCCAGCTCAAATGGTAAGCCCATGCTCTGAGCAAGCCGGATCGCCATTCCAACATATACCCATGCGCTCTTACCACGGCACATACCCCATTCATGGAGTGCTAGCATGAGTAGTGCCTGAACTCGGGCCAGGTCGGGCACAGCCAGACTTGCGCCATCAAGGCCGGCCAGCCGGCTTCGCAAAGCTGTCGCGTAGAATTCAGATGCTGCCAGTGGGTTCGATGAGTGTCCGGGTGACGCGGGGGAGTGGAATGCGACGAGAGGAGGGTGGAACCGAGCGGTTAATGCGAGGACTCCCAGCGGGATTAGTGATGAGGACGGATCGGCCTTGGAAGCGACATTGCGCACAGCTTCCTGTCCCTCTACCTGGATCGGGGTTGGCGGTGCTGGGGTGGACAGTTGACGTATTTGCCCGAGGAAAGTGGCTGGGTGGAGGAAAGGTAGGTGTGTAGCAAAATGCGACTGGAATAGATCGAAGACGGCTTCCCATACTTTCGTGGTAAGAATTGAGGCATCGAGGGCATCGAGACCGGCTTTAGATCCTGGTGAAGACCCTGGGATTCCGGGGATTTTGCGCTGGCGTGGCCGCTTCGGTCCATCTCCCCAGTCTCCATTGCGATCCTCCCCATCAACGAGCGCGGCCAGATCTCGCTTATTTCCACTTATGCCGATGGCGGGGGTTGGGTAGACACAGTCTCGGCCGGAGGATTCGCACGCGCGGCAGGTGGTATCGATGCCGGAATTGACGCACTTGATTTTACTGCGCCGGCATCGAGCGCAAGCGATACTGGACCGCATGGTTGTAATTAGGCAGATCCCACGTCTGCGGGCACGATTTCGGGAGTTAAAACGCTCAATCTGGAAAGTGGAATCCCATTTATCACTGTGGATTGCTGTTAAATGCTTGTGGTTTCGCTTGGGTTCACTGTCCGAGTGAGATGGTAGCGATGAATACGGGGAGGTATGAATCTAGACCCTGTTCAAGTGTGTATTGAACCTGATCTATTACCGATGTTAGCATTCTAGATCATTTGCGCAACAATATGTTCCCCATACGTACCTATATGACGGTGTGGACAAGGAAAGAAACCCCAGGAGAGAAGAACCCGAAGGGGGATAGACGGGAATGGGCGGAGTGTGGGGGAAAAGAAAGTCCACGGGGCACCGGGACCGGGAATGCGACTGGAGAAAAGAAGATCGGAAGGGAACGGAGTATGGATAAATCAAAACGGTTTGGAGCCGAGAGCCGCTGGGGAACTGGGCATTTGAAATTGCGGAGGCCCAAGGTATGCAAGGACGCGCGCTGGCTTGATTCGTGGAGAGTGGAGCCCCCAGGTTTTCCGGATGCCGAGCTTTTTAGTTCAATGGGGCTGTATTTTTTACATCGACCGGTATAGATTACCCCATATTTCCTAGTCTTACCCCATGTTCACCTGAAGACCGATTGCTTAATTTACAAACCCGAGGCCGAAATTCAACCACGTAGTATTGGAGAGAGGTCCGAGCTGGGATCTCATGATCCTCTTTTGCTCAACCCAACTTCCCGACAGTGGAACATTTCCAGAGGGTGACACCGTGTTGGTCCAGGTCTAGATGGAACTGGCTCAAATACCAATCCCACGGTCACTTCCCGCTCCATACGGGAACTATTAGAAGCAAAGAGGAAATTGAAATCTGGTATGGGTGGGGAAAGACCCAAAATATGAGAGATCGGACGACATCACTTTCTCCAGGATCATCCCGTCCTTAAGGTACACGGACCCTGGTCTTCCGATCGGCAAATGGCTGGATCTCGTACAAAAGATGACAGCGTACATTTCCCCGAGTCGGGAAGTCCACATCTGGCTAACGGAAATGATGGACAAAAGTCGGAGGGTACAGCGAGAACGGTTAGACCCAAATGCACTCCACATGAGGGATTCTAGGGCTTAGACTCCCACATGGCCTGGGGAAAAGCCACGGAGCCACGGATTCATTGATATACCGAGGAGGCAAAGAGAAAAAGGAAAAAAAGAGGGGAACATGTTCGGACTTCCCATCTGTGATCCCTCGGGTAGACATTATCGTAACTTTCTTCCCCCCCCAGACTTGACAAGCACACGACCGGGGCTCCCCGCAGGGACAAGAAGATCCACGATTGATCCTCGTTCCTACACTCCGAGAGTTACATCAGTACTTGGTCCCTCGCTAGGATCGGCCTACTATTTTCGCTTGATTGACGGAGGGCTCCGTCATGTCATCGTGTCACCCCTAGGCACAGCTTCCCGGGCCCCCGGTCTTTCATTCTTTCGGTCCAACCAATATGGACGGAATCTCACCGCAATGCGATGATCATACCCTAGACCTCGTTCAAACTGCAGCAAACGAGAGAACCCGATGCCGAGCTGCATGGGTGATCCGAGAAACTTAGAACCTGTTTACAATATTATTATGTACGGAGTAGAGCCCAAGCCCGTAATCCACAAAAATGAAATAAAAATAAAATGCCCCCCTTGCTGTCAGGAATGAACGGGAAAGTCATACACCGAGCATTTTATTTTTCCCCCACGGCAGTCCCGTCGATTCTCGGCCCCGTCCGACTCACAGCTGTGATTGGTCCCCAGCCTCCGAAGCGTGAGCGAACCGACCCCGGCCAACCCCGCATTTCCTAATTTCATATTACGTAAGGCCGGCTATGGCCCGAAATTCCCTTACAGTGATGGGGCCCACTGGTATGTGCTGTTTTAGCTGTTTTAGGGAAATCATTCGGGTCTAAATGATGTCTCTTTACGTACCAGTGGAGAAAAACAGAAATACCGTAAAGCCATCATGTGCCAATCCCGAGACGGGATATTCCTTTTGCCTCGTGTCAAGCCCTCGGTGGGTCCTGTATTTGACTTTTCCCCGGTGGATATTCTGTTCCTCGCAAAAGGGCCGGTTCAGTGATGCGGAGAAACACAAAAAGCAAAGCTTAAAAGGGAAATTTAAGCGCTGCTTTCCCATTCCCCGGTCTCTGCAACCATAACCATGTTGCATACTGTCATTGTAAATCTTCCCCACATCTGACTCCGATGACATTGTTCTCTTGTAATTATAAATGAAAACTCGGGTCATTCCCCGACTTCTCGGCTCCCCATTCCCCTTTTCATTTTCCAAATTCCCTTATGCTTTTTTTCTGGTCTTGGCTTGGGGCCATGTACACCCACTCATAAGCTTGGGGGTAACCCAAACCCGGGTCAGAACCAAACCCCCAACATGACCCAATGAACCAGTATAAAACCCTCCAGCTGACCAGCAAAAAAAAAAAAAAAAGTGGCCCCCTCTGGAGATTTACCCAATTGATGATCCTTCTGCCCTTTACCCGATCCTCGACCGGGGCCGCGGCCCTGGCTCCATGAGAATCAGCAGGGAAAATCCCGCGCTCGGATTACCGAATCGGTCTGTCATGGCAAGAGAAGCCTGTTTGATGGGAGATCTTTACTTAAAACTAACCTCTTGATGATTTCCCTGCTGAAAATGCAGGTGCAGAATCGAGCTACAGGTGGATGCAGAAACTACGTGGACCCTGGTATTAACGTAATTCAAAAATCTCACTTGTTGTTTTCTCGAATCTAAGAACATCCGGAAAATAACCGATCGGCTTCTGCGGGATCCTATCCTGACGCGGAGCCGACTCCGACCGTCAGCCCAGGCCAGCCCGCGTAGCTTGACTTTCTCTCAACAACCCTGCCAAACAAAAGGGGCCTGTAAATACATAGCTATTGAATGCCAGTCCCAAATTCAACCATTAGCCAAGGTCATTGTCCTTAACCCCCACGTATGTCATCAGGATTCAGATCCCGATCGTTTGATTACATCCCACAAATCCCCACATCGGGTTCGGGTAAAAAAATCCAGGCACAGTGGGATCCCGATTCCGAGTGCCCCGATGGTTATGTCATGCCTACCGGGCTTGATTGTTTATCCATTAAATTTTCTGGCTTCGTCATGTGTGATGTTATCCACGTTTTAATGACTTTGTGCTTACGCCACGGTCGGCTATTGCTGGGTAGTGATTTTTTGGATTTTCTTTTTTTTTTTTTTGTGGCTATCGGACTCCGTGGACGGCTTGTGTGGACAGGGTAAGGCTTGTGTGTGGACAAGGCATGGCTTGGCGTGTGGACAAAGCACCAAATTCCACCGTAGCAACCGGGATAATTTAATTTGGCTAAGTTACGGAAACACATTAGCCTGCATCTAGAAGCCGTCCCGGGGCTAGTTGCTGGGCTCCCCGTACGGGTAAATTGACTACTAAATTAGTCTTAGCAACGTTTGAGTACGGGGAATTTGGGAATGGTCTCGTGCCTATCACTTGCCTCAGGTGTCTACCTTGTCACTTTCTCATCTTTTCGGATTTTCTTCACAGATCCAACTTATGCAATAGACCAGGTACATTGGCTGAGTAATAAGGAGCCATTCGAGTGAACGTCAAATTCAGCATGTCACTCCCGAGGTCGAGCAAGTAACAAATGACTATCTCACAATCCTTATCCAGGTACTTTTTGACCACGGCACAATCATCTTTATCTCATAATTATATATCACACTTTTCACTCGCATTCATATTGTATCAATAGGCACGAGATCGCCTTTCCGCGCTCAAATGCTAGCTGACGGTGGATTGAAGTCTCCCTCCAGAGCTCTCAGCTCAAAATATCTCGTTATAGTTCGAAGCGGTGCCTTTGAAGCTACTGTACCCTCAAAACAACTTGTAAGGTATGGTGCCGTTTGCAGAATTAGAAAAGCAGTTTCTTCTGCCATGGCCAGGTTCTTTTCCAATGAGTCAACCTGTGTGCCAGATAACTTTTGCTGGAGTTTGATCATTCCCATAAGAAGTTCCAGACGAAAAGACCAAAAGGCAATAGCAAGTCCTGCCTTTTGGGTATTTCGGAAGCGAACTTGGTATGTTTCAGTTGGGAAAGAGGGTATGCAAACTGGGTCGATGTCGACCAACTTGCTGGATATTGGGATATTAGAATGCCAGTACAGGGGACCTTGTTCAGAAGCTTTCCAGTTGCTTTCCCACTCTTCCAGTTGATCAAAGACCGCCCAATAGTCATCTAAAAGTGAGAGAGCGGTTTCTGGGTTTTCCCTCGGGGATTCTGAGAGGTCTGCGCGGCTGGAGTCGTTGGGAGCAGAATGTTCAAGCCCATAGAACCATCGATTTGTTTGGTAGAAGAGCCGTGGTATTTGCAACGCAATATCGTGGAGAAGCTCCTTTTTGGTCTTCCGAATATTCAGAAATGGGAGGCGAATCCAATCTGAATCGGCTAAGAAGGTTGGATTATGTCTGTCAAGTCTAACAGAAAGCTGTAGGATCGTTAGTGAAAGCAGAAGCGACGGATACTAGAGGCATACAAAGACCCCCCTAAATCCACTAAAAGCTTGTCGCATTTGTGGTGAAGAGCAATTGCGCGGCCCATAGAGCTCTAAGATGCTTAACACACCGCGGATGTGGGCCAAAAGGGCTACTTCTGAGTACTCATTTTCGTTCACGAACTAGAAAAAGTGTTTAGGAAAAGAAGTTTCGCTTCTTTCCTATTTGGGGACCTGAATCTCACCTCAAATACTAGAAAAGCTATAGCTAATAGCAAGATTAATTCAATGTTGGCCTTTTGTTGAGCACCGCGTTGGCCATTCTCTATGACCTGCTGGATATGTGGACGAGCCTTTTTCAAGGCGGACGTATACGATGACTGTGCGAGCTGTGCTAGCTTTATGTCGTTTTTCAGGTTCCCCATATAAGTCGTGAGGAGACTGAAGATTGGTAAAGCGAGCGAGTCATTCCGCAAGCGTGTGAGCGGCAGTAAAGCTCGAATGCACAAAGCTGCGCTCGAATAATTGGGGTCGGCTCGCGATATTCTATCGCCGCTGAAGATGCCCCCTTGGGAACCAGGCTTAAAGTCTTCAATAAGTGCCAAGAGCGTCAAGCGCCCAGGAAAATCAATGGATTTCATATCAGAGGGTAGACTTGGCTTAGCAGCAGCTGGAGTAGTTCTTCGGGATGGAGAATCATCCGAGCCACTTGAGCTCTCAACGCCAGCGGCGATTAAGCTCGACTTTCTTCTATTTTGTAATGCATGGACTAGCGCTTTTTTATCGCTTTGTTGGGTCAGATTTGCAGCGTTTCGATTGATGAATGTCCGTGAATCTTTCGGGCTGTTACATTTAATACCAGCTTTGCTGCACCGAAGACATTCAGGTTTGTTCAGATCACACTTGTTGTATTCAGCATAGCTACAGAGCTTCTCTAGACATGGAACAATATCCTTACCTTCTTGCGGCGTCGGCGGCATTCATCGCATCCTCGAGAAGCTCCGGGGTAAAGCGGCATGGCGCGACCTGGCCACTAGCAGACAGCCTGAGAGACTCCAACGTGGGCCACTTATTTCAATGGCGCTCAGTGACTGCCAAATATGTGTTCAAAGTAAGTCTCAAGAGATAACACATCTCGTAGAATGATTGTGAGCTGCGTTATCCACGGTTACCTCATGACGTCCGCCAGCGCTAGTCCCAAAATGGAAGTCACAGCGCCTCTACACAACTCATGCGTAATCTAGGGAGTCTTCCTTTTTTGTTGAATAATAATTTACTGCAACTCGCAATAATCAAAAAACCGAACACCGAAGGTTTATAAATCAGATAATGAGGGACAGGATATAAAAGTGCAGACTAGGTGCTCTGGTTTAACTTGCCTTGCATTACACAAACATTCCAAGGTTTTACTCAATCGTTTGCAACAATGAGCTCTCATACTGCTGTCCTTCTTATTGATCCGCTCAATGACTTTCTCCATCCCGATGGAAAGTTGTACCCTCTCGTCAAGGCTAGCTTGGAGTCGTCCAACTCTTTCGAACATATGAAGGAGCTGGTGGCCGGCGCAAGAGCAGCCCGCATTCCTATTTTCTATGGTCTTCATCAGATCACCAAGGATGGAACTTACTCAGGCTGGAACCACATGAATGAGTTGCATGTTCAAATCAAAGAGAAAGTGACATTCTCCGAAGATTTTGGTGGCCAGATTCTGAAAGAATTAGAGCCTCAGCCTAGCAATGGCGATGTAGTTGTCTCTCGACACTGGAACAGCAGGTAATTATTGGAAGACCAATATTTCGAATCCTTCTCTTTTTAGATAGCGATACTGATCCATATAACACTAGTTCCTTTTCAAACACTGACCTGGACTATCAACTTCGGCAGCATGACATAACTCACGTTGTGTTGGCAGGCTTAACCACCAACACATGTGTGGAGTCTACTGCGCGTGCTGCTCGCGAACTGTGCGTATTCTTCACTTGCCCGATTTATATGTTGGGCGCTTTACTAATATTGATTCCTAATTGACTAGTGGCTTCCATGTCACTTTGATGTGAGTTTCAATCTACTTCTGATGTTGAATGGTGAAGGTATTGTAACGAGGTTGCTAACTTTTGAATCAGTACCGACGCAACTGCGGCATTTTCGATTGAGATGAAAGATGCAGCAGTCAATCTGATTTGGCCCGCGATCGCTGACCAGCTTATGACTGCCAATCAGTGGATATCTTCCTTCTCAAAGGGGCGTATTTGAGTGTGGAAACTTCAATTAGGGGTCCAGTATATATGGACCTATGCTAGTCAATGTTTTGGCTCCAGTGCTCCGGTGTCATTTGTGTTTACCTGAACCAAGGAATGCAAACTTAGACTACTCTACATCCATGCTTTATAGACAGAGCATGTCTTTGTTGCCCTAAATGCTTGAGGCTTACTGACCCATGCTCGAATTGCCAAGCCGTAGAGTATGATGATCGCCATCGACTTTACAGTCACCATTCTTACCCCAATAATCCGTTGGTTATGCAGAAAACCTTCTGAGGCCCATAAAAGTATTCAATCCGCAAGTAAAGAGGGTCTCTTTTCAAGGTTGCTTACTCAATTGCTTTTCAGACCCTACAATAATATGCTGTACCTATGTGAGGAGTATATGCACTCGAAAGCCTCGAAATCTACAGTGCAGAAAAGGATCTCAGTTTCACGGGAGATCATATCCAACACTCAACCATTCCATGTTGAACAAATACCCGGGCTATAAGGCATTTCGGGGACCTACGATAGTTTACGGAATCAAGCATTGTATTATAATTTAGTCGCATAGATATTTTGAAAAGTTGTCAAGTAGTTATGAAATAATACATAAAGAATGGAATAGAAACCAAGAGATAGATTACCACTACTAGTCATGCAGCCATACACCTGGTGGCTACCAAGCTAATAGAACCAAGCAGCAAGGGCAATAAGCAAATACATAGTCATGAGCAAGACACCCTCAAGCCAGTGGGACTTGCCATCACCGATGAGGTAGTTGACCTTAAACAGTATTAGCTGGGAGATTTAAAGTTTCTTTGGAGAAGGGTTACTTACCAGAAGAACGGCAACGAAGAGCAGGATGACTTGGAAGTTGTCGAATGAGAGAGTCTGTTTCAGGAAGTCAGTGTCAAGTAAACTTAATATTGGGATCCAGACACAGGATTCGTACCATGTCATCAACACCCATGCACCATCCAATGACAACGACCAGCGGAAGCACAAGCAGGGCAATCTGCATACTGGATCCGACGGCCACACCGATGGCGAGATCCATCTTATCCTTGCAGGCGACTGTGACGGCTGTGGCGTGTTCCGCTGCATTACCGACGATAGGTAGGAGGATAAGACCGACGAAGGTCTCGCCGATGCTACCAGTAGCAGTCAAGGCACTGATGGAGTCGACCTAGGGAATAATCGTATTAGTCACACGCTTATACTAGATCGCTGGATGGAACCTTGCAAGCAAATGCATCTTTACTCACCATGAACTCGGCACAGACACCAACAAAGGCAGTTGAGATCACAAGTGTAAGCGCGGCAACCCAGATATGCAACTGAGGCTGATCGGGCTCATCATCTGGATCCAACACCTGCATTTGCTGTGCGTGTTCACCGCCCATCGTGCCGGCGCTCATCTTGCCGATTTGTGCAAGGTTACGGGTAGTGTCGCCTTCAGTGACCTTTTGGCGACGTTTCTCGACCTTCGGGCTGGGACGGTTGTAGATCTCAACATGAGACTTAAGTTGGAAGAAGAGGTAGCAGGCGTAAACGACGAGGAGGAGAATACTGGTGCCTCGAGACAGAGGTGCAACTTTATCCGCGTGACCTGTGGAATCTTGATAGATATTAGCTTCTGTTGATATTATTCACTGACAAATTGAGGGAGAAACTGACCGTCAGACCAGCTGAAGGCGGTAGGAATGATCAAAGCGGCAACGGCGATGGCGAGGATACTGGCGGCTGTTTGGGCCACGGTGACGTTGAAGTGTTGCTCCATGCGATTGATACCGCCGAAGAAGAAGCACATGCCCATGACGAGCAGCAAATTCGACAACATACTGCCGATGAGAGAAGTTTGGACAATGACGACTTCCTTCTTCACCAGCGCGATGATAGCGACGATCAACTCGACGGCATTACCAAATGTAGCGTTCAGAAGACCACCAATGGTCTCACCGGTTCGCAAGGCAATCTCTTCGGTTGCAAAACTGAGCATAGCAGCCAAGGGAATGATAGCAATGAAGTTAACCACGAAAATAGCAACCGGTTGCACATCAGCAGCATACAGCCCAATACCAACCGGCGCCGCAATGAAGAGAACATTGATCCAAGAATTGAAGATAGTCGCCCTCAACTGCGAAGCAACCGTAAATTTAGGAGGCTTTCTTTCCTCCGTCTCATCCTTCAATTCTTCCTCCGTTGACCCACGCTTGAATCGACCGAAGACACCTTTCCGCTGCCTAGTCTTGCCATTTCCTTCTTCAGTTTCCGGTTCAAGTCCCCGCTCCGAGGCAACGTTGATAGGGTTCTGGCTACCAATCGACGGCTCGTTGCGCTCAGCGCTAGCTGCCGTGAATTGATCGCTGCTGGCTGTTCCGGGTGGAAATGTATTGGCGTAGTTGGGCACAGTCAAACCGTCAGTTTCAAAGTCCTGCTTCCGGCGCTGGTCTTCTGATAGGGAGAGATCGTTCACGCTGCGCGTCTGAGCCTCTAGTTGAATAGAGCGCCTCCGTTGTGGGCGTCTGCGGAACTTCTTGAATGGATTGCGGGAAGGTTCTTCGTCTTCCCCGTCGTACCATGCATTTCTGCGTGCCTCGCGTCGATAGATATCTAAGGCCATCTTAGTATGGGTGTTGATGAGTATGAACCAAAGTGTGAGGTATGATAGTTTCTTGGGTCGAGCAACATTTGGTTATTAAAAGACAAAAAGCTTGAAGACTTACGCATTATGAAAGTGCGAGGTATCGATTGGGATATTAATTGGGCTTTGATATGATCTTTCTGAAGGATGTGTCAATGAATGTTCCTTACTCTCGCTTCGTTGTGTTTGTGCCAGATATAGCCCAACCTTGGAACCAGTAGAACTCTGGAAGGCGAGGCGCAGGGATCAGGTTTTATCAGAGAAAGCGACAGCCTGGTCAGACTGGCATCGCCTCACCGCTGGCGTAAGCGCGCGGAATAAGACTTACAAGTGTGAAAGTCTGTTTCAAAGAGGAAATAGCATACGAGGCTCACTGGGTGGAGTGAAGCTTGAAGGTGGCTGAGGGTCTCGAAGCCACAGGATGATATTATGGGGATAATCAAAGGATTCAGGTTCCAATTGAGATTCTCAAAGGTAGGGAATTCGCCAAACACCAATCCAAAGGGTGGAGCGGGCGAAGCAAGGGAGGGATGGGATCAAACAAAGAGCGACATTCACACCAAAAGTGCGAGAAAGAAAAAAGAGATAATCAAAGGGGCTGTCGGTAAAGAACTGGGGGAAATTGGGAAATTGGGTTTGTATGCTGTTGCGATTCCTTTGGATTTTCCATCCAGTGTGGCTGTGTCCCAGGGGCGATCGCAATCAGGTGGAGTTGAAGCTTGGCACTTCGGCACTATAGTCACTATTGCGACGCCAATGGAGTTTCAGAATAAATCATTTGAATTGCAAAGTTTTGTCTAATGAGCCCGTTAATATATACCAGATTGCGTTGTCCTCCTGGGAATCATGTATCAGACTGCCAAGGGAAAGAGTGCGCTGGCGGAGAGCCACCAAAAACCTAAATACCAAGAAATACAAGAGTGCTTCACGGGTTGAAGCTTCCTGTCCATATCTTGGGCTCTTGGCAGCCATCACATCATTATTCGGTAATGATCTCTGGGCCCAATATTCAGTGACAGGTTAGGTCACACCGCATGGATTTCAGGATTTGATGGCTCGCAATTGACATTTGTGGCACATTACACACGGCCACGCCATACCTCGGTCGCTGATTGGACATAGGGGTTTGCAAGACTTCCCTTCATTTGTTGTCCCGCTATTGGGTGGGTCCAAGCGGCGCATCGAGCAATCAGAACACGGCAATAGGAAGCGATTCCAGGCCAACCGCCACAACCCCCTTGTCCATTTCTGTAGAAACAGCCACGTCGCGTCCGATGAGAGTCACGTGTTCTTTTTTGTTCGGAACGCATTGGCATGCGTAGGCACCTGATGGGGATTGACCGTACTTATATCCATGGTGAATATAGTATCGCCCGGGTGAAATATTTTTCAATGTGCCTGCGATACGACTTGTCAGCATGAGGCTGCGAGTCGCAACACAAGATACGTCGGTGGCTTTGACATCTGGGGTGATCCGCTGTGAACGACGCACAGACGGGAAATACCGGAGTGGCAGTACAGTACAGGACAGCCCCCTAGCCACATTCCCCCAGAGCCCTTACACTGTAGATCATGTCAGGCGCCAAAATTCGAGCGATCGGGTCATCGTCTCTGCAGTCGACGAATCGAAACCCCTATGTGTGTTGGCGCCCGTAGTGATCAGCGGGCCCGAGCAGGCTTATGTGATAGCCTGAAGATGGGCATGAAAGCGTGATGAAAGGCCCAGGATTGATATTTCCAGAGGTCTTCAGGTGGAAATAAGCACAAGCGCTAATTGACGGACGCTGGAGACATTTATTCTACGATCTTCTTTGCGGGTTTTCTGCATTATGTTGCTGCCTGCGCTTACTATATTTAGTGTGGAGCACTTACGCAGCTAGAGATCTGCTTTCTACTGTACAGCTTATGGACCTATAAGATCGGGCCTCAATGACAAAATGTTGATTTTGGACCCTACCGCAAATACAGTACTTTCTTGTGAGAGTGCTTTAAATATGCCCAAGTGTATCAGTCCGGGTGCAGATATTGATCCCTGGATATGTCTTCCAAGATTAAGGGTAACATGGAAATATATATAGAATTATTTGAAACACCAAGTCCCAAGGTAAACATTCGACTTTGAAATTTCAATTTGGAACTGGACTGACATAACAGCATGCCAAATGCCAATCTCCAGCCTGGAAGGCATCCTAATCTCAGTAACAGACTGCCCAACTTTCTCGTCTTGATGCTTATTTTAATCGCGCCCAGGCAGACTTTCAGGTGCTAGCTTAGATTCGACGGAAAATTGGAATTTTAGGCGGAGATAGAATTTTGTTTCAAATCCACAAGGCCCTTTATTTGTTGAATAGCAGGGGAACAGTAGCGACATTTTAGAACCGTGGTAGGGTAAGAAGGATGTGGTAGAGAGACATTGTTCATTAAAACAGCGGATATGGACAGATAGAAGCATAATCGGGTGCTTACTGAATCAGACAGACCTGTTCTGTCATGCACTCAGGGTTGCCCAAGAAAATACGATACTTTACAACAAATGACACCTCATATTCTAAACACCAACAATCAGTGCAGACTAACTATGCACTGATGATCACAGTACGTAAAGGAACGCACTATCCGTACAAGGCACAAGGAATGATTTATGATAGACCAACGAGAATTGAATGAGTACGTGTTCTTCTATCCATGACCTCACATAAATTCACACCATTTTGAGAGTAGCGGAATATTTTGCTTCGTCCTGCAAACGAGTCCCCGGGTCTATAGAGCTTGGCTCGAATATCTTTCAGGCGGCCAATCGCGGGAATCGTCGTTATACTGTGTCTCGCCAGATCTCCCTAGCTGACGAACACAACATCAAGATAAAAAATGAAGAACTTGACCTTGACTATGATAAAGGTGATGCAGCTCACCCCTTCACCAAGTACAGCACCCCAACGTAGTCATTTCCTCGGTCGGAGGACCCATAAGACATAATCTACAAAGTCAGCTCGCACATCTCAACAAACCGTCACAAAGCAAAAGTCATTCTACCTAATGATGAAAACTCATCGCGTACCTCTTCCCAAAACTGGGCATCGAGCTATAAGATCAGTGCTGATCGCCGCGCCTCCGGAGATGAGAGCTTGATGCAGTGAGTTGAATTTAAAAGGAGGAAAATTGCACTGAACAAGACTTACTCGTTTAAGTGGCAGGGCAAGACGTATGCGGTAGCAAGAATGCGGGCTCGGAGACTGGTGTCGCTGAATTGACGGTGATACTACGATATTGTAATGTTGTTGAGAAGAATGAGTTTGTTGTCGCTACCTATATTGCCGAGAAGGCTTTGGGGAGAGGAAGGGCGCTCCTATGTTTCGAGAAAAAAAAATTGATTTGAGTAATATTGTTGTAATAGCAATTGCTAAACGTGTTTCCTCACAATGATGGAAGCTGTAGATATGTGCTGCCGATAAAGCAAACTTCCGTCATTTATGGCAGACCATTTTTGAGACTCCATTTTCTCAGAAGACTTATGTACTTTGACACCCATAGCGCAGTAGTTTCAAGCTAGAGGGTCCTGCACCTCTTCGAAGGAACATTTATAGGCTACCACAATCAAGGAAGGCCTGATTGATGAGAGATCCACGGTGCACAGGTAGACATAAGAAGTGTCACTTCATCAGCCCTGTAGGACTCAGAAATACGAATTCTGTCAGCTGGCCATGTCAAAACGTTGGAGCGAAAATAGACTCTAGTGCTATTCAACGATAACGATGACAGACTACCAGTATGCTATAGTGGACCAATGGTGCACTTTGATTGCACTTGGTATCACAACTTCATAGGGAGCTGCATTGAGGGGTTATCAACAAAAACCAAAAACTGGTTCGATCTATTCTTGGAGGTATAGTCCCACATAATGTAGACCTCAGGAGAGATTTATCAGTATCGGAATCAACTGGTAGGTAAAATTTGCCAAATATTGGTAAGGACATAGTTTCAAATATGGATGAAAGACTGGTGTCGGATTGAAGTATAAATGGATCGGAAAACAAACAACTCGGCCCCTTCCTTCCTAGGTTAGTTTTAAGCCTTGGGGATTGGGGATTGGCGCTGCTAGAGCTCCATTTGTAGATCACAAGCTCGCAATATTCAGGAGAAATAGACGAAGAGGGATCGAAGATCACAGTGTGTCCTACAAATCCCAAATTGATTTCCCGTGTTCTGCATTTTCAGGGCCATCTCCACTCGGGCAGTCTTATGATTCATGTATAAAGCCAAGGAGTTTCGTACTCCGGGATTGAGTGCGACCGTACAAAACCAACCAAAGTTCAACGAAAGATTTAGGGAGAGTATCACAGATATACTCTATTGTGCTACGTTATGGAGCAGACGCATGGTCGATCGTAGCTGACATGTTTGTGGCGGCGAACGCGAGGGATCACCATAATGATGTACTGATATGCGCGACCCACATTTATTACCCACAGTGATAGTCAGGGGAAATTCAAAGAGGAAAAGGCAGCCATTTTCTTGACCAGCCAAGTCGAATCATGCCTTTGCTCCGTGACGCAATCGGGGCCCTGAATCAACGCTGTCTACAAACACTTGAGCCGTCCCGTCAAGGCGGGCCAACCCACGCCCCACTCGACTTCCTAAGAAAAGGCACGCTTTTTAGAATATTTCTGACTGGCTCAAGTAGTACCCGCCAAAAATAAATGTAAAAAACAATGTAAACTCAGATCAATGTCAGAACGTTTCTGCCTGGTCATTCACATGGGAAATTCTGGAATGCAACCCGTCACGTCTCCGTCTCCATGGTCTCCATAATTTGGCAGAAAGCTAGTTGAGATAAGCGATGGCAGAGAGGGCACGGACATTAGACGCTTTGGCTAGGGGCAATGGCAAGGTGGTACATATTCAAGTCGGATCTCGTGGCACGGCGTGGCATGGCTATTCCAAGGTTGAGACAAAATGTGGAATGAGACAATGCTCCGACATCAGAGCCATGTTGGCATTCCTTTCGACATCATCGCGACATTCACCTACTCTGCAGTAGATCGCCTTGGCAGCGAAGGACAAGCTTTTTGGTGTTGCGACTCCAGGTCCAAAGGGGGATGGACAGGGGAAGATCTAGAGAAAAAGTGTATTTCCATGCATTGTTTTGATACGGGATCCATACGGTGGATGTATTTATCCGACACAGAAATTGGTCGATTCCATGGGTGCTTTGCCTGTTTCTATTTATTTATCAATCCCATAATTTCCCGCATAAAGCAGGATTGTGTATCGGAAAGTGGAGCCTAAACCCTTTGGCCACTCAGGGTCTTCCAATCCACTCGCAACCCTGGGCCCCCAAGAAACAGGACCCTCGAAAGACCCTGAGACGGCCCAACCAGGGTCCAATATGACCAGAGTGTGGGTCTTACGCGGCTTACTAGCGAATACAATGGAGGAGCAGGTCTCAGGGGTGCGCTAGAACGACGCAGGGTCATTGGTGCAGGGTCCGTTCGGGTGGATCCATCAGGGACCGAAACAATCAAATAACTCCTAGTGGAAGTGAGAAGTGGAGCTCAGGGACCAATGACCCTGAAACCCTCGATATAATCGGTCTCACATCTTTCGCGAGGCTGGATCCATGCCAATCATTTCAGTTAGAAGTGGCATCCGCACATCAATGGAGCTGGCACAGCCCACTGATGATGCGTCGTTACTTTGGCAGTCCTGTATGTACCTGCATAGGGAAAAGTGACCTATCATTGTAGGGACTTTCCAGCGTAAGGGCAAGTACCTAAAGCTCTCAGGGTACACACCCCGGACCATCCGGTGCCCTTTCCCTTTCCCGAGCCCAGACCCCCAACCCCTACTCTCTGTTTCTTTTTCTCTCCCTTTTCAACTTCTTCTCTCCCCTCTTCTTTTCCCCAATTCCATTCGCTTCTCTTATCCCACTACATCCACGAAAGGCTCTGTCCTCTCAGTCATTCTTTTGGAGTTTTTCTATTTTTCAATCCCGACGCTCGCTCCACGATGAAGTACTCCATCATCGCTGGTCTGTCCCTCTTGGGATCGGCCATGGCGACTGTGCCCTCCATTGAGATCAAGGGCAAGAAGTTCTTCTACTCCAACAACGGTACCGAGTTCTACATCCGTGGTGTTGCCTACCAACCCGACTACAACGCCCGCAATGGCGGTAGCTCCGACACCGACTACACTGACCCGCTGGCCGACGTCGAAAGCTGCAAGCGTGATATCCCCTACCTTACTCAGCTGCGCACCAATGTCGTTCGTACTTACGCCGTCAACCCCAACTCCTCTCACGACGAGTGTATGAACGCCCTTGCCGATGCCGGTATCTACGTTATCAGCGATTTGTCCTCCCCATCGGAGTCCATTGAGTCCAGCGACCCCATGTGGAACGCCGACATCTTCGATCGTTACTCCTCTGTCGTTGATGCTTTCGCTCAGTACCCCAATGTCATTGGTTTCTTCGCCGGAAACGAGGTCTCCAACAGCGTCAACAACAGTAACTCCATGGCCTACGTCAAGGCTGCCGTTCGTGACATGAAGACCTACATCAAGCAGAAGAACTACCGCTCCTCTCTGGCCATTGGTTACGCCACTGATGATGACGCCAGTGTCCGTGAGAACATTGCTAACTACCTGGTTTGCGATGATGCCTCTGACTCCATTGACATGTTCGGTTACAACATCTACGAGTGGTGCGGTGACTCTTCCTACAAGACTTCCGGATACCAGGCCCGTACCGAGGAGTTCAAAGACTACCCGGTCCCTGCTTTCTTCTCCGAGTATGGCTGCAACAAACCTAGCCCTCGTACCTTCACTGACGTCCCCGTACTCTACGGCCCTGATATGGAGAACGTCTGGAGCGGTGGTATTGTCTACATGTACTACGAGACTGACAACGACTACGGTCTGGTTTCCACCTCCGGAACCGTCGTCTCCACCTTGACCGACTTCGAGAACCTGTCCTCCCAGATGAAGAAGGCTACCCCCACCGGTGTCGCCATGAGCGACTACTCTGTCTCCACCACTGTTGGTCGCAGCTGCCCCACTGTCCAGGCTGATGAGTGGCTCGCCGCTAGCAACCTGCCCCCCGCCATCGACTCATCCCTCTGCTCTTGCATGTACGACTCCCTGACCTGTGTTCCCGTTGACGGCATCTCCTCCAAGAAGATGTCCAGCACCTTCAGCTACCTTGGTGGTGAGGATGGTGTCATGGACGGTGTCATTGGTAACGGTACCAGCGGTGTCTACGGTGCCTACAGCGGATGCACCGCCAACCAGCGTCTGGCCTTCGCCATGGACCAGTACTACAAGAAGAACGACAAGTCCGCATCTGCCTGTGGTTTCAGTGGTGCCGCTACCACCAAGTCTGCCACTACCGCCAGCGCCTGCAGCTCCCAGCTGAAGGCCGCCGGTACTGCCGGCACTGGCACCGTTAGTGGCTCCCTTAACGCTGGCTCCACTGCCACTGGCTCTGGCTCTAGCTCTGGTGCCACCTCCAGCGGTGCCGCTGGTGTTTCCACCTCCCCCCAGGCTGTCTTCATTGGTGCTTGGCAGACCGGTCTTTACGGCCTCGTTGCTCTTGCCACTGGTGCCTTTATGATCGCGCTGTAAATTTCAAATGACTTGCTTTATTTTCTTTATCCTGCGATGTGATTTGAATATGGTGCCCATTGTATCATTGATCCGCGCGCATAAAATGGCGCCTTTTCTTGTATCCGTCTTAGTTCGGCAATCTGTTCATATATAATTTTTTTTCGCCCAATAGCAACCTGGTGTTCATTTGTTCTCAACCATACCTTATCTGAATTATCTCTTTCCCGAACATATTTCTACATGCTTTATCTACGTAGCCTAGCATCAGGAAGCAAGTACGTGGGTATATACATTATGATATAACTCCAAACGTCGAATACTGCGCCGTTTCGAATAAGTACCCTTAATCCTGGAATGTGGTGTTCAACTGACAGTGCGTGACATTCAGTCAACAATCCCCTTTAAATTGAATAGAGTATTAATGTAGCTACTTAGGTATGAATAGAAATGAAAGAAACGAGACGCATCAGAAATCCGAAGAAACAAATCCGAAGAAACCAAAAAAGGCCAGATCATATAACAGCCCTGTCCTACACTCCCTCTGGCATCAAAGAAGGCAACATAGCCGCCACAGTCTGCACATCCTTATCACCTCTTCCAGACAGACAAATAACAATATCCTTGTCAGGTCCAAGCTCCTTGGCAACCCGAACCGCACCTGCAACAGCATGCGAACTCTCCAATGCAGGAATAATTCCCTCGGTCTGGCTAAGCAACTGGAATGCATCAAGCGCGTCCTCATCAGTAGCGGCAATGAATCTCGCTCGACCAGTATCCTTCCATGCAGATAACTCAGGTCCAACGCCAGGATAATCCAGACCAGCAGACACAGAATGGGTAGAGGTAATCTGCCCATCATCATCCTGAAGCACATAAGTCCTGACACCATGGAGGACACCAACACTTCCCCGTCCCAGAGTAGCAGCATGTCTGCCCGCATCAACTCCGTCCCCACCGGCTTCGACACCAACAAAAGCAACACCCTCATCTTTAAGGAATGGATAAAACATTCCCGCGGCGTTTGATCCACCACCCACACAAGCTACCAGCGCATCAGGCAGTTTCCCATCCATCTCCTCCATAAACTGCGACCGAGTCTCCTCCCCAATAACAGATTGCATTGTCCGTACAATAGTCGGGTACGGGTACGGACCGAAGGCGGATCCGATAACGAAATGCGTTGTCTTGAGATCAGTAACCCAAGTCCTGAATGCCGCATTCACAGCATCCCGCAACGTTCCCTTCTCGCCTTCATGAGCACCAGGAACAGGGATAACAGTCGCGCCGAGTAAGCGGATCCGGAAAACGTTCAAGGCCTGTCGGCGCACGTCTTCGGCACCCATGAAGATGGTACACTTCATTCCGAAGAGTGCACATAGAGTCGCTGTAGCAACACCGTGTTGACCGGCGCCTGTCTCCGCAATGATAGCTGTTTTGCCTAGTCGGCGTGCGAGAATGATCTGTCCGAGTGCGTTGTTGATCTTATGACTTCCTGTGTGGTTGAGGTCTTCACGCTTTAGCCAGATACGGGCACCGCCTGCGTGGGCGGTTAAACGTGACGCTAGGTGGAGGCTGGAAGGGCGGTTGGCGTATGCGGCGTAAGATCGGATCTCGGCCCAGAAGGCTGGATCGGCTTTGGCGTTTTTGAAGCCTGTTTCAAGCTCGGTGAGGCATTCCATTAGGGCTTCTGGGACGTATTGGCCACCAAATTGGCCGAAGCGCATGTAGTTGTCGGTTGTGCTGGTCTCTGGGGTATCGGCCGGAGTCGATGCATGCATCTCACCCGCTGAGCTGGGAGCAGAAGTAGGAGTAGCAGTAGAAGCAGGAACTTCTATGTTCCTCGCCTCCTTCCGTCCACTCACATACATACAATAATCTTTCACCTTCTCCGCTGCAGTATCTGGTTCGGCATCTCGCGCAACAGTAATAATCTTGCTCCCAATAACAACACCCTCCGCGATATTGGCCACATTGATAAAATGCTCCCGAGTATTGATACCGAAGCCCACAACGGCGGGGATTCTATTGTTGGTGTATTTATGCACTCGTGCAAGAAGACCCTCTAGACCTTGGCCTAGGGACTTGGTGGCACCGGTCACCCCCATTCGAGAAGCAACGTAGATAAATGAATCAGCTATCTCGCAAAGCATTTTCATACGGGAGTCTGGTGTTGCGGGTGCGACAAGTGGAATATAAGATAGCCTGTTATGCGATTTCTGTTAGTGGTTGCTCTCAATCTTCGAGTTGAGCAAGGCAGAGAAGAAGGTAGAGAAATAAAAAAGAGATAGGAAGTTGCATGGGAAGGTAGAGGGGGAGTAGAATCGTACCCATCTCGTCGACACAATTCTCTAAACCGCAAAGCTTCCTCGGGGGGTAGATCAACAATAATGAATCCATTGACACCTGCGTCTCGACAATCACGAATGATCTTCTCTTCACCGTATGCGCGTACGGGGTTATAGTAGCCCATGAACATGACAGGTGTAGTCAGTCCGAGGCTACGTGCCTCGCGGACCATTGAGAGCATGGTTGGAATTCGAACACCATTTTGGAGGGCAACAGCGTTAGAGTTTTGGATGGTCGTGCCATCTGTGAGGGGGTCTGTGAAAGGGATTCCAAGTTCGATGATGTCTGGGCAATTTCTATGTTAGCATAGTCACGAGTCGAGGCTATAAAGATCTATTTCTAGATCTAATAAGGGTTTCGGATCTCGGATCTCGGATCTTAGATCCGAGGTATGAGCTTTGGGATTGGAGGGTTTTATGTACCTGCACCACCAGCTTGCATGGCGAGCATGATCGAGGGGGTTTCCTCGACAGAGGGGAAACCTGCGGTCATATACGTGATCAACGCTGCACGTTGTTCATCTTTGCATCGTGCAAAGACTTGCTTGATTGCTTCCATTTTGGCGGCGACTCTGGTGAGTTCCAACCAAGCTTTATAATCGAGTCGTTGGGTGAGGTGGAATAAGTGGTGTAGAGGGGAAGGAGAGAGGAAGGTAAAGATTGTGCTTTAAGTACCAGTGCGATTGACATGACTTTCGCGTTATGAGTCACCTTTGTCATGGATCAATTAAGCGGGTCAGGGTTGAACCAGAAAGTGAGGCTAGACTGAAGGATTGAACTATACCAGAACGGGATCATTGGTCAATGGTAGGGCGATGTAGATATCTCGGTGGACCCACTTGTGATCACTTTGAAAGAACTCATGATACTGGCCCAATCAGGGATTGTCAGCCTGCATTGTTCACTAAATTTACTCAATGCTATACCAGAATGTAGCGCTTTGTGTCAAATACCAAATTTTACAGCACAGTGAGTCACAAACCCCTTTCCAGATCTGAAAATGGTAGCGATGTGGAGGCATGGTTGCGGCCCGCAGGTCGGCTCCGACCCGACGGCGGATAATGCACCAGCGACAACGATGTTGATTGACTCATAGCCAAGCCTGCATAAGCCATTTGACCTCCAAACTAATTGTATAGATTGCTTGTTTGATATGGAAAGTTTCAGGTCTGACTACTTGGTCGAATGTGTACAATTTAGTCGTGGATAGATCGGATACTTTTGTGCAACAATGAGGTTGATGCTCAGTGGTACAGACTAATAAGAGGCAAATGATCTTGCACCAGAGAAACTGACTTGGAATGCATGATTAAATTTTGTAAATGACACCCGAAAAACCTCACATATTATTTTAAGTATTAGCAGTAGTATAATCCAGCAAGATAGTACCCATCCAAGGCATGTATCTAGCATGTTCTTTTTGAGCCCCGATAACCCGCATTAGCCGAATCCCATCTATATCCATCCATATGCACTCAGTCTAGTACTCCTCCATCAACTTCTCACCCTCCTCACTAGAAGCCAGACTAGCAAACTGAATCCCCCGAATAGCATGCCCCTTCCACATAAGCAGCATAACAAAGAAGAACGAAAAGACAGCAAAGAAAGCCATCATGCCATAAACCCAGCCCACATCCACAGCCGCAACCCAAGGATTAATGTAAAAGCTAATAGTAAGCCCGTAAACAATGCGATAAGCACCAATAACAATACCTGCCTCAGCAGGGTAGTGCGTGAAGCACTCAACAACGTAGTTAACAGTAACAGGCACACTAGCCAGTGAGCCAATGGTCACAATAAACACACCGAGCGCGAGCACCATGTAGTGCAGATGATACTGGAGCGCAGCACCGAAAATGCCCAATCCGATCGGGTTCAAGATCAGACTTGGAAGCCACAAGACGTGCAGGCGGTATTCTGGTTTCCAGACACCGTTGTTGAAGCGCCGGGCCAGTGCGAGTGGGAGTTTGTCATTGAGCCAGTGGCCGTAGAACTGGACAATGATAATACCGATCCAGTGACAGAAGGTGAATGCGGCGTTTTGTTTTAGTGTGAAGCCGTAGCCACCTTCTGCGGCAGGCTTTTGGAGCCAGACAGGGGTCAGGGCGTTGACACCGACGTAAAAGCCGAAGGAGATGAGGGTGAAGATGCCCATGATTATTGTTACGGGACAGATGCCAATTAAGAAGGGCACGGCAGCGATTTTGGCCTGATTCTGGTTAGTTCATGACTCATCTGGGGTATTGGGGAAGAGAGACATACGGTTTCCCTCCAGGTAGATGGAAGAACGACTCTCTGCCCGAAGAGGAAAGTCGCGAAGCGATTCGCAACTAGGTTCTGGGGAACCTCAGGGTTTCTTTCGAAATTTACTCTATCAAAGCCTGTTTCTTCTAAGAAGCAGAAGCAGCAGATAAGAGTGAATCCGAGAAGACCAACCGTCCACCAGAACTCAACAGGGAAGAAGGCGTTGGCGGAGATAAAGCCAGAGAACGTCGGACCGGCGATAGTGCCGAACAGGAACGACATGTGCAGCGCCGTGAATGCCCGGCCACGTTGATGCAGGAAGAACAAGTCAGTCACGATGCGCGGACCAAGAACTGTAGGAACAGCACCGAAGAATCCGGCAAAAAGACGTGACATGATAAATGGGATGTAGTCGTCTGAGTGGGTCATGACGGCTCCCCAGATTTGGCAAATGAGCGTGCATAGTATGCACCAGAAGATGACCGAGCTGCGGCCGAACACATGAGAGATGGGAGCGAAGAAGAACGGTCCACCTGCCATGCCTGCCAAGGCGGCGGAATTCTGCGACAAGTTAGACGTATTCGTATGGAAGTATAGATCTGGAAACAAGTAGGTAAACAAGTGGGATTGAAAAAGCGAGAACATACCGCATATGCCTCCTGGATCTTCGTCTTAGTATAAAGCTTCTCCTGGTCTGCAAGGTTGAGCTGCCCGGACAGCGGCGCAACCGCGCCGGAGAAGGAGGCCAAGCATAGTACAGCCGCGATGATGTATTTCCGCCTCAGGGACCAATTCTGTTAAGCTTCCGATTAGAGCCTCATATATCCGCACATTCAAGCCTTGCAGCACATACCAGGGGGTCGCGGGGGTGGGTACTGGGCCGGGGAATCAAAACAACGTGGCCCTCGTGATCGGGACCATCTGGAGGTGAACCCGCGGCAGAAGGGGCTTCAATATTCTTTGGTTCCTTGATATCCATGATGAGCAATTCCTGGGCAGATTGACCTCATCCGGAGAGAAAAGCTCGTGCAGGGGTTTGGGCCGTCTCCCTTTTTCCTTTTTTTAAAATTAAGGCGTGCCAACAAGGAGCTGGAGCTGGATGTCTTGGCGGTCCACACTTCAATTCTTGCCGAGCTGGGGTAGACGCGTCAGCCTTCGTGCTCGGAGCTATAATTGCGCAATCAGTTAAGTCAGAACAATCTCAAAATGATTGCTGTGTTGATATAAATGAGATTTTTTTTTTTTTTTCCTTTTTCTGTTTAAAGTATAGAATTTTCATGGGTCTAGATTGGAGGGACCCGTATAGTCTTGGCTGCGAAGCTTGGCTGTTCCAAGGTTACAATAGGTGAAGATCAGCCTTGTTATTAACCTCATGAACTTGAATGATGAACGGATCCTGAACAGGGTCTTGACCCTGAAACGTGGAGCCTGCAGGGTTAGTGTACATTATTGTTCTTGAATGTTCCGGAATCAGGCACATTCGTCAACTGGTCATTCCAACTCGGCGAACGAAGCCGATCGCGGACTCCACATCGGAGACGAAAGCGAAGAAAAAAATTCACGACTTTTGAAGACCCACGATATCGGCGACAGGTCAAGACGCCGAAATGCCCTGAGTACAAAACTGACCGATCATACCCATCTTTTATCTTTCCAAAGGAAATAGACATAGACATGCGACACTGTTAAACCTTAATCCCTCGTTTTTTTAACCTTCAAAATGGAAGTCAAACCCACCGATCTGGAATCACAACCCACGCCAGTGAATTCCCCGCACGAGTCGGATACAGAGGAGCCCCTTAAGCCACAACCGCCAGCGGGTTACGCCATCCAATTTTGGCGCAAATGTCTCATCCTATTTGTCGTCAGTTGGACGACTCTTGCCGTCACATTTTCGAGTACCTCATTATTACCTGCAACACCAGAAATTGCTGAGCAATTCTCCACGACGTCCGAAATCCTCGATGTTATTAATGCGGGTGTGCTCATCGCAATGGGCTTTTCCTCATTCATTTGGGGTCCGTTAACTAATGTTTTTGGGCGGAGGAATGCCTACAATGCGGCTATTCTCGTTCTCTGTGCCTGCTCGGCGGGCACGGCTGCATCTATTAATTTAAATATGTTTATTGCTATGCGCCTGCTCAGTGGTTTTACGGGAACGTATTTTATGGTCGCGGGACAGACTATTATTGCGGATATCTTTGAGCCGGTTCGTTTCTTTCTGCTATTTGGGCGGATGTTGATGACTGACCTGTATAGGTTGTGAGGGGAACAGCTGTTGGCTTCCTGATGGTGGGTTCCGTTAGCGGTCCTGCAATTGGTACGTTTACAACTTAGACGACCATCACAACAAATATTAATAACCCTTCAGGTCCTTGTATTGGAGGTATTATTGTCACATTCGCCCACTGGCGCATCATCTACTGGCTCCAATTCGCCATGACTGCACTCAGTCTAGTGCTATCTCTGCTTTTTGTACCAAACCTGGAAGCAAAGAAAGAGAACAAGCCGCCGCGAAAACTGTCATACGTGTTGAGCATGTTTAACCCTCTGCGCATCTTCCGCCCATTCATTTACCCAAACGTCTTCCTCTCTGTAAGTTCAATCATATCTTTCACTTGATTCGTCCTAACACACAACAGCACCTCACGTGCGGTCTGCTGGCAACATTTCAATATGGTATCCTCACATCTGCACGCACTATCTTTAACCCCCGCTTCAACTTGACTTCGCCATTAGTGAGCGGTCTCTTCTACCTTTCGCCAGGTATTGGCTTCCTGGTTGGAAGTGTCATGGGCGGCAAACTATCCGACCGTGCTGTGAAGAAGTGGATCGTCAAGCGTGGCGGGGTCCGTCTCCCTCAAGACCGGTTGAACAGTGGACTCATCACCCTGTTCTTGGTGCTACCCATCGGAACCTTAATCTATGCATGGACTCTGGAAGAAGGGGTGGGTGGTATGCCCGTGCCTATTATTGCTGCTTTCTTTGCGGCCATTGGACTCATGGGATCATTCAATGGGTTGAACACATACTCAGCTGGTGAGTTTCGAGTTCAGAGTGTTGAGAATTCTTTTCTAACTAGATTCTAGAGGTCATGCCACACATCCGCTCTGAGGTAATCAGTGGCAAGTATGCTGTGCAGTATATCTTTGCTGCGGGTGCCACTGCGGCTGTTGATCCTTTGATCAATGCGATTGGAGTTGGTTGGACATTTACAATTTGTGAGTTGAGCGGAATGTGCTATTCCGACAATCTTCTAATACATATTACTAGGTGTCTTCTTCGCCATCATTGGCGGTTTTAATGTTTGGATAATCACGAGATGGGGACTCGATATACAGCGATGGGTGGAAAGAAAGTTGAACATTGAGGCCAAGCCTCTAGACTGATGATCATAATGACTTGATGACACGCCCTTTGGTACCACTCTTACGACATGAACGCGTTGCATAATAGAGATAGATTCTTAATAGATTGAACAGCCCTGGGGATTGTGAATACTTGGGAGTTGAACACCTAACTAACCACATATTGTGTCATACGGTGATTATTATCCAGACAAATTGCCCTCTCAAGTATTGGAAGACAAAACACGCTCGTTTGATTCAAGTCAAAATGTAAGACAATGCCTCATTCGGGTTGGAATATGCACTGGGATTTCATTCTAGGTAAAAGAGGCGCCAACTCTATAACTCCCTAATCACCTTCACATTCCCGTATAGTCTAACGGGTGACCTTGGAAGCAGGTACCTGAATATCTAATTGACAATATTACTAATTTAAACTTCGAGTATTGTGCCCTACCTGATATGTGTAGTGTTCAATCTATAATTCCTGCCAAAATCTGTACAACCGTCTTATCAGCCCCCACCCGGACACTCATATGATTGGTTCGTGGTTCGGTCAAAGTCTCCGAAGCCTCGGCCAGTTCTTCGAATGACCGACATACTCTCGAGCCAACGCTCTCCATCCCTCAACCAATCTCGAGAATGATAATGGGCCTGACAAAATGGCACGAGTAAGGTTGAAACGGTCTCCTCCCGAGGACGAAGACGACGCTCGGCGAAACAGGAGGAAATTTGTCGCGTAAGCTGAACATGCTGTCTGCGAAAGAATACCACTCATCAAAAGCTGAGCAGATGTCAGCGATGCCATTCACATAAGATTAAATGCTCTGGCGATCAGCCATGCAAAAAGTGTTGTGCGGTAGGCGTTGCCGATGAATGTGCCTATGCGTCTCGCGACCGCCAGGTCAAAGTGAGCGAGAAGTATGATCGTCTTTACCCGGAACTAGTGTCTCGGAAGCCTGTTTGTCGAGCTGACGAATACCCCTTTATAGCTATCTTGACCAGCTCGAGGCGGAGATTCGGCGCTTGAAAGAGCAATCGGTCACCTCGGCGGGTGCGACCGAAGCTCAACCTGCACATGCGGAACGGTAGGTCGCATTCTTGTCCGAGCCCACAGAGTCGGCAATGCTTATCAATGTGCACAGAACGTTATCTCGCCCGGTGGAAGCCCCAGATGCTACGAGTATCCAGAATCCCATAATAGGCGATCGTGCCTGGTTCCATCGTTATGACCCATCTTCACCGCCGATATACGTCGGCGAAGCGGCGTGTTCGGCCTTTGCGACACGGTTTCGTCGTTTTCTAACTGGCGACAATGCTCTAGCCCATATTGCGCGTACACAATGGACGCGTGAAGCAGCTATCGCTGCTGCTGCTGCTAGTGAGGCCGATGTCCAGTGGCCAAGTCTACATCATGCGAGGCTGCTGGTTAGGATTGCCATCCACCAAATTGGATATTTGTATCATTTGATGATGCGCAAGGCTACCCTTGATAAACTAGAAGAGATATACCAGGCCGGGGAGTTTGACTGTAAGACGAACAAGTGCAAGTTCTTCGCTCTGTTTGCTTTTGGACAGGCTTATTCAATTCGTGCAGAGCCTACGTCTGGTTCTCGCGTGCCGGGAACAGCATATTTTGCGAAGGCCATGAGCTTGGTTCAGATTCTTCCTGAGAGAACAAGCATCACTCACCTGGAGACTTTGTTGCTGCTAGTAAGTTGCAGTGCCTTGATTGCTGGCTATCATTAACATGTGCAGTCGCTTTTTTCACACTATCTCAACCGTCGTCACTCTGCATACGTCCTAATTGGAAACGCCATGCGAATGGGTCTCACGATCGGTTTGAATCACAACATCTCCGAATCCCAGTTCATCGACCCCGTGGAACGACAGCACCGAATCGAAATCTGGTGGACAATCTACATTTTTGATCGCATGTGGGGCTCCAAAATGGGTCTTCCCATGCAAATCCTCGACGAAGACATCCATGTCGACATGCCAACGCCCGTTTCTCCACGCTGGAGACATGAGGAAGAATTATCAGATACCGAGTACATGACTGCCAACATCAAACTCGCCCGGATTGTTGGCGAAACCATCACAAAGCTCTACAGCCGGCGCAAATACCAGGAAACATTCCTGCAGCGCGTGCAGAAACTCTTGAAGTCATTGAAGAATTGGGTGGATACATTACCTGAGAGTCTGCGGCTGAATATGGAAGATCTAGACTCTAGCAAGAAACCCGTTGTCTCATTGCATTTGGCGTTCAATCAATGCGTCATTCTCTCTACTCGGCCAACCCTCCTTCACCTTCTCATCACTCTCCACAAAGGTGGATCTACCAGCGCAGGCGGGGAAGCAGTCTCTCAACCTGTTCTGACTCTCAGCGAGGCGTGCATCCACGCAGCGCGTCATTCACATTCCATGATCCTCACACGCTGGATCAACGGTACGATGCCAACATTCGGGTACTTCCACGCTCACTATCTCTTTTCCTCGGCATTGATCTTAGCGATGTCCAGCTTTGTGCCCATCGGAAATCCAAATGACATGAGCGGGTTTGACTCAGCCCTAGATCTGCTGCGGTCGATGACAGAAAATGGTAATTTGGCTGCTGCTGAATTCTATCACAACTTGGAGCAGGTGAAGGCTTGTTTGGATACGTATCGAGCCAATGTCTCTGGCGAGCTACGACGGACTGAGGGAGGCCAAGAAGGCAATGCCAATACCAGTACATATGGTATTGCCGCTCCAGTCCCAGCCCCGGATCACAGTCCAAATATGGTGCCTATATCATCAATGCTGGCAGCATCGTCAACAACCTTGACGAGTGCTCTTTCCACCGCGTCTGCACCACAGATAATGCCAACCGAAAATGATATGTTAGCAGGGCAATCGAGTCATGGTACGGATATTTATGCCTTGCCTGCCAGGGATGCGGTCAATGGGTACACAACCGAAATGGCATTCTTGGAGCCTACCATGCAAGATTTCCTCGCGCAGTCTGATATTGATCTTGGTTTGCTGCACCCCGTGGATACATTTTTGAATGAAGCGGAGAATTTGTATACTTGCCATGAGCTTTAGTCACGAGGATTCAATTATGAGTTACGAACAGACGAGTTTTTTAAAAAGTACGTTATCAAGCTTACATCATCGATTGGCCTTTTGTATAGAGTCGCCATTGGGCGCATTACCGATTTTTTTCCATGCGAAAGATACCACATTCGGTACTATATTCAATTATAACTAAAAACAAAAATTATAAGAGGAATTTAAAAAATAATAGAAGAAAAGTCAACTAATTCACTAAAAGTCCAACCAGGCGTCGAACTCCAAAGCCATCCAGACATCAATATATCCATCCAGGCCTGATCCAGCGTGCCAAGCATGCTTAGGATAGGAAATGGTATTGTTCTTCCTATACACAGCTTTTCCGCTCTTATCCTCATGCCAGATTCGACCATGCTCCTCCAGTGGCTTCAGAGGACAATGTTTGTAGCCCCGAGGATAGAAGGACTCAAGTGCATACGAGTTTGTCGTGCATGGATCTGGAGCCCACATGCCCCCCATTTGATCATCAGAGCCCTTCGGCGTACCCTGAGATAAACAGGTATGAAGCTCCTTAAAAGCGTTATCGCTATGGTCATGCAATCGCGCATCAACGTTGGGGCCTGTCGGTAAAACTTTTAGTGAGGAATGCGCTTGCTATCAAGATCAAGTCCTTACCAGCTGTCCAGAATTGCATGTGTGCAATGTTTTGCTTATCTTCCAAGAAGCGAAAATGAAAACCAGTCATGTTGTAGAAGTCGACATCCTTAAATGGCGCACCCCACCACAGATCCTGTACCTGGTTAAATTTAAGACCAGGGAATTTAATGCCTCCTTCAGAAATGTCAAATGTGTTTTTCACTGGAACATCAACGGCTTTTTTCCAAGGGCCCAGTGTTATAGGATTCTGAACTGGAGCTAGACGTAGAATGACTGCGCCCTTTTCTTTGTCGGCGCTCATGCCCTTCCGCTTGTCCTCGGGGTCGGAGAGTTGATGTTTATTAGGAAACGGCGCTCCACCCAATGGTACCTCTTGAGTTTGGTCATTTTTAATCACTGACCCGTATAAAGGCTTAATTCCATCCTCCTTTGATCCATCTATGGATGCCCCAGGTGGATAGACTTCAACACTGATAGCGAAATTGGCTACCTCCAAGAGGCACTTGTATGCCAATGTGGTAATCGTCTCAGGTCGCGGAAGATAGACCATGCCCTCACCAGACCAGAGTGATCCAATTATCCGAGGTACGGAAGGAGAATGTAACTGGTTCTTGTACAATGTGACTTTGGGTTCCGCTTCTTGATAATAGTGCTCCACATTGTAGCTGACCGATGCGAGGTCTGCTCTCCCTTTGCCCATGAAGTCTCTACATGCCTTGCGGTTAACACACACCTGGAGGAGGGAAATATAAACTGGACATTGACTTACGCTATTGTGCATCTAGCGGAAGATCTTTCTGCAATATGCCACTTGGAAAAAATGCCCTTTTCCAGATCAATTGCTTTATAGCAGATGATCCCCTGCAGCCGTCAGTACTCCAGGCATCATAATTTCTGTCTGTTGAAGGAACGTTTTCTCTTCACGTACCTTGTTCGGCGACACTCCTGATTGCAGCGTGGGCTGGCAAATTGCATTCATTAGCGTTGAAAGAGTCAAGGTAGCATGTGAATAATACGACTTACGCCGATCGGGTTATTCTGATCATCCCGGTCGAGTGGCCCAAACAATGACACAAGGAACTCGTCATCGCCATCCCCTTTTCTAGTCAGTTTAAAGCGTTACAGAGCTAGATTGTGGGATAGCAAATACCGTCAATATCAGCACAGATGACCTGATGGCCCGGACCATCTCCCCACAGTCGCTTCTGAGCTGGAGTACCGTAAACATCCAAAACATGTCGTTTCCACAAGTTTCCTTTTTGCCCGCGTTCGTTTTGTGTATAAGCACAGATCTTGGGACCATGGAATGGGTCGATTGTGGCAACGTAGGCAAATGGATTAGCCCCAATCCTCCCAGCATCAGCACTGCCAGTGCCCCACATGTCTCCAGCACCCGGCGAGAATGTATCCACGCGTTGTCCAATTTTGGGTACCTCACCGGAAGTAATGTGCTCTCGCTCCCAGTGCCCATCCCTATAGTAAAGCCAGTGAACGCCTTCCATCGAGGCAACAATTAATGTGTCCAGGCCGAATGGACCATCAAAGCTGATCTGAGTTAGTCTTATAACCATTGGAAGTGACTAGTTGAGGAGCGTACTGCTTAGCATATATTTCATGCACCACTCTGAAATGGCCATCATCGACAATGTCCTTTCGCCATTCGGTTCTTCACAATCGAGGTCAGCTCAAATTATATATTCGTTAATTTCAAGAGTCTTACATATTATCTAAGCCAGGGTTGCTTGGTGCCTGAAAGCAGATAATTGGAGCTGGGGTATACTTTTTCTTTGTCAACAGAGTTCATCACAGCCTTGTGTATCACTTAGTGTCTTCTCACCTTATCCCTTTGACCGTGGACGACGGGGGCGGCGATGATCTCTGGGAAAGATCTTCAGAGTAATTAGCAAAATATTGCGTCTCCGAGTGCATATGGTTGATATATTACCTCTGAGTAAAGTACCCAGTTGCAAGTCGATGCATTGCCGGCCACCGTCCGATAAAGTGCTCTTTCCATGGCTTGTCAGGGCCTGCTGGACCGGGATTTTCAAACCAAACTAGTTTTCCTCCTGTTGGATTACAATCAATCATGGTGTTCCCGAACTCATAGCCGACGATAACGTCCGAATAGCCGTTCCCTGTGATGTCCATGGAAGCCGTAGGAACTGGCGTGGGAAGTTGCGCGATTTGATAGCATTTCCAAGCTTTTTCGTAGGTCAGAAATGTCCGTCGTTCCCATTTTTGCATAGCTCTTACGTGGATCCTCGTCGGTATCTGACTCTGCAGAAACTTCTACCATCCATTTTCAGTTGTCAGCGTCCACTCGGATCGTCTCAAGAATATTCACATAGTCGCTTTCACTCACTCTCGCGCCCCTCGCTCTCCAGGCTGGATGCATTATTGTTTTCTGCAGATCGACACACATGAACCCATTTGGCAGCGTTGTCAGCGACAACGCTGCCACCCTTTCTCAGTGGATTTTCCAGATACTCAACCTTGCCCGAATTGAGCCCCGACCTTAGACTTCGTCAGCTTGCAACAAGTCGCGACAGCACTGGAAACGTACACTACTAGTCCAGGAGCCTTGTCGTTTTCATGAAAGTGAAACTTATCGATCCAATAGCCATCGCAACGCTCCTGGATGGTAACTGGCGTGAACTCTGGGGTCTGAACCATATTTGTTAGATATTGTAAGTGCTTTACAACCGGTATGTATGATATTGTTGACTCAAGAAAACTGTTAGATCCAATGTGTGGTATTCTGCTTGACATTTATAATGAGCGATTTGCACATTTAGGGTATTTTCTCGCAGTATCATCGCCCGAATGTCCTGCGTCCGGCCTATGACGCATCAACTTCAAACAGCATGAGCGTTTATTTTGGAGATCCTTGTTCTTCCAAATTATTGCACGCGCAATCGATGATTCATTGGCTCAATGCAACTACTCGCTTAATTCGGATGTCAAAGCATGTGTAGCCCTGGTGATAGATCAACGTGTTTTACGGTGTCAATTATGTGGGTCTTCCGAAGCCCTCGGCACGGTACTACCCTCCCTGGCTACGGCCCGCTCCTGCCGTGGAATGACCACGGTATGTTCCAGTGGTAGCTGCATGGTAATAATGTAACACCAGCTTGCCTTCCGTCCCTATTTTGGCTCCATCTTTGAATTTATTGCATGCATTCTTTTGAAAGCAGATTTGCCCATGAATTATGAGTCTAATAATGGGTTTAATCCAACTCCCAAACGGTCTTAAACAGCGGTAGCTGTGAGCATCTAGAGGCAATCTGATGTGGGGAAATAGTATTTATCATTTCTTATCCATCAAGGCCCCTAATAAGTGGGAGGTGGAAAGTCGGTGGTGCTTGCCTTGTGCATTCATCTGATGATACCCAGTATTTATCGCCACAAACCAAGACCCATGGAATGGTGATTATCGCTCTTCACAACTTCCTTGTACTTTGTGACCCTCGTATCCGAAACCGTCAAATCATGAGTGGTATTCGTTTTCACGACCCCTTGGTCTAGACTTTCTGTCAACTAATTCTTGGTTTCGAGTTGATGATGCCTGTCGCTAGCCCCATCCTTGCTCTTATTCATCTACCATGTTGACAGTCTTGACCCCATTGATGTGGAGCGAGCTATTACATACATCATAATTCTCTCAACAATCAGGAATCTTCAGGTGGTCGAAGTCATCGACGTCAGACACTTGAATTCAATATCAATGATTCTCTGCACAATAGCGCTGCAACTAAATAGCAATATCTAGATGGTGATGATGAGGACGCTGATGATGACGCTGATGAGGACGCTGATGATGACGCTGATGATGATACTGATGATGTTGCTGATGATGTTGCTGATGATGATACTGAGAATGATGCTGATAATAATGGGTAGACGTGCCCATACAGCCATCGTTTTAAATGGTATATAAACACTTCGAGCTACTCGTGGAAGCTACGACGTCAATTCACCTAATCAAATATTGGACACTGCTTCATAAAACACAATTCTCCAGATGTATACTCTTGAGTGTGACGTTTTGAGTAGGATTTCCTTCTTGAGATGTTTTCCAGGCTCTAATATGCGGCAGTCATTGGCTCTGGCCCTCTTGGTGCGACCTATGCCAGGCAAATTCTGCAGCCTTATAACGAAAGCGTCACTTCTAATGGCGATCTACCCCGCATAATCATGCTGGAGTCTGGTGCTCAGTGAGTTCAGTCTCTTCGTTGGATTATTGGCGAGTTATCTAATGAATTCGAAGGGAGTCTAAAATTCCAGGCGATCATAAGAAGAACGCTGTCAGCTTTCAGAAGGACATCGACGCATTCGTCCAGTAAGTAATCACAAGGACTCATATGTATCATTGAACTGCTGATTAATTTCTCGCAGTGTTATTCACGTAGGAATTCTTCACTCCCGGCTTTTTGATCGCAGCGCGACGGTATTAATGATCTACCTAGGGGAGCCTCCACACGTCCTCCGTCCCCACTCAGACAAACCGGAACCTCACGCTTCCCCCAGTAGCTTGGTCTCCCAGGTAAGATCGTATCACTCTACAATCCCTTTTAATTAGACCATCCATTGACTTTTCGTACAGAGTGGAGCAAACCTTCAACGGTCAGAACAAGCATCAGGACCCATACAAGAATTTGGATGCCAATGGAGTGTCTCGCACAGTCGGCGGCATGGCCACCCAGTACGTAGGGCCCCACATCCTTCAGAAGAATAATTTGGCTCAATCTCCCTAGCTGGACATGTTCCACCCCACGTCAAGATCCCAGCGTGGAGCGCCCTAAGATTTATGACGATAAAACTTGGGATGAGCTCTACACCAAAGCCGAAGGTCTGATCGGAACGAGCGAGACGGTCCTTGAAAATTCAATCCGCCAACGGCTAGTCCTGGAAACTTTGCGCAACGCATTCCCAGACCGCAAAGTCAAGCCACTACCCCTGGCAGCGAAAAAGGTCGAAAAAAAGAACCTGATCACATGGTCCTCTGCTGCAACTGTGCTAGCAGATCTGGCTAAGCTCAATACTGATATACTGAGGCCAGTTTTTGTCATTCTAGATCAGCACATTTGCAAACGGCTCCACGTTGAAAAAGTGAAAGGGAAAAGTAATGGAGCAAAAGCTTCCATTAAGTATGCCGAGGTCGTGGATCTTGCAGCACCGGGTGGCAAGGATAGAAAGATCATCAATGCCAAACATTTTATCGTTTGTGGAGGTCCCATTTTGACACCGCAGCTACTTTACAAGTCCGGCTTTATGCCTGAAGACAAGATCAATGTCTCGGTGCCTTCGCACCTCCGACTCCCTCACTTGGTATGCAGTCTCATCTCAAATTCGCATCGTTTCAACGCTAAAGTCATCTGCCAGGGTTACAACCTGACTGAACAGCCTATGTGCTTCTCGCAAATCGTTCTAAAGGACAACCTTGTCAGGGAGCTTCAAACTCGTAACTGGGAGAGCGAAGAATGTGACGACCACCGCAAGAAGCACCCAGAGGATATTCTTGGAATTCCCTACGACGACCTCGACCCACAAGTCAGCCTACCTTTCCTTCCATCCAAACCCTGGCATACTCAAATTCACCGTGACGCCTTTTCATACGGCGCCGTGCCACCTGCGATTGACAAGCGCACCATCGTCGATCTCCGCTACTTTGGGCTGATGCAGTCCCAAAAACGAAACCGTCTTTGGTTCGCGGATGATGTGACCGACGCATACGGAATGCCGCAGCCTACTTTCGACGTCAAGCTTTCCAAGGCAGACAGGATTGTCTCACACAGGATGATGGAAGATATGGAAGCTGTTGCCGGCAGTCTCGGCGGCTATCTCCCCGGGTCTGAGCCACAATTTCTTGCTCCAGGTCTTGCACTCCATGTCTGCGGCACCACTGTGGCGGCAAAGCAGCGGAGTGGCGCTACGGAGACGGAAATGAAAGAAGAGTCTTGCTGTAACGAGAGCTCTAGAATCTGGGATACAACCAACCTTTACGTTGGTGGACTAAATGTTGTCCCCGGTCCTAATGCTTCAAATCCTACCTTGACTGCAATGTGCTTTGCTATCAAGGGGGCTGAGGCCATCAGGAAAACACTTGGTATTACTACTGTCACTAACAAGAACAACAAGAAAAAAGAGCAAAGGTGTGGGGCTTCTTACGATAAGGATGATGCTTTGGAAACTTCGGCCGATGACAACGACTCTGAACGCGACTAGTGTTAGATACTACTGAATGGCTCTTATGAGTGGGTGTCTCTATGAACTATGTGGAAGTAAAGGTAAGCGAGCTGCTTTTGTTTGTTCGTTACTGTTTCGTCTATTTTTGATATGAATTTACAAAGATAAATCGTACCACGTGAAGTGAAACAACTTCTTTTAATTCCTAATCAGGTCTATAGTATACTTAAGTTGGGTATTAATCATGGCTTAGTTATAGTTCAAGTCATATAAATAGGCTACCAGTGGTCTAGGAAGCAAACTTGGTATCCGCCACGAAACAATATATGTCTTACTGTTACGGCCTAGCTTGGATTTTAGGGCATAATAACAAGGCAGGTCGGCATAAAGCCCAAACGGGCCCGATTCCGTCCCGGAAAACACCTGCATGATACGCTTTTTCGGGCATTTACTCCTTCATGAAGGTTTCAATGCACTTAAGGAATGAATCACCCCCTTAAGGATTAGTCTTTATCTATTCTATGACTTGCTTTTATGTGACGACTTTGACCTCGCTTAGTCAACATCCTTTCTTTACCTTACTCTAGCTTTCTAGAAGCTAAGTTTCTTTTTCGTAGGCAACATATTACCAACAATTTTTTATACCTATTAAACAGTTTCATTCTGCATCTTGGCCCCTTTCAAATCTTTACATAAAAATTTCTTTAACTATCACCCACCATACCCAGTTCGAAAAGCATTCGCTTGACTAGAAGCCTATTCAAAGTTCCATCTTTCCCTCAAGACCTTCTAAAGGAACGAACTCGCAATCTGAAGGCTGTACTTCATTCTTCGATGGATAAGGCTTATATAGACACGCCTTGTCGTCCTTATGGTGGAAGTTAGCGATAACTGCTTGGCCACTTTCGCTCATCACCCACTTAACAAAGTCTCGTGCAAGATCTTTGTCTCGGGCTTTTCTCCCAACCAATAGATGACCAGGGCTAAGAAGCTTTACTTCACTTTCACCGGTCTTGTAAACCTTTGTCTGACCTTTCAGAGGTTTCTGTTGACCAATAAGGGTAAGATATGTTCCTCGGTCGGTAATCGTGAACTCCCCAAGACGTATCGCTATCTTTAGAGCTTGAAGGGGGTACGCTAGGTATTGATGATACCACCTTGAGTAGTCTATTGCCCATGGCACCTAAATATTTCCAATAATTCTTTTAGTAGATTGACAGAATTTATTCGAGGGAAAGACTCACCTGTCCAATGTTGATCCAGAGCTCCGACTCTTTGATATTTGTAGCAGATTTATCATAACGACTGAGAAATCGCACATCCGTGCTTTCATTCTCTGCAGCTGAATAAATTTTGGAAAACATTGAGAGAATGTCATCTTCCGGGTTGATGCTGTCTGGGAGGTCTTTGTGTGGGCCAACCAAATAAAAGTGATCTCGAAATATGTAACAAGGAAAATCATGGCTATTGTCGCAGCAGTCACAATTTCCTTCTGTGCCACAAAACTCTTTGTCCTCAACGAAGTTCTTATCACTGTTTCGACATTTTTCGCAAGCTAAAGTTTGGTTACAGCCGTGCGCAATACCACTCTTAATGGCAAGTTTCTCTGCAGCTGTGCTGTAGGTGATACCAATATCCACATCTCCATGTTGAAGCTTTTTAATAGTTTCGGTTGTGTCACTTTTGACCCACTCGACTTTGAATGGATTTTAATGACAGTCATTTGTCCGGTTCGTAATAAATTTATCTGCGAGTTCTATGGCTTTTTGTTTAGCGTTGAAACAAGTATATCGTATATGAAACACAAGCACATACTCTTTATCAAACCAGTTTGTCCAGCTCCACCATTTCCAATTCGTAATATTTTTGGTTCTTCTTTTTGAGGAAGACAACCCCCATCATATATATCGGCGACCAAAAGAGGCGCCAAACATAGTACCAAAGGGATTAAACCCTTCATAAGTCGCATTTTAAATAGTGTTGAGATTTACTGACTGGCAGTGGGTTATTAGCTACCCTTCGCCAACAGCAACTAGGTCACCTTAAATAGGTAACACAGGATAGATTTAAGGCAAGAAGTATAAGTCATGACGTTTTTTCGTGGAGGGAAATGGCAAGAATGACACTTACTACTTGCCTTGCCTTCATCCATGACTTTCCGAGAACGTCTAGCTACTGCCAAAGAAACACATGCAGTTCATGGTTTGCCTCTGTTGTAACCTAGAAGTGTGGAACACTTTAAAAAATCTGAACCGAAGGGCTTCACTCTGTGCTGGTCAGTCTCTCAAGCTCTCAACGTCATCACTATTGTCGCGTAAAAGTGCCATTCAAGATAATCTCACATTCTAGACTTTTTTTGTTGGCCTTTCTTTCTTAACCCCGAGTCACTATTTTAACTCAACAACCGGCAAGAGGAAGTGTACGCCAATTCTACATATTTCGACCTTGCCTGGATGCGATCACGTCAACCCGTTAGCTAATAAATAAAATCGACGAAAGCCTACCTAATTGAGTCAAAGTCCCATTCACAAGGTGGCAGTTCCAAGAAAGGTACCAAGGTGCATGACTGTGGAAACCTAATTCCGATGGGCCAGGTTAAGTGACCGTACCAAACCGATATAAGTGGGACGTGAGGCTAGAAGAACAGTCTTTTTCTTGATACCATTTGCTGTACATCTATATTATTCATGCCGTCAGTAAAAGATCTTAGATCGCAAGATCGAATTTTGTATGGCCAGAAGGTTACGAAAATATGGTCTTTCAGACTGGAACTAAGGGAGAGATGCCTGGATGAGGAACATTAGTGATACCTATGTATGACTTGCTAGGTGTGATATATACATTTTAGGGTGAGGGTCTGGTGTAGGGTAATGTGATCAATGGACGTAGTTCCCGTAATAACCTGATCCAAGGTTACCTAAACTCTTAGACCGGGAACTAGTCCTGACTAGGAAGAAGCTCGGAGTTCCCGTCAGCTAAGCTCGAGCTACGGTAATTTTCATTTGACGAAACATGAGCATTTATATAGAAGAATTCCACATCCCTGGTGGTTGATTAAGAAGATATATTTCTATGGATCGGCCACAGTCTTACCGTTTGCGGACAGGATTTTTAACCAGGGATATCGGTGTTCCAGTCGGCGAGCCCAAGTGGTTGCATTAGACTCGCATACTGATTCATTAGGTTTATGATCAGAAGTTCTAGATTTCTGCTTATCTATCCCTGGAAGCCCGCCTATAGATTTGGCTAGATCGAAATCTACGGGAGCAACCTCTACCAAACCCTTCTTTCTATCTCTTTTCAACTCTGTCATATTCAGACCCGTAAAGCAGACTTTTCTAGATTAATCAAGCTCTTTCCGTCGCTGAACTCTCTTAACACGTATTGGTAACAATTTATATTTAGCTCACCATAGCCTAGATATCGGGACTACTATAACTTAACAAGTTTTTTTTCAAAGTGCTTTATGGTTCATCAGTATTAGAATTCACACAAAGATGAACAGTACTATGTATTAACTACAAATACTATATCTTTATGAAAAATTAATTTCAAAATTAGGTCAAAAAGTAGGTAGTATGACCAAATATAGCTTTATAAATAGACTTCCGCAGGACCAGGACCCAACTCAGACCCAACCTTGGCTAGGTCTGTGTCTACGGCAAAATTCTTAAACCAGCACTGGGCTCTGGGTTACCTCCCTTAAATTAGAGCTATTGCTGGGTACCTAATTGGGCAATAAATAAGATAAACATAATCTAGGCAAAATCAGCTATGTTTGACCAAAATAATATTCTTTATAATTGAGGTGAAAATAATACTTAATTGATAAAATATAACTGGGAAGCTAAAATCTTACTAGTAACATCAAAATTCAAATATAAAAATTGTATGTTATTTTCATTAACCTTAGGGAAATGTATTGTTTCCAATATTAAAAACTTGCATTTTTGACATCATATCCTATAATTACGCTACTTAAGTCATTTAGCTTATTGAAGACTATTTATAGATGGAGACAGCTTATAATACTTTCGAGATAACACTCTCAGGCCAGAGAAATGAGTTTTCCAACAGGAAACACTAATTGAAAACAAAAATAAAGATAAAAATCGAACCAAAACACCCTAGTTTACCAATTAACCAATCACAAGGATATGATCATTTCAGAGGGGTTCACTTTGATATAGTCCCAAAAATTCCTGGGAGGAAGTAGTACGGCAGGTATTTTGGTGGAAATATATTTTTCTAGCATGACTATCAGACCTCAATTTGGCTTCCATAGACCTCTAACAACTAAGGTCGGAAATGCTGTTAGGATTAGTATTATTCAAATTCCATGAGATAGAAAAGTTTACCTACTGGTTCAAAAGTAGAACTTCAACCTAGAAATCATTACATCTGAATAGCTGTGAATACATTGACCGGAACAAGTGTATTTTACAGTATGTTCTTTAGATAAGTCATCGGTTTTTTAAGCAAAAAATGGAAAGCCTTGACGATTTGATGCAGATCAGGATCGAAATGAATTGATCATAATTCGCCCTACGTAGAACCGCGGTGCGTATCTAGATCGAAAATTTTGATCCACAGATCCAGCGGATCGGGGTTAGGATCTAAAAGTTCGATCTGGATCCGCCCCATTTCGAGGTATACTGACAGTAGCCCCTCTTTTGGCTGTGCTGAGTTGCTGTGCCCTTGTACCATAACAGTGGTCCCCTCTGAAACCAGCTGCTGAAATGGTATGGTATGGTATGGTATTAAACAATTGCTTGTTCTCGTAAAGGGCAACTTAAGTAATTGAATACTACCTTCATAATACTTTGAGAATAATATCATCTTACAGATAGTCACATTGATACGATGACGTGTTATGTAGATTTTGAGAATGTTATTCTCCCGCTAGTGAAAGATGATACCAAACCTATCGAGAAAAAAAGGGTCGTCATCGAGAGCTGGAAAAGTGTAAGATCCAGACCAGATGCAAAGATGCTAAAACATCCATGATCTAATGACACTAGAGGTGGGATAAGTACAAGTCTGAATCAGACATAACGGTTGAGACGTTCAAAAATTTGACTCTAGATCTGGAAACTGTCTTCGTCGACTACGATCTATTTACGAAAGATAAGATTGTGAAAATCAAAGATGACCTTGTCAATGTGAGGGCTGAGATTGCGAGACTAAAGACAATACTTAAAAATATCGAAATCTCTATGGTCGGGATGGCTACTGGGATGGCTTTCGGAGCGATTATCCTGATGGTAGGCTTGGCGACTGGCGGACTAGCGCTTTGGGTATGTTTTCTTGTATTAACACTCAGATCACTATAACAAGACGCGACATTGCTAATTTTCGTATAACAGATTGGCGGCGCCCTGGCGGTTGGATCATTGGGTACACTTATTGGCCTTGCTGCAGCATATCGTGGCAAGTATACCCAACTGCCACTTTGTCGGGAAGCAAGTATATTGAATTACAGACTAACATGTTCCTTACAGCAAAACATAAAGATCTCCTGAGGAACGAGGACGAGGAAAGCCGCCTCCAAGGTTCATTAAACGACCTCATCGCGAGCAGAGAGCAACCAGGAAAAGTTGTCTGACGGCACGAGCCCCGAAATTGTAGAATTTTCAATGCATATTAATCTAGTGTCTGCTTTCTGGACAGAGTTTTCGAACGGTGCGACAAGAATTCTGGAAAATATCGAAAACATAAAGACGCAGGTAGGGCTTGATTTGGGTGGTCGGAACGTGTCCAGGAGCTAACTTGATTTAATTAAGGACCTGCCATTGGGCATGCAACTGAATATGAACAAGGGCAAGAAACTGTGTAAGATCTCTCCCGGTATAGATTATGTTGATCTCTATTAATCTTTTGAAATAGTTACAAGATATGCAAATTATCTCGACACATATGCAAAGGGGATCGTTTAGGTTCTTCTGAAGCAGATTCCTGCCTCGATGCGGGTTTTAAACCTAGGCTCTATCTAGGTTTTCCCCATATCATGATGTAAATGCAGAGGCTGTCAGAATGTTATGGTATTATTACATTATGCATTAAACACGTTATATAAAATCTCTAAAATTTTATATTTGTTGTTCTTCCAAGCCCTGGAGGCTGATTTCTCGCCTCGGCCTCCCATCATTTGCCCCTATCAAAGAGAGACTACCGTGGTATCGGGTGTAGATTGTACAGGTATTCAGGCTTTATCCCGCTAATAGAGTTTTATTTCATGAATTTCAAACCCTCACTTGTAATCTCTCTGAACCTCCTCCATAGCTGGCAACTCAGTTGGAAATCCCTTATCAAATCGCGTGAAAGGCAAACCCCGATTAACCGCTGAAGTATCTGGTAATTCCACAGCCTCATTAAGACTCCTCCTATACTCCGTCCCATACGATGGCGCAATCGAATTCGTGTGTCCAGAAGAAGAAATAGAACCCCCCCACCTCGAAGACCCAGTCGGCGAATGAGGCAAAGTAGGCGACATCGGAGGCTGCATAGGATACTGCGTCCGGTCAGCCGGGTTGAAAGTCCTCAATGTCCCATCCTCGAACATTGCCTGCAAAACACCTGCATCGAGAAGCTCGGCCTTTTTAATCAGGCGATCAACCAGAACCTTCGACGCTGCTTTCAGCTGGCTTTTCACAAACGCCATTAGTGTGATGTTGCATTTTATTTCGACTTCCTCGAGGAGGTAGAGCCCGTTTGCCGGTGCGCCTGGAATGCGTTGTTCGAGATCTGGCCTGGATTTTGAATCTGGTCCGTCCACTTCGTTGAGCTGAGTTCCCTCGACGCGGAAGTTGCTGAGCAAGTCAATCCCCATTGGAGGGTATGTATGTGCTTTCACACCCCAGGGATGATTCTCGAAACAGCCCTTGAAGCTTATTTTCCCCGAGCCCATCTTTCCAAAGCCAGGAAGGTATTGTACGCGTTGAAATATCTCGTACCATGTTGAGTAGTATTCATCTGCTGAGGCATTGCGCGGGGCTTTGATTGGGTTGTGCGAGAGGACTAGGGGATTGAGAGTGATTATTTCGCTGTGGCTGTGCAGGATGTCTAGGGCTAGTTGGCGGGGTATATTTGGGGGGAGGGGGGTGATTTTGGTGTAAAATTCCTTTTTTGACATCATCTCATAAATGATTTCAGGATGTAATGACGGGTTATGGGATGAGGAGATGTAGAGGGGGGAGTGGGACAAGAAATAATTTGTAGAGTTTGGGGCCATATTGGTGGCTCGTATTCATCTGCTTACGGCAAATATCAGCTCCTGTCATAGGGCGCCTCGTATCCACATGCACATGTGCTGACGATTAAACTAAACTACCGAGTGGGTTTGTCTAGTCAGCTGTTTATCTCAGCCCTGGGCTCGATCAGATTATCTGTGCGAAATTGAGGTTTATACGATCTTGGTCCTTAAGGCTGAGGAATTCCGCCAAAATAAGGTTCAGCTGACTGTCATTCTGAATGTAAACACAGGCAGTGATCTTCCGTAAGCCAGATCACTTATTCATGAGTTTCGATCAATCTCTTCTAATTGTTGAATATTGGATATGTCCTTTACGAGGCATTTAATGTCAACCATAGATGCCTCCAATTTTCGCAAAAATGCAACGTGCACCCAGCTCAATAATTGGGCTAGTGTAAATGAATCCAAGTCCACTTCCAGACATGAAACCACTTCCCAAAAATTTGCTCTACCTTCTATAGTCATCAAGGTCTGTGATATATCCAAAGACCCTTAAATGGCTGGTGTGTGGTAGATAAGATCTGCGCTGGATGTGTATCTCAGACCCATATTTCCGACATAAAACCACATGCGAAAGTCCGGGCGGGGCCTACCCGAGCAGGCCCAAACGGTTGATGAACCCCGAACCCTAACTGCATCTGGACAATTCCCCGCAACAGGACATGGAATGCCGGCCCTGCATAATGTCGATCGCCGAGCTAACTTGCAATTATCTAAGTTTGGAATACAATGCCCGACCACGAAATATACAATCCCATTTTCGAGGCGCTGTTGCCTTGTCCATGTGTTGCCATATTTATGTAGCGGACAAATTAAAGTCCATTGAAAAACACATCAGATGATCTGCAAAAATCTGCAACACAATCTAATTATTCAGGCTACTGAGTTTGTACATGGCCAGGCTCAATAGCCTCTTCAAGATTGCGATCGTCATACTTCGAACCCGTTCAGGAACCGAACTTAGAGTTGTCGTATTATTAACGTATATGCATGCCTATTGTGCACTCATGCCGAGGATTTTAAGTACTTAAAAACGGGCATGTTAAAAACCCATATGAAGTGAGTATGAGCAGTGTGGATAGTAAAACTTATTTAAACCTCCTAACTCACCCTTTTCCATCCCTCAATTCAGCGACCAGCGCCATTTACCTTTATCACGATGTTGCCTTATATAATACCCTTGCTAGCTGGCCTCACCATACCAGTCGCCGCAACCGCAGCAGGACCAGCAGCATGCACAAAAATAGCAACAGAACTAGGCTCGGCCAAAGTCAACGCTAACCAACTGAGCTCGAACTATACCAACAGCCTCGAATACTGGAACACAATCCAGGACGAGTACAAACCATCCTGCATTGTCTTCCCCAGTTCGGCGCAAGATGTCTCAGTCTCTCTCAAAGCCATTCGCGCCGCAGGAAGCCGCTTCGCAATCAAAGCCGGCGGCCACAATCCCAACACATTCTTCTCCTCCGTCCAGGCGGGTGTCTTGCTAGATCTGAGCAGCATGACCGCCAAATCTTACGACCCGGAGACTACCCTGGCAACCTACGAGCCAGGCGGCGTCTTCGGCGATGTATACGAGTACTTCGCTCAATGGAATCGCACTGTCGTCGGCGCCCGTCTAGCAGGTGTAGGAACAGGTCTCGCCCTAGGCGGTGGAATGAGCTACCTATCCCCGCAATACGGACTTGCTTGCGATTCCTTCCGTGAACTCGAGATCGTGCTACCTGACGGCCAAATCGTGAAGGCATCGGACAAGGAGAACCCGGATCTCTTCTTTGCATCGCGCGGTGGAGGCGGAAATGCCTACGGCGTTGTGACAAAGTACACAGTTCAGAGCCGACCGATTGGCGAATTCTGGGCTGGCAACTTGATCTACGTTGCCGATCAACGGGACTCAGTTATTGAGGCGATTGGGAACTTCATTCAATATAATACCGACCCCAAGGCCGCGATTATCGGTACTTATGAGAAACTGCCGTTACCGGATTTGAATCTTAATCTCGATGAGGCAATTCTCATGTTCCTTGTTTATGATGGGCCGAATCCGGGTGACGCGTTCAAGAATTTTACTGATATCAAGGCTTTGATTGATACGACAGGTATCAAGAGTTACAACGAAGTCGTCAATATGCCTGTCCCGATGTCGACGGAGATTTCCCGTGGTGCGAACATGTTCCGCGTCGGCGTTCATCGTCCAGAAAACAATTCGTATGAAAATGCGCTCGATAAGTGGCGGACCTGGGCTGAAGACAACAAGGGGAGCTACGAGCTTCTTTCAATCGATTTCCAGCCCATTCCGAAGAGTCTTACGGATGCTAGTAAGGCTCAGGGTGGAAATGCGATGCAAATGCCTGATGGACCGTACTTTTGGTTGAATTATCTCATTACAACGCCGTCTGGAATGACTGAAGCCAAGTATAATGCTGCGCAGGCTAGTTACCGGGACATGATCAAGGAGACGGGCAATGATGAGGGATTGCCTCTATTTATCAATGATGCAAACAAGGATCAAAACCCGTTGCAAACTTTTTCGACTTTCAAGAAGTTGCAGGCTATCAAGAAGAAGTATGATCCGGATAACTTCTTTGCGGATTATACTGGAGGTTGGTCGTTTGCTTGAACATTCACGGGTTCTCCTCAAGCGCTTAAGACATTTTTGTCTGTGAAGGTCGCGAGTTGGATTTAGTGATTTGCAAATATTCTGCTTTGTTATTTACTTATGTTTGGAGGAAGTTTCCAGTCAATAAGGCTGAGCAGAAGCTAGTGTGAGCAGACTGCGAAACGATCAATGCAATTTCATTCTTGCTGTGTCACCCTTACTTCTTTTCAGATGCAATGAGGATGAATGAGTATCAAGGTACCTACTTAAGTAAATACGTAGTACCATCATTCTAGCTATCCACGAGGGCATGAGAGCTGCAAATCTGGTCTTAATGTGCTCGAATCTGGATATCGCTGTCTATCAGGGTCTGTGACCTTGAGTGGCAATTTACCTTGCGAACCTAAATTTAGGGACTGAAGTTCCAGGGGTGTTTTAAGTTATTTTCCTCGACATGATCAGCATTACTAGCTTATAGAAGATTGTTAGTGGCTTGATGATTAGCGGCTTGATTATTAGTGATTGGGTATTTGCTGAACACAAAGTAGAAGCCCTGGTGCAGGAATGGAGGCTGGAATTACTGAAGAAACAGCTTTATCGGATGGTAGCCGCAGACGGTTCCAATAGAGGTGTGTCTATTGGATAAGGCCCACGGGCCCTGGTACTTAATTAGCAGACTAAAAGGAGAATGCTCACGACAAAACAGATTATCGGCTGTACGCTGGACAAAAACAACCAGGCGACAAAGCATGGCACAGTAATGCAAGGACAAAGTCTCTCAAGATTACAGGCGAAGCAAAAATTTTAAGGTTGAGATGCCGAGATGCCGAGATGCCCACGTTGATGTCGGATATGCCAGGTATGTGGAGACGAAGAGACTTTGTGGAATCTAGAGTGCAGATCAACTGACTACCAAATGCAAGTCGAGGCCGCGCTGTGAGAGAATATCCACACAGACAGACCAGGCTCGCTGAGAAGATGGATCCCGCGTAGCCATTTCGCGTAACCAGTGAACCGCTTTTCGAATGTCATCTAGAAGGGCCGCAGCTTCAATTGTGCCCGACTCGGTACGCATAAAAAGTTCGACCAGGATGATGGTGATTGACTGCATGACGTAATGCAGGACACACCACCACGGCGAGATCTCAAACAGCAACGATGCGTCTGTCCTTTCAGGGAGGGTAGAGAGCATTTTTCGAGCCGCTTCCACACATATATTTGCCATAGCATCACATACAGGACCTGGAAACGTTGACCCAGGAGGCTGGTGGGCGAGACGGCGGAGACAAGGTTGTGAGATGACGACTTTGGTGGTGTAAAAGCGGAATGCGAGACTGGCACGTTGGCGAGCAAAAGGGTGATTTAAATTAAGTTGGGCGAAATGGAACTCTATTGGCAGACGAGAGAGCCAGTTATCGGCGGTTTTGTTGAAGGACGAAATTGCATTTTCCATCTCCCCCACGATCGTCGCGTCGCTCCAGGGGCGTAGAGGGTCTCAATGGCCTCCCTCATGAGAAACGCAAGGTCCACCGCATATAAAAAATATAGTGAGATATTGGGAGCGAGGGAATCAGCCTTGGTTGGGCTAGCCTGGGCACTTTGTTTCCCTTTCTCGGATCCAAAATTCGGTGACATTATATTGTCCACAGGGCTTTCGCTTGCTCCAGGTGAATTGCCATGTGAGAGGAGCGAACTCAATAGATTTTGTCGCATGGAAAAGTCGGTTATAAGTTGTTTGACCTCCTTGTCTCCAAAATCTTCCTCACGAAAGGGTATGGGCCGCGGCGTTGTACAGAAATCATTGCCATAGCTAGGGGGGCGACCGACCATCACACACACCAATGTGTCCAACATGAACAGCGCCCACCACACACGGTATCGAGTCTCTTTCGAGAAATGGGCAATATTAAAACTCTCGCTACGAAGGTTCAAGCCCATAGCCACCGCTGATCGAATCGCGATGCCAATCATTCGCCATGACCTAGAGGCAAAAGAACGCGATTTAGCGAAGGTACAATAAAAAAATATGTACAATGTTGCGGGCGGGATGTAACTTACCTGTTGACTTTCCCATTGGCAAGGAGATAAAAAGCTGTCAGACCCTCCACTTGAACCTGTTGAAGGTTCGGATGGTCCAGCAAAGCAATGTCACCCAGGCTCAGTCGCCATGCCCGGGAAAAATACACCATGTGGTCACCAATATCTTCCTGTGGCGGACTATTGACTAAAGTTGAGTGTTTTGCTGCGATAGCAAATACCAAGTTCAGCACCGCCTTCCATCGCTTGCCAGGGCGTGAGTTCGGGTTCGAGTAAAATGACCTGTATTGACTCAAAAAAACTCCCTTCCCAATGATGGGGAATGCAGCATGAACTACCCGGAGATAAATTTCGACGAGCTTGTCAGCAATGGGTTGAGGTGGTGTCTCCGATTCGTCGACAATCTCCAAGGGGAAAGGCTCCATATCTTCTTGAAAGTAGTTCAGGGATGACTTGGAAGATTTATTGTGGGTTTCTTTGATGGGTGTTGAGGTTTCCTGGTCGAGGTCGCGCTTGAGTCTATAAAGCCATGTCATCTCTGAGTGTTCTCCCACATATCCCATTGCCTGGTTTTCATCGCGATTGAAATCCTCTTCAGTATGATCGATGATGGCCGATGGGTGGCCGATGCCAGCTGGAGGCTCGGAGCGGAATACCGAAGAGCTCGATAACTACAGTGACCATGGTTGGGGACGTGAGTTCTCATAGGGAGGAAACAGGGAGGTCCGAAGGGGGTGGATAGTCAGTGTGGACTCACTCTGACTAATTGATCTCCGAGGGTCTGATCAACATATTGGGCTGACAACGAGTCTAACCTCGGGTACACCTCACGAATAATGGCTTCATAAGTCTGAATTTGGGTCTTTAAATCATCAATTTCCCTACAGCCCTTCAATTAGAGACAGTATGTCACAACTATGATTCGTCAACACACTTCATAATCTTATCCTTTTTTTCGATCGCTATAAGAACATCGGATCCCAGAATCCTCGCAGCGGTTGCAGGTGGGGTGATGACCACTGCATTTAGCCTTCTGCTCGCGACAATTTTCGCAAGCTCGACTAGTTCGGCCGGTACTAGTCCAGGTTGCAGCTTGTGCGGAGCGAGGGATTTGAACCTTTGCATTTATGGACAATTCCCCCGAGTTCGAGCCCACCAGGTCTTCGCGGGGAGAGATCAGCTCTGTATTGGCCGAAAACTCAACGGGAAGCGGCTGAGGAAACCCAGGTACGACCCAGTCATAAGTGAACGACGACGCCTCATTGCCTGGGGTATCCGAATGCTGGTCAGACTTCGGCAGGCGGGGGAATCGGTCCATCGCATGCGTGTGTTACCGATGAAGGTCAAGCGCGAGGTGGATAAAAGAGCGCCCTCTTCAAGCTAACGAGTTTGAGAAAATTAGCCCTACTTAAGGGGCTAAGATTCAGATCGAATCTGTTCTTCTCGCGCCTAATTTCCACCTTGGGCCCCGATTTGGATATGCATGGGGAAAAATAACACACAAAGTAGCCAGAAACGTACGGCAAAATCCGAAGTGGGTTCGACCCGCGAAATGCTGAGCTCTGGTATGCCGGAGCTGGGAGCCGCGTGGATTCGCCACTGAACCGTATCTGACAGTTACCACCAATGAGAATCGCCCGACTGGGTAAACTTGGCAGCAGAGTCAAAAAAGCAACAAGCGTGAGCTTTTGAAGCCATTTGACGTGCTCTTCCTTGTAAAATCAAAGTCCCGCTTATTTGAAACGAAAATTCAGATGATGGGTGGATCCTCGGTCAGCCCATTGTTCTAATAAGCACACTGTAGTGCAGCATCACATTATTGCTGTACTTGGCAAGGAACGTATGTATCAGGTGTGTTCGGCAGCACCCGAGCAGCGGACTGGAGACTGGATGCGTATCGTTCTTGTAAGGGTGGTAAGAGGAATGCCGTCACCTTGCACGATCTAGACCATGGAACTTGGTCAGGCACTCTTGTTCCCAAACCCTCATTGGCGACAGTGCAGCGATATACCGGTGCTTGCCGTTACTGATCGTGCAAAGCGCGTGGTGAATGGTTGGACCGTTCTTAGTATAAACAAACCCTCGATAATGAGCATGTGTAAAGACGACCGTAAGCGGTATTGATTCTAATCAAAGACCGAGGTCAGTCCGTATGACCCCTTGGGATCGGTAAAGACATCCGAATCGGCCGTTGCAAGCTAAGCCGTTCCTTGCCCTTGCAACCCACCCAACGAAACATGGTAGACCGTCTCTTTACCACAGCCTCGCGTTATGATCTCAAGCATCGCTTTCAATGGTTTTCTTCTTTCATTTGCGAACTGTCCTCCAATTTCCCTGCATGTTCTTCGATCGCTAGCAAGACAGATCCAGCTCCCTTAGGGGATACCTCCAGATTCCTGCCTATCGACAAACGAGCCCTTGAAAGACGAGACCTACCATGAAGCTGGACAATTTGCAAGCTCAGGCGCTAGAGCCAGCGTGTATCCTCAGAACCTGTTTGATTGCAAATTTCCAGACACTACAGGCTGGTGATGGAGGGCCTGGGTCAAGCAATCTGTCCCCGGGCACATTGGAAACAATGGCGACATCCAGCAGCAGGCGTGGAATCCTTTTATCCATTCAGACTGTGTTTGCCATAGATGGATATTAAAGAAACCTCAGCAGCACACGCGATGGTAGACGAAAGATAGTAGCCGACGCTCAGATGAGACCCTTCGGTAAGTGAAGCAGCCTGCACCAAGGTGCAGGCAAATTATACTTACTCCCTTCGAATCTAAGAAATCATCATTCACGATGCCCCTTTGCGAGCCCTCAACAAAACGAGCCTGGAAAAATTGACGCACACAAAGAAAGCTGAAAGCCTATCGACCAAACGCGAAGCCGACACGAAGCCGACCGGTCCCCAGGGCATACAATCGATTCTTCTCGCCCGTTTCATCAGCGACTCCACAATGAAATGAAGAATACTGGGGGAAGCAGTGCGGTATGGTTTTGGTCACCAAGATCGTGGGACGGGCCCATATTATCATCGCGATGCCCCCATTCTGCATCGACACAAATCAGGACACCACACTGCCTCTCATAAGCACTGAAACTAACTTGCACTTCCAAGACAAGTTTTTGCAATGTATGCTGGAGAGCAGATGCGACAAGTGATTGGGCTCTCTAGGTGAAAATATTCAGGTCGATTCTTGGAGGGCAGTGGGCTTGAGGATCGGAGCTTGCACAATTTGCGATAAGTCCATTACACCAGTCTGGACTCGTCGATACGCCATACTTTTTTATCAAAACCGCCCTCCTGATCAAATATTGCTGAGTCGGGTCCCATGTCGTAAACGCTCGGATGCGTTCTTCAGACGAGAAGTGTCACTCGGGATTTCGAGACCAATGCCAGCTGCGCCTTGTATTGACTATATGAATCAGCGTTGAAGCTGCCGATTTCAGATGGAGGCAGGGTGGGGATGTGGTGTTCTCGAAATGCTGTCTCATCAACTGGAAGATTTCGCAGACAGAGGCTCACCAGTGAACCCATCGGAAAGGCAAGACACTGAACGCTGATACCGGTTGGACCTCTGGGTGATCATTTTCAGATCTGAGTTATGTTGAAGCCGCCAAAAGCAGTTAAGGGTAGTACATGATGAATTGCCACGCGGTAGGTCTCTGTGTCCAAGAGACAGCATCATACCCCTATTATTCTCGAACAATCTTCTTGCTAATGGCCAGTACTAGACTCTGACAGATGCTCCCACTGCCAGCGGGTTTCCATAAAGGTCAATATTCCGACGTGTTTGTTGATCTAGCCATACTCATGTCAGCATGAGGCTCACAATGTCGTCATCATGCCGACCGGCTAGAAGGGGCAATAATTTTGGCATAGCTGACTGGAGCGACTGAGCACATCAATTGCTTTCCTTTCGCTGGGGAGATGTTCTGCAGTCTCCAAGGAACCTAATTTGAGGCTCCTGAAAAGAATGCATCATTTGGTGTAGTGTACTTGGGAGGTGGCAAAATCGTGTCGAGCGTGAAAGAGCCTGCGTTAAGCCAGCCAATGACATCGGAAAATACTTCCGTGAGCGCGGGGAAAGAGCAACCAACCTACACTCCGAGAAGTCTGGTGTTACTCCACTTCTGGCCTAAGATAAGGGCCTAGGATGAAATGGCTGACTTATTTTTTCAGGGGTCGGGAGCAGTTGCGGTCAATTAAGCACACCGCAGCTTACAGCCTTTCATAGGTCGATGGACTCCATGAACACCAGTGTCATCTTTGAACAATCACCAGGGGGCATGTCGCATATCGAGTCAGAGCATTGTGGACAATCTACCGGAGTCTCTAGATAGGACAAGAGCTATTTCTAAATAGCCACTTAAGGTCAAATCTAAGTTCGCAAAATCTGATATCAGATCTAGAAAGTTAGATACCTGGATCTTTTGATACCCAGCAGGTTTGGATAAAACCGAATGCACCGGCGGATAGCCATTTCAATGAACAAATCCCAAACCCCAGTCCTTTCATGAGCCATATTCATTTCTATGATTTTCATCTTTGACTTGCCGAGGCTGAAATTTGTATCAATTTATCTCTACAGAAATACATGCTGTTCAGTGCAAGGCATATCTGCACCATTCGTCGCTCAGCGAATCAGAGACAGGAGGTTCGGTTTTTCCACAAGAGTCATTGTCCAGGCTGCGTAGGGTGCATAAGGGGTGCTGTTTTGGAGAAGATCTCAAAGCCTGGGATGAAGACGGAGTTGACCACATCTAGGTCTGTGGAGCCTTGGCGGATGGCGATCTGCGCCCCTAAACTGTGGCTGATGATGTGAGCCGAGCCATTGAATGCGTAAGTGCGGATTAGGTCAGTGATGAGCCGTGCCAAGGGATCTACTGAAGATGGGCCAATCACTCGGGATTATCCGTGTCCCGGAAGATCTGGGCCCAAGAGGTGATACGAGCTGAGGGGATATGGAATGACCAGATCCCAGGGGAGGTCAGAAACCAACACGCCGTGAATCAGGACGACGGTAGCTTGGCCATCTGTATTATGTGTAGTAAAGTGCAGCGCAGAACAAGTCTCGTCGTCGAGAGAGGCAGATATTGATGCGATTTACCGGGCTTCGCTAGATATGGCAAGTGAGGTGTTGAAATGATTTTGGGGGTTTCAATTATCAATATTCTTTGACAGCGTTCTAATCCTCCCCTAATCAAAATATCAATCAAAGCTCAGCCCAAAGGAATGTTTTGTCGACTTTATGAGTGGCAGAACAGATCACAGTAATGGCATCTTGTCATAGCTCAATGACATATCCTCAGCCTTGACTACCCATGAGTTATCAATTGATTCCCCACTCACCGAACACAAACTTCCAAGGTTGTCTAAATAGACGGTCAACTTCCTTGCTCTCTCCTGGATCCAACCTTACTCCACCGAATGTCTCCAGGACGCCATCAATGTAGATCTGCACCGCATCTTCCAGCAACAATCAATGTTGGTTACCATTGTAGCAAAGATCAGTCAACGGACGAGCTACTAGATAGTTCAGAAGTAGATAGCCCAGTCAACTTGGTTTTGGGGTATGAGGGACCAAATCCAAACGAAAGCACTGAAGCAGGCTTGTTGTGAACACGATATCCCATTTCTAGTCCTTCTTCATGTCGAATTTTCGTTCCATGATCCGTTGGGAAGTTGCCAAAGGAACAGTAGTCTCTGATGCACCGAGTAATTGTGACAGGGAGCTTGCCAGATGAATTTGAATCACCACAGATGGGATCCGCCAGCGCATTACCCATTACCTGGCTTGCGTACCAGCATTGAAGGCTGGCATCGATCTCTTCAATCCATGGATGTCAATAGGTCAGCCAGTCTGATTTACCAGAACTAATATGGTGCTGCATCAGCAACCACGCATATCAGCTCATCCTGTAGAGGACAGAGTGACATTGACTTCTTCAACAGCAATTGAAAGGCATAAGCATAGAACCCTCGGAGACTTTAATTGCTCAACGATCGTGTTTGGAGTTTTACGATTCGTTTCACATTCGTCCCGGACGGAATGCTTAGGGCAAGCCGAAAATCCCTGATACTGAACCCCATTCACAAAAGGCGTCAACCATATCCGGAAAGGGTCGGGTCTCTGGAGCAAGCTTCAACTTCGAATCGCTGCCAGAATCAACATAGGCGTCCGCCAAAATCGAAACAATGCCTGCATACCTAACGGCGACCGGTATGAATTCACTGTGGGTCCAAGAAGAGGACCAACATTCTTAGCTTTGTTATCTTGACCAATAACCTGCCCCATAAGAGGGCTAGCTAGATGTGGAACGTTGACCCTACACAAGCTGCGCAGGGAAAACATGTGCGTTTCGCAGACGCATAAATGGAATCCTTACGAACGCCGTTAGGGCCATCGTCATGCTATGGAATGGAACAGCTGTCAATATCCTGTTCTCAAAGTCGAAATTCTTTGTAAATAAATCACCTTATTCTTGTGATCTGGCAGGCTAGCGGTGCCCCAATGAGAATCGCCCACCAACAGAAAACCTTCTGCTCCAACGAAAGCGAGTGGATTAGAGATTCGAAAACTTTGATCTACACTTATGCCAAGAGCAACGAAGGAGGAGCCTTGTCCCGAACTTCTAATTGGGCGCCTGTCCATGACACCAAAGGAGAACCCCACTTCGGCATATCCGACTGTCCACTGTCCACTGTCCACTTAGCCGTCTGTGGGGACAGCAGTCGTAGACCCCGGAATTTCCCCAGATTTTCTTGTTGGATACTCCGGCCTTCAATCCATTTAAGATGGCATGATTACCATTGTATCAAGTACTAGGACTATTCACTTATTCAGTAAATTAGTCCTTGAGATTCAACATGACCGACTATCTCAAGTCATCCACTGCTCACCTTGAGTGGGAGGAGGCTGGATTCCTCAAAGCAGATCAGGGATTGGGTTTGATAGGTACCATTAAGACCCATTGGAGAGCACTGTTGATATGTAAGATTTGATACATCTATTTTACATGCCCCTTGGCTAACCTCATGTTCAGGCAGTCTTTCCTTTAGCGCCGGCACGATGTTCGGCTACGACCAGATTGTGAACGGCGCTTCGATCTCTATGCCGGCATTTATGCTTTACTTCGGAGATCAAGATGCATCCGGGCTATACCTACCATCGTTGTGGACTGCATTATGGACATCCATGTCCTCCCTCGCTCAGGCACTCTCGGCTACCGGCACGGGCTTCCTGGCTGACCGCATAGGCCGTAAGTGGACAGGGGTTATTGCAGGTATCATTGGCTTGGCGGGTGCTGCAGTACAATATACTGCTCTCACACGGAGCTCGCTACTTGGTGGCAAGATTGTCGGGGGACTGGGCATTGGCATGGCTATGTCCACCGGTATGACATATGCCTCGGAGGTCGTTCCTCCAAGGCTTGTCCCTGCTGTTCAACAAGGATTCGTGGTGTTCATTCTTATCATGCAAGCCGTGGCAATGGGTATCATTCGAGTTTTTGTCACCGACATGACCGAAAAAGCGTTCCGTACAGTGTTCGCTATTCAATTTGGTGTGGGTGGACTTGTCACAATTGCGTTTGCGATCGCACCAGAGTAGGTTTTCGATATCTTTTATTGAAAGATCCTCGCTAACTATTCTTAGGTCTCCCGTCTACTGTATTATTAAACAGCGCGAGGAGGGTGCAAAGAAGCTGTACAGGTGGCTCTATCGTGACGATGCAGACCGCGAGGAGCGCTACAACCATCTGGTGAAGACTATCGAGGAGGAAAATTCTCAGCGCGAGGAGAACCAGTCAAGCTACATTGAATGCTTCCAAGGAGTAGATCTCAAGAGAACATTGACGATGATGTTCCTTTTCGGAATTGTCAATCTCGGTGGTGGTCCCTTCCTCACGCAGTCGATCTACTTTCTCATCTCCGTCGGCCTGCCCACAGTTCACGTTTTCGATATTTCCATTGGCGGCTTCGCACTGGCTATTATACTCATCGTCGGCAGCGGTATAGTCCTAAAAAATGTGCGGCGCAGGAACACATTGCTCTCGGGATGCATTGTTAACTTCGTCTTCAACTTGATTGTTGGGGCTCTTTATTGGGCCAATGGAACGGGACCCAAGTGGGCTATTGCAATCTTTATGTATGATTTGCATCTATCAAGCTTATCTGGAGACTCCATGCTAATACAATGATAGGAATGTCCTCATATCCTTACAGGCCTGTCTCATGCAAAGTCCCGGTTGGTCAATTGCAGCCGAAATTTCCAGTTACCGGCTGCGCGCCAAGTCCATGTCACTTGGTATCATGTCTCAGACATTCACAACTTGGCTCGTCACATTTGTGGTGCCTTATATGTACAATGTTGACTCAGGAAACCTGGGTGCTCGTACAGGGCTGGTCTTTGCCGGTGCTACGGTGTTGCTTATCTGGGGTGTATGGACCATAGTTCCAGATACTACTGGATTGTCAACGGAGGATATTGATAACCTCTACGAGGCAAAGGTGCCTGCCAGAAAGTTCGCAACTCACAAGTTGGCCATCACAGCGCCGGATGATGCTTGAACAATTAGCAATCGACAATCTAATGTTAGATCTCCGATAGATACCATATGTAAAGGAATTTGCAGTTGCTCCAAAGCGTACGTACATGGTGTTTACTCGATTCCCAACAACCCTTAGATGGCAAGGATAATTTTTCTTTTCCACCTGTATACACGAGCAGCCAACGGAATGAGTCATGACTCAAGTGTTCCGTAATTTGGCCGTGACTAAAGAATCGTGGAAAGCATCGTGACATGTGGGGCCCTACAGATAGATACCATACATAGAGTAGTCGTCAACTAGGGCTGTTGATCAAATCCGAACTTCGCGTTTGGATCTTATAATATGGATTATTAATTCAACTCATTGCGTAATAGCAAAGGCTAACAGGATGGCTATAATTAAGCATGGCCTTGATCCTTGCGAGTCGTACAGGCCTTCCCCCGATGACATAAGAGCAAAGCTAAGTTGAGCGACGCGTTCCATGGCGTCATCTTGCTAATCACATCTGCAGCGGCAAACATGATCAAGTTGGGTTGAGAAATGTTATCCTTGTGTGATCGTTGGTCCGAATCACAAGCCAAAGCCTCCTTTACAACAGCAAAGAATCCATCTGAAGCCCCAAACTCTTCCAATTTGTCTCTCAAAAATCCAGTCTGTGTTGAATCTGCACAGATCACAACTACCCAAACGAAGACCTCGCTGAGGAAGCAGGTGATGATCTCAGGGGGCTCTATCATTCGTGACTTCGATTCACCAATGGACAAAGTCTGCTGCACCCGCAGATCTCGGATGACTTCCAGGCTGTGTGTGAGTATAGATCCAACATTCTCAGGGTGGTTTGTAAGTATGCTGTGCATCATATTTATTGCAGGAGAGATCTCCGGTGTGCCTGACTTTCCTAGTGCATTTTGCAGATCCAGAATCGGGACGTGGACAGTGAGATGGGCAAGGCGAAGATGTGCTCGAGCACTCTTATGGAAATGCCTTGATGTTTCATATGCAGCCACATCGGGGGCCGGTATAAATGCGTAGGTTTGCTCCCAAGCGACGAGCATTTCTGATAAACGATTAGATTTTGATCATAACCCAATTCTGTACATAAAGCTTACTTAATAGAACATATTTGCGCTTCGCAAGTGACATGCACACCTCTTGTTCCGGAGGTGACAAGGCAGATTCTGAATGACGACCTGATAGAAACCTCGTCATCAGATAGGCATAATGCGGTTTAATTTCAGGTTCGATGGTGATAGAAGAAGTCGAAGCTGTAAGAGTATGCGCTTCCGATTCACTAGATATCTGCCATATCTCCGTATCAAGGCTTGCCTGAGAAATCATTGAAATCTGCAGTGATAGATCGTATATATATATCAGAATTGTAGTGAGAACAAGATGTCGAGTCCAGGAGTTGAGACCTATTGAAGAGGCAAAGGAGGTTTGTCCGGGAGTTCCATCTGAAGACGTGTTATATGGAGCGGTTCCCAGGTCCAAAGGTCCCATAAAGGGGCTCACGACAGAAGCGAATGTTCTTGCCGGTGGAACGGATGCAGAGCCAAGTAAAGACCTCCAACGATTGGCCGTTGCGGCATGCCAGAATTCCTCGTCACAGGGACACTCAACAGCCATAAACTCTGCCACGCTAATTGAAGGTGGCAGGTACAACAAACATGGAAACATACAGTCGAAGCTGTAGATAATCCACAATAGCCTCTTTCTGGACTCCTTCAGGATCCAGGCCTGCCATCGGCCCTCCATGCTATTGCCAAATCTCTTGAGATCTTCTCTTGCCAGAATGAATTCACTGTCACGTATCTGCCGGCAATATGTAACCACTGCAGCCCTCAGACTTTCCGATAGCTCGAAAAGCCGTTTGTTGCCACACCACAGGCCGGCATAGCAGATTAATGTCAAGGCATAGACAAACTTGGGATCTCTCATAAGCTTGTTGTTCATTTCAAGGGCAATTTGTGAGCTTAACCTTGCCATGTCAACGAGCACGATTGAGAAGCGGCAGGTGTGCCGTTCGCGGCTGTATATAGCTCCTATAGCAATCATTGCAGCAAGAAGAGGATCAGGTAAGTCATCACATGATTGTAAAGATGGACGATGTATGACAGGCATCTGGTATTCAAAACGCGTGAAAAACAATCTGATGAAGATATTCGTGGTCTCCAGGTCTGGAAAATGAAGTGAGTGAAAGTTGAACCCCCTTCTTGCTGGCTCCAAAAGAAATGCGGTCACCTTTTGGTACCGTTGGTGGGAGATATCGAAACGAATTTCATGATCACGTCTCAAGGGGTGGTTTCCGGGCAATTCAATAGGCTTAGCGGCAGTAATCGCTTGAGATGCAGGGTCCCATTTGTATGGCCATTTGTCTTCTTCAGACGCTTCATTTGGAGGGGATGCTGGTCGACTCATTATTCCACCCCCATCAATAGAGACGTCGAGATTTTGATTACTGTGATCAATTGCCATTTGATCGTAATCTAGATCCATGGCCAGGATTGGGGCGGCATTGAAGGGCGGCATTGACCCAGTATCCAGCAGCACTGCCATAATGTCTTCATCAAAGCGAAAATCCTCGAATAGACATGGTTCCCGTATCCACCGAAGCAGATCATCATCGAATGTGTTCTCCACGGATTGATTTGCCCAATGACGAGCGTGCTCAGTCGGAGCCTGAGCCGTGAGAATGTGGGTCGATTGTATGCCAATGTTTAATGAATTCATAGGACTCCAGCTATTGCCAGTCTCATGTTGCACATCATTTTCTGCAAGCGAGCTAACATTCAGAGAACCCAGACTGGCTGAACCATCATCGTTATGCGTTTTAACCGAGGGAGCTTCATGTAACGCATCGGAAGGCTGCGGTGAGAACACCGCAAGGTCTTTTGGTGATTCGGTACGCCTCTGCGGCGTCACAGTCACGCTTGGTGACTGCTGCGTCTTGTGAATTGCCTCATGGCGCTGGCGCGCGTCACTTCTGGTGAATTCCTTGCCACACACGGGACAGCGATGCAGCTTTTTTTGTTTGTCTACGTTGCAATCTAATAAGCATACACACAGTAGTAGTTTGTGGATCAGACACTGACGGATCCGAGCATGACGATAAACGTTTTCTCGCCGAGAAAACTCCTTTGGGCAAAATTCGCATCGAAAGCGAGGCGATGCCTCTGGCGTTGAAACAGACATGTGGGAAAGTGGACAGTGGACAGTGTCCACGAAATAATGTAGAGGAAGATGTGAAAATGTGGGGTAATCATGTGAGACTATGTAGGTGGGTAGCAGGTGCCTGTCAAGTGACTTTTGTCGGGGTAAGATGTGCCGATCGGAATGTCCGAGACTAGACTTTCGACCCCGGATTCCCTATATGAGCTACATGAGTTCATCGAAATCATATCTTTTTTTTGATTTGTGGTGATCTTTGATTACAAAATGGCCCCTGCTTGGACACAAACCCCACCATGGATCTGGCTGCCGACCCATAGTGAGGACGAGAGCCAGCCCGGTCGGTATTTCCTTTTCCGCAAAAGCTTCCAATGGACTCAGCCGTACGGGCTTCGTGAATTTCCCGTTCATGTTTCTGCAGATAGTCGATATCGACTTTTTGTAAATGGCCAGCGTGTCAGCTTTGGCCCTTGCAAGAGCTATCCGGAACGTTGGTACTATGAGACAATCGACATTTTACCTTATCTCACAGAGGGAGACAATGTCATCAGTGCGCGTGTCTTGCGTTACTCGTGTGTCAATACTGGATCGTCGTCCATTATCAGCACCGAATTGCCCGGTTTAATGGTGCATGCTGAGATTGAGGTGAGTACCAAAAGCCCCAAGAGTAGCGGTCAACATATATTCACAGGTCACTGACATGTTAGCAGGGACTATCGATCTCTTCAGATCCTTCATGGAAGTGCTTACAAGAAACAAGCCGCAAGATTATTCCTCACTCCGAGTGGAACTACCTTTTGGGTCCACCCTTTATGTCAAACAACGAGAGAGTAACAGAAGCCCCAAAGCTCTCTGGTTGGAAGCAAGCAGCATTCGATGATACTACCTGGGAGTCCGCCATTCTTCAATTCCGCCCTGTAAAAATGCTTCCAATTCAACGTCCGTGGAAACTGGAGCCACGTCCTATTCCAGAGCTCCCAGAGATTCCTGGGAGATTCGATGGAGTGGTGAAATGCGAAGGTTCTATCACAAATGCGCAGTGGAATAGCTTCATCAAAGGAGAAGGAGATCTGATTGTACCGACTGGAGAGACTGTCAGCGTGGACATTGAATGCGCATCGCTAACCACAGCATTTGTCAACTTTCAATGTGGTGGGGGATTGGGATCAATCATCACATTCCTATATTCTGAATGCTACGAGAAAGATCTCGGGGTCGAAATCGCTCCTTTTCCCATGCCGAGAACCAAACTGCTCAGATCGGACTCCAAAGGCCGGCTGTATGGAGTGAAAGATATATATACAGTGGCCGACGGCCAAGCGGAGCAGATTTTCGAACCATTCTGGTTTCGAGCGTTCCGATATGTTCAATTGCATATCAAAGCTTCATCGCAGCCCCTCACGCTTAAGGGATTCACTCTTCGCGAGACTTCCTACCCATTGGATATCTCCACTGAAATCCAGGCTGGACCAGAATTGAATAAGATCTGGGATGTCAGTCTACGTACTCTCCAGAACTGCCGACATGAGACATACGAGGATTGTCCTTTCTACGAGCAAAATCAGTTTGCATCTGATTCCCGACTACAGATGCTTTTCACCTATCAAGTATCATCAGATGATCGACTTGCCAGGAAAACTTTGGAAGAGTTTCACGCCAGTCAGACTCCTGATGGATTGATCAAGGCACAGTTCCCGGCCGGTTTCAAGAGTAAGCAAATCCCTCAGTTTTCACTATACTGGGTTGCAATGGTATGGGATCACATGAGATACTTCGCGGACAAGAAGGTAGTGCGGCGGTACTTGAGCACCATCGACGGAATTCTCAACCACTTCGACGAGAGAATCAATGATCTCGGGCTGATTGGTCGATTCGAAGAAGATACGTGGCCCTTCATCGATTGGGTATCTCAATGGTCGGTCCCAGGGAAGATTTTCGAGTCATGCATGCCTCGATCGTACACGAGAAATGGCGCGGCGACGTTCAACAGTCTTTTGTACATTGTTGCCCTGATGCAGGCCGCTGATCTATGTGATTTCATGGGGAGAACGGATACCGCTGCCGAGTATTCCACTCGAGCACAGGCCCTCCGGAATGCTGTGAACAAGCATTGCTTTGATGATGCTCTTTACCTGGATGGTCCATCAACAAAGGAATACAGCCAACACAGTCAAGTGTTTGCTGTTCTTTCTGAAACCATTACGGGAACAGCAGCTCGAGAGTTAATGGTTCGCACAATGTACAATTCCTCATTGATGCAATGCTCCAGTGCTCTACAGTTTTACGTGTTCCGGGCTGTGGAAAAGGTCGGTCTTTACAACAAGATGTTCCCCGCCCTTCTGGATCCATGGAGACGTATGCTTGCGGATGACTTGACGACATGGGCTGAGTTTGAGGAGAATCCCCGCAGTGACTGCCATGGGTGGAGTGCCTGTCCAGTCAACGAAATCGTTACCCAGTTGTATGGTATCAAGCCGGCCACGCCGGGTTTCAAACGTCTCCGCATCGAGCCACAGATGGACCTGCTTACAACAGGAGAGGGCACTTTTGTTACTCCAATCGCGAAGATCAAGTTGAAGTGGACAGAGGATGGGAACCTGGAAGTCGAGCTTTCTACAGATACCGTGGCAGAGGTTGTATTTGGAGGTTCTGTGTACATTGTCCGGTTTGTGGCTGGGAAAACTGTGTCTTTTCTCAAAGAGACGGAGTCCATGGTCATAATTTGATGAGCCATATTAACACACGCCGTGCACAAGCACAATGTCACGTTTCTTAGTGACATATATCCCTCTAAGCTGTATTATCCAGGACTACAAACAAATAGACAGCCTGGATTCTCGGGTCTTCTAGCTTAGTAAACAAAAGCTGGGCTTGTAATTGATCTTTGTCTTTATCAAAGCCAAAAATGGTTGAAGTATTGAAATCACCTTTTGGTCCCCTTTGCATTGGTCACCTAATTTATAAATCGCCGCCTGAGGCATCAGCTCCACACCACGTGAGCTGGCCGGGGATCTTATCGCGCGAGCTGGATCCGCATGATTCCCCAAGTCAAATTCCGGCCGATGCTAAGCTCCGGAGAAGCTGTCAATTTCTTTGCGATGCAAGGAAGCTGAAATTAAAACCATGTCTTTGCGCGGGCCCATGCGGCGGTCCCACCTTAGGCAGGTGAGCGCCGCCAGCTTGGAGACCCTTTCGACCATCCATACCGAGACATCGTATCGCGATCATGACCCCACGCCAGATGAACGAACCGTTCGGCTATCCGCCAGCTTGGCCCGCCACCAATGCACCCTCTGGGTCCACGACGAAATGTTTTCGAGGGAGGAGATATTGTTGAATCCGTTAGCGTTCGGAGAAAGTGGAATCCAGGTCGGGGATGTGGTCGAGATTCTACCCGTTCGAGCTTCTGGGGATGCAGTACACTCTGCTTTGAAGCCTGACGTGGGCGTGAAGATGGCCCGCGAAAGCCATGCAGACATAAACCTGAGCTCCCAGACCGACGGCACCTCCAAGTTCAAAACCCCATTGCAAAGCCGATGCTTATTTGTGGTGAAGCCCTTGCCGCAAGATGTAAAGATGCGACATCCCAAGCTAGAGATATCGGTCACCAGCAGCGTAGCCAATATCTTCGGTTTCAAGAACAGAACCCAGGTTACGCTCTCGATTGTCGACCGCGAACACTGCGCCGCGTCTCACGTTGACATCTCTTTCCGTGACCAGTATATGGTGCGGTCTGATATGTGGCGATTGGTCATGTCCGAGCTCGTTAATAAGATTGTCTACAAAGGCCAGAAAATCATGTTCATGGGCAGCATCAAGGCGACTGTAAAGAACATTTTCATTCGAGAGAAAAAGGTTCTTTCAGGGTACTTCGCGCCTCATACAATTCCTGTCTTTCGCAGCGAGTCAGCAAAGTATGTCTTGTTTATTCAAATGTCCAGGGAAATGTGGGATTTTGACTCAGAAGGATCTGGGGATATTCTCTTCAGTCGCGTGATCAATGGGTTTTTACCAGAGCTGTTCAAGCGATGGGCTAACTCTGATGCGAAACATTTGGTCACCATTGTACTCTTCACACGAGTAGAATACGATGTTTCTGCACATCCGAGCATATCTCAACTCAATCCTGGCTTAGCAGGTGCTTCAGGTCCGAATAATGTTCCAACTCGAGACTTTTATCGTGTCGTCGTGAACGATATGGCTAGCGGTCATTGGACCACTATCTTGGATGAGCTCAAGAAGAATTTTAGAACCTTCTTGAGAGATGTGTCGATTTTGAAAACGGACGACCTGGATGCTGCCACTGGAAGCGGCATCAAGATCCCTTCCAAGCCACATACCGCGACAATTGCCGGACGCCCCAGCACCGCCTTGCGAGGCAACATTCTTGAGGCCATTCATCTTGCCTCTGCTCACCTGGCCTATATGCATATCGACCGAGATATGGTTCATACGGGAACATCTATCATCGTAATTACCCCGGGGAGTGGTGTTTTCGAAGTATCATACGAGTCTTTAGCCTCTACCACAGAAGCTTTGACGAATCGTGGAATAGCCATCGATCTGGTCTGCCTGAGTCCAATGCCTCTTCACTCAGTGCCTCTCTTCAAATATCGAGAGCCGGTAGAGCGAGCGTCTAGTTCCCTCGAAAGTCCGATCGAAACGCCAAAGTTGTCGCCTGAAGTCCACCATTCGATATCCAGTCTTGTCAGTAGATCTTCTTACCTCTCCCCTGGATCTTATCTCTCCGCCACCAGGATGCGGGAGCGAGGTCTGCCTAGATCTAGAGATTGGAGCTATGGCATCCCCCACTGGCTGGATATATCATACTGGAATCCGGAAACCTATCGAGAAGCTCGGCGCATCTTGAAAAACGATCCCAATGCTCCTATCCCGCACACCGTCACCCGGCCACACAAAGCGTTTACTCCACGCGTACGTATGTATGAGATTCAAATGATGGGCGTCATGGAGAGCGAACAATCCAATATCTCCATCCCCTACCTTCTTGAAGGGCGTGATATCGTAAAACCCCGCACGTTACTAGGATCAAGCTCAGCAATTCGTGCGCCTCCAAGAACACGATTCGCCAACACTTCTTCCCTCAAAGCGCAATTCAGTGATAGCCTACGACCAGAACCGTTTCTTGAAAATGTGACAGATCAGAGTGAAATCCATACCAGAGAACAGCGAAAATCTCGAAAGTCTATCATGGCTTGGATGGATCAGTACGATGATAATATCTTCGCCGCGACTACCAAAAGAAAGGACACGCCGAGACCTAGAAACAAGCGTCTGAGTGAGCCGGAGGTCCAGGGCACTGGTGCGCATGAACGGATGTCGGCACGATCTGTCCTGCATCTACGAGAGCATGAAACTAGCACGGCCGAGGGCGGCCAAGCACCGCGGGCTGGTCCCCGAAGGATCGACGGATCTAGTCTTTCTCAAAAGAGCACAGTTTCTTCAAAGAGCACGTCACCCAAAAAGTCGGCGCTGAAAACCAAGCCCGCACCACCCGCCTCGCGAATTTCTCGAACAATCAGCTTTGCGCTTCGGGGCTTAATTTCTACTCCTCCACGGGCTCAGGCAAGCACTGGAGTCCATGTAGAGCACGCAAGCGCACTTCCGATGTCCAATCAAAGGTCCTCTGGAGGTACCTTTTCCGACACTAAAAGTATCATCTCCTTGAGTCCATCGGAAACTACATCAACGGCGACAGTCACAGACGGAGCATCCCCGCCATCTACACCCCCGAGACTTTCACAGTACAACCGATTGACTCCTTCTAAACCAATCTCTATTAAGACACCAATGAAGAAACCATCAGATAGCCCAGAGCGATTGGAACCTGGAAGAGCCCATGGCTCACTTTCAACGTCTGCAACAGAAACTCGTTTCGTCAACCGGGACGAGGGGCCAGGTCGGCCTAACGACAATAAAGTTGAGATCTCTCTCAACCACAATTCACGTGATACTTCAAGAAACTCGCCAGGCAAGGCTCTCTCGCCCTGGGTTCGATCGGTTAACCCTTGCAATACGCCGAAAGATGTATTGCGCAAGACCAGCTGGTTTGGTCGTTGGCAACATGCATATCCTCGTCCTCCTCACGTTGCAGTAGTCAAATGGAAGAGCTTAAAATCACCTGCAGTGCTTCCTCTGACTACAGAAGAATTCCCAACTTCAAGTGAACTTACCTCGGATTATCTGCAGACGCCATACCGCGTTTTCGCGAATGACGACACAGATGGTATCGAGGCACCAAAGACTCGAGGATTCCTCCTACGAGAAATGATCTCACTTCGATTGTCTCACGGCTTTCAGATTGTTGTGGGCCGAAATGTGGCAGAAGTCTCGGCACAACCGGCCCTTGAGTCGCTAAACGTATTTGACACCCGAGGACTTGAGCGAGATGGAGTTATTGTTTTCCTCTCTAAAGGCAACGCAATTCATCGACTCATCACTGTAGACGGAGGAGAAATTGAGGTGACTCGCTTCACACATCACACAGCGGCGGCTCTTTTGTCACCTAAACGAACCAATTTCACGCTGTATCAGCCAGCCATGAGAACTATTCTGAGCCAAGAGTATGAGATCAAAGACATCAAGCTGGACCCTACTGCTGAAGAGTACAATTGGAATCTTGCTGATAATTATCTGGCTGGCCACCGAGATTATATTCACAGCCCGGCCCAGCAGCTGCATTTCTGGCGGGTCCGATATGTGTTGATTCCGATGCAATTGCATCCCCACTCTCGGCGACATCTACAATCCTTCAATGAGGATAATGAAGAAGAGATCCATTTGCTCGGCATCAGCCAGCTAACTCATATCTGGCAACGAAACAAATATGTCTCTCCAGAGGAAAAGCGATATGAGTCTGGCAACAAAAAGAGAGATCAGAATCCGCTCAACATTATGTATCAAACACGAAACCCATCCGAGGTTGTCGCAGCTGAACTTGATCGTGTACTCCTCACTGACCCTGGGCTTGACAATCCGCCCACCCAGCTTTTACCTGAGGCTGATTTGCTTGAGAGGTCTGGCGACCTCATATTGCAACTTTCGCAGATGATTCAAGGCGAGAAGGGTGTGCGGATGATGGATCGACGATGGCATTGGAGGCTACACTACAATTGTTTTATTGGTATCGAGCTCACAACTTGGTTGATACAAAATTTCCGAGATATCGAGACTCGCGAGGAAGCAGTTGATTTTGGCAATGAGCTGATGAAACACGGGCTATTCCAACACGTCGAGAAACGACACAACTTCCGAGACGGCAACTATTTCTATCAAATTTGCGCCGAGCATCGTATCACTCGCCCTGAATCTCGAGGTAGCTGGTTTCCTCAACTTCGAGCAGACAAGTCAATGCCCTCAACGCCGGCAGTTGGGAAGGATTCTCCTTCCAGCCTTCGCGCTCGCTCTGACAGCATTGATGAGCGCATACCAACAACGCCGAGTACCCCGTCAAAAACCAAGAACAAGGTTGCAATCATGTTGTCTAAGACCTTGAAGTATGATGTAGACACTCGCAAGCGGTCAAATCGCCCCGAGGTGATCGATCTTCACTACGACCGGCTGCACAATCCTGAGAACTGCTTCCACATTGAGCTTAGCTGGATGAGTACTACACCAAAGTTGATCGAAGACACCGTGCATTCGTGGGCCTCCACTGCGGAGAAATTTGGTCTGAAGCTGGTTCAGGTACCCATAGCTGAAGCCTGCGCCATTGATAAGAAACAGCCTTTCCGAAAGCCTTACCGGGTCACACTGAAGGTTCCACCGCCCAAAGGACCGGTCCACACAGTGTTCAACAACGCGTCTTTTGCACAGCCAGGACCACCGGACCGCCTCTATTACCAAAAGTGTATATTACGCAAGTTCGACTTTGTCTTGGATTTTGAAGCATGCACCGCATTCCCGGCCGATGTCGAAGTCTCATTTTCTTGGGGCAAGCCCGACTACAAATACCCACAGTATATCCACCGCAATGGTAGTCTCCTTGCTCAGATCACGGATGAAGGAGACTTCCTACTTCTCGCAAACCGACTGGTCAGTACTCGTGGCGTAGCGAGCAGAGACGCAGGTCGCTATGATCATGGCCGATCAGATTATCGTGGCCGTGCACCAAATCACGATTCTCTCGACCGCCTCTCTCCACGCCTGTCTCCATTGATCCGTCCTTTGCACGACATTGGAAGTCCTCTGCCTTCGACAGCTGCACCCAGTATCGACTCGGCAAATTTGTATCGTGCGCCAGAGCATATTCTCAACAGCCTAGCTGATTTCTGCAAAGATGCAGCCGCGCTTGAGCAGTTCTACAGCGAGTCTCACATTCGTCCAGCCTCAACCAAGGTCGAGCCTGCCACTGCTCATCTCATGGATACCTCTATCCCATCACTTGAGCTTCCCGCCAGTGTCGTCAGCCACCACATTTCGCCTCCACCTGGTTTGCCCTCTAGAGTGGTTGGGGAGTCTCGCGAGACACGGGACGGATTGAAGTCGCCTGAGTTGTCCCGAACCAGGGCTCGAGGCGAGAGCATGAGCTACAAAAGCAGTCCACGAAGCGGTAGCCTCCGACCACTGCTTTAAAAATGGCTGTTTTATCCCACTACTGTATCACGCTTCTGATTATCCTGTACCTAATATGTCCTGAGATACTATGTATGATCAATAACCTCGGAAACATTTGATGCTGCATCACGCCATCCTTGCTTTACTTAAATTGTCAACCTAGGTAGGACCTCCTTTGAGCACGAGGTGGCCCGACAAGTCACTTGTCCCGCATGGAAATTACCCGAATGCCGAAACCGAAAGATAGGTGATGCGCTCAGATAGATACAATTTAGCCAAATAGCAGCCAATTCACCCGGATCAACCTTGGTCGGGTGGCTGCGCTAGTTGAAACTAGGCTTAGCTATACATTATGGAGCTCTTAGCTGTTATCATAGGTCCCCAGAAGCTGTGGGACGTTGCCCCGCCTGACGTGTTTCCTGCAAATTAGACCAAAGACATTGTATGCATAGCTAGCTGTGGATCTGGACTGTTTCTCCTGTCGGACGGTCGTCCGTGTCGAATGTGGCTGTTCGGGTTTAGAGCTGCTTGATTTTGGGCTTTAATCGTCCTCTTTCTTATTTTTCTTTTCTCTTTTCTGGTATTCTGATATTCTTCAATCGGGCTTCCACGTCTTTATCTTCTTTGCTTTCAATCCAAATCTCTGGGGATTCGGAAGATATTCCTGTTGCATCTACTTGGTCCCACTTCTATACTAACACCACCGTTTGTCGCAACAGCATACTTGACACGATGAAGTTCACGGCTGGCATGTGGTGCCTGCAAGTAAGTAAATTTCTCTTGCAAATATCTAGAACGAGAAACTAAATTACCCGGTGTGTTGTAGGAGGGCGTGCAGATTGATTGGATGAGCAACGTGGAGCGATTGCGGATCGAACAAGAAGGTGTCAATCTACTCCTGAACAAATTCCAAAGACACCGCGGTGATACCTTGAATTCACGTATGTGTCCATATAATTGAATTCCAATCCAGCGCCATAACTGACATTCTACAGCTACAATCTCGGCTCAGGTAACCTCTCCACAGGAGGGTATTATCGCCGTGAAACTAGTGCATTGGTAGATTCTCCACCAATCAAAACCTTGGAATTTACACTACCGATCCATGGATTCACTTTTCGTTCAATTTACTAACTTCTCATTCAGGGCCGGACAAGTCGACAATGGTCCTCATTACGAGATTAGCCAGTCCAACGGACACACAAGCATCAATCATGACGAAACCACCAACTCCCTCAACTACGGCAGCGGGCCTTTGCAACTCGATATCAACACCGCAGCCAACGAATTAGATCTCGTCTTCCGCTCTCCATCCAACAAGAAACTCACCGGTCACTCGGGCCGCTCAATTGGCTATGTCCGGGATGCTCGTAGTGATAAATACCGCACCGATGATGGTATCTACGCTGAAAAACAGGGGTACATGCTCATGGGTCTCGATGTAGGTGTGGGTGAGAAGATCTACGGATTGGGTGAGCGATTCGGACCACTTGCAAAGAACGGACAGACTGTCGATATCTGGAATGAGGATGGCGGTACTTCATCCGAGCTGGCCTACAAAAATATTCCATTCTATATGTCCTCGAAGGGATATGGTATCTTCATCAACCACCCTGGAAAGGTTAGCTTAGAAGTTCAATCTGAGCGCACGACAAGAGTTAATATCTCTGTTCCTGGTGAGGAGATTGAGTATTTCGTTGTGTACGGTGAGACGCCTAAGGATGTGTTGAGGCGTTATACCGGGCTGACAGGGCGGCCGGAACTTGTGCCATCTTGGAGTTACAATCTGTGGTTGACGACTAGCTTCACAACAAATTATGATGAGCAGACTGTGACTGGGTTCTTGGATGGGTTCCGGGATCGCGATATCCCGCTTGGTGTCTTTCATTTTGACTGTTTCTGGATGAAGTCTTACCAGTGGTGTGATTTCGATTTTGATACGGAGATGTTTCCTGATGCTAGGGGATATATGAAACGGCTCAAGGAGCGTGGTTTGCGCATTAGTGTGTGGATTAATCCGTATGTTGCACAGGCGTCACCATTGTTTGAGGAGGGGAAGAAGAATGGCTACTTCATCAAGGTATGTGGATTTTTACTCTTGCCTGCACTTTCCATGGCGATACTAAAATATCTAGCGCGATAATGGTTCCGTCTGGCAATGGGATATGTGGCAAGCCGGAATGGCCGTCGTGGACTTTACCAACCCGGCCGCATGTCGCTGGTACTCTAGTCAGCTAGAGCGTCTCATGGAGATGGGCGTGGACAGTTTCAAGACTGATTTCGCGGAACGAATCCCCTCAAAGGGAGTCAAGTACCATGATAACTCAGACCCTGAGAGGATGCACAACTACTATGCTCTCCTCTACAACCGCATCGTGTACGAAACGCTTGAAGCAGGCGTAGGCCACAATCAAGGTCTCCTGTTTGCCCGCAGTACCGCTCCAGGTGGCCAGAAATACCCCGTACACTGGGGCGGAGATTGCGAGAGCACATTCGAAGCGATGGCGGAGTCTCTTCGTGGAGGTCTCAGTCTCATGCTTTGTGGATACATCTTCTGGGCATCGGATATCGGAGGATTCGAAGGAACCCCACCACCAGCGCTGTATAAGCGATGGGTACAATTCGGACTTTTATCATCTCATTCCCGGCTCCATGGATCGTCGTCGTTCCGAGTCCCTTGGATCTATGGCGAGGATTGTTCTGCTGTGCTCCGGGATTGCGTGAAGCGGAAGATCCTTCTTACGCCGTATATCCTGCAGGAGGCATTGAGGGGACACCAAGACGGGACACCGCTGATGAGGCCACTCTTCTTGGAGTTCCCCGAGGATCTGAATACGTATGCTGTTGATACGCAGTATATGTTCGGCTCTAATTTGCTGGTTGCGCCTGTTTTCACGGAGGAGGGCGAGGTGACCTTCTATGTCCCGCAGGTTGAGGGCACTGAAGGGAAGTGGGTGTCGTGGTTTGATCATGACAAGTCTTATGAGGCAGGCCGATGGTACACCGAGACTCATGACTTTGATACTCTGCCCATTCTTGTTCGTCCAGGTTCGGTAACCTTGATCAATCCCACACTCAAGGCGCCGGAAAATGATGCACTATCCGGGATCCAAGTGTTGGTGAACGGCCGCTTGGATGCGAAAACAACTCTGGAAATTGTGGATCCGAGTCAAACGGACAAGATCCTGAAAACAATCCAGCTCTCGCCTGCTCAGGATGGGCAGACGGTTCAGTGTGAGGGGCATGCCATTGAAGTTGTAACTATCAAGGAGTAGTTTACTATGCCAGGCAAAATACTTTCATAGATAATTCTTCAGTTCAATAGCAATTTGAAATCAAAATATTCTTTGGTAATATTGAATGGAATGATGGGCCTAGCAATAGCTGCAAGGCCTTGACAAATAATGGGTATCATGGTCAGAATAAGAGACATATGTATGCAAATAAAGGAGAATCAGAGGTAACACCATCAGTCCTGCGGTGACCTAGCGCAGATGACTTGATGACTTTGGCAATGGAAACAATGCAACGTATGCTAGGGTTTGCGAAGGCTCGGAACGTGTACAGTCCAGCGTCAAACAAATTACCAGGCTTCCTCGACATCAAGGAGCCATTTCCGAATGCCCTCTCGTAGAGTGTTATCGGCACCTGCCATGGCTCTCCTCCGTTCTCGGTCGGCTAGCCCCAACTCACCGTCTACGTCGTCACGGCAGTGCTCAGCGGTGACGACACGGACAACCTCTTCAAGAGCACCAAGGACCATCTTGCGACACTCCGTACGGGGAACTTCGACTGGAGGATCTTCACCACGAGGGGTTGTCTGACCTTTGTCCTCGGCTCTGCGAGCACGTGTTGGGGATGGCGCCCGGGAGTGAGCAAGCGACGAGTAGCCGCTTTGACCGAGAACTCGCTCGACGGCATCAACAAGAATACCATCAAGGTCCATGACAGGCTCTTCAATAAATCGTTCCTCCACGTATTGAGGGTCGTGTCCTTCGAGAACGGTGACTTCTGGGGACTTGGCATACCCCGAGAAGAAGCCAGAAAATGATGTTGACGAGGCTGTGGAGTTGCGGGTGTGTCCAACAGCTGGAGAAGGGGGAGTATGACTTGGCCCATAGTGGTGGCCCACGACAATCTTGCGTCTCAATCGTAGACGCTTGATAGAGGAAGATCGAGTGTCCGCGATCAAGGTCGTTGCAACGTCCACCCATCGCTCTGATCCTTCTGCATCAGGAGTTGAGGGGATATATGGCGAGGGCTCAGCCTGCATCGCGCGTTTAATGTCTGCTTCCAGAGTAGCGTACGGGCGGACCGCTTGCAGGGAGAAATCTTCATGGAACGATTTCAACCATCCAGCGACGTGCGTACTAGGCCCATCACTGTCTTTTCCAGCATTGTGAAATCCAGAGCCGCTACTGTGTGTGGATGCAATGGCATCAAAACTGGTAATTGAGGTCCTTGTTTTCTTGGGTGAGGCAATGGTGGAATCACCCGAAGAGGAGAGCGACAGGAATCCAGGAAGCGGGAGATCAACATCTACAATCCCTTCTTCCGCCCGAACGGACAACTTCAAGGGTGATTCACGGGCTTGGCTCGTAAGTGATGATGGTTCTGGGGAATCGTCCTCAGCACCATGGGTGGTAGCAGCAGGGATCGAAATGTTCCCACTGGTGGGCGCAGTTTCAGGACGATGCTCAGGTATGTCCTCTGTGGCCTCTTTGACCATTTGGCTCAAGGTGGGTTGAGCCCGCATGGGTGGGCCAGCTATTGTAGAGACTGATCGCTTGCGCGCATCAGCCGGGGAATAAATATCACCGGCCTTGGTCGAAGACTCTTGCCGTGAGCTCCATAGTCCAGAGAACAAACCGCCCCAACGGCCTTCAGCAGATGGAACACTGCCATTAGAACCCAAGTTCGAGCTGTCACTTCTTCGCAAATTCTTCAGTAAAGTCTCCGATGCCAAGCTCTCATTGGTATTCGTGGCACTGTCAGAACTTCCTTGACTAGCGCGACTTTGTTGTGATGTGAAGTGTGGAACAGGAACCGTGCTCTTCTGGGTGATCATGGAGGTTGTTGCTCCGCTGGCAGCCTTTGCCCGTGGGTCCTTCGCCTGGATGGTAGCACTTAGCGTTTTGATTGAGCGAGCATCGGATCCTCTGCGGGCTGACGTGAACTCGGCTGCAGAGGGTTGGTCGATTCCATCAGATGACCGCTGGGCCGTGTCTTGAGATGAAACGCTTACTGAGCGCCGGTGGTGGCTAATATCGCCTTGACACATCCGCTGCGCACGAGCACGGCGTTCAATTGCTCTTCTCAAGGATTCTTGTCGAAGCACCGGTACTGTGGGCGGACTCTGGGAAACAGCGCGCATGGACGCGGATGTGCCAGGTCGTAGTGGGGAGGGCAGTGGCTCTATACGCTGCTTGGATGGGAGGAAAGCCGAGAGCAAGAAGATGAGACGGCGAGCGGTCATTTTGTCCGGACAAACAACCACAGTTCGGTGAGTCAGAACGGGATCAATATCCTGTTGAGCCTTTTGCTGCTGGTTGTGCCGACGACGGTACCACTCTGGACCGAGGGCATTGAGCCACTCCGTGTGATTGCCCAGGAATGCCGTGAGCAGAACTAGGAAGAAGAAATTACTCTCCTTGTCGCCAAGGCCTCGAACAATGGAACGACCTTCTTCCCGCCACACGCCCCAGCGACTTTGGCCGGTGACAACGTATGGAGTCTGAAGGGCCATGCTGATACGACGGCTACTGCGAATAGCCTCTTCCTTGAGTTTGGAGTTCACAGACAAGATGTTGGCAGGCAAATGGACAATCGTCTGGTTAGTCCGTTGCATATTGGGTGGTTTGTCAGGCTTTGGGTGTGGTCCTGACAACGAATCAACCTTTCTCAGTAGAAAGAGAATCTCGTTCCGTGCGAGTCGCTCTAGGTGGGACAAAGTTCTAGTAATGACATCCCAATGGTCGACCAACAGGTCCAACCGCTCATCCAAGCTTGCAGGAGGAGATGCGGATGACAAACTATCGTCAAATAGAAACCCAGGCCAGCGATAGTCAGAATCCAAAGAGCTGGACATCCCTGGCCGAGGAGAATCAGGACCGAGAGTACTGAATCGCGACACAGGCCGTGGGGCATTCCGTGCTAGTAAAGGAATTTGAATAATTATCGCGACAGCATACATTGGCGTTTTCTTCTCCTTTATCTTCTTCCGCTTTGAGATGTCTGGGAATGGAAACCCCATTTCAGGCAGAGACTCTTGATAAAGGGCACTGGCATAATCCTGCCGCTCAGCAGAAGCCTCGGCTCCCTCTGGGAGGTTGACGCTAAACATCCTAGTTACGAGAACGGTAACTTTGGAGGGTGGCTTGTCCGGTCCTTTAGCTGGCCCAAAATCTGCCGAACTTCCAGTAGTATAGGCCCGAGCAAGTGGGCTGCGCGCTGCAGGCGACATACTTGTCCCTGTTGGTGGGTCATCATCAGCAGAGATGATGTGCATTTTTGTGGAGGATCCACGATAGCTGAATGCGCTACTACCGAATATGCAATTGAGGAGACCAGTATCATTGGTGTCGGTTGAATGCCGTGATGTGCCGTAGTCATGTTGTGTTCCGGTTTGTGCAAGAGTCGAGCTGCGTCCTCGAGCTCTTGAGAAAGCACCAGAGCCCGCAGGTGTTGGCCTCCGTGCATCTGCTGCCGAGGAAAGGGGGCTAGATTCAACGACTGAGGACTGGGTAAGGTAGTTCCGACGAGAGCCGCGAGAGAGACTTGACACAGTTCGCGTATGTCTGGTGCCGGCTTGATCAAGACCGTGCGAGTCGATTCCGAGGCCCGTAGGTGACGGGTCCGATGCACGAGTGTCTAGCAAAATACACGCATCACGATCTCCCAGTGCGTTCTGGGCTATAACCACTCGAAAGTCCTTAATAGCATCTAATTCCATTCCTCCACGGTCATCATATGCACCAGCTGTTGAAGCATTTGGGGAGTGAAATGTGGTCTGGAGTGGGTACGCGTGGGTATTGGAACGGCGGAGCAGGCTGGCATCGGGGAAAAGAAGGCCGGAGGTGTGTTCTTCCTCGGTGACTGATTCGAGAGGAGATCCATTGTTTCGTGGATTAAAAGACGCTGGGTTCAGACTTGAAGCAGCCGTGCTTAAAAGTCGACCCAACATGTTGAAGTTGTACCACGGGAAAGCCCGGGATAATTGTCCTTGAAGATGCAGAGAAACGAAGACGGCCCGGTCAAGAAAAGCTGTGTAACGATGGGTATCAGACAGCTAGATAGAACTAGACTGCGTCTACCCATATCTTAATTCCACTCAACAGGTACCATCATCAACAGATGGTATGAGGGGGGAGAAAGCGTGTGATTGAGGGGAGAATTAAGTGGGATGGGTTGCAGGACAGAGTGGGGCGATTGAAGAGGCAATTAGGAATTGGCGGGTAAGGCACCCCACAAGCGAGCTGGGTGGGTAATATCTGACAAAAATCAATTAACCCCAAGGATTGGGACAAGGAGCAGTTCTTGAAGAAAGAATGTATGTGGGGAGGTGGACTAGAGAAAGGGTGGATGCCGCAAATCGAAAGAGGCGGTGAAGGAGCGGACAACGGGCATGCCACATGATCTCAGCCTCAAGGTGACACCGCATCGTGCATTTTTGGTTCGAGGTTACGCGGTTTTCGACTCGGTGAGAGCTTCTGATCGTCGGTCCTACGGTAGAATTGAAAGGGGGCGTGAACTCCTAGGTAGCTCGAAAGGAACATGAGACACCGCATTTTGTCCTAGGTAGCCACATATATGCCCGGATTTATAACTTGCACAAATACTGTACAGTTTCGACATACATTCGGACCTACGTAAATCTTCCTTGGAACACCTAGAGCCTAATCTGCATTGAAAAATATGGATATCATGAGGTTTTTTTTGTTATCCATATATAGTGTTGGACTCTCTCTCGGAATACATCAATGAAACTATCATGCCTTCGATTGCCGTTTGACCTTTTCCACCAGGAGTTTCAGATCCGAGCTAGGATCCTTCTTCTGCTTCTTCTTGCGGTCATTGGTAGATACTACCTCGTTTTCACCGTCATCACGGGCGTGCCGGCGCTTGCGGCCCTCATCGAGCAGGGCCTTCATGCCGGAAGTAGCCTTGAATCGGGGATTGGTCGGATCAATGGCAAACTCATGGCTCTCAAATACACGAGCAAACCGGGGATCCTGGGTATCCACATTGAAGTCATCTTCAACAACTGCTTGCTTGGGCTTGCCCTTGCCCTTGCCCTTGCCCTTCCTCCGAGCTTGCTTCTCGGCCTTTTCGATCTCAGTCATGTCAAAGTGTTTGATTGTCGCCTTTTTGTCGTCCACCATTAGAAGTTCAAGCTCAGCCCGCTGAGCAGCAGAAGCAGCCTCTTCAGCAGCACGTTCCTCACGCTTCTTGCGTCTTTCCTCCTTACGAATAGATGCAGAAGTGACCTTGCCATCAGGATCTTCGAAGAAGGGATCGTTGAAGCCAAGGTCTTCCGCCTCTTGCGGTGCCTCGGCAGCAACCTCATCATGATCACTGGCAGCCCCCTTGTTTTCGTCGGAGGGTTCGCCTTGGTTGCCAGACTTGAGCTTCTCCTTTCGGCGCTTCTTGCGCTCGCGCTCCTTCCGCACGTATTTATCAATCGTGCTCTCCTCGATTTCCGGCTCGTTTTCGAAAATGGTGTCCTTTCCTTTACCGCCTGCGAGACCAGATGTAAATGTGACTTCCATCTCACCGACAGGACCCTTGGGTTTAGAAGAAGGAACAGGCTCTGCGCTCAGACCCAGCAAAGCACGCATGCGCTGTCTCTCGGCTTCCCGCTTCGATAATTTAACGCTTGTACCTTCACCCGCAGTGTTGTCCATCACTTCTACACCGCCATCTTCCTCATCCTCGCTGTCGGAGCTGTCACTTCCCAAGTATGCTTTTAAGTCATTCTCTTCAATGTCCTTTCGTGAACCACCAAATGCGCGTGCTTGCACTTCCTTTCGGGAATTGTCGTCCGCATCCCATGTCAACTTGACTTTACTGTGCTGCAGGGCATCTGTCACAAACTCGTTCGGTCTGTAGCCATCGGGAATCCGATTGCAGGAATCTCGGGGCTTGTCGTCATCGAAATCGGTGTCCTCGGGAACGAAACGTAGATCAAAGAAGTTGGCGCTGGATAGGTACTCTGCACCATCCACGAGATCATAGACATGCTTGGCACTATCCTTGGAGGAGAATGTGAGAACAGCATAGTAGTAGCGTAGCCGTTCCAGCTGATAGCGTCTCAGTTGTGTTGTGTTGAACTCCTCGCCCTCGTCGCTCTTCAGCAGAGACTTCTTAATTTCTTCCTCCTCTTCGTCGGAGTCAAGCTCCTCTTCATCCTCGCTCGCAGCTTCTTGCTTCTTCGCGAAAATCTCCTTCGGAGGGCCCTCCACTTCTTCTCTCTCCATACGCTCCCTTCCAAACTCACTGGGGTAGACATCGACCTTTAGCACACGCCCACCGGGCGGCAAGAAACTCGAGAAGACAGCCATGAGGTCCTCCGCTCGAATATTATCCCAGTCCAAGTTAACAACGGCTATCCGTTTTGTGACCTCTCCCAGAGGGACATCAGCGCGCTGTTTATCGGGGAATTCGAGTTCGTCATCTTCGTTCTCGGCCTCCGCCTCTTCTTCATCATCTTCATCGCTGGAGCTCTCATCTTCGGAGGATGAAGAAGAGAAGCCACCGTCGCGGGCAGGATCGTAGCCAGGGACGTCAACCCGCTTCAGCTCTTTTTGAACCTCGTCATCGTCGTCGACACTGACGTTGTCGTCGTCGTCTTCGTCGTCATCCTCGTCATCCTCGTCCAAACGGTAGAATTTTTTCAATTGCTGCTTGGTATCATCCCGAGCCAATTTGCGTCCATAGCGATCAACGGCGGCATTGCGAGAAAAATCCTTGTCATCAAGCATATGCGCAAAACGCTTGTCAAGTTTGACATGAGTCTGGCGCTTGCTGGGGAGACGATAACGAGGATCGGATTGAATGCTGGCAAATCGAGGATCGGCTGTAGAGTTGGTCAGAATTAGACTTTAATCCTCTCATTCGTGTATTCCGTTCGGCGCATAGTTTAGTGAACGTACTGATCACCTTGCCGGCTTCGCCTTTGGCTCCGCCAGCCTTCTTAGACTTTTTCTTGTCTTGGCCTGCCATCATGCTCTCCGACTGCTCAAATGCAGAGGAAACGGCTGGGAACAGGGAAACAGGAGGGGTTTTTGAAATATGTATCGCAAAATAGAAGTTGGAAGGTGATCTGATCGTCTGCGGACTGCGGACAATTTTCTTTTTTTCTGCCGGAGTTTTGGGGCGGTCAGACAGCACGTGCACTTATCCTAGAAGGGTCTATACATGGTTCAAGAGTCGATAAGCTCCAAAACACTGGGGGGTATTTGGGAATTCAATGCGAAGTTGTTCATGTTTTCATAAATCAGGTGTATTCGTGTACTTCAATATGTGTAGTGGGCGTTTATTTACTTTATCACCCAGATAAATGTGGACGATCAACATCCAAAGTAGCGCTTCTCCATCCACCGCGGCTCGCCATCCTCCTCAATCCGACCAACAATGATATTAATCTTAGGGAATACCGCAGCGAGGCGCTTCAAGCCCGTCTCTCCGGCTGCGCATGTCACGAAAACGATCTTTTCTTCTTGGACACCATGGTCAATCAAGACACGCACAGCCATGAGTGCAGCTCCTCCACTAGACATCTGTGGGTCTAACAGCAGGATGCTGCTGTGCTCCTCCAACTGTGGTGGAAGCTTTAGGTAATGTAGTTCAGGCTCCTGGCTAGACTCGTTAGTCTGGATGAGAACCCGGCCAGTGATGCAGTCGGGAATGCTTCGCTTCAGGGCGGTTTCTAAGCAAGAACCGCCACGTAAGATAGCAACAGCGGACACAGCTCCTCGGGGACTAAGACCCATATATTTATTCCCCTGTGGAGTTTCCACGTTTATTGGGCCATATTGGGTCATGTCCAAGGCTCTATACGGCGACCGTTAGCACAGGTGAATCGAATCGTTGACCAGGGGCAAGGAGTGTACCGCTCAATCAGAATTGAGGCAAGTCGATCGAAGTAGAAAACGAAATCAACCTCCTCAGTCTCGGGATTTTGTAGGATAGTGTTCATTCCAACAATCTGGGGGGTTGCAGGTAGTACATGAACGTTATGCGGCAGTTCTACTTTTGCAGCGATGAGCCCGAGCCTGTGGAGTTCCTCGGTATGCGCTTCAGACTTCTCTTGAAGCTTGCGTTGGATGTGTTTAACAACCATGTCTATAGACAATCAGAATCAAGGGCTTAAACAACCTTTAGAAGCTCGTGGATTCTTACCAATAGCCGTTAAGTTCTCTATTCCGCGAGGAATGATGATGTCTGATGAAGTTAGGCCTCTAGTAGATATTGTAGGCAGACGTTGTATGAGGACTTACCGGAGACTCCCCGTTGAGGTGCAACAAATTTGGTGTAGGACGGCTTGACAAAGGTAAACCACTGTTTAACGATGCCTTCGATATCCCGACCTCTTTCCTTGACATCGCGAAGTACTTTATATTTGATAAGTCATGGTTGCAAGGTGATACGAGAAGATTTGACCTACTCCGACGGCCCAAGCAGACATCCATGTCAGCCTCAACGAAGATCTGCATTTGATATTAGTATCACACCGCCCTGGAAGGGTAATATATAAGTAATAGCTAGCGAACTTACTTTGACATCTAGAAGCTCAGCAATTCTAGGGTCATGCAGTGCCAGAATACCCTCGAGGATCAACACTCGAGGCGAATACAGAGTGGTGGTCTGGGGCTGACGCTGATGGTCGGCGAACGAATAGACTGGGATGTGGCTTTTCTTTCTATTCATTCCGTCAGTCAGACCAAAGCAAGTGAATTATAAACTCTTATAACTAGATGTGTTTACCCTTTCTTTAAATCCTTGAGAGTTTCGACCAAAAGATCAAAATCAATTGAGTCTGGACAATCGAAATCATATTCATTTTGATGGGCTTTGTGGTGCTGCTCGGGAGTCAAAGTCTTGTAGAAAGAGTCCTATTACAAACGTCAATCAGACTAAAAGCCATTCTATAGATAGTTGGTGAGGTTCATACCATGACTAAAATCACGACCCAGGGAAGGTTTAGCGACTTGACGATCTCAGCGGCCACCGAGGTCTTGCCAGACCCGGAGCTACCTGCGATGCCGATGATGCTCAGGTCCTGCCATGGCGGAGAGTACTTCACCTCCGGAGTAAGCGAATGGAAAGGTGAGGTGGATTGCATGATCTCTAAGGTCCTCCACCATGTACTACTCAAGATCTGAAGTGTGTATGTCGTTTTCGGTTTATCTCCAACTCAATGATCGATTGGGCTTAGCGCGTGACCTTCGCTTCGTGGGTTACATAAGCGGAGCTACCAACTATTTCTTTCCGCTTTTTGCTTTCTTCCTCCGTTTCTTTTTCTCTTCTCTCTACATGGGCATTGGAAAAATTCTTCCTCCATCACCCTCTTCCAGCGTTCTGCCTTTACTCCATGGCTGTCGTCTCTCGGGTCGCCCTCAGAACTTGACGGATAGCTTCGAAGCTCTTATGTGGCACAGCTTGCGTCATGTCATCTGCTAATCTCGTATGCGTTCTGCTGTCTTGACAGCCTGGTTGCTGAGTTTTTAACACCGCACAGATGTCTCGCACACCCTCGACGACCACGCCGACCTGGCATCAGTTCGAGCGGAAGGTCGACGAGGTGAAGCCATCCAAGACGTGAGTTCACCTCCCCCTCTCCAGCGTTCCCCATTTCTCCCCTTTGGCCCTACGCTGTGATATGATGCATCTTGAAAACCAAGTTGGGAATCTCTCCGAAAATACATGAGGAGAATGTGTTGACTTGTAATCTGAATCACCTACCACAATTATCTTTTGATCAAATTGGCTTCGTGGTAAACATTGGCTAATGACAAGCTTCAGTGATATCAATTACCTGGTCATGGATTATCTCATCACCAATGGGTATCCCGCCGCTGCAAAGAAGTTTGCAATCGAGGCCAATATCCAACGGAAACCAGATCTGGAATATATTCAGGAAAGGGTGGAAATCCGGACCGCAATTCACTCAGGCAATATTCAGTTGGCCATAGAGAAGATCAATGACCTTAACCCTCAGGTAAGAATACTGTCTCTCACGCCACATTTACCACAATCACACCACACCCCTCCCCCTGCTGTTATGATTATCAACAGTTTCATGCACCACTCCTAGAACACCCTTCGGGGAGTTGCGGATAGTCAAACATCTTCAGTCCTCAGTATGAACAACAGCATTGATCACATTCAAAATCTTTTCAATACATGTCATTCTTGGGCCATGACTAACAAGATTGAATAGATTCTTGATAGCGAGCCACCTCTTCACTTCGCTCTGCTGCGCCTGCAGCTGGTTGAGCTAATCCGGGCCTGCACATCAACTCCGAATGGTGACATAAGTCCGGCCTTGGATTTTGCGACTTCGCAACTAGCACCACGTGCGACAACCCGACCCGACTTCCTCGAGGACCTTGAGCGCACTCTGGCGCTCTTGATCTTTCCCAGCGACAATCTGTCACCCTCTCTCGCATCCCTTTTAGACCCCAGCCTTCGTAAAGATATCGCTACGCGTGTTAACGAGGCCATTCTTCATGATCAAGGTGCTGAAAAAGAGGCCCGTCTACGCAGACTGGTGAAACTCCGTGCATTTGCAGAGACGAAGGCCCGCGCTGCCAAGAAGGATATCCCTGACAAGCTGGATATCGGCCTCGTTAGCGATACTCATGATAACAACAGCATCAACAGTAACAGTAACGACCCAAGCGCTTCCCAAAACAGTGCCGCTGATACTATTATGGCCAACAATGGTGATTCTTCCATCGCCATGTGATTCTGCTGTCCCCTTTAGAAATATTCCGGCGCTGTCTTCTTTTCTCTGAGCTTTTAGCGAGGCGCCTTGGTGTACCAATATGGACTTGTTTCGATGGCGTTTGGGGAATTAGGCCCTTCTGATCAATAAAAAAAAAATACAATACATGCTCTATTCATATGATCTTGAATCCTTTACTAGTTCTTGACAAATAATGATTCTGTAAGTAAAAGCCAAGCATGCCTGAACAATCTGTATGTATACCCGTGGGCCTTCCAATATCAATTCCGGTCCTTAGATACATACACTCAATTTCAAGTGGACTCCTGGAAGAATTTTCAACGGCTAGGCTCAATAATAAGGGCAAAGACAGATTGAGCGATTCCCAGGCATTGCCACCGATAACGGAGCCCCCACCCGTCGACTTTGAAATGGAATGCAAGACTTAATGAAAAAGCAGAACGCTCAACCATTTCCTAAGCTGTCGGTAAAACCTAGAAATCAATGCTCTTTGGTCATAGTTCAAAACTTTAAAAGAAATAGGCCAGATTGGACCCAGGTCGAGGTGTATGTATGTAGAATTCAAGTCCTGAGGATGCTGAAAGCTTCTTAGAAGCTCATGAGATCTAAAACAGAGAGTAAGAAGACAAACGGTTAGTTATCTGGAAAAGGCAAAGATGTGTTTTTGAGATAGAAACATACCTCTTCCGAAGAGGGCACGCTTAGCCCAGTCCATCGCCAGCATGCAACGGGTACGGAAGCTGACACTCTGAGCGAAGTAAATACTCCGCCACAGATACATAGTGACGACACCACCGCTGAAGCTTAGTCCACCAAAATCGAAAATAGCAGCGTTACTGATGTACGCAAGACTGCCAAGGTGCTTGTACTTGAAAGCACGGTAAACAGCCTCGTCAAGGTCACCGTAATCAATCTCGTTGGCCTTCATACCGGGAAGGGCAGAGGCGATCTTGGTCAACTTGCGGCCCAGGTAGGCACCCTGCTGGTTAGCGCGCTGGGCAGTTGCAGGGAGGGAGGTGAGTTTCGTGTCAATTTGGTGGAGAAGCTCGGAGAGCTCGCCGTAGTCGAGGGTTCCTGAATGGTCTTCGTCGTACTGCTCGAAGAGTTTATCCAGACGGCGAAGATGGCTTGAGGCTTGCGGGAAGCGCTTCTTCACTCTGTTGGCAACATCACGCCATTCGTGGAAGGTCAGATGGACCTTCTCTGGGTCAAGGCCCTTTTCCCAAGCAATGGTGCGGAGGAAGCGGATGATGTTCTCAGCAACATTGTTTTGAACAGTAGAGCAATCACCGATGGCGTAGACGTCGCCCAAGGGGGAACCAATTACACGGAGATGGGAGTCGGTTTCGATGGCGTGCTTGTTGTTCTGGCCGTCAAGTTTAGCACACAGAGTTTCGCATATTTTCGCGCGAGCTTAGATATATGCATTAGTATTGTGCTTTGATAGAAACGGAACATTAGTGGAACTGACCGACTCCGGTAGACCACAAACAAAATGCGGTAGGAATTTCCTTAATAATCTCCTTGCCGTCTTCCATCTGGCTGAAAAGGACCCGGTCATTCCTGACCTCCTTGACTCGGGCACCGGTCAAAACTTCGACACCGTCACGGTCGAAGCGACCCTATATATCATATTAGTCTTATGTCCAAAAACTTGGCCTCCAAATATTGATGGAATTTACCTCGGCGTATTTCGAAAGTGCCTCATCATAAGTGTTAAGAATATGAGTACGGCTCTGGATAATATGTACGGATATTTCATTCCGAACAATTTTGGGGAACGAATGCAGCAGATCTTCGTTGAGCAGATCGAATAGCTCGGCGGCAAACTCAACTCCAGTGGGGCCTCCACCACACACCACAAACGACAGAAGACGCCTGCGTTCTTCATCAGAAGTGGTGGGCAAACAAGCCAATTCCATGTTGTCCAGGACCTGGTTCTTAATCCGGCGGGCATCATCGATCGTCTTTAAAAAGTTGCAGTTCTCCAGACCCTTGACACCATGGGGGTTTGTGATGCAGCCAACACCAACAACGAGCTTGTCGTATGGCAGATAGAAGCTCCTTGCCTTTCCATCCTTGTCGACCTGTGAGACCTCCACCAGTTTCTCTGAAAAATCGACATCTGTAGCCTCGGCCTTCAAGAAATGACCGTTCACACGATCAACAATGCGACGAACCGGTTCCACGAGCGAGCGGAGACCCAAAGTGCCCACCGTAGCAGAGGGTAACATGGGAGTAAACAGGAAGTAGTTTTGGGGGGAAACGACTGTGACATGGTAGTCGCCAGGGTTCAGACTTTTGAGCAACGCAATGCTACCCCAGCCAGTGCCCAAAATCACCAACCGAGGCTTATCTTTCTGCTCGACCATTGACTCAGAGTCATAATCTCCGACAAGGAAATCAGCTATAGGCAGGTTCTTTGGGCCTCCATGGCGGGGGTTCAGCGCTAATTCCGATACAGGGATATCCACCGCACTGGGGGTTTCACGATATGTACTGGCATCGTAGATAAAGAACCCAATAACCCAGATTGTTGCGCCAGCAAAGACAATACCGCAGTATGAGAATGTCTTGCCAATAACTCTCATAATGCGAGATTTTCTGGTAGGCACAGCTTTTCCGGCTGCATTATCGGACTTGAATCGAATCGCGATTGACGCTTGCAAGGTTGGACCGAAAGCATGTCGTGGTAGGGGGCGGCGAGGAACGGTATTCAATGAACGTGTGAGAGGGAGTTTAGTGGTAAGATGCCCTCTTGTGCTATTCAATCGAGCCGATAAAAGCCCAATTGACCGCAGCGCAGGGCCGTCCGCACGACTCCGGAGCAACGCCGCGCTCATGATGGGGGAAGCTCAGGCAGCGCAGATCAGCTGTAGCCAAGGAGAGCCAGGTTAATTATCACCTGTTTTGCGGGCAAGCGAAACAGACAAGGCTACAAGATGATCAAGAGAAAAGAGCGAAAGAATAAACCCCAAAGATAATTAAAGGAAGTAAAAAGGTTCGATAACAAGTCAGCCAGAATTCCGGCGTACCCAGCCCAGATTTAGCTTGCGCTCCGACGTCATTCCTCGGTCACGTGAAGCCGGCATTCGGCACGCGCAGCTCAAATTGGCTTCACCCATTGTACGTGTGGTATAAACCAGATTTGCAGATTTGGAAATAATCAAGGCTACATATGTGAGATATGATTCTATTATTTACTCATGAAGTAGGGGTAATAGCAAAGCGTCAAGAGATACCGTCCGGCCCCTAGGTAAGCGCCGCCCGCATGCAGAAAGATGGCCTGTATCATGACCTCCCCAGTCTTGGTCAAAATAAAATGAAACGATAGCAACAAAAACCTCCATTCTCCGTGGAAAATCGGTATCACAAAATAAATAACCAACGCCACTCTCGCCTGAAATGCAAATGAAAATATGGTCGTCTAAATAGTAAGGGATTTGAACCGATTCGTCGTTCGGCGATCCGCTAGTCCCAATCATCGGGATCAATGCTGGATCGTTTCTTCCCAACAGAGCCTTTGCGGCTCTTGGGACGCTTACTAACGCTCGTACTTGAGACGGAGCTTTTTCGTTTCATCGGACGAGGCCCAGAAGCGACACCGTCCAAGTCATCAACATCCCCCGTAGCATCGGGATCTCCTTCAGCATCATCATCCCGATCTACCTTGAATTCCTCGTCGATGGCGAGCAAAGTAGAGAACTCTCGGCATTTTCTCAGCATGTCGTCCTCGCTATTCAGCGAATTCATGTTTCTCGCAATGGCATCCCAGAGCTTGTCACCAGTCACCCCATGCACCTTCGAGGCAGTCTTATTGAGCTCCTTGGTCACGGGTTTGCCGTCTTTACCATGGGAGGGAACTCCATAAAGACGGCGTAAGAATGTCCGTGCTTCCCACAGCATGGAAAGCGATGCAGCAGCGGTAGCAAGCGATCGCAGGGCAGCAGGGTTGACGGGCTGGGGTATGGTGGAGAGCATTGGCACGGCTGGAGCCATCTCCATCATGCCGCCTGGAGTCTCGATCATAGGAGGACCAATAGGACTAGGAAAAATGTCCGTTTCGATGGCATGGGCAACAACAGTGCCAGTCGACGAGACGATGCGTTCCAGGACCAGAATAGTGGGTACCAGTTCAGCTAACTGGCCATAATCGAAGTGAGCAAGATTTTGAGCAATGAATCTTGTCAGTAAGAGATGTTCTGGTGGATCCCCATTGGAGTTAAGTTTCTTCAATTCAAAGTTGACCTTGCCACAAAGGTTAGAGAGAAACTTCTTCTGGTACCGGCTATTGCTGATCTTGACGATTTCGAACAATGGAGCAAGCTTTGAGACATAAGGCCGAGCATATGCACCTGTAGAGTCACCGACAACATTTTTTTGGTAGTAAAAGGCCTCCTGCACGGCGCGCATGTATTCTCGCTCGAACATTGATTCATACTGGGAATGGAGCATCTTGTGGGTGTCAAATGCGATCTTGGCGATGGCAGGTATCGTCGATGTCTCCAGAGAGACAAGAACACCAGCGCACTCTTTAGGGTGTACCAATCCTTGTCGGTTGATGCTTGCAATGAGTTCAATAGCGGTGAGGGAATATGTATCCTGTCTTGACTGTGCTATCTTCAGCATGTTTTTGAGGAAGTGCTGGGCGATCAAGGCAGCGGCACCATCGTTATCGCTAGCCTTGAGCGATCCTCCAAGTCGAGTAGAGTCCTCTTGAGAGCCCATATCTGAGGTCGGCATAACCGACTTTTCGGACTTCCCCTCGTGAATGGCGAAGAAATCTGCAAATGAGCGAAGCACGATATTGTGCAAGCTCGGGCTCTCTTCCCTAAATACCTGCGCAAAGGTCTTGCGCGTAGGCTCACGACCGAACTGTGCTGGCCAGGATTGGCAGATGGAACCTAAACTCTCAAGGGCCATAACTCTCAGCTCCAAGGGTTGATTGTGATAGGTGAAAGGAAGAATAGAATCGACCATCAAACCAGCCACATCGCCGCCATTCCACGTAGGGAATGAGTTCTTGAAATGATTGACATACTTTTCAAGATCACAGTGGCGTCCAACACAACCAGCAATTCGAATATAGCTCTTCGCTCGAGCCAGAATAGCAGCATTAGTAGCCGATCCCACATCGACGCTCTTGTATTGCTGCAACGGTTTGAGTACAGACACAGTCAGCTTCACCAGTCTGTCAGTATTCTGTAGAACGCCATTGATGGTCCACAGACATGCCATGACCTCATTTAGCTCTGAGCGAGCCAACTTGGCCACACTCTTAAAGAGGTCATTCTGTACCTCCTTCAAAAGAGTATTGTGGGATGTCGACATGTAGGGCAAGACACAGCGATAGATGACCACAACGGAACGGAAGATGAAAAGATCATCTGCGGTTGCGAGGTGGCCAATGTAGGGGTGCAAAGCCTCCAGCTGATCTGAGCTGAACAACTTTGCATTGGACTTGGCGAACACGGTTATCGTTTGCAAGAGTGCCTGTTGAGATTCTTTGCCAAGCGCATCCGCATCCTCAACGAGGCGTTGGAACATGATGGAAACCATAGTTTTGCACACTTTGAAATTCATATCTGCCGACTTGGACTTTTCCGAAAGAACGGCCTTGAGACAAGTGCTCAGTGAATCAAGGGCAGTCTCGCTACGCTGGACGAGACTAACAATGAGCCCAACTTGCTCTCCAAGTGCCATTTTGAGTTTTGGGGCATCAGAAGTCGAATTAATGGATTCGTGGAATGGAACCAGCCAAATTTCCTCGAAGGTCTGCCGAGCCAAGGTTGCAACGCTTTCCTCCAGATCACCAGTACGTTGAAGAAAGCTATCAAGGATGGCCAACTTCAAATCCTGCCGAGAGGTTTTGTGGTAAAGTTCTTTCAGCAACCCAATGCACCGTTTACGAACACCAGCGGTCTGGTCAGTTGCGCACGCAAGAATACAGCGACAGCCTTCTTCTTCGAGCTTTGGTTTGAGCCCAATACATTTGGCGATAAGAGATAACGCAGAATCTCGAACCATAGGTGAAGCATCGGTGGTGCAGCGAAGAATCACTCGCATAACAGAAGCATCTCTGTCAAGCAGGTTGGGGTCTTTCTCGAGCATGTAGATGACACTCTTCAAACTTCGGCTGCGAACTTTGGCCTGCTCGCTTGCAATAGAGTTTAGCAAAACTTTGAGAATGGTGTCAAAAGCCTTGCCAAAACTTGAGTTCAAAACGGTTAAAATGTACGCAAATCGCCCGTGAGCATTGGAGATGGTGTCAAATTGCCTGTGAGTCTCCAGCCAACGTGGATCAGAGAACGATCGTGACAGAAGAATCAGTAGCTCATCCGTCAGGTCATCATGTGCCAACATCTCTTTGTCTTCAGGATTATAATAGAGCATGCAGACTGTCTTTGCCCATTGCGCGAGATAGTAACCTCGTGCACTGGTTAGTTGCCAATTGTCAGAACTTCGGTCCTGCGACAGATACTCCAGGGCCATCCTGTATGGGCCTCGAGAGGTGATTAGATCCCGTGGATGCAAGGCTCTGGAGGAGGACTCCTCGAACTGGTGCTTGAGGAGGTCGGTAAGATCGCTGTCTGAGTCCTCCAGGGCAGGCAGCATGTGTTGCGCAGTAGCGATCAGATCGGAGATTGCGGATCCCATCCACCCCAGAAGCTCCAGGGCCATGCTCTTTGCTGTTGCTGGGCTCTTGTCAAGGTCTGCAATACCGACCATGTGTGATGCCATGATTCGAAGAAGCAGCTCAGCAGCGGGCCAATCGGTCGACCCGAGGACGTTGATTAAGTCTTCAGTGAACAAGTCAAGGATGTTTCGGAACGGCTGATCGCCGCTCTTGGTGGAGGTCATTGCTCGCTGGACTATGAACTTCACAATGTATTGCGCACTGCGCACTGCATTGTCATATAGTCGGTTAACTTTGGTCGCTAGGCGCTCCAAAGACTCGTCTACTTCGTCGTCATCATTTTCATCATCCCATCCACCTTTCTTTACACCGTCGCCGTCACCCATCAATTCATCATCGTCATCGCCTTGAAATCGACGTTTGGCTTTGGAACGTGAAGGTGTTTCTAGGGCAGTTGTTTGCACGAGCTGGAGCACTAGTGCAGTAAGAAGCTGTATATTCTTGCCGTCTGCAAGTTTAAATTGTCTGGCACTTTGACGTGTGGAGGGAAGCTTCTCCAATGAGATCAAGATTTCATCCAGGATGAAGGGTCGCTGGTCCGGGTATTTAGAAAAGATCTTTGCAAGCACATCCATTACGGCACGTCTGGCTGGTTCATATTTTTGGAACCCGACCGCAGAGTCCTTGTCGTTGTGCGCATTTTCAACAAATATCAGCTTGGTCGCAAAGAACTCAGCAGCAGTGATGGTCCCTTCAGAGACATCGATGCGCGATAAGAAATCGGCGAACAAGGTCAGAGCTTTTTTGCCTTGGTGTATCAAGCTTGCAATGATACGCTTCTGGCTCGAGAAGAATGCGAACAATCCACTATCTTTGCCACCGGAGCGACATTCCACGGCAGGGATGATGCAATGGTCAAAGACCTGGTTCAGAACAGTCGGGATAGCTTCAATAAGATCTTCTGGACAGAGATCCCGCTCCGTCCGACGCCCCGACATTGTCTGTAAGAGAGTTCCAATTGCAAGCAATGCATTCTGGATATCCTCGATTTTTGCCACCCACTCCTGCACCTCTGTTTCACTGGATGAGTCATTGAGTCTCAAATCTGGCGCTTGAGATGCAATGATGGGTTTTTCACAAAGCTTTTGTATCCGAGTGAGGTAATCTGATGGAATGTCCTGCAGACGATCAAATCCAACCACTTTTCGGATGGCCTTTTGCAGACGGTTATGTGCGTCAGTAGACAAGAGCGCACCATGCACGTCCAACGATCTTGCGCTCACGAAGATCGGATTCGGTCTGTCGGCAGATGGAGCAATTGCTTGTTCAAGCTCAATCTCATCTTCTGCTTCAAGTATCTCATGGAGAAGGTCTTGCAGCTTCAGCAGGGCATCATCAGCCTCCGCCTTTTGGTCTCTGAGGCGAATTGCACTCATAGATCCCTCCGGGTCTATAACAACCTTTGGCCTTAACGGGTTCACTTCCAGGTTCTGCTCAGAGAATGTGGGTTTTGAAGGCGATGGTTTCACTGGTATAACCACAGATAATTGGCTGGACGAGCGTTGAATCGGTTGAGGCGGTTGAGACGGTTGTGTCGGTGCACTCAATTGGTTTGAGGTGTAGATTGACGTGTTCGAAGCAACTGCCTGCTGATTCCACGCGGCAGCGGTGTCCCTCACGGCTTCTTTTGGCTCCGATTTGACCTTTTCGGTGGCTTTTGGTCTGGCCTTTGGCGTACTGGAGTTGATTTTGGGAGTAACTTTAAGGGCGGTCGTTGGAGACGATACTTCAGGATCTGCGACTTGATCAGCGAACTGTCCAGAACAATCCCTCGTGCTCATCTTTCTCTCACATCGAAAGGCTATATCTGTAGAGTCGAGCATCATTTTGGCAAAGGAACCGAGTTGATTGCGACCAAAGGGACGGCCATCGGGGACAGTCGATTGCGAGGTTTGGCTGCGGTTAAAGGCAGTGGGGAGCTTGAATTTGCTGAACGATTTCCTTTAGTCAAAGAAAAAGTGAACTAAGCTGAGAGTTTTCACTTACAATTCAGTTAACTGGTCGCCATCCAACAATTGCTGAAGGTATTCACGGGATGTTTCCAAGCGACTGGACTCGTCCTGTCCGGACTGGATCTCCGCGTCCAGCTCACTCAATGTATTGCGGCCCGCTTGAAGGACATGGTTGATCGAGGTAGTGGTTGATGGCCGGCCAACATCAGGGCGTATGATGCAATCTACAAGTCAAATTGCTTTGATCAGATCCTGAATCTCTGGGCCAATTGTTCTGAAGGTTGGGTAATAAGGTTAACAAACCAAGACCAAAGACAGGCGCGCTGGACATGGAAGAGTACTGCAGCGCCTCATCGACCGACAGCGGTCGAGATCGGTTCGACAGTGACATATTCGGTGCATGAGCGTGCTGCGACTGGGGATAGCCATTAACGATGACCTGCACGGCGGGCCCATTCTGTTCCATGATGGGCGGTTATCGGAGACCCGGAAAAGGAGGGCGCTAGTCACGGGAGAGAAGACCTGCTCGGGGCAGAGTCATGGCAGATGGGAAGCACATCTACAACATGCTTCGCAGGTTTCCAAAGGTGTTGTTCGGACACAGAGGTGACGGAGAGAAGCTCCCGATGATCATGCATTCGTTCATCATTTCATCCAGCATCCTGTACTGCCTTCCGCGACCGCCTGCGCGGGTATCGCGGTGGTCCGTGCACTTTAGAAAAAAAAAGTCCATACCGCACGGCATCTTGATCAGACCTAGGTTTTGCAATATTGGAGACAGATTTCACAGCTACACCTTGAGCCCGTTTTGCTGCATATTTCACAATGTCCGTCATTGGATCCTTGATTTTCTGCACGGATTGCGGCAATCTGCTGCGCGAGTCCACCGGAGATGCCAATGCGATCCTGCACTGCACTGTCTGCGGAGCTCGGAACAACGGTAAGTAGTTCGATTGGACTTTTTGAAGAATGCCTGTATTCCAATATCTAATCTCTTACTTTCTCATAGACACAATCCCGCAAACCATCGTCTCGGAATCCAAACCCTCCGCATTCCCGTCAGCCCTAAGAGCTAAGCGCTCTGCCGTCCAAGAGCTTTCCGCTGATGACCGAAAGACTGAGGCCATTGCTGAGAAACAATGTGTGAAGTGCGGAAGAAAGGAGATGTTCTACACCACCGTCCAGCTGCGCAGTGCCGATGAAGGAAGTACTGTTTTCTATCGGTGTGTGTGCGGTCACAAGTATGTCAACTCAATCTCCGCCGGCAATTTGCTACTAGGTACTAATCTTCCATAGGGAAACTGAGAATAACTAAGCGAGGGCAAGAGAGGCTGTACAAACGTGAAAAGGGTCTATGTTTTGGCTGTACAACAGAGCGCGATAAGAGTATCAAAATAACGACGTGACGACTTTTTTTATTCCATCCTTCCCAAGTTCCCTTATGCCGCAGGAACTGCAGTAGCATTTCCATCGGGCACCAGCGCATACTCAACCTGGCCACTCTTCTCAAACTCTGCCATGTCAAGCGCCACAATCACACTATCCCGCACCACTTGTTCGGGGTCATTTAGGAACTTCTTCAAGGTGTCCTCCACACCCTCCTCATCGCCCAAGCTACCAAGCGCCTCGGCGGCCTCGTGCCGCACCATACCAACCTCTTGCAGATCGCCGAGGCATTCTGTAAGGCAAGGAATGGAGGCGGGATGGCAGAGCTGTCCGAAAACGAAGGCGACTTCATGACGGAAAAGAGCAGAGGGGTCCTTGAGACCTTTGGCCAGCGCGTTCACGGCACTGACTGCTGTGGGGAGATCTGGGGGTGAAGCAAGGTCACGAAGGCCAAACATAGCCCGGTATCTTTGGAAGAGAGGAAGCTTTGTATCCAGCAATGTCTTCTCCAAATCGGGGATGGAGGGCTCGTTTGTTTGCATAGGCATGGGAGGTGCAGGGTCAATAGAGGTGAAGTCACTGCGAAATGAAACAAGATTAGCAACCCTTGAAAATATACGCCGTATGGAACGTAGTATCAGCCATAACGATCTTACCTAGCCTTGAGTTTCTCTGCCTTCTTCTCCTCGGAGTTCTCCCACAGAATGCGGTCAACTGCAATATCACAGGTCTCGCGGATAATTTCCAATTCATTCTCATCATCCCGCAACTTCTTCAGAAGGTCCAAGCTGTCGGGATATCCCAAAGCACCGAGAGCCTCAGCAGCCTCGTGGCGACACATCGCATCCTCCTCAACATCTTTCACAACGTGTTGCAGGTACGAGACGGAGTCGCGGTTCTGAGTTTGACCCAGGCAGTATGCAAGCTCGTGCTTAAGAAGGGCTGACCGAGATGCGAAAGCGGCGGCGATCGCTTGGATAGCGGGAAGAGTCTTTTCGGTAGCAGGCTGCAGGCAAGCCAGGTGCTTAAGAGAGAACAGCGCGCGGAACCGCCGAGCGAGGGGCTCAGATTCGGAGACAAGGACCTTGCGGAGGGTCAAGACGGTCTCGTCGATGCCCTCAACGTCAGTTGCTGAAGGTGCCATTGTGATAATGGTGTGGAGTAGATAATTTAAAAAGTGGTGGGTGAAAAAGTTGGAGGGACAATCTTTGAGATCTTATCATGATTAATTTTTAGAGTGGGGTGGCGGGGCTGCGACGATTCGGGTTTGATTGATCCGCGCAAATTTCACTTAGTATACGGCCTCTTCGTGGTGTTTAAATCCTACCCAGATTGGCTCTGTGGGAATTTTTCGTTATGTGTAGACTCGTAATTAATCCCATTGGCCAGTCATTACATATTGTCAATTCTGAATACCTGTATATAGTTCCAAGGTTTTCGAAACGCATTTACTGCCAAGACGAGAGTTATATATACCCAAGGTTATCTTTTCCCGTTGACACCGGAAACTTTTTATCCAATGACTAGTCAGGTACGGATTGATAGATTGGAATAAATAGGCACTAGGTACTTGTAGAAATACTCCGGGGACTGAAAAACGCCATGTGAGTAATTCATGTCTGGATCCTCGCCGACCTCCGGGGCTATAGCCTATGGGTTCACGACAAGCCTGTCTTTTTCTCCTAGTCAGCGACTTAAGTGCTAACGACGCCCTACCTTTGAGTTTTTGTATAAGCTGCCCAGGTGCGTGTGGAACCCAGTTGATATGGTCAATCAGTTCTTTTCGAACTATCAAAGCAACAACTTTCATTAAAGAATGTATATATATCCTACGCCCCCCATCACAGTAATCTTTGAACAGTCACCATCCATGACATATTCGTTTCACTTGAAATGTGGAACGACCTACATCAGATGATCATAGGTCTCGCCCTCGGCTTCCAACTCTCCTTCCTTGTGCATGTAGTCCTTGAACTTGGCATCATCCTTCTTCATGTGGTCGTTTATCTTGTCCATCTCACCCTCCTTTTGTGAATCCTTGGAGGGATCCTTAGCTTCATGCTCATGCTCTTGCTCGTGCTTGTCCTCGTTCTTGTGGCGATGAAGGATCCTGTCGAAAAAACTCTCGTGTTCATGGATAGGGCCGGTTTGCTCTGTGGAATTTCAGTATCAGGACCTTTATACTCAATGTTTGGATACACTCACTGTCAGCCATGATGCCTGTGGAATCCACACTAAATTCAATGAATTTAAATTGGTAAGTTCCGATGAATGATTCTCTAGATAAACATATATCTTGAAGAGGAGAAGAGGCGGGGCGGTACCTAACTATATATGCCGTCGTTGCAAGATAACTATGTAATAATGGAACGATGCCGTCATCAACCAATCAACCCCGCATACAAAGGAAATCTTCGTGGCAACTTTCTTATTATAGGCCACTATGATAGTGAGCGCATCATTGACTGAACTCCAGCGCCTAGAATGGGTAAAACGTGGAGTAAAGCGGTAGCTCCTGATGGACTCGGAAATCAGAACCATGTGGTTGGCTGGGCCTTCATGGTGGAATGCTTCCTTAACAACTTAGGAGTCAATAGAAGTGGAAACAATTATGAATTCTTGATTGTACTAAATGAAGATGTTTCATGAATGCACCTTATTTTGTTGGATATTCAATGGCCAACAAAGCACAAGGAAGCTCCAAAAAATTCCTCCCCGTTAGTTTTCATTTTTGGGATATATAGGGATATAAGCCTGTCGGGCCAATCCCGATCCGTTTGGCAGTTTCCAAGGTTCCAGATTGAATTTTAGACAAGGAGTGACAAGTCCCAAGATTCTTCGAGTGTGTGGGGCCTCTCAAAACAGCCATCAGAAAGCCTATACACCTCGGAATAAGAGGCTTGCAGCAGCAGTTGCGAGCCGCTTAGCAGCATTGATTGAACAAAATCTTGTGGCATAGGAAATTGACTGAAAGAAAACCTGCATTTATATGTACATAATACCAAAAACAGCACTCATTTGGTCTTGATGTGCTTGAGCTTCTTAGGCTCGAAAACGAAGTTGTTCGCATAAGCCTTGGGGGTGACGCGGCGCTCATTAGGCTCCTGAACGAAGTACTCATAGCCCTGCTTCTGGGCAAAGGCGATCGCATCCTCCTTCGACTTGAACTTGATGTTGGTACCCTGCATGCTATCCGCAGATGACTGCCATCCCATCAGAGGGTTCTCCCAACGGTGACCCTTCTGCAGAATATCCCAATCCATGCGCCAGTGGTGAGAGTGCCAGGTACCAGATTGAGTAGCCGGCTTTGCGGAACGGAAGATTCTGTTAATGAGCAAGTTAGCATGGGTTGTTCAAGCCATGCGGCTTGTAAGGGTTGGCTTAGTACCTGACAGTGCGGGCCTGGAGGTCGGTCGGGGCGCCAGAGAGGACAGCAGCGGGCAGAGTGTCACCAGGCTCACTTCCATCCATGACGCGCTTGGGAACCGGGGAGAATAGTCTATATTGACGAGAAAAGATTAGCGAGAGAGCACTCGTGGGAGAGACCGATTCTGGGGGTGGCGCACGAAGTTGCGTGGTCAATTGTGGCCTCATAGTCAGGCTGGTGACGGGTCATAGCCTCGGAAGGGTTCTCCTTGTTGATCAGAGAGCTACCACTGTGAGTCGTGGTGGGAGCCTCTGAGGCGTTGGTCTTGACGGCAGGAGTACCCTGGACGACATTCGAGGCGAAGCGGGCATTGAGAGGGACAAGAAGACGGGTGCTTCGGAGGCCAGCAGCCCCTCCAATTCTGAAGAGCGACATGGTAAATGCGGGAGAGTGGGGAGTGGAGAGAGAGTCGACACAGTGATTGTGAGGTTAATCGCAGACCGAGTGCAGGTCACGGCTCCACCCAAAATGGTTTAGCGCGCTTGGCTTCATCCGACCACCCGCTTCCCGGCCAAAGGTTCTCTTCCTCCTGCATCATCAGTCGTTCCTTGTTCACTTGCGCTGCGAACTACCGTGAGTTTCCTTTTTGGGCTTTTTCGAATCCACCGACACTACTGCCGTTAAATGCGACCAATTTCTGACCATATACAGTCCAGACAAGATGAGCTACATCGCCCGCCGTGGTCTTTCGACCCTGATCCCTCCCAAGGTACGCACACCTGAATTGATAGCTCAGAGCCGCTATATTTATCTTCATGACACTAATACTTTGATAGATTGCCTCCCCCAACGTGAGTAACCCGAACTCTTCTGTCGTGTGAGCCAGCGAACCTGGCACCCCTCCCGCCCCCGACCCTTCCCGAAGGCTTTTCTCGTGCGAATAGCAATCAGATACAACGTCATTTCTGCTCGGAGTCAACGCTAATAAATTTGTCAAGGCTATCGGTGCCGCCCAGGATGCCGCCCGCATGGAGCGCGTGGTGAACTTCTACGCCGGTTTGCCCCGTGGTCCTGCTCCTCAGGTCAAGGCCACTGGTCTCCTCGGTCGTTACCAGGCCCGCTTCTTCAACAAGAACTCTGGTGCTCGTAAGTATTTGCAATGTGGTGTTAAGGACGAGATATGGATTTCTGACATGAATAGCCCTCGCCCACGCCATTGCCGGTATCCTGATCATGGGCTACAGCATGGAGTACTACTTCCACCTCCGTATGTGACTCCTGAAAATCCTTACCTGAATGCCGTGCGATAATGGCAATTGTACTGATAATATCTACAGGCCACCACAAGAACCACCCCCACTAAACTTGTTTTACCTTTGAATGAATGGGAGGAGGATTGATGTATATACATCCTCTGTTCCCCCAGAGCAAGAAAGTGTGTAGGAGTTAGAGACTCGATTGAATCTCATTTTGTTTCATTATCATCTTTTCAAATCGTATGATCAGCAATGTCGTAGCTACCAAAAAAAAACACGCCGCCGAGTATACTAGCTATGATTCGCAGTAGATTGTGGCCTGTTGGGATGCCTCCATGCTTCCGTATTTTCTAGTTGCCCTGCCACTTTTTCGGCCGCTGAGGATTCTACTCTTGACTTTGATATGAAAACAATCTAAGCGCCACCAAATGGCTCTCATTTCAAGTTTGCATTCATGTTAGATAATTCAAGGTGGGCGCCAGTCATAACATGGCTGAGGCCTCTCACAACAGTCCCGGGACTGCGCTAACCGAAAACAGCCAACTCTCAGCTTCAAACCCGAGACCCATCTTCAACGAGCCTGAATACCTTCGTATTCATCATCCACCCTCGGACACATCTCCTTCTCCTTGTTTTCCTCCCTCCTATCCCTGTGAAATTAATTTCCTGGGTTGTGGACTCCTTTCCTACTTGCGCCAGCCCGATCAGCGACGCAACACAACCCACCCCCGTCACCGAATCTCCAACTACCCCCCGGGAGGTGGCCCGCACAACTCCCCTCTTCTGGTTGTGGAATCCCCGATCGTTCAGGGTGCAACCAGCCAAGCGAGCAGTTCAACCGTGGCGATTCTTAAAACCTGACAATAGGTACGGCTTGTCTCTTTCCCGTTAACATACAAGCTTGATCCGCGGCTGCCTCTCGCGTCGCATGATTCCATCCCACTAGGATCTCAATTTAGAAGTACCCAGTTCTGACATATGTTGCATTTTGTGATTTCCGCAGACTCGAGCATTGTTATGGCAGAGCAGAGTAGCCGCGATGTGGTAGATCAGACCCTGTCGGGCGGCGAGCCTTCGCCATCCGACGTTCCTGCGAGCACAACCGACAAGACTCCTGCTGGAGAGGACGCGGGGGAGACAAAACATATCGCACCCACTTCTGAAACCCAAATAATATCTGAACAACAATCCAACGACGTGACGAGAGATACACCTGAATCTCAAGGCAAGCGGACTGGAGGTGACAAGGATACCGGGAGCTCTTCGATGGTGGGTACCGTTGACGGGAAAGAAGAGAATGATCAGCTGAACTGGCTGCAGGATGCTTCAAAGCAAGGTGTTGGACTAGTTGCGTCCAGAGCTCTTGAGTTGAATGGACTAGGGTCGGCATCGGACGGCGGAGACGATACGGCTTCTCAAGGTGGTTCGGAATCAGATACCAGTCGGACAGATGGCAGACATCACACGCGAACAGGATCGGTGAAGAAGCCTTCGACTTTCAAGCCAATGTCTTTCACGAAGTTCACTGTGCCAAAAGCGCCGGGGGTCCCTGCCCCTCCCAAAGCGCCTGAAAAAGGTATTTTTGTATATGGCTCTGCTGTGGCCTGTCTCTAACAAAGAATTCTAGTTCCATCTGCCTCCACTACTCCCCTCGGAACACCACAGCCTAGTTCACGCCCACGCTTAGTTGCGAAGACTACCAGCGGTATGCGCGATTCGATCTCCAAGACTGGAGCAGGTGGTGCGAAGCCAGGCGGGTCGGGCCCAGACCCCAATCAAGTCTGGAATAAGAACCGACGTATGATCATGTGTTCCGAATGAATGATCACGAAAATACTGACTATGGTCAATATAGCTGTTCAGCCGCCGCCACAAAAGCACTTGACGGACGAAGAATTGAAACAACAATATGGTATTCATATGACATCCAGAATCCAAGAGGATTCTGGTGGGACTGAATCGAAATGGGCGGATATCGATGATGATGAAGATGACTGGGCGCCCGAGACAATTGAATGGACAGACGGAACAAAAGTCACACTTACCCATACCGATCATCCGCCGCCGTCAGAGGAAAGCGCCCCAGTGCCCAAGGAAGCGCCGCCGCCGGAGCATACAGTAGCGCAAGAGGCCCCGAGAATAGCTGCGCCGAAGCCAACCACCTCTGTGGGACCAAATCCAACGGTACTTCGGCTCGGAGCTAGCGCTGAGCGGCAGGCCAAGGCCGCAAGCATTTCATCTAGAGGAACGAATGACCGAATGGCGTCGGGCTCGACGAGTCCTGCACCTCTGCCGGCTAAGTCCCCTTGGGCAGCGCTGCCTCCTGTGGAAAGAGTATCTCCAGTCAACCCGCCTTTGCAACCGCCCCCTCCAGCGTCGCAGCCCCGCGGCCTCGCCAATTATCCCCACCGAGAAGATGGTCACCATGCCGGATTTCCTCCCCAGGAAATTGCAGCCGATGATTTCAATCGCACTTGGCGAGAAACGACTTCGGGGGCCCCTCGAGAACTGTACAACTCTCGATCTGGTCGATATGAGCCTGTGGCAGATAATAGAAGACCTTCTTGGCGGCAGGATCAGGGCCCTCGGCCCCCTGCAGTGCTCCAGCGGCCTAGCCATGGCGAACATGGTGGGCCTGCGGAACCATCGGCGGCATTCCAGACACATCGATCAAGTCACCAGGAAGGTATGGGTTGGAACCGTCGTCGCACATCGTCTAATGTGAGTGGTGGAAGTGGAAGCTTTGGTCGTCGTTTGTCCTTCGGTCGAGATGCGCCCCCCCCACGATACAATGATGCTCGGAGAGGCTCTCATGCAAATGGCATGGTTGACCCAGCGCTATCGGGTCGTGAGCACGGGCTCGTCCGTGAACCTTCTCCAAATCGTCAGCATACCGAAGCAGAATTGCCCGCACCGCCATCAGTGAGTATGGGTAGCGAATCTTCACCAGTGGAGAAACAGCCAGCTCCGGTTGTAGCACCGGAAGTGCCGCAGGAAGATCCCCTTGTTCTACAAGAGCGTATTATGAAGGAGAAGCGATTGGAGGCTAGACAGCGCCGACTAGAACAAGAGGAGCAGGAAAAGCAAGCTAGGGAAGAGAGAATTCGTCAGAAGCTTGCAGCATTGGGACCTCCCCCAGATAAGAAACGCAAGGATAGCATCGAGAGCCGCAAGCCTCAGGCGCCAGTGTCAAACACGTCTCCTACTGCAGTGATATCTTCACCTCCCAAGCCCCCTGTGCCGGAACCTACGGGGGAACCTAAGCAGTATGGGATGATGAAAGTTCACCATCCGGATTCAGTGAAGAAACTTGTCGCAGCTAATGAAAGGGAACGTGCTGCTGAAAAGCAGGGCGAGAAAACTTCACCTCACTTGCGTCGTGCTACTACTTCCCCCCACCACGATTCCTCACAACCTCCTACTGCCCCTCCCTCCATCCATCATCCACCCACTGAGCCTCGCTCTCAAGATCCCAAAGTTGATGAGCAAGACGGCCAGCGGCGAGGGAATCTGAACGTTTCCAATTCCTACGCTCCTTGGTCGACTGGCCCCAACCTTACCTCGACCCCTCCTTCAGTGAATAACCTATGGAAACCCTTGAGCAGTGACCGTACCCTTGGAAACGGTATCTTTGACCCAGGCCTTGGTGGTTTTCCTTCCCGAGAGCTTCCCCTACGCAACCAGCTGAATCTTGACCAACCCACCATGCCTTCTGGTCCGTCCTTCACTCCTCAGGAAGCAGCAGCTCCGATTCCTTCTTTGCCATCGCCTGAGACTAGACATGTCTCCTACGACCCACTGAGTCCCATCGGCCGCCCGGGTCCGATCGGTCCACCTAGCTCTCAAACCCCTCAGTGGCAGGCTGACCGCGTGAACGCATGGCAAAACTTTAGTCTCCTTGCTAAGGAACGTGAAGGAGAAGCCGGAGATAAATTTCGCCAGCAATTCAAGGAGACCCAAAAGAGACGACAGGAAGTACAGCACGCCAATCGTGATCAGCCTGCCAAGCCACCCTCGACAATCAACCACCTATGGAGGAAAGTTGTGATTGGTGAGGATGGAGTTAGACGCACGGTCACAGCTGCTACGACGGATGGCTCTAAGGCACCTGCTCAACCCTCAGTTGAGCCCCCTCTTGAACCTGTCGTTGAGCCTGTCGTAGAGCCTGCCACTCATGCTCAGTCATGGAAGCGAGCCCGAGTTGGGGACGACGGTGCTAGGCGCCATGTCGATGTCCATAATAACCAAACCTCGAAACCCGCTATGCCACCCTCGAATCCCTTGAACAGCCTCGAGACCCCTGCAGATGGCCTCTCGTTCGCGGATAGCCACGCCCGTCCCCTCACCAATGTGCCTGCCCGCAGCTCACGTTTCTTCCCCCATGTAACTGAGCAGCCCAAGCGTATTCCAGCGGAGCAAGTTGAGGCGCAGCGAAGCCCATCACCTCCTCCCCCGGAGGAATATTCTCACCCAGTGTATTCTAACGGGCCTGGTCGACCCCTGGTCAATTTCCCTCCTGCCAAGCCGGTTGTCAAGTTGCCACCCAAGGCCATGGCTACTTTGCCCGCACCACCACGGACATTTGCCTCCATGGCTGCGGCACCCCCGCAGGCTAGCCCTACCCCAGTAACTAATTCGGCGTCAATGTCCTGGCAAGAGAAATTCAACGGTCTTTTTGGAAAGAAGACTTCCCCGGAGAAGAAGAGCGTTTTGGCTGTTGCTTCTGCTACGAAGGAGCCTCTTGATGTCCAGCTGCCAGCTGCAGCAGTGTCCGTTTCTCTTCCCAGCCAAGTTGAAGTTGAAGTCAGTGTGCAGACTGGTGATGGAGACCTTGCTGCCCGCCAGGTGGCTGAAGCAGAAGCAATCTTTGAGGATCGCGAGCCAGGCTCGCAGCCCGGTGTTCGAGTCCCCAACATGGCTCCGCCCGCTGCCTGGCATGCCTCGGGTCCTCCCCCACCCTCTCGAACGCGGTTCAAGCAACTGAAGCCGATGCAGGTACAAAGCATTGACATGTACTGGTTTGGAAGTGGCGAAAGAGATCAGCACGGAAATACTCGAGTCTCTATACGGTTCCCGGGTCAAGAGACCTGCCAGACTGTGCTCATGCCTCGAAAGCCTGGTCAAAATCGTCATCGCAACTCGTCTAACCCGAAGAACGCTCGCAAGGGCCCCAAGCCACGCGATGCATCAGGGGGATCGACCTGGAACAAGAAATCCTCTTCTTCCCAGCAGAGCAATGCTCCAACCTCCTCCCCTCGTCACCAGTCGCGCAATGCATCATGGGGTCCCCGAAATCAGACTGGCTCTTAGTAAGATGCCATCATCTATTTTGTCTCTCGGGGTTCATTCAGCGGAGAGGAGTTGAAGGCGCCTTCTCACTATTTCGGCTTCTATGACTGTGAGCATCACGCCTGGAATCACTGCTCAATGCTCTTCTTAACCTTCCCCCCAATTGCTTCAACCACATATCCCAATCATGCTGATTATCCCCCATGTCTTCGATATTCCCATTGGCGTTGGGAAAATTCGACTACAGCGTGGGAACACAGCTCATTCTTCCCATATTCCACCCACTCCGACTCACCCCCATCTACAATATCCCGCTTTCTTCATGTGTGTACTTTTGTGTTTCCCAATTTCCTTTGCATACCTCGGAATCTGGCTGTGTGAACTGGAGTGTGATTGATACCGAGGATTCGAGGGCGCCGGTGTTCTTTACCTTTTTCGGTGATGGAAACAGGTATCCATTTCCATGGGCAAACCCCATTATGGGACTTGAATTTCTAGCAACTATCGTTGCTCAGAGAAATGTCTTTTAACCTGGGGAGCTGATGCTGGAACTTCTCTCGTGTATTTTATCTGCCTCCAATGTCTCCCGACATGTTACGTCGACTGTCACCCACGCACTTGTTTTCCCATTCTACCGGATTACCCATGGGCTGGGTTGTGTTTTGTACCATGCAGCCTTAACAATCGACTATTTTAAAGTCAAGTTCAATTTCCAGTTTATTTCGTAGAATAACCAGCATGATAAAAAAGTTGGAATTGACTCGTATACAAGGGAAATAGCTAACCACGCCATTGACTTTGCGGTTGTCGTTGAACGTCGTGAGAAAAGCATCGATCAAAGGACTCAGCCTGGCGGCTGCTTCGTGAGCTGATAAAGATTAGATAGTATCTTATTTTGAAATCTAAACGTACACTTGCCAGACCCAAGAGAAGTCCAGCTCGTCATGAGAAAAAGACAATCCCAACCAAAACACCACCTTAAACCCCCCCCGAACACCATGAAAAGAACCCATCTCCTGGTCATGCATCATTACTACCACCTAGTCCCAAGGCAATCAATACCAAGATCGAGACAAAGCAACGCAAACCCCGATAATACGTTTGCACTCCTTACCAGTTCCAGGTCCGACTGGAGGCAGTGAACACCGGGGGCTTCCACTGCAGACGAGCAGGATCGATTCTCCGAGCGCCCTTGACTTTTTCTTTTTCCAAGCGCTTGTTGTGTTCACTAACGGCGTAGTCTGTGAGAACGATGACCCAATTTCCTTTCTAAAGGAAAGTTAGCACTCAAAACGAACGGTAATACTGTCGAGATGGAATATTGAAGGAAATTGAGGTGAAGAACGTACATGGTATCGAAGCATATTGAAGACTACTAAAGTCTCGTGCACATCCTTCTCAGTCATAGCGGTAAGAACTGCAAGCTCATTCTCACTCATAGCCTCGCGGCCCGGCTCGATCAGGAGTTCAACAAGTGTCTCGCGCCAGTACTGACGATAACCGAGGAGACCCAAATCACTGAGTGGCTTTTCGGGGGAACCGAGCTTGTTTTCACGCTTGCTGAGCTCGTAGCTGAAGGAGATCAACAGCCGGCCGAAACCACGCCGCTGATATTGCGGGAGCGTCAAGATACAAGCCAGATTGTAGCCTTCAGCGGAGTCTTTTTCCTTAGAGAAGTAGCCGACGAGATGGCATCCGGTTTCGTCACGAGTGCACATGCAGTAGAACATGAAGGGATCGACGTCGTAGTAGAGAGTTTTGTGATCGAGGAAAAGTTTGCTAAGGAGACATAGGTTGCGACACCAGGTGCGTTGCCGACGACCGTCGACCTCAAAGAAAGAGATATTATCGTCGCGATAGATCTCGTTACCAGGCGGGTGTACGAGGGTACACTTGGCGCGATGGCGCTCGAAAGCACGCTGGTTGTCGAAGTAGCTGAGACAAAATTCGTCAATGTAGACTAGGTCTACGTCGGAGAAGGCATCTGGGTACGGCGAGAAGTACCAGGGCTCAATGTCGTACTTGCCCATTTGAAGACGGGTCAGGTTGCGCACTCGGTGAATCTCAGTCGGGTTCTGTGTCATACTACCGCTGGTGCGAAGTCGCTCAATCTCCTCTCCACGGGAAATTACCTCCCCAGAAGCTGTCTTGACCTCATCTTCCTTGAGCTCCTGCGCATCTGTCATATCCACATCCTCCGAGTCCCCTTTGGGTGTCTCGGCGGCAGAAGCCGCCTCCGATGGAAACAGGGATGCATCGCCAGGTGTCTGGACCTCGAGGTTCTCTTTGCCACCAGCCTTTGAGGGCCGATGACTCTTGTCAACATTTATGTTCTTGCCACCTAAAGCATCTGGTGTCCCTGATACCTCACGGCTATCAGCCCGTGGCCGCTTTTGGACATTTTTGCTGGGTGCCGCCTTGTTGGCAGCGCCGGTCTTTTTCTTCTCCGACTTCTCTGGCTGGGGCCACTCAACCTCCTGGGAGAGGTCAATACGAGAAGCATGAATCCATTCTTTGAGATATTTCATTAGTATTTCATATTCCGAATGACAGCTGACAGCACCCGTTCGGCGCCTCTAGTATCAACATACCGTCAAGACGCTTGTTGAAATCAACATAATGAACACTGCCATACTCGTTAGCAAGGCCAACCCAAGCATATGTGTAATTTAACTTACTAGAATGAAGGACCGTCCTTGCGTTGCCTAATAGACAAGATTTCCGCTTTTCGAAGTTCACCATCCTGTAGTCGCGATCAATATCATATCACGTGACATACCACCAGATTCTGCGCTGCCACGACTCACCTTCTGCACCATCGCCTTCACACCGATCCTGTACCACTGGTCAGTAAATGCGACCGAGAAAAATTGAGTCCACGGCCAGAAAAACGATTATCTGTTTTTATTAAGCGGTCAAAAGGACTTACCTGACGGTGTTGAGGGTGGCGAACCCCTTCTCGACGGGATCGGGCGTCCCCATCGCCTCGCCGTGGGAGTCCCGGACGCCCATCTTGGTAAACTGTATGCCGATGCGGGCTCAGTCTGGATGATGGATTTGATGGATTTGATGCGATACGCGATGGATTGAGGTTGATGGTCGTGGCGAGGAGGCAGATCAATGATGGGGATTAAGTAAGCGGGAGCCGCATCGGGTGATGACAGGGAATTGTAATTTTTATAGTGTTGGAAGTTGGCACAATCTGGAGTTCAGGGAGAACTGGATCAGGACAATAGTGCCCATGTGGCCATGTTATACATCCAAGGGGCTTTGAAACTTCAGATCAATCGGTTGTCAAGGCGAACTTAGTTTCAGCAGCCCCGGCGACTTGTCCACAGGCGCCCTGAGTAATCTAGTATGGAAGGCATAGCCACAACTTAGAATTTACAACTTATCAGTGCTGTCTACTTTGAGACTGTGTCATATATCTGTATGTTTTATATTGACTAGAAGTGTCAGCTCCTATATCATGGCCGAACTATGGGATGGATTGCATTCGCCGATATGACTTCAGGGTCGAGCAATGACTAGAAAGCCTCTCTCGCTGCTTTCTTCCTTGTCCATCTCTCTTGCTCACCCTTTCTGGAAATCCTTGGCTCTTGAGATTATTTTCAAGTTATCTTTTTTTCACATGGGCCCCAAGTTATCTATTATCTCGTCCCATACTATAAGTCTGTAACTACCTCACCAGTCTCTCTTTTGCTTTCTTCTTCCAACTCACAACTTTCTTTCTTGGAACCTACCCGAACTCAATTCCTTAGCTCCCACCTGGTAGTTCTGCTAAAGTTTCGTTCCTGTGTATTCTTCGGTAAATGACCAACCAGCTGACTTTAACAGTTCAGGTCCATAACTTTCTTTCATTCTCCTCCTTCCTAGAACACCTTGCAGCTTGCTACGTTCACTATCGACCTCGCACTTTCCACACAATCTCAAACGGCAAGTACCTCATCATGGCCCGCCAACGCTCTAAAGCCGCCTCTTCCAAGGCTATACCCCCTAAGAAGAAGAGTCCCAAGGTCCCTGCTTCTGTCAAGGATGACAAGATGATTCTGCTTTGGATTTGCCTGTCAAATCACTCAGGTGAAGTAAGCTCCCTGGTCTCCCAGCTTTTCATAAACGTTGTTGATTCTCCTAATACCAAATCTTTAGATTGACTTTGATGCCGTTGGAGCCGCATATGGCATATCCCGCAATTCAGCCCAACAGCGCTACTACCGGCTGCGTGCCTTCATGACGATGCAGACCCTTCCCGGTCAAAAAGCACCCGCTCAAGTGTCCACCGATGACGAAGAGAATCTCGAGGAAGTTGGCGAAGAAGAGGAAGACAAAGAAGGGGAGGATGACGATGAGATCTAGTGGAGAAGGACCTCACCCGACCACAGTAAATTGTTAAGATACCATAAATTAGTTTGCATCATTAAACGCATTGCACCCTCTTATCTCTACGCAGCAAACACATTCTTCTCCCCTTTCTTACACTTCAACATCATCAAAATCCCTCGTCGTACTGGGTCTACTAAGGAGTAACGCTGAGTGGCCGCCTCTTCTTACCTTGTAATGGAATATTGATGTATATCCCAGCTCGAATGAAATGTCACTATACATGTTGGCTTTAATTCGGGTCATTTGCTCTTCAATACTTGGAATACAGTATGTATTGAGTAAAGTAGCATTATGTCTGAATATTAATTACTGCGATACACTCAGTGTTGATAGGGAGGTGTTCAACCATCACATTGTGGTGGTCAATTACCACCTTCCATAAACAAAAGACCTAAGCCGTACCTTTCAAGAGTTCCATTTTCACGCAACATGAAATCTTCTCTTGACTATCCTATCCCTTTCTGCATTGCCTTTCCCCTCATCATCAAAGTTCTTATGAGTATAGCGAGAAGAGCTCTTATATGTCCAGCCAACATAAAACTCCAGAACTGATTCAATGGGATTCTGTCATACTAAGCTCGATAATTTTGATTAAATGCACGACATGGAGGACTCACGCCCTTGCCCTTTTCATAAATCCGGACATGGTGTAGTTGGCTATCGCATCTGACTGTAATAGATTTATAGTTTATCAGAAAGTCCGCGGTTCGATTCCGCGTGTCCGGATAGCTTTTTGTTTTTGATCGTATTTTATATACCCCAAAAACATACACGCCATGTCTATCTTCCCCCCTTCTTCTTCCTGCCCAGGGGTAGTAGGGATTGGAATAAAATGAAGTGTCAACAGATGATCAAGACCTTAAATCTCTGGGTAAAGTCAGATGGGGCTGAAACCTTGCACCTCAGATTTCACCTTTCCATACCCGAAAGCGGACAAAAATATCAGGCGGTGGATGTTGGCTGGAAAGTCGAGACCCCTTTGGTGATAATTCTAGATATTCCCGAAGGCTCAAAACCCAAAACAAATTCTAGTGCATGTACACAGTATATGCGGCTTTGCCTTCCATTGGATGATTTTCCCAGACCATGAAATACCTTCAGGAAGGCTTACTCGTACAGTCAATCTCCTGACAACCTGTAAATTGTCGCTTGAAAGCCTCGTAGGAATATCATTGCAGTACAAGATAAATCCCAAGTGCAAATACTCTGCTCAACGTTGGAGAATATTACATCCTAAAAAAAGTTGTTTCTATGGCAAGTTGCGACATTCGGGTGCACTACATGTCTTCGACCTCAGATGGTGGATTGTAGAAGTAAACACATTACATATGGGGCTTTTGAAATAGGCGGACGATGCTTTTTCAAGTCAGGGAGAGAAATGTAGGAAACACAAGCCCGATGTGTCGTTGTATGTGTATCCCCACGAATCAAAAACTAAAGAATCATATCTCTTAAAAACCATTTGTAAATATGCAAGGAAAAAAGAGGCAATCTGACAGCCCTGGGAGCTAAAAATCAAAAGATCGTGTATCCGGAGCTGGACCTGGAGTACTTCAGGTGTAGGGCGTTCATCTGTGATGCAAAATCGCAACGAAGCTGTACGCAGTTTTGCACTGGGCCGAAGACGCTGAAAATGAAAATGGAATGATATCAGTCTAATGTAAGCCCCTGACGACAGGATCAGATATTGGCACTGGGTGAAAAAAGCCGTTCAATCCTCGTTTGTGCTGACGGATTTGGGCTTGCCGCCGGTTACCTTGGAGTGGTTTGCTTGCTGCGCCTTAATGAGAAACCAATGATATGAGACCGGGACTCGATGGTTCTGCACAAGATGACTGGTTGAATGAAAGATCTAGCCCTACATCTCGGTCAAAATGTACAGCGCTCGAAACGAGTCTAGGCTGTAGATCACACCGATCGGCGGGCTAGTGTTCCCCTTATAGTAGATAGTCTCGAACCCATGCCCCTTCTCTAGTAGCTGTTCACTTATACAGCTCATGACGAACTGGAATGTGAAGCATGGAGTTCATTTCTCATATAAAAACCCTCCCCTCTGGATGACTGCTGTTTTATTCCAGTATAATCAGAGCATCCAATATCACTTTTGAACTACACAAGTCCTCTCGTTGTCCATACTTTTATTATTGTCCTTAGTTGATATCATGGAATGGCCTTTTGCTTCCTTTTCTCCCTCTGGAACACCTAGAAACTACGGAGAGCATCTAGCCCATGGATATCCATTATGTTCCATGCCGTCTATTGTCTACTCTTCCTCGTCTTCTGGTCCAGGCATTTCAGCCATGAGCCCGACTCTCTCCAACTCTATGGAGGGCAGTAGCACATTGACCAATCCCGCTCTCACCATGAACAATGATCTAATGTGGGCTTCCTCCAACATACCCAGACGCGTTGCGAATTCGGAAAATCTGAATGATCTTTCCTTCACCGGCTCCTGGGTCAATACCACTTCATACGATGTGCCACCTATGCACCCCACGGCTTCTGGAGAAAGCAGCGGGCAACAAGGTGCCTCTAAAGACACTGCTCAAAAAGAGATACTACATACTTATTGTCACAAATTCAAACGCCAGTAAGATGCTACCTTCCGATCTCTATATCCAAGTTGATACTTAACACGGCTTCTAGAGGTAAACAAGGACTCTTCGAGTGCAGGTGGGAAAATTGCAAGAGGCCAGGTCCATTCACCCGGAAATCAGTGCTGTTGCGCCACCTTGAGACGCAGCACATCTCTCCGGGCTCTTTTGAGTGCCCAGTTGAAGAATGCAAGAGATTATTTAATAGAAATGATAACCTTGACGAACACTTTCGGCGGCTTCATTGGGATTAGGTTTATGTTCATGCTATGCGGACCATACCAAGCTTGGGCTCCGCCACTCCTTTGGATAACATGCCTGTCAATGATGTGCTGAATGTTGGAATATTTTTGACATTTTATTGTAGCATTTTGCAACCTTCTTCATATACCAAGCCAGCCTTCTCCCAGGTACTCAACTTCTAAAGGGCCATTCTTCAGACTTAAACAATACTTCACCAACGTTGTCTAAATAATGTATCGCCGCATCGATAAGAAGTCTGAAGGCTTTATACCCTGCAAGAGCTGAGATGAAAAGCAGCACATGCTCCAATATGACGGGCGATCGTATAATTACTGTTACGTATCGGACGTTATTGTCGCTGAGATGACTCTGCGGAGGCTCGTTCAACGGCACGAAACAATTCTGACAAAACTCAGCACTCATCAGGATTCCAGCCAAGATGATAAACCCAAGATGCAAGACTTGGAAAAGGAAGTCGAAGGCCTTGCAAAAGAAATCCTACTTCAAAAGCAAAACCTCTACCAGAAAGAAGAGGGGATCCCTGGCTGGCCTACTGCACGTTTACGGCAGGCATATGATGCAGTGAGAAAGGATCCTCTATGGTATCTTCGGCCGGTGCTTGTTGAAGACTGCGAATCTAGAGTAGGGTGTTACAGCCGGAGCTGTGGATGTTGTCAGAAGCGCCATTTGACTCCCCCATGGAGGCATTGGGCACTGCATGATAGAATGTGGATGTTGTTTGAAAAGTTGGGGGGGTTGATCTTTCTCCGGAGAAAAAGGACCAAATGTTCGATGACCTCAAAGGATTACTTGAGATCCCAATTCCTGCTCATCTGGCTAGGATTGATGATGCGGACTTTGAAGTTCCCAAGTCAGAGCCACCCAAGCCCAAACCATCCAAGTTCGAGCCATTCGTGTCTGAAACATCCGAATATGAACAATCCGAATCCGAATCATCCGAGTCTGAGGTACCCGAGCCTGAGCCATCTAAGATCGAGCCTTCTAAAACCGAGCCATTTAAGATCGGGCCGTCCAAGATCGAGCCATCCAAATCCAAGCTGTTTTTCTTGAGTATACTATGGGGTTCGTCAAGAAAACGCCCACGAAAGTGAGCATCGCAATACATGGGTCGGGGGATCATAATAGCTTTCAATGACTTTTACTAAAAATGATGGCCTATGATGGCCTTATGTTGCTCAATTGCTCTCCATGGGCCTACATGTACGTACGTGTCTTACTTACTAGAAAAGAAAACTTACCCGTAGCATTGAACTCTTTACTGATAACATCACGTCGTTATAAATATGAACTTGGAAGATTGAGATATCTAATGGAATGACTAGAGCTACTCAACTGTATTTGCTGGGTCCACCAAAGACTGGGTATGTAAAGCTCCGAATGAATTTGCATGATCCTAGCAAATTAACCTTCCTAATGGTACACAAATGAAGCTTGCAATGGGTCATGATTGCAAGATAAAAAAAGAAAGTAATGGTCTCGATACGCTATAATTTCAATGCCATCCATTCACGGTGGCGGTACCAGCAACCAACTCATCCAGCTCATCCTTCCGTGTCTTATACAATTCCTGGGCCTCCCGCTCCCGACGCATGACAAAGGACACATCTTCCCGTAGCTTCTCTAAGCGCCGAGAAATGGCTGCTTCTTCGGAGATCTGGAGTGTGCGGAAAGAGTCCAAGTCGTCTTGGACCTTGGGCAAAGCGGTGCCGGCTTCAAGAATCTTGGCGCGGAGTGTCTTGGCTCGTTTCTGGTATCCGCCATGAACCTTGGCAAGCTTTCCTTCGAGTTTGTTGCCCTGCTCGGCAGTGGCGAGAAGAGATGTTTGAACGCTATCGAACGCTGCGATCATGCGTTGTTCCTCAAGGAATTGATCTTGCTCTTCATCGTCGGCGTAGCCATCGAGGCCCGGAAGGGCATTGGCACGAGTTGACGACCAGACATCGTCAAACTTCTCTTGCCACACCTCTTGCTGTTGCTGGGCTTCAGTCGAGGCCATTTCGGCCGCAATAGCTGCGCGCGCTGAATCCATGAACATATCGTCCGGACGTCCCAATTTAGGTGCCTTGCCCTCAACCTTGGCACCAGGCAACGGGTGCTTCCGAGAATCATATGCAATCAGTACAGCAGCTTCTCGGGCAATCAGACCCTCGATTGAATTGTTGACTTCAGAAGCACGCTTCATTAAAGCATCAATGTCAAGAACGACTGGTCGAGGGAGGCCACGCTGATAGACCTGTGACTGGCGCTTGAATTCAGCCTGGGCGGCCAGCTCCCGGGCTTCCTGCTCTCTGCGGTCCCGCTCAGCCGCATCTTCCTGAGTGAATGCGACAGAGTCTGAGGGCTCAGCTGTTTCAGATGGAAGCTCTTCCAATTCCCACTCTGACTCCTTGGGTTTAGGGAGCAAAGATAGCTTGCTGCGGATCTGCTGGCGCGTGAAATTTTCATGCAACTTGATATCTCGCGGTGTGCTGCCAATAAGCTGTCCAGCTGCGCCTTCTTCGTTCAAAGAAAAATGATCGCGCGGTGTGCGGAGAGGGGTAGCGCCAGGCCCAATTCCACCGTGCATAGGAGTTGCGCCCATTCCGTTGGCCTGTCTGAACGGGGTGGCCATAGGGTTGGGTGTGACAATATCCTGCCTCCGCGGAGCGATGCCATCGAAGCCAGTAGAGGAACCGCCTTCGTGGAGGGGGGTGTTTTCTCCACCAAGCAGAGAGGATTGTGTTTCGGTCAAAGCCCGAATGTTTTTGATCTCGTTTGCGATGCGGTCCTCTTCAGGGGCAGCACGTGGAGTACGAATGGGAGTGCCTCCAACAATCGATCCATATTTTCCAATGAGTCCCCGAGTGGCTTCCTCGTCTGAGCTCATTTTGCTTGCCTTTTCTCCGGCCATGCCCATCTTTATAATGTCTTCCATCTCACCTTCGCTGATTTGGGGGGCAGGCAGAACCAGTCCTCGTCGCATGCTGCTTTGCTCTGCTTCCCGAATCTTTTGCATTTGGCCCGCACGTGCGGCAGCCGCAAATGCAGCCGCGTTGCTGTTTTTGTCGTTCTTCCGTTTCTTGCGCTCGGCATCGTCATCTTGATCGCCCTTTCGCTTGTTGGCCAGCTGCTGCTTCCGAGGGTCGAACATTTCACGTTGGCGCTCATTTCGCACCTCTTCCTCTGCAGTATCGTAGAATCCCGGTGCAGCTGGCTTCTCAAATGGAATGTCTGCATTGTAGTCCATCTGGCCAGGCTTTCGAGTCACAACCTTAACGTTGATACCGGCGTTCTTGAGCTCACGGCGCTTCTGTAGCACTGCGAGTCGACGGGACTCTTCTAATTGACGTTCTCGGGCCTTTCGCTTGGCCTTTTTACCCTGTGTGTTAGCAAGACGCGCTCGCGCCTCGCTGAGCATTTCTTTCTCATCTTCATCCAGATCGATTGTGTCGGGACGCGCAGGCTTCGATTCTGGGTCAGGGTCCAGCTCACCGGGGCTGTGAAATTGTTACTATAAATGCCATATCGTGTGCAGAATAGATCAACGTACCGTAAGCGGCGAACATCATCCGCGCTGGGAGCAGAAGCCTCTCCACCCTCCGGTCCGCCCAAACCAAGATCATCGTTTTCACGGGCCTCAGCCTCGTCTAGAAGTTTTTGGTATCGTTCAAGACACTGTGTTGCGGTGCGGCCGACGATGGGGGCGATGGTACGCCATTGTGTGGGCATCAGTTTGGCAAGATGCAGAAGCTTCTCATCCTCCTCTCGCGACCACTCGACCTTGCGAATACCAGGATCCAGCCATTCGATCCAGCGCGCTTTGCATTGCTTCGGCGTTTTCCGAGCGAGGAGAGAGGACACTCGAGCCCATTGATTGAGACCATATTTGGAGACCTGTAATCGTGTAAGCATTGCGCAATCATTTCAAGGGTTTAAATAGAGGAACATACAGCTGCACGAAGCACTTCGTCCTCGATATTGGTCCTGCAATGCGGTTAGTAGCGATCATAGAAGTGCAGCGCGATGGTTGTACGTACCAGACACCTCCTTTGACTACAGGCATGATGCGCGATCGGGACCGGAATTCCAGTTGAAGCGAGCGCCAGTTAGTTCAGTTGAATGTCAATCTCCGGGGAGATGAAAGGTCGAGAGTCCCCGGGCTTGAGGTGACGCGCAGCAGTAGGTGCAGCCAGAAAAGACGGGTTATGCCAAGAGTCGAGGTCCTTCACCGCCCGCATTGACCGCCCCTCCTTAGTCAGCAGATCCGGATTTTTTGGGGCTTTTCACTTTTTTTTTAGTCTCGGGTTTTCAACGGACGATAAGAGCATCAACCATGTCCAAATCTGTGGAGGCCCCGAACCAGTTCAAGCAGCCCTCCCGTAAGGGCAAAAAGGCTTGGCGCAAGAATGTCGACGTTACTGAAGTGCAGGAAGGTCTGCGCCAGTTGAAAGATGAAGAGATCAAAGGGTATGTTTTTATCATTCTCTTTTTCCTAAACTTGGGCCTCCTCCGTGACCATTTGCTAATACCTTATAGTGGCCTTGTTTCAGAGAAGCCATCTGACGAACTGTTCATCCTCGACACCACTGGAAACGAAGATGTGCGGAGACAGATCTCTAAGAAGCACAAGCCGCTCAAGGCGGACGAGATTATCGCCCAACGGTCTCTCATTCCCGCCCTCGACGGTCGCAAGCGTGTAAATTCCAATGTCACCGATGGAGTTATTGAGCCGAAGACCAAGAAACACAAGAAGGACTGGGTCAGCAACAAGGAACTGCAACGCTTGAAGCAGGTGGCCCAGGACGGAACCCCTACCACCAAGATTAACGGATGTGATATCTACGACCCGTGGGCAGAGGATGCCGAGCCAAGTGCGTCAGCCGTTGTAGACGACCCTCGTTTCAATTTCTTGGTGAAGCCAAAGACAAAGGTCGCACCAGAGACCATTAAGCACGCACCTGTGTCGCTTGCCGCCAATGGAAAGCGCATCCCATCAGTTCGCACACCGAAAGGAGGTCACAGCTACAACCCTGTCTTTGAAGAGTGGGATCGTCTACTAGAAGAGCAAGGTGCAGCTGCCGTAGAGGCGGAGAAGAAGCGCCTTGAAGAGGAAAAGAAAGAAGAGGAAAAGAGGCTCCTGCAAGAAGCAGCACAGGATGATGATGGCGAAGTGAAGTCTGATGATGAGAGCGCTTGGGAGGGCTTTGAGAGCGAATATGAGAAGCCCGAGTGGCTGAACAAGAAGCGACCTGAGCGAAAGACCAAGACCCAGCGCAACAAGATCAACAGGCGAAAGGAGGCCGAGCGCCAGGCGAAGTGGGAGGCTAAGAAGGCTGCGCTAGAGAAACAGGCTGAGCAAGTCGAGCTACTCGCCGAAGAGGCCAGACAGCGGGCAATTAGCACGGCCAACGACTCTGATGCCGATGATGACGAAGAGGGTGATGATACTCAGCTTCGCCGCAGGGCGTTTGGAGGAAAGCTTGCGTACGTATTACTCTATCTAGTCTCTGCATGAGCTATTGCTAATGATTATTAGACCCCCGGAGAAGCCATTGGAGCTTGTTCTTCCCGATGAGCTTCAGGACTCCCTCCGACTGCTGAAGCCGGAAGGAAACTTGTTGGATGACCGGTTCCGAACACTGATTGTTCAAGGCAAGCTTGAATCTCGCAAGCCGATAACACAGGCTCGCAAGGCCAAGAGAAAGATCACCGAGAAGTGGATGTCCAAAGACTTCAAGGTTCCCGGCTTCGACTAAACTGTTGTTCTTGTTACTTAATACCTAGGTAAAAGCGTGCATTGGCGTTTGGACATACATAAAATTTTGTTTGCACAATCAATGGGTTTCAAATTCAGGTCCGCTTCGTTCAGGATTTCATGTTTCCAATGTCATAGTTTAAACTAGGACTTCGATAGGCTGTAGATGGACAAACACAGCATTGGGTCCCCAACCACGCATCATGATTTCCCATTCTTTGCCTTTTCTTACATTTCCAAAGATAAAAAACGCAAAGCCGTATCTGACAAGAGGACGACTGAATTCTAGTATGTTAATCTGAAGTGCCTGTTACGGTCTAGCTCTAAATGGATTATAAAGGCGGTGTTCCTATCAGCCTTTCTGCCAGAAAAAAAAGTTGACGGCAATCAGCCATCTCCAATCCCCCTCACCATGCCCAAGCCCTGATACAATAATTTCACCGTCGGAATGAATATGAGCGGCCTCTCCAGCAATTGGAAGAAGCTACAGGCGACACTGAAGAAGGATAGCCAATCTACCACTACAGGCACAAAACGCAAAGCCTCAGACCGTGATTCGGGGTCTGGTCCTGTCAAGAAGCACAAGTTTACCGACAAAAAACAGACAGACCGGGCGCCGAGTGCCTATAGACTACAGAGGATGGGCGACGCATCTAAAAGCGCAGATGGTGGGGACTCAGTTCCTTCTCTACGCAGAAAATCTAGTGCTGGTTTCTCCGCGCAGCCTGCGGCTGATGCTCGGAGTACCAAGGTGAATGAGGGCCGTTCAAAAACGTGAGTACTGCCTTGCACTCCTTCAACTGGTTCACCCGAAATGTCACTCACACTGTCTACTCCAGGGCCGAGCTCGGAAAATTCATCGCCATGGATTGCGAGATGGTTGGCGTAGGCCCCAACCCCGACCACGACTCCGTCCTTGCGCGCGTCAGTATCGTCAATTTCAATGGCGAGCAAATTTATGATTCATATGTACGACCTAAAGAGATGGTTACCGATTGGCGAACTCATGTCAGTGGCATTGCCCCGAAACACATGGTGGAGGCACGGAATCTAGAAGCAGTACAGAAGGAAGTTGCCGAGATCATGGATGGTCGGATCCTAGTCGGCCATGCCGTGAGCAACGACCTAGACGCTTTGCTGCTTGGTCACCCCAAGCGCGATATTCGAGACACTAGCAAGCACCTCGAGTACCGGAAGATTGCTGGTGGTGGTTCCCCGCGACTGAAGGTACTGGCGGAGCATTATCTTGGACTGAAAATTCAGGAAGGTGCGCACTCTTCGGTAGAAGATGCCCGGGCGACTATGGCATTGTACCGACGAGAGAAGGAGTCCTTTGAACGGGAACATCTGAAGAAGTGGCCCGTTAGGACTCCTGTGGAAGGGAAGGATAAGGGAGACAAGAAGAAGAAAAAGAAGAAGACCACTCGCAAGCGGTAATGCTGAGACTATTAGCATGAGGCATCGCAAGAACTGTACTTATTGTAGAGAAATTTTGTATACCCCAAATTTGCATCAATTTCAAGAATTCGAATATCTATTCAAATGTGACTATAAGCAACAAATCGATCAGTACAATTTTAAGGAGTAGTTGGTATTCGAAGATCTAGTTCTGCATAGAGTAGATCCCGCTCCGCCCAATTCCACTTAACGCGGAAACGCGACGCGCTTCAAATTCACCTCCGCAAACCCAGCCTCAACATTGATCACCAACCCCACAGAGGCGCTATTGATACTTTATATTTAGCTATCTGCTGCAATTATCTTTTGATACAAGACTTGAGACTAATATAGCAGCCTCTGCGCCAAATCAACCACGCCATCACTGGAACCCACGCACTCCAACTCAACTCACAACAATGTCAGACATGTACGCCTTCCAAGCAGCCCCTGGGCCGAAGACACAAGAGAAAGAAGAATCCTCTGCTCCTCACCTTACACCGAATATCCTCCCTTGCCAAATTCATCATGATGGCCCAATTGCGTCCTGCGATCGGTTTTGGACGCCCGTCACAGACGCAAAAGGTATGCCCAGAACGCCCCAACCCTCTCCCCTTCGGCTGGACCTCAGAAATGTACAAATCGGCTGACCCATTACGACCATCAGACAACACACAGAATGCATACTTCCGAGGGCGAAAACTCCGCGGACGACGCGTTACGGTTCCAGAGGGATATCAAGGTGTGAACATCGCCAATTTCGGACTACTGTGAAGTACATTGGCTAAGCAGGTACTTTCTTACAACAGGAGTCATCGCAATGCCCACGGATCGGATTTTGCCTTCTCAGCAAGCAGATACGGGCGAGGACGTGGAGATCCTCGAGAATGGGCCCGAGGAGCCGGTCAAGGTTCTCGAGACACAGGGTACATTTGACGAGATGATTTTATGGCAGCACGAGTTCCTGCCTGCGGCGGACGACACGTTCGTGAAGGGCATAGAAGAGTGGGTGCGGTTTGCGGAGACAGTATGTGTATTCCATGTCTTGTGGTCTTTGGACTCAACGTTCTAACCCTGAATTTTAGATGCATGTAACTCCGGTAGATGCTGCGAAATAGAGAAAAGAGTGATTGACTCTTGTGCAAGCGATTGTGGGGTTGGATCATTTTGAGTGGTAGATATACCCATGGAGTTTGTCTGGATCTGTTGGATCTAGCGACAGGAACAATAACAATCATTTTGGTCAGTTCTGTCCTTCGGTCCTACTTTCCTCGAAGAACCCGATACAGAGGTCATAAGGAATAGTGGCTACGCATCTTTCGTTCATTGGTTCGAAACCAAAGTATACGAAATTCGAATTATGGGAGTGACTAGAACTTAGAAATGCAGACGAACAATAAGATCAAACCAACGGAGTATAGGTATTGATTTAGATAGTAGACTTGACTAAGCCAGTCTAAAACATGTGGATATAGAGAAACCAGCATGAAAATTGTGAACGAAGTGAATAGTATTTAAACAAAAGTACCTTCTTAATTGCTTTGATTGATATCTAAGCCGTCAAAGTTTAGTTTGATACACAACTCGATCATTAGATGATGTTATATCCTCATTTCCTCTTCACAGCCTCTCAAGGTTGTCGAGCCAGACTCTTTGTGACCATGAAAAAAGCCTTGCACGATTGATCTCCATGTTACTTGTTAGATTTAGCTACGTAGGAGACAACGAGAATTCACATGATCCCACTTTTTATAGATGAGCTAATGTGGAGAACTCCGATAAGCCAAACCCCGCAAACAACCACAATCTCTTTCTTCACACCCTCTAACCTACCCATCTCCAATCTAAAAATCCCTCAAAGCTGACAAGCCTGTCCTCAGTCATGGCTGACAACCCCGATGTTCCAAACACCCAAAAGGCCTTCGTGCCCCTCGGTACATACCACAACCCCGCACCAAGCAACACAGCACAGCTAACCAAGCAAAGAAAACAACCCGGAAGTTATGTCCCACCTAGTCCACCAACTAGGTCTCCCACCAACCCTAGGCTTCACCGACGTATTCTCAATCGACGAGCCAGACCTCATAGCCTTCGTCCCCCGCACCTCCCACGCCCTTCTCCTCGTCTTCCCCGTCTCCCCAACTTACGAAGAATCCCGCAGGAAGGAAGATAGCTCCCTACCAGAATACACAGGCCACGGCCCTTCGGAACCTGTAACATGGTTCAAACAAACAATTCGCAACGCATGCGGGCTAATCGGCCTTCTACATGCCGTCTCAAACGGCGAGCCCCGGTCCCACGTTATCCCCGGCTCGGATCTCGATGTGCTTCTTACCCAGGCGCAGGATCTAGAGCCTGCTCGTCGGGCGGATCTGCTTTACGAGAGTAAGGCGCTTGAGAGTGCGCATGCGGATGCGGCGAAATTGGGGGATACGGCTGCGCCGCAGGCGGAGGATAATGTTGATTTGCATTTTGTGGCGTTTGTAAAGGTTGGGGATACGCTTTGGGAGCTTGATGGGAGGAGGAAGGGACCTTTGGCCAGGGGGAAACTTGGGCCTGATGAGGATGCGTTGAGTGAGACGGCGCTGGGATTGGGTGTTAGGAGGTTTTTGAAGATGGAGGCCGAGGGCGGGAATCCGGATTTGAGATTTAGCCTTGTTAGTTTGGGGCCTGTTTTTGATTAGGTGTTTAGATTTTTGCTAGTCCTTTGGGCTTTTTTTGTGGTGTGGGGGCTATTTGTGTTGTTCACATAGACTGAGTGGTTTCGCTGATGGGACTAGGCCGCTGGCTTTTGAAGGCAATTGGACGTGAGAGAGCTCGAGGGACAGTCAAAGATGTACAGTTGATTCCAGCTTCTAGAGCCCCTGTATCTGTATTCCAAATGGTATTCACATTATCTATTGGTTTTTGTTTGTATCCTCTAAAATTCCTAGGGCCGATGGTCTTGACCACCCATACCTAAATTCCCCTCAATTATGCTTTACTCCAACCTCCAAGGCTGGAGCCTCTGAGAGAATCTCCGTTCCAGGAGCCACAGGCGCAGAGCTAACATCGGTAATAGCTTTTTGCTCTGCTAGCTCATTCACACTCTCATCCCCCATCTCAGTGGGTGCATCACCTCCCTGAGTTCCCAACGTCAAGAAAGGCACCATGAAAAGGGAAGCACCAGCCGCTGCCGCAGCAAACCAATAGGCAGTCAGATAGGGTCTGATAGCAGGCGTAGAAGCAGTCATCTGATTAGCCATCGCGCTTTCGACGGAGGTAGCGATGCCAAGGCCTAGGTTGTTGCATAGTTTGCTGACTGTGTTGAAAATTCCACCGGCAATTGATTGCTGGTCAGATGGGAGTGACGACATGACGTACATCTAGAACGACGTATTCGTTAGCCACCAGAAATTAAGGTGTGAAAAGTGATGGAGACGGTAGAAGACATACATTTGTAACGTTGAACTGAATGTCTGCACCAACGACCACAAGTATCAGAGCGGGGAATATGTATTCCCAGTAGATGGCATCTTCCTTCATGAAGCTCAAGATCAGGAACGAGGCGGTATATGCCAGTGCACCGATCCCTGTCAACAAGCTGTTGCTAACACGGTGTAAGATCAGGCCACATACGACATTCACCGTGACACCGCTGACAACCATAGGCATTAATCGTGCAGTGATCTCCAGTGCGGTGAGATGTTTAACATTTTGCAGATAGAGGGACAGGTAAAAAGTGACAGCAGAAAAGCCCATGAAGCCAAGGCAAAAGATTGCCATGAGCTGCGGAGAGAGTTAGCGTTGATTTTCCTTTTTTTTTATTTTATTTTTCTATTGATATTGTGGGGTATAACATACCAGGGCGAAGTTGCGATCTTTCCAGACCCATAGTGGCATCAGGGGGGTTGCTGTGATCGACTGCCACCACAGAAAGGCGACAAGCAGGAAGAAACCCACGATGAAAAGGGCAAGAACATACCCTGTTTTCCAGCCATCTGGTGCATCTCCAGCAAGTCTATCCAAGTATTAGCAAAAGCTCCATCGGTATTCAGGGTGTATCCAAAAGAGAAGGTTCCAACGTACGAAAGAGAGCTAGAGAAGAACGCGAACCCAACAATCACCAAGGCCGTACCGAGAAGATCAAACTTCTTGAATGCCTCAACGCTAATTGGCGTCCTCGCAAATCCATCAGGAGGAACCGTCCACACAGTCAACGCTGTAAAGATGGCATAAACAACAGCAAGAGCCCAAAAGGAGGCACGCCAGTTATACTCATTTGACGCAACGCCTGAAATAATCATGCCACCTACAAAACCAAGCGGATTTCCGGCACTGAAGCAAGCGAACGCGCGATTCTTGCGCTTCGATGGCTTCTCGTACACGGCTCCTAGGGTACCAACTGCCGGGGGAACCACGGCGGCTGCGAATAGACCCAAGATACCGGAGAAAACGTCCATGTAGATAGCATTTGTGGCGAAGCCGGCGATTAGTAGGGAGATGGTGAAACCACCCATGCCAATGATGAAAAGCACTTTCCGGCCGAACATATCGGCTAGTTTGCCAAATGTCAGTAGGAAGGCACCGCTGCTGAGACTGTGAAGGGAGCTTGGTTAGCGAATTCTGGCGCGAAGAAGATGCGAAGAAAGACTTGAGCAAATGTGTTTTTTTCTTCTTTCAATTAACATAGGGGATGGTGTTATTGAGATGTATATAGTTAAAAAAAATGCACATACGAGGCGCCGGCATTGATCCAGGTGATTTCAGCAGAATTCATATTCAGATCAGATCCGATTGATGCAGTCACGCCAACAATGCAGCCTTGGAAAAAAGACTGCTGGCCGATGGCCATGGTGGCTGTCAGAACGAAGAGACATTCCTGGAGGGTTGAGTTGAAGCATTTGGGTCGTTGCGCATGGCTCAATTGCTCGTTAGCGGCCAGTGTGACCTCGGGGCCTTTTTCCTGATCTGCATAGTCATTGGATTGGGAAACCATGTCGCAGTTTACAACCTCACTTCAAGGCGACAGGTGAAGGAAGTGAAGAGATTACGAGCTAGGAACAGCTTCTAAGAAATTAGCCCTCGGGATTTTCCAGGGGGCGATATACGTCGTAGCCTCGTCTTGCCCGCCAAGTGGGTCACTGATTAGAACTTTATGTACGTTTTCCCTACTAAATTCCTCTAAATAGCGGCCGGCAGTTTTACTGTCACCGCAACTTTTGCTGAACAATTATGCCTTTGTAAGCTGCCGGAGAATTTCCGCGTCTGAATCACACCTGGCCCGTCGGCATTTGATTGGGCTCCGTAGCCGGCGCTCAGGCCTTAGCTTAGGCGTTTCTGAAACCTGATAAGATCCCTTAACCGCATGCTGGATAACACTGCAGGATGATGATATCTCACCTAAAGGAAGGGATGAATTGTCGGTCAGGTCGAATCATCATGCTCAACCCAACAGTCTCGGGCATTGAACTTCACTACCTCATTCCCACATGCCCACCACTCGGAAGTTAAACTCCGAGCAAACACCTCAAGCGCTGAATAAGTCTTGCGAGTAGATTCGGACGTAAAATCAAACAATATCCGCTCAAATGCAGGTTTCAGATTCGGCTTTCGCGAATGGAGATCCGGGACAGCTGCAATCACTCTTCTGGTAATTGTACTCGGGTCAACATCGAGCAGATCGGCAGTATCTGCATTTCTCCGCGATGTCGCATCGCCAAGGTCTGCTACTACTGAAGTCGGATCTTTCCGCCCTATGACAAGAATTTCGTATGGCTTTCGCCAAACCCCATTCAACGGACACACCGCCTGTCCATCAGCAGTGATCTTGATCCAAATCCATTCCTCATGGATACGGAACCCAGAAGCTAGCAAAGCTTCATAGGCGACTTTGCGAGCTTTTTCAGAGTTGGTGATCCAGATGGCTGCAAAAACGTCTTGGGAAACCTGTTCTTGAGCTTCTGGAGCCGTAATTGTGTCTGTACTCGTAGCTGAATTTTCTGAGAAATCATCAAGTGAACGGTAGGAATGGACACGTAAGATGTCCTGAAGTCGCTGACTCAAGATATCCATTTCGTTGTAAGAATGAGTTTGATACCCTCTACTTCGCCGAACAGAGCGATTTGGCCAGGGTGGGTCAAAGAGCATCAGATTGAAACGCTGACTGCTAGGTAACCCGGGAATAGGTGTCTCCAGGGGTTCTGGCTGTGATAGCGGTAGGTTGCAAAGCACAAAGGCAGATCGAGGCGGGATGATGTATTCTGAAGGATAATGCACCCCATCGTGTCCAACAGCACTGATTGATAATACAGCCTCGTCTGCGGATGGATTTTTCACCACACCTTCAAGCTCTGATGTAGAGCTGAATATGTTGAGAGAAGTCGATGAAAGGATCGTAGGCGGTGCAGTGGTCCATAAAGAATTCCCCATTTCTCCTGACTGATTCGATAGGGACCAATGCCCACCCTGTGGTTGCTCTAGTTTCCGTTTCTTTGAAGGCGGATCAGAGATATCCGATGCTTCCTTTCCGCGCGCTGTTTCATCAAGAACAGCTCTGGGAAGACACCATTGCGAGTCAGATGGCGAATAACTGGCCCGTAAATCATCTAACGCGTTCGCCACAAGTGGCTGGATAAAATTACCATGATATCGCTGCTCGGACAGCGATGTTCTAGACAGAACTTTTGCGCGCGCAGAATCTGTTTTTGGCTCCGTGGAAGATGGGTACGGCATATTCAGAGCGACGGTAGAGATAGGACACCTCTTTTGTATTTTGTGCCTCCTATTCCCTTCATTTGATATGGTAAAAGTCTGCCCTGTTGGTACGCATTCATCTTGACCTGGTGTAGACGTGGCCTGCAACAATTCTTGTGCTTGGGCAATAGATTCTGGGATGTCAACGAGAAAGACCGTGTTTTCATTGTTATGAAAGAGTATGGAGGGGTTATATGGGGAATTGACCATTTTCAGCAGAGGTATGTTTAGGTTCAGATGGCGGATAGCCGGGGTTAGGGATTTAAGCATCGATGCGGGCGGGATGGGCAGATCATGCGATCTATATTCTACATTTTACAACGAATACAACTCTCAGTGCAGCTGAAGAATTCCATTGGAAACAGCGCAAACCAAACAATCTGCAGTTTAGCCCAAATCATACAGAAAAAGGATCATCAGATCAGAAGATACATGTCATTTGAAAAAAAAAAAGAAGAAATGCTCGTCTCCATGAAGATACTTGAATGTGTCTCCCAGACACCAGGTCCTCCCAGACACCGGGCACTTTTTATCCCAAGCCCCAAATTCCTCAGCCATATCCTTGCTGCCCTGCCGGCGATCCAGCGTCCGATCAGGCGGGAGAAACATGGCTTCACAATACAAAGCTAGAGAACCCGCTTAATCTCCATGATACGATGGCCAAAGAAATAAAACACGGAATGAATTTGTACAGGTAGATGAAAGCAGGGAAGATTTGATTAAAAAAATCATATGCGAAAATCAACGCTGAAATGAAGTATTAGCCACTGTCATGGCGGGTTTGCCTAGGCATCGTAAAAAGAACTCACCCGTCCACGTCGGCCTCCGCTAGACTGTCCCTGGACAGACTGCGGCTGCTGGTAGTACTGCGGAGGGTATGGGTAGACCTGAGCAGGAGGCATCACAGGGCTGTACTGTTGGGAAGGGTAGTTGGACAGACCGCCCATGGGGATGGGCCCTGCTGACAACGGCGACGCCTGCGGGTTTTGAATAGATCGCAAGTGCTCCACTGACGGCGAGTACGCGAGGTTGGTTCCATTGGTCCCGTAAAAGCCACTAGGAGACACTCCCCGTCCTTGGAGGTAGTTTTGGTACTGCTGCTGAGAAAACTGGGCCACATGATCCGGTAATCCAGCACCACCACCAAGACCGTTCAAAGGGTTCGTGAACCCGTTGTTGCCATTGCTGGTGTATGGATCAAGTTGCGGGGCATTGTTATGGTCGGCAGGGAAAGGGCGGGAGTCAGGGAACTGTCCACTGTACTGTCTTTCCATAGGAGGCTGGGAGGGGTAGTTGGCACTTCCGTGTCGGGAGGATTGACGTTGTTGGGGCTTCTCAGGGGTAGAAGAGTGGCTTGCGCCGTGCTCCCGTCCATGATGATGTTCACGGCCGGTTCCACGCGAGGAGAGGCCAACTTCATCCATCAGGCGTTTGTATCCCTGGCTAGGAGAGGCCTTCAATTTTGTCAAAACCTTTGCAACGTTCTTAACTACTTCCGCACGCATGGACTCCTCAAAGAACGGAGTGGTCAAAACCTTGAAAATCAAGGTCGCACCGGAAGTCTGGTCACTCAAAATCTTCTCCAAGACTTCGTCACCAGGGCTGAAGAACAAGGCCTTCAGAATGATGTCTCTGGCCTCGGCCTCATTACGCTGGTTGATGACCTTGAGAACTGTGAGGTAGGCTACCTTGTGGGTGCAAAGGTGTACAAGATGAGGAACAAGTCTTGGAGCAAGAACAGTCCGACGGCGGGGGAAGTTGCAGGTGTCAAGGAACCAAGTGAGCAGAAGAGCCCCATTGGCATTGGTCACCAGCTGCACTGTGTGAAGTGCAATGGCTGCAGCAAGAGTCCGTTGCTGGTCCTTTGTTGCAAGGTGGCTTTCCAAGCAAGCGCGCATGGCTCGGGCGCCGAATCGGCCCTGAGCAACCTCCCACATCCGACTAAGCATAGTCTCAAAGATAAAATTGTTGTAAGGAGCACCAAACCGCAAGCAGCATTGGAGCACATAGTTGCCGTATTGATCAAGGAAGAGTGGAACAGTGTATGGACGAAGTGCGTCAACAATCATGTTCATCTGGGTAGGGGTCTTGGCAACATCAATGATTTTTTGTGCAGCCCAAGTTCCATTCTTGTGGACACCGATTTCCGCAAGATGAGGCGCAATGTGGGAAAGCATCTGTTCTTTGGTGGACTCGGAGCAGAACTCAAAGAGCTTTTGAACGACGGTATTACCCAGGTAATCAGAAGCCAGCTCTGCAATTTCAGGAAGCATTGCGCCAGCAGTTTCTTCAATCTCTTGAATGGAGCAAGTATTAGCGTCGATTCGCTTGCGAATGTCACGGAGACGAGGAGCATCAAACATCCGAGTCTGGCTCGGCTCAAGGACGGGAGGAAGTTCGTCCTCATAGTTTTGGAAAGAGATAGCACTTTGAATGATGTTTGTGATGTTGTGTGTGTCATCCTCGTTGGCCCCAAACTCCTGGACAATGTCCACCATCTCAGGAAGAAGATCATTGAGGGCGGGAATCTGGGGAACTGAGCCAGTCTCTGCCCGATCCAGGCCATCACCGGACGCGAGGTTGGACTTGAAAGTGGAATCGGGGGTTGGGGATGACTGGATACCATTTGCACCAGGAGTGCCTGTCGCAGAAGCACCAGGAACCTTGGCATAACCGATTCGGACAGGTCCTGCGCCTGGGAAGATCTCTTTGCCATTCAGAACCGACCTCGCCTGTACTGCACTTTCCAGACGCTCAAAGTTGACAAATCCACAATTCTTGTGAGTCAAGACACGAGTAGACTCAATTTTTCCGTACACACCGAAGATGGCTTCAAGGGAAGTGACAGTTGTCGACACGGGAATACTGCCAATCCACAGCGCTCGAGTAGGTCCATCTTGGTTGTTCTCATCTGCCATCTCACCCGTTGCCCGCATACCCATCGCAACGGCGTTTGCACCTAGTTGTAACCCTAGGACAGACTCAGACAACTCATCGTAATCATTCTCCCCAATGAGATCCTCGGCATTGAATGAATTGTCCAGACGCGAGGGAGTCGCGAGGTAATTACGAATGGATGATCGGGTAGGGGGCGCCTCTAGAATGCCGGCAGTCCGGGCTCGAGGCCGGCTAACGGAAGCATGAGAAGCAAAAGCCTGGACAGCCAGATTGTGCTGGTGGATTTGGGCCTGCGTTGCGGCTAGTTGAGCAGCTGTCGCAGCGGCAGATGGCGTGAGAGTTCCCGAAGGAAGCTGGGAGTAGCGACTTTCATATTCCATGTCTTCGTCATCCGCATACTTCTCTTTGGCATTAACGGAATAAGAACGGAAGCGGTTGTTGCTTTTCATCATTGCCATGTCAAAAAGTCCTGGCAATCCTGGCGCGTGCTGTTGCTGCTGTTGCTGCTGCTGCAAGAGAGCTTCCATCGATGGCCGTGCAAGAGACGCCCGTGCGGACTGGGGAGTCTCGGCAAGACCAAGGTAATCCAGAGTTCTATCAGAGTCCGTGAGCCCATCCCGCGAGAACGAAGAATGACTGGGTGAAGTTGGGTCTTCTGAAGATCGAATACTAGTCAAGGTTGAAGCACGATCGCGACCAGTTCCCCACGCCGAAGTGAACAGTGACGAGCCGAAAGGATTGCCTGATCCAAGCAAACCGCTCCTTTGCGGCATCGAGCCAGCTCGAAGACGGGACAACAAGGCCGGGTTGGGTGCACCCGAGCTGGCAACTTGCGCGCCCGTATCAATCCCAGAGACACCCGGGGGGCGGAATGGACTGGTAGATGGTGTGGGCCGGGAGGTTTGCGAGATGAATGGCTGCTGAAGGTCCATTTCACTGAGAGTCGCCATCGGTGGGAATCGGGAAGGCACTGTCCCAGCTCGAGCCCTGCGGCCGGAGCCAGACATGGACACATTGGAAGTAGGAATCAGGTCGGGGAAACTATCCTGGCTGGGTGATTCGGGGATGTTCTCACGAAGCGGGGTGGAATGGCCACTGGTCGGAGGGCCCCAGATATTAGGAGACACGCCTTCTTGCGCTTGGATCTCACGGGCTCTAGAGGGCAAAGACATTTGGTCAGCTCGAATATTCCCCATCATTCTGTTGTTGAGGAGTGCCTACCGCTTGGGGTACAAGCGTCCCCCCAACTCCGAGGGGGATCCAGCCCCCAGTCTCGCAGCACCAATGGACCCGGGGGGGCCAAAGGGTGCCTTCACCGTTCCGGATCCAGCCAAGTCGCTAGGTGAGCTGCGTCCTGTCGAGGTCCCGGACATGGGCTGGGAGGTCGGAATGTAGTTGAAACTCATCTGGCCTTCGGGTCGCGAAACCGGTAACATTATGGTGTTGAATGCCCCACAGTAAGTTGATCGCTTTATCTCCTGTCACTCTATTTATCCCAAGACAGATACCGAAAGGGACAGACAGAGTTAATACTCGGATATGGGTTTCCTGCTTATAACCGCGTGTGCGTCGCCTGCACCATGTGGTGGATATGGAATGGAAAGAAGGGTTTTTGAAGAGAAGAAGTCGGTGAGACTCAATGAGGTTGTTTATGAGATGAAAAAAAACCTCTGTGCCGAAGAAATATGAAAGTCAGTTGAGGCTTCTCCAAGTGTACATATTTGGATCATCGGGGCGCGGAAACGGGGGAGGGGTTGACAAAGCACTTTCAGCTTAGTAGAAAGGTGAACTGTCCGATGTGGAGATGGGCCGATGCTGTTCCATATGACATACCAGAACGAGATCACTGACCGAGAAAAAAAAAAAGTCCAGGTAACAGACTGCCAACGTTCACTGTGGGGTGAATGATGACCAAAAAAAAACGATGGAATCAAGCGGTTGGAATCAAGATCCTCAGTTCAATCACCTCCAGTGCGCCCAAGGGAGATGCATAAAATTGGGGTGGAAAAGTAGCCCAGACACAAATGAGCGTCAAGTGAGGACTAAAAGCCGACGGGATGATCAACGGGGGAAGGGATCGAGGTGGCTGGAGAAGCACGTTAGTTTGCGCGGCTCCAGGAGGCAAATCACGGAAGGGAGATGAAATTACCGAAGACAAATCGCATACAATGCAGAGGGAAGAATACAAAGGTAATAAAAGAAAGAGAGGGAAGAAAGGTGGAGGTGAGAAGAGAGAGAAGGGTGGAAGAAGGGAAGAGAAGATGTTGGGGGAGATCCGGATGCTCGAGGGAGTTTGTGGTTGGTGGAGTGTGTCCTCCTTCAGCTTCATCTGCCCTATTTGACTCACAATCCAATTGTTCTCTGATGCATGAGCCTCAATGTTCACTATTGTAAACAATCTAATGAGCCATGATCATATTCTACGGTTCATGGTTTGTTTTTCTACTATCTAAATCTGTACACAACATCATACCGGAAATCGGCAATGGAACACAGCCCCATCGATGTCATTTCTGGAGACCCAAATTTTTAGGTGTCTGCCGGGGGAACCATTATAAACTCTGGGGGAAATACTACAGAGTACATCACATCTGAAACGATGGGGGCCCGTTCGGTGATCCCCTTGTCATCAGTATCAGAAAGCGCCCTGTCATAAAAGTGGTGTTTTTCCCTTTCTACGGAGTACAACATATGGCATGCCATGGTGAAGACCAGTGGGAACCACCCAAAGCCCCGCATTTCGCTGCGTCATGTCTCTCCAGTCTCAAATGTGAAGACACCCAGATTCATGGAGATTTACTGTGATGGAACGGAGTGATGCAATTGGTCATGCAAGGGGACTTGGGTTATATGGTGCAGGTCCGAAACAAGTTGAAAGATTGGTTCTAAGTGGTGCGCCGCAAGGGATGGGTCAGGTACGTGTCCTAGATCTCGGGCGCTTGGGACGGATTGGTCATCATTGGATCACTGGCTGTGTGATCAATGCTAGGTTAAACCTCCATGTCGTGCAGATTATACAAAGCAATGTAGAAGACTCCTGAGCCTGCCAAGCTTTAAGCAAGAAGTCGGGTTTAGCACCGATACGGAACGACCGGGAGAGATGTGCAGGCACCGAACCCGATAGAGTGGTGACCAACCGGAAGAGTTTTAAGTGTCAGTAGAAGATGGTTTAGTCCCTGGGAGGAGTTCGGTCTTAACCCTCTAAACCTACTCGCCAATGTACTGATGTAGCTGCTAGTCAATCTGCTACAGTTCCTGTACAGTTGGACACGTGCACACTTTGATCTCGTTGCCTGTATAACCAGGCACCGATACAGCCACACGCCACACTTGATCTTCATTTAGCGCCGCGGAGGAATCTCCCGGTCGCGTCTTAAATTGAATCTCCCGTGTCGACCGCACGATTCGGTCCATACATCATAATCTTCGACCCATTACCACCTCATCATGGCCGACATCCTGGAAACTGACCCGGACTCGACAATGCAGTCCTCGGAGGAGGAGGAAGCAGAAGTGCTGCCAGAGTCTCTGGTATTAGGACGCGCAAAGCGAAGCACTGCTGGTCGGCACATGTCTGCCCTCATCGATGCCGCCGCCGCCGAAGACGATGACCTGACATTACTCTTTGAGGAGGTGGAAGATGATAATGAATTTGCCATGGAGGATGGGGCTGAAGAAGATGAAATGGGGCTGGACTCCTCATCAGACGACGAGGATGACCAGGGCCCCAATGCGAACAACGACTACGAAGGCGAGAAGGAACTACAAAAGACAGAACGCAAGAAGCGCCGCACACAAAACGACCTCCGCTTCCAAACCCTACGAAAGCGCGTCAAGATCGATCCCACCGCTACAACTACAATCCCAGCACCTCCCCGCCCCAAGAAGAAGTCTGAGCGGATCTCGTGGCTCCCGACCGTGGAAGATGGTCCGACACGATCGTCGTCGCGACGACAGACAATGGTCAATAAGGAAATGACGCATGCTCGTCTCAAAGACAGCCAGGAGAAGAGAGTCCGTATAATTGCGACCATGAAGGAGGCAGAGAAACGCAAGGCCCACCTTAAGCCAAAACAGATGACACAAGAGGATCATTTGGCGGTAGCTGAACGGATTGAGCGAACCAACAGCAAGAGTTTGAACCGATGGGAACAAGCAGAAAAAAGAAAGGCAGACGAACGACGGGCGAAGATCGAGGCCCTTCAGAACCGCCGCCTGGATGGACCGGTCATGTCTTACTGGAGTGGATTGGCTACGTGGGTAAATGGAAATCTCACACGAGTGGGCCAAGCGGATATCAAGATCAAGGACAAAGAGGTGCCCAAGAAGAAAAAGACGGAAAAGGAGGAGAAGGCAGAGAAGGCAGAGAAGGCAGAGAAGGCAGAGAAACCTGCGGAAACCCAGGGCATTAGCATCGCTCCAGGGACTGTGCCTCCTATCGATGCCTCATCTGCTCCTATAGCTCCTACTCTTGCGCCTGCTGAAACTACCAACACACCATCTCAGCCTGACGGGACGTTAGCTCCAACAGCCCCCGAAGCCACCACAGCCTCCGAATCTGTCAACCAGCCCGACAAACCAGACGACAAAGCCCCGGAGCAAATCTCTCCCAAACAGTCAACAGTTTCAATAGCAGCCCCCGCCGTCGATCAAGAAAAGGAAGAGAAAGGTGTCGATAAAGAACCAGAACCGGAGCAGAAACTGGGGGATGCCAACACACCATCAGAACCTCCGCGGAAATCCTCCCAAGGATACCCCTTGCCTGTCGTGGAGATCGTGACTCGACGTGACCCTGGTACCACTTCCCAGATCTCATCATCTGATGAGCCGGCAAAGTTGCCGTCTACGAATGATGCGGATGCCATGGATATAGATAAGCCAGAGCCCAAGGCGGGCGAGCCAACCAACACCCATGCCAACCCTCCCTCTATAAGCACAGACACACCAACGGCTTCAGAAGTAGCCCAGACCAAAACTTCCAGTGTATCAGGACCCTTGGCGGGGCAGGATACCCAAGCGGCCACGTCTGTGACCACACCATTGGCCCCTCAGACGCAGACCCCTCAAGCCCCTCAAGCCCCGGCTAATGCAGCAGCCCTGCCCGCGCCACCCGAGATTAATGCACTCGAAGGCCCTGGTGTCCCTGCTTTAGAAGGTGTCCAACCGCCTGCAATTAATGAAACACCAGCCCAACCTGAGGCCCCGTTGCCGCCACCAATCATCGAGTACACGGGGCGCAACTTGACGATCCTCGAGAATTTTGATGACAAGACCGCGCACAGCAAGAAATACAGCATTTATTTCAATGCCAGGCGGCCTGCGCGATTAGCCAGTACGTGTCTCTCCGATTTTGAAGGTAATTGGCCTAACTAATTATTTTTCCAGAAATCTCATCCTCTTTGTGTGTCATCACGTCATTACCATCTCGCTATCGGGATCCCGAAACCTCTCTCCCTTATGCCAATTCTTTCGCATATGGGCAAATCCGAAATCTTATATCCAAAGGGTACATCTGGAGTGCCATGCTAGGTTGTTTCGTAGGACCAGCAGAAACCGCTGCCCGCGGTGTGCCAGCCCGATTCTTAGGGAAGGAGAAGGGCGCGGACGACCATGACAAGGAGCAAACACCGGCCGAGTCCGTGGACAAGGCGGAACCAGCAAAGACCACTACTACTTCCGCCGAGCCGATGGATATAGATCGGTGAAGCCGTGGATCTGAGTCGGCGAGAGTGAGTGAAAATGAAAAGTTGTACGATACGTCATACTGTATAGATACCCAATCCAATGTAATCCAAACACGCTACCGAAACAAGCTCAATTGTCAACATCATTCTACTCCACATTGAATCATAGACTTATGGTGGTTTGAAAACTTTGTCTCTGGAAACCCCTTAACTGGTCAATTCGATGGAGGACTCCATCGCTGACCAAGGGAATTCTTGAAGCTCCCAGACCCATTAGGTAAAGTGGTCTCGAGGGAAAAGGTTCCCCCCTGGGCGGCAACGGAAGACAACGGGAGTCAAAACAATTCCGTATACAAAGAAAACTCTGAAAACTAGATCTGACGTGACACACGACTCATAGAAAAATTTCCACTCCACAACAGAATTTTGAGTTGCGTACACACTATAGCTACTGTACATGGAAACGTACGGTGACGCAACGTATGTTTTTCCACACCTTGATTTTTAATTGACCCTCTAGGTTCCACCCTGTTTCGAGAGTTTGGTTTGTTTTGACGTCTTAGATCTCAGGCAAGTTTAGGCAACACTACGGAGTCTTCTCCATAATGACTCCGCAGCCCCAGACAGATCCAGCGACCCGAAACAGATCAACGTAAGATCGACAATTAGCATGATCCAGACTACCTGAAGGGTTTGTACACGCTTCTCTGCAGAATCTGATTGACAGGGCTCCCGAGTCTAGAATTCTTATCATGTGGATATGGTGGCCAAGCAACACGCACCCTGCCAAGCATCCAAGCACGGACTCGACGTGTCAAGGGTGTGTCACAGTGAGAGTGGAGAAAGAATTGTTCTGGGGGTTCGAGAACGCCGATCTATTTTCGTACAAAGGTGCTTCCGAGTCTGGCACGCCATAGTCGTCGTCATTTGGATGGAATGTGATTCTACTAGAGCATTGTAGATTGAATTTATGGCATGATGGTGTGTGGGAATTTGTCTATTGATATTTGGTATGAGGTGTTCCTGTGTGGAAAGTGTATCTAGCTACGTGATAACCCCTCGATCACGCCAGATCCGACCCCTCCGGAGATTGGCTCCCTGCCCTATGCAGGCTCAGCACACAAACCGGGAAACTGGGCTGCAGAACTGCGTATCGATAGGGCACGGGCGCTACTAGAGGTTCTAGACTGGATCTGAAGCTCGTGCGTACACAAAGATTGTATGGGTACTTCTTTCGTACTCGATATTCTAGATTGCTTAGGAAGCCCTAGAATGAGAAGAAAAAGAATCAATGTGTGTGTCTATGGAGTTCCACTGGGTTAAATATAGGAACAAATAGAAATTGAATAAAGAGAAAAAAAAAAGCTATGACACCACTGTTTGCGGAGACTGAGTCATCCAAGTCTGGACACATTGCGTGTACCAAGTGAACCTTGGAGGAGAGAAAGTGGGGGGGAACCAGGGCAGATCATCCGAAGTCTAGAACGCGAGCACGTTCTTGCTCTCCGGATATTTATACTCGAGGTCCCCAAGGTCTTTTCCCCATTTCATTTCTCCAACATAACCTTGATAAACCCTCTTTCATATTAAGTGGTTTTTAGTTTGCCCCCTATCAGCATCCTATCGCACCATCCATAAACTTTCGATCGGTATGTCATTTCCACCTCTCTCGTTGGCTGCAGCCCTTATCTTTACCCCACTCACCGGATGATAATCGTCTCCCCCGGTCAATTCTCGCCAGAAAAAGTGACACAGACTGACCAGCCTTATCAGCCCCCTCTTGTGTTTCCTAGAGAACATACATATTTGCCGAATCCCAAAGAGAGAAAAAAGAAAAAGTGCAAAATTCCCCAAATCAAGGAAAATAAAAATCATCCTGCATCAATCCGAAATTCCTGAGCGGTCAACAAGATAATCCCTCACTCGTGCTCCCCTTTCATATCCGGACTCCACTTCCAGTCCAGGGCGCAAGGTACACAAGATAAGATAGTGAGGCATTTGAAAAGAAGCCATTCGGCTTCACCGCCATCCATATGACTCAGTCAACTTCTCACCGTCGTTCTCCTTCTGTTCCCCATACCAAGTCCAAGTCCTCTCGTCCAGGTTTACACCGGAGAGGCACATCAACAGTCAACGTCTCCATCTCCAAGTTGGGTGCTGGCTCGGGACATTCTCGGGGAGCAAAGGACGACGACGAATTCGACATGGCGGCCAGTTTCCTCAACTTCTGGTAAGTTTTGATTGTTTTCTTTCAAAAATTGGGTTTGCAAAAGACTCGTTATCAGTGGCCCCTGCAGGGGTTTCTTGTCCTTGCATGCCAATTGCCGTCATCGGACTGTTGTATAGAATTTTGAATTTTTTTTTAAATGGAAGGCTAACCCATCCACAGTGCCATGTGCGAGAACCAAATCACCGTCCCAAACAACTCTATCCTCTACTGCAGTGAAAGGTACGTGCCATGTTTCAGTTCTCCTATTGTGTCCTATTTATAGGTCATTGTCCACCCATCTTACACTTTGCCATTGCGCCTCCTATAACACACTATTTTAATAATATACTCGAAAACATCAAACTAATTCTCATCCAGCTGTCGCCGCAAAGACTCTTGCAAACCTCTCTCCGCCTCAATGCCCTCAATGACCAACATGTCCTCAATCACCACAACTCCTCCTCACTCTCCCCCTCTCTCCCCACGCACTATCGTTGCTCCAATGACGCCTACTCGCCCTATCCCGGGCATCAGGATACCCGACTACATGCACGATGGCAAGTCAGATCTTGACCCCACCGAATGGAAGCCAGTATTACTGTCTACCCGGTCATCCACCTCCCTGGCATCTTCCGATGCCTGGAACTATCTCTCCAAGTTCCACGGTGGCAACGAGCCCCTCTTAGCCCGTCGTGCTGCCCGCAGCAGCGCCAGCCTCCCCGCTCTAGTCGGCGGGGCCGGAGCAACCGGAGCCCACGTGCCATCGCTTACGCACACCCCGTCCACCGTCGCCAGCTCTTTCAGCAGCACGGCCTCCGATGAACTCGGAAGTATGTACGAGGTTGCGTCTGGACCGGCTCAGCGCCCCTTGCCTCCGCGTCACAACCCGTACTTCGGAAGTATGACTGCTGCTCACAAGAGCAAGGGTGTTGATCTCGTTGTCCCGCACATGGGTCACGATGATGTTCCCGTTGAGGTTGTTGATAGTACCGATGTCTGGGAGGATGCGCATGAGCGTGCCCAGAAGACGGCGCCGATTTCGATGGTGCGTGGCGGCGGGTCCGCGCGTGTTCGTTCGGCTTGATGGATATACGAAAATTCCTTTCTTGGATGAAACCGGCTATCGGTTTCTGTTTTAGCCTTATTTACTTGATGTATCCCTCTGAGCGTGAGGAGATAATTTTTATGGATTTGCTAGATGGAACTTGATCTTTGATTTGGCTAGTAGCAAATAGATTATAATGACTGCAACAACTATACATTCAATTCGGATTCTGAATATTCTGCTCTTGGTAAACTGAGTTACATTACGATCGGAATCTATTGACGTGCTTGATAGGCTAAATATTGTGTCTACGTACTATATCGCCACAGCTAGGGTGTATACATCCGAGCTACTCCTAAACGGGAAGGAACCATTTTGGCAATTGGTTCCGATGAAACACAATATTTACTCAGTGGTTACCCCATGGGGATGAGATAAACATCGGAACATTCAAAGATAAGAATAAGATTGTAGAATTGAAATGGAAACCAACGTCCCCAGAAAGGAAACAGATATCGGAGTAAAAACAACACTCAAGTTCAACCAAGTGTAAAACAACATATCCAAAAGAAATACAGCAAATCACCCCCGCCACCTTACTAAAACCAGGAAACGCCCCGAACTGGGGTAGACCTGGAACACCGGATGGGAGAGATTGTTACCATCCAACCAAGATAACCAAAACTGGCATGAGTGAAAAAAAAAAATCTCGGGGGCAACTTGAATACAAAGTACGTCATCAACTAGCATAGATACCATTTGACTCTCCAACTGAAATCCAAACCCCAAATCAAGGCAGGTAAACCTAAGCTCGGTCTAACAAGCTTAAAAGTCAGGCGAAGTAATACAGCATGTGTAGCAACCTGCCCCATCATTGTAAACAGGCGAAGACTAGATAACCTCGGTTAGCTTCACCAATTCAGAACATCCATCCCAGCCCGAGTTATCACACTTACGTATGGCTTGGCACACTTAGCCTGAGCAGGAGTCTCATAGCACTGTCCCAGACAGAACCCATTTCCCTCATCAACACCGTGCGACTTCTGAGGAAGAACAGGCGCGACATTGGAACCAGGAGCCATGGGGTTACCAATTGGCGCAATGTTCTGGCCACCAGGCGCAGAGTTAGGGATAGGAGCGATATTCTCATCGACGTTGGCCGGAACATGCTCGAACTCAGGCGTAGTAGGAGTAGCACTTCCAGTTCCACGCTGAGGACTCATCATCAACGGGGGAGTTCCATCGCTGCTTGAATCATCTCCGTGTGTCTGGGTGAATCCGTTACCGTTTCCACCGTGGTAGCCACCGTGCTTTGTAGTGGCTCCGTTGTAGCTTACGGAGTCACCGGCTTTGGGGATACCGGCTGGAGCGGCGAAGCCCTCGTGCGGGTGGGGTGCGTGGACGGCATGGTTTAGGCCGTGGACGCGACCAGCACGGGCGGAGGGGGTTGCCGATGCAGAGTAGGGCATCGAGGCAGAGGTAGATGCGTACATCGACATGTGCCTGCTGATGTAGTGGCTTGCGGAGGAAGATGCCATAGGCGTCATGTAGTAGTGGTTGACACCGTGGCTCTGTGCTGGACGCTGGGGCATCATTGAGGATGAGGGCTTTGCCATTGACTGCTGAGCGGCCATTGAAGATGAGTATCCCTGGCCGTTGATCCCGCCGACGTTGCTGTTTTGCTCGCCCGCTGGGACTGGGACAGAGCCCAGCCCGAAAGGCATCGGGACGGTTTGGGCTTGGGTTTGGGCTAGCACGGCGGCCAGGGTGAGGATGGAGTAGCGCATCTTGATGACTTTGATTCTCTTTTTTACTGGTTTCTTTGGATTCTGAATTGGCTTGTGTTAGGCTTAGCGGGGCTGCTTGATACTGCAGCTGTCGTTGTCGGTTGTCGTTGCCGATGGTCGATTGCCGGTGGTGTCGAAAGTCGTATTGGAGGAGAAACTACGCGAGGATGAATCGAGTACATATTGAAGTGATGATGCCTTTATTCCAAGGGGTGTGTTTTGGTTGCGCGTAGGTGCATAGTTGGGTTGCGCGGCGAGGAATGTAGGTTTCAAGTTTGTATACAGGTACACGGACACCAGGCGTACCCTCTTTGCTTGTACATTAAAAAATCCATCTCCAATTAGATCGCGGGATTAGGCTTTTTCTGTATGTTTTTCTCAGTATAGCTGGTATTTAGAAATAACGCGTGTCCTTGATCAATTCGATACTTGATTTCATACATTTCGGACTCGTAGGTACTGATGAACTCCATGTCTCCGTCTCACCATGTCCTGAATTGATAAATACTTTGAATCCCCACATTCCATGAATCAAGTGCCTAGTCAAGGCGATGCGTGGTTCAAGATGTTATTTAAATGAGGCAGCTCATTCGCTGTTTTGCCCTGTAGGGAGCGCGAGTTCCTGGTGGTGGTAGAGATGGATACTCAATGAAGTAAGTTTTCAACAAGCTCTAAGGTCATACTAGGAACGTGATCTGCTATTAGTCTGCTCACATGACTCTCGAGATCTGACATGCTTCAGGTCACATGGTCTAGGAAACCAAAGATCACTGTAGGGACATTTGAGCAAAATAATCATAGGCTACGCCAAGACGATCAATGCCAGTAAAATTTTGTCGAGATCATTGAAGTGTAATCATGACCAAACAATAGATAGATGTTATGCAGCCGTGGCTGACTCCATCATGTGCCACGGTACTAACTAAGCAGATTCGCGTTAGTGCCGGGACAATCTCGGCTCCTTGTGGCGCATGGCATTTCTTCAGGCCTCAGATCAAAGCTTAACTCAGGATAATAGAAAACAAATAGAGACATTAAACTAGCCAGACGCTGGAGAGTATCGTCATATAATTTTTCAGATATTGGCAGGCTGCAATATTCAAGATACGCCACCGGTAGCACATTTGAATGCCATTTAGGGAAGGCCGGAACGCCCGATGGCGATGTCCGGTTGATCACAGCCTCTTACCAGCTCACTGTGTCTCAGGCCGGTCGATGAATGTACATGTATACACAAATTCTGGTTTTCATTGTTGAGCAATTGTGTGCGATGTGCTGCTGATAAAATCAGCTGCCCTTGGTATTAGTATCGCTGATCGGGGGAACTCGTTCCCATGTACGTTTAGCGTTAGCGTTCTTGGTCAGCTCCAAAGTCAAAAAGTAAAGTTGAATGACATGCAATGAATTGAATGTGTTGCCTCGACTCAAATGCTCAATGTCGGTAACCCCTTTGCATATTTGCAGGAAATTGTATGAACCAAGTTGACGGAGCTGATTTTCGGGGTGTAGGAGCTGCAGAGTACAGCAAACTCGGGTGCCGTACAGCAAGACAAGACACTATCCGCAAAGTCCCTTTCAGACAGTGACGATTCATCACAAAGCCACAGCAACGGAAACGGAGTTCAGTTTCAACCACGAGAACTCGTTGGTTCCGGCAGTCCGGATACCTTTTCCTCGGCCTGTTGCTTTCTTCATTCTCATCTGAACCTTGCCCTCAAACCAGCAGAAGTCTCAACGGCATTTAGAATAGCGCCTATCGAGCAAGGAGTCCTTCCAGGTTATCCAGCAAGTAAGTAACAGCATTACATCGGCCTGGATAATATGGACTTCATCAACACAATCCCATCTTCCTCACGCACGGCTCGGTCTAGCATGTCAATCTGACGCCTGTTGTGGTCGGAGGTAACGCCAGTGTGGAGCCGTGGCCCCAATAAACTCGCCAGGAACCTTTTTCCATGACTGAGGCCAATTGCCGCCACAAGGAGGGACCATATTAGGGTTTTTCCCCCATCCTCTTCTCGCCCTTGATAGGCATACAGCAATCCTATCTCTGGGTCGTAAACGTTCTTCATTCATTAGGAAGCGGTTGGTACTCAGGTATGGATCGAGTCATTCCGGTCCTTTGCTGAGCATCTGAGTGATGGAAATGAGCGTCACAATGTGCTTAGGATGAGGAACTGGAGCATTGGATATCCAGAGGGATCAAGGCTCTTGAACCTCATCGCCCGGCTGCATTAACAACCCCTAGCCATGAATCGAGGCCGTTACTGACACAAATAGCCGCAGCGCACGTTGAAAAATCCAGGGGATCTTCTCAAAATGAATGCATCAGCAACCCCTGGTCCTGAATAGAGCCGTAACTGGACACTGGGAGACCCCTGGCTGAAAACACGCTTGCCGACCGAATTGCATGAATGAAATCTCCGCCATCGAGGAGAGCCACAAGTCGCTGACATTATTAACCGTCTTAGAAAAGTGCAGTTCCTCGATCGAAGTCGCTTCTTGCGAGCTGCAGAATGATGACCATCTCTCGCCCCCGGCACGTGGACCTCCCCATCCTGCAAATCGTACCCATATCCATGCCAGAACCCGCGAGGAACGCGATACCACACTTCCTCTGACCGATTCACAAATTGTGGGCATCGATATCGGCGAGGCACGCATGAACAGCTTGCCATTACCAGGCCATATACTGAATGGCCAACATCTAGGACAGATTAGGATTGAATCTCCCCATGACCACATCCGGACCAGTGCCGGCATCGAGATGGCAACAAAGCCAGACTGGAGTCCCACATGTCCCACTGCAGGCTATGATGATCCCTATTATGAGCTTCGGCAACAGTTGAGTCGGCATCTTCCTGGATCAAGCCATAGGGCACAGCCGTTCCCTGTCACTAAGACATCCGATGCATCCAAGGTGCCACGTTGCTCCAGTGTTGATGACACGAGATTCATCAAATGGGCATGGAGTATCAATCATATATAAGCCCTGGCCATATTGGCGGTTGTGCCTCACTATGCCTCACTATGCCTCGTTATAACATGACTCGACTGCATCTCACAAGGACTCTCTGGTCACATTCATAAGCCTGGGCAGGATAAAGCGTCGAATCTTGTGAGGGCATTTCTCGCAAACAACAGATGTCAACCCATAGATTATTATGCCAAATGAGATTAAGGGGGCAGGGACGGAAGGATGGGTTTGAGGATACACGTCGCAAGGGAGTTCGAATTTCAAGATCGCAATTCCGGGCTCAGAGTGGTGATGCAGACGCGCCTGCCGGATTCGACGGATTAGTTTTCTTTCTGAGGAAGGAACAAGTCAGCATTCAAGTCGAGATCAACGGATCAAGCGTCCCTTCACTTATCAAAGACTTCATTGTTGATTGCATCCCTGAAGTCTTTCAGGGTAGTGCAATATCTCACTCTCCTCCACTCGGGGTAGACTCACCAATATCCCAGTCAAGTGAGGTCAATGAAATTTATGGGGTTGCCAGGCGGAAAGAGCTATCGATGGATGCCCGGCAAGAAATGCTCGGTGACCGACTCTCGTTGAACCCTTGCTAGCCAACAGCGGCCACGGCATCCATTGGCCAATCTCTCCATGCAAGCTCATCTACTGATATAAAGCCCACAGCCTCAACACGACCCTCCACAGTCGTTTTTGGTGATATGTCCTCGGTGGCGAGTTGTCTCTAGGGTCGATTGTCTTCGCGATCTGTCCCTGGGAGATCAAGTCAATACTAAACAGATCGCAGCAGTCCACTGTTACCCTGAGTGATTATGACGAATCAATTCATGCCTGGGATGTAGTGAGTACCGCGGCAAGTATTGAGCAGGGCCATCGATCTTTCATGAATCCAGTACGATTGCAAGACGGTCCCATCTGTTTTGGTCCGAAAAGACCCCCGATCCACGCAAGATTGCCCAATGAGGGTGTCGGGACCAACATGCCAACCAATCACGTCTATAATCAGGATCGTCAAATCGAAAGGGATGGCACATCGAACACCATACGGATCGTGAAGCCAAAAGAAAGACGAAATTGACGCTCTTCAGGCGAGTGGTTGTCGATACTGCGTGGGTCCGAGAAGAAGTAGGGACCAAAGTCGATTGGTCGGTACTTTTCTCCGGAACCGACAACAGCTTACGATTAGTGAAGAATCACCAAGACATAGATCGGGCTCTCCATACAGTCAAATTGGTTTTATTTGCGCTCGGGACACCGGAGAAATTCACAACCCCAGGGAAATGGTCCCACTAAGCTCCCATTGAACAGACGCCTTGTCGGGCCAAGTCCTTGCACATCATATTTGGGCCATGGGGCATCGGTTTCTGGTCTGGCGGGGATTATCGATCAGCTCGGGATCGAGAGTTTTCGTCTTTTTGGCATGTCCCGCCTTTTCCTTGGAACTCTCCCTTGACTGCATCGTCATTCTCGGTTTTTCTCCAATTTCCGTGTTGTCTCCTGCACAGAACAGTTCTCTTTACCTGAGTGGAGATCTTTAAACAAGTACACGCAAATTGTATGGCCGACCGTGTTCTGCCCTCTACCCGTTTCCCGCCCGTTGAATGAATCTCATTTCTACGTTTCTCCAGTCCTTTCATATCTCCCTTCTCCATATTCATTTGATTCTATTCTACTCATTCTGTTATACGTGCTGTTTCCTCTCGTACTGACTGTCTTTCCGAAGACGTCTGTGATCTCACGAGGACAACCCATAGAGAGGGGTATCTTGTCCAGCATCCTAGCATCGTTTGACAGCTCCAAATCTGAGCCCCTCAGGTCCTTTCCCCGTAGATCACTTTGACGACATTCGACGCAACATGTCAGAGCGACGCCCCACGAACGATCTACCTGGTAGCCAGGGAGTCCCAGCACGGGACGAGCGAACGCCGCAAGCTTCGTCGGCAGGAACTCCGAGGTATGTGTGAAGTTTCATCTGTTGCCCTCTGTTTCTATCCGTTTTCTGTCCTTTCGGCGATGGCCTCGCACTTTGTGTGAAGCAGAAAGGCCCCGGAGATGCACATAAGGTGTTGGCGCAGTTTGTGTGAACTTGAGGCTGAAACATCGCCCAGCCTGAGTGTCCCGAGCAGCAGCGGCACATCTAGCGGCACATCCAGCGGCACATCCAGCGGCATATCCAGCGCAAGTCTAGCTCAAGAACCCCACGAAATAACCCACTATCGCTCCCTGGTCAACAGGCTGTTGGGCTTTATCGCTACCCGCGACGAAGAGGCAGTGGCCCGCATCATCTCCACGATTCGCTCCGGCGCCACGCACGACCAAATCCTCGATGAAATTGATCAGCTTTCCGCTGGCTCCGACCTCGCGAACGGGAACACTAACGGTACTCGTGATGGTCGTTCTTGATGAAAGTTAATCCTTGTCGAATTTCCCGAGTTTCCTACTTCAGGTTCCTTTGGAGAGAGGCTTGGTGGGATTGAGAAAATGCGTGCGAGTGGAAAGCCATGCCGCGTTAATGGTGCCACAGATCGAATCTTAGACTTTGACGAATGATGATATTCCTGCTGTTGGCTAGGATTGATATGATTGGGTCCAATGAGAAAGCGACTTTAAACAGTGGCGAGGACCGACAGCAGTTGACTTTGTCGATTTATTTATTTTAGCAAATGCGCGACTGGCTTTGCTTGAATGATTCCGTGTACTCAAGATTTCAAACTCGGATTGCAGATTGCAGAGTCCAAAGTATGGGTGTCGCAACAGTACTAGTACGAGTGCCTATATTGTTAAATTGACGCAGTATTATCCAGGCGGAAACTTGAGCCTCGTGGCGAACAAGCCATGAATTGGTATAACCTGAAGGTCGGATGGTGACAAAGATCAAATCACAAGGACAAAGTCAGGTGCGGTCAATAAGATGGGACGTGAGGGGAACATTCGCCCCTGATATCATCAACCTCGCGAGTGACTAACTTATCCATGGATGGCGCGTGCGCGCTATGACGAATCTAGGGTTGATAACTCCCTCCAGAAAAAGGCTTGAGTTCACATTTGCCATCGAACAACAGGAGAAACAACAGGAGAAACAACCTATGAGGAGCATGTTGCCCACAAACCGTGGCCAAGTACATGTAGACCCGAGACATCATCTGCCTCAGCATCCAATCAAATTCACATCAGAAAAGCCGAGTGTGTATGGTCAAGGACAAGGGCATTTGCAACAAAGAACACGAAACTTACCTACAGTACCCTTGTCCTGTCATCGATCCAGGATTACTCTTCGCATAGGTGTACGGAGCCGAAAGAAACAACTGCTTACCCTGGTACAACATAACATCAGGAAAAGAACAAAGGGCAGATGAGATTAGACCAGCCCCAGGCTGAAATAGCCTTGAATCTCCTTGACGACTGGGCAGCGGCGCGAACTTAAATCGGACAAACGGAATGGCTCCTGTGGGCTGGTACGGATTTTATCTCCGTGCATTTGGAGCAATGGCATCACGGCCTGTGGAGCATGCCTGCCGACCTCTGTGCGGCCAGTCATTCGCTGGGTGCTTTGCAGCCCTTTCTTTTCTGCAGTGCTATGCGATGACCCGACTTGCCTGGAGCTTGATGATGTTTTTCTTCTTTGTGAAGGTGGATTGAGCTTGAATCTGCGCCGCGTCTGTGAAGGAGAAGCGGTGGAGCCCGAAACACAAATCATTTCCAACTGATCCTTGAAGAAAATCCGATAATTCGTCACTGCGGCTGAGGCTAGGGGATGGCGACGGGTGTTGTCTATGCTTTTGGGTACTTTGTCCTTGGTCTACTCACTCTCTTGAGCTAGAAGGGACGTGTTTTATGTTTGGTATCTCGGACAATCTGTTCAATAGATGACACCGGCCACCGCTATCTCGAACCCTCCAGCTCCAGCTCCAGCTCAAAGCTCTCCGATCCGCATCTCGTATCCATCTCCCTAGAGAGACTACACCGCCATAAATCTACCGCGCCCGGCCCAATCGAATCGAATCGAAACACAACTGCGTATCTCATTGCCAACGATGGCATCTACAATTCACAACATTAACCTGTTGCAGCAAGCACAGGAGTAGCGACAACAAGGCCGAGGCCCCCTTGCTAGCTCTCGTCCCGGTCACTCATAGCAGAAATTGCATCAGCCAGGCCCAACCAGCTCTAACATTAGACATAGTAGCAATAACAAACACAGGCGAATGACCCAGAGCCACCACTAACACTCAACCCAGTCACAGATCCCACGCCGCACCAGGAAACCTAAGCCTACACACGTACACGATAACGACATTACGTTTCCAACACGTCTAAATCCACATCATACCCACATGTACCATGCAGCCTCAGCCTGAATCTGAGTCCCAAGCACCTGGTCCCCGGTCATCATGGATACCTTTTTATTCAGACGTTCTTCGGAGACATTCATCTACACTAGCACTAGCTACGTATCCGGGATTCGACCGCTTAACCCGATCAGTATGCCCTGCCGGCTGGACTGTGGTTCTACCCGGGCGGGTTTCATTGCAATTTGCGCGTCAATGTCGGATCATGTTGTTCTCTGTTTTGTCTTACTGATAGGGCATGGTATGGGGAAAGGATCTGGAAGGCTAGTGCTGCTGTGTCACATTGTGTGAGTGAGTGGATATGATTTTATCTTGGACTTCAATCGAAATGTATGTCAGGGAAGGTGGAAGAGAGAACTCTGCGAGGGTAATAGATTGATTAGGTAGTTTATTTGGAAACTGACGACATCAAGAAATACCTTAGAATTAACAAGGCTCTGGTTTCTTTTTCCAAAGACGTTGCATTCTAAGTGGTGCGTAGGTTCGTGCCCAATATCCCAGGCACAGTAGAAAGAGAGCCTAGAAACCCTCAGGTATATGAATATGCACAGCTCTACTATTCCATGGCGTAAGGACGGCTTAGACAAAACGATATCATCAACGGCTTACCCAATAAATTACGTTTCGGTGAATATAGGAATATAAACAACGTTAAATGCAATGCTCTAGCAGAAATTCTTCATCTGGTTGATCCAGCTCACTTTTAATATCCTAAACAAAATTTGAAATCTGATGCAATCCATAGATCTTCATAACTATACGTAAAAGCTCACCAGCTTACGGGGTGCAACGGCTAGTGAAGCGAGGGTACAACGAGCAATCACGGACAGTGTAGCGAGCGCACATCCAAGCCAGGAAACGCTCCAGACCGAGGCCGTAACCTCCGTGGGGAGAGGTACCGTACCTATTTAATGTTAGTAAGGGATTGCAAAGAGAGTAGGTCATAGATAAAACTTACTTGCGCTGGTCGGTGTACCAGTAGTAAGGCTTGGGGTCCATGCCCTCGTGCTTGTAGGCGTTCATCAACTCGTTCCAGTCGTCCATTCTCATACTTCCACCGACGATCTCACCAACACCGGGCATGAGAACGTCAACACTCTCAGTGACGCGGCGGTCCTCGGCATCCTTCTTCATGTAGAAGGCCTTGATCTCGGCGGGGAAGTGGGTGAGGAAGATGGGCTCGTTAATGATATCGGTCATGCGACGCTCAGCAGCCTCGGCAATGTCATCACCGAACTTGTGGGGCTCACCCTCCTCGTTGGGGATTTCGTGCTCGACCAACCAGGCAATAGCGTCGGAGTACTTCATGCGGCGGAAGGGGCGCGATGGGGCCTTGAAGTCAGGGTTGAGCTTCTTGATGTAGGCGGCGGTCTCGGGCTCGGCCAGGGTCAGGTCGATGACACGGCAAATCATGGCCTCGAGGTGGTCAAGCAGATCAGTGAAGGTGATGAAGTCCAGCTCGGCCTCAATGTGAGTGTATTCCGACAAGTGGCGACGGGTGAGGGACTTCTCGGCACGGAAGGAGGGGCACACGCAGAAGACGTCACCCAGGGAGGGAAGACAGGTCTCCAGGTACAGTTGGGAGGACTGGGTCAGGTAGGCGTTCTCGCCGTAGTAGTCGAAGCCGAACAGGGTGCTGCCACCCTCCACCTGGGTCTGGACCATCGCCGGAGGAGTGACCTCCAGCATGCGGTGCTCCTCGAAGGACTTGCGGAAGGCACGGAGAACGGCGGCACGAACCTTCATCACGGAGGACGAGGTCTCTCCGCGCAGCACCAAGTGGCGGTTGTCAAGCAGGGTCTGGGGGTCGGCGTCATGGGCCACACGGTTGGTGATGGCCTCCTTGTCACCAGCGGCCTTACCAATGATGGTGAAGAAGTCGGCGTGCAACTCACGGTCGTTGGGGGCGTGTTGCTTGGGGGGAACGGCACGCATCTCACCGTGGATGGCCATGGAGGTCTCCAGGGTCAAGGTCATGATGTCGAAAGTCTTGACCATGTCGCCAGTCAAAATGCACTGCAGGTATCCGTAGCCATCGACCAGAGTGATGAAGACATAATCCTTCTGCGCGCGCATGCGGTGAACACGACCGAGAACGCGGACCCGAGTACCCGGAGCATCAGACTCGGGAGTGCGCAGGGTCACGACCGCAGGGTCAACGTTATCCAAGCGAATGCGCACAGGCTTGGGCAGCGAAGCGTCCTCCTTAATAACGATCTTCTTGGCCTCCTCCAGAACGGCCTGGCGCTTGTCAGCCTCAGCCTTCTCCCGAATGGCCAGCTCGTGCTCCTTGGCAGCCTTCTTCTTGCGCTGCTCAAAGAGGTTGGTAGCCTTCTTCATGGCGGACTTGGTGGCGGGCTTCCACTCCAACTTGGCAGCCGGGTCCACATCCTCACCAGCGGCATCGGTCTGGGACTTGCGGGTCAGGTATTGGATGCCCTCGGTGGTGGGCTCGTGGTTGACCATGGCATGCACGAGGGTCTTGTAGGGAGCGGTCTCGGTACCGGTAGCGGTGGAATCGTCGAGGCCGACGTCCTCGTCAATGTAGATAGAGGGAGCCATGATTGCGATTGATACAGTAGAATGCAAATCAAGGATGCGCTCTACCAATTGAGTCTATGGAGAGGATTTGGGGAGGGAGGATGGGTCTGCGCGGAACAAATTAATATGGTTCATTTGTGAGTCATCGCAGGAGATAAGGGGATATGCAATGCAAGATAAAGCACACATCAAGAATGCTTACCAGACTGGACAGTTCCAATACCAATATACAGGAGAGGAAGCAATGGCGCCAGGCCGACTAATATGGAAATGCAGAGTATTGTTCGAGATGAGAAAGTTGGAGGGGTAAATTTCGATACCATTTCCCCACATGATGCCTCAGGCATCAATTTTTTAATTCTTTTCCGCTTGGGCTTTGCTTTAAAATTCAGCATTAAGCCTGATCGGATCAACTCAAAATGATCATGACTAGGGAGGTTTCAGATGACCGATCCATGGATCAAATTAATTCGGAGATTGAGGCTGTGGATTGGGTTGATATAAGCATAAATC